TATTAGAGCATCTTAGCATTAGTTAGTAGAACGCCTTAGCGTTATATTATAATCATACTGCGGCTATTATAGTTGTAAAAGACCCTACTAATTACTTACGTGTTAAGTATATTGATATGCACTATCACTTTATTCGAGGAGTGATTAAAAGAGGTGAACTATAGACCCTTTTCCTAGAAGAAGCTAATCAGATTGTAGATAGATTTACTAAAAGCCTACCTAAGCTAAAATTCTAGGAATTCTACGACCGGATTGGGCTAGTTAAATACTACTAGTAGTAAAATTACCGAAATTAGATTATCAAAATCGGTAGAGTTATAATCTTATTTTAAAGATTATAATAAATTAGCTAAATTGGTCAGGTTTGTTAAAAATTGCTATTATATAATAGTAGGTTCAAGAACTTTAGATCTTAAGGAGGGGTATTGGAATTTGATTTCTAAAGTTCTTAGCTTAGCATTGTCTTAGCATTTCCTTAGTATTTCCTTAGCATTTCCTTAGCAAGACTTTCACTACTAGTTAAATGCGGAGTTTTATGTTTTTCATTTTTAATGGAGCTTCCGTTTTAAAATGGAGCTTCCATCTCTAAGCGGAGCTTCCGTTTTTAACTAGAACCTTAGATTCTATTTCCGTTTCAAAACGGAGCTTCTATTTTAAAACGGAGCTCCAAGTTCTGTCCGTTTCTGTCCGTTTCCAACGGAGCTTTTAGCTCTTACCGTTTTTAACAGAGCCTCTATCCACGTCCGTTCAAACGGAGCTGTAAGTGAAACTTAACAAGTTTCATTTTGGGAGTAAGTGAAAAGAGTATATAGACAGGAGGCCTCTCCCACTAGATAGAAAATTAAGCTCTCCACCAATTCAGTTCCTACTACCTAAGGACCTGAAATCCCAACAGTATTTAACTAATCTAATCGGATAGCATTATCCGGGGAAACTTAGCTTAAGTAAGCCCTTAAAAGAACCGTCGTTTTGAATTCTTCACTATTATAGAATAGTGAACTCGACCAGTTCGACATTCTACTATTATATAACAGTAATTCCAGGAAACTAGTAAAGGGCCTAGTAGTAGTAGGCTCACTTTTACTAAGTAATAGTCCTAGCTTAGTAAGCTTAGAATAAGCTCTATCCTAAGAGCTAAAGTCTTAGTAGTTATACTAAACTTATTTAGTCATACTCCTCCTAACGTTCCAGCTAGTTATACCGCTTCACTTAGTTATACCGCTCTAGCTACCCTTTTAGCTATATCTTTAGCTAGGTATGCTAATTTTTCCGGTAATCACGTTTTAGCTAGTGATTCTGTTTTTAAAACTCTAGCTAGTTATACTAATTTACTTAGTTATACCACTCTAGCTATCCTTTTAGCTAGGTACGCTCTCTTTTCCGCTAGTATCGTTTTAGTCGGTTATTTATCTCTTTTAACTTATCTTACTTATCTTAGCGATATTCTAATTAGTTAGAATTTAAGGTACGCCTTACTAATAAAGCTATATGCCTTATAGCTATATTCACTTAGTGATTCACTAGCTCTTTCGGCTCTAGACGTAGTTCTAGATACTATATCTAGTAATTATCTAAGTAGTAATTCTTTCTATACCACTTACACGTACGCTTAGTCTAGTCTTAGTAGGCTATAAGAATTCTAGAGATTAACTTCTAATAGATTAGATTAGCGTTTTGAATAAATAGTAGATTATTAATTATCTACTTATTTACGTTATTACTACTATACTCTATAAAGGCCACCTTAGTATATATAATTAGATTTACCTTTATTATAAATATTAGCTACTACTCTATACATCTTACAGTATAAATATCTATTGGTCTTAACTAAAGAAGAGATAGAAGCCTCTATTCTATATATATAGAGTCTTATAAAAAGAGCGGTTTAGATTATTACTATTACTGCTACTACTACTACTACGAGTTATACTAGTAGTAGTGCTACTAATACTAAGCTACTTTATAATAATACTTACTATATTTACTTAGCTAATATAGAGAAGTTACGCGGATATAGAAGAGTAGAATTAAATATTATTAGTTAGATAGTAGTTATAGAGTTTATAAAGATTTTAATCTATATATAATAGAGAATACTAGTGTAGTTCTATATATACTAGTATATACTAGCACTTATTAGAATAATCAAGTCTCTACTTTATATAAAGACTTATATATATAGTATAGGTATAATTTATAAAAAAATTATATTATTCATAGTATTAGATATAAGATCTATAGTTTGAGTCTATTCTAGAAAGTACTATTTAAGAATATATAATATATACTTATAGTAGCTTATAAACTAAATTTAACTTATATTATATTCTTTACTCTTTTCTTTATTTTATAGAATATCTATAGTTTAAGTGTAGCTTAGAGAGTACTTTTTAAGAATATTAGAAACTATTATAGTATAGAATAGGTACATTTAATTAATAATTAAGTTTATTACTAAAGATTCTATTAGATTATAGAAGGATCTAAATAAATAGAATTTATAATATAAATTACTAATTATAGAATAGAAGGCTCTATAGATTAGTATAATAGAATCTACTAGAAAGTAGTAAGATCTAGAGAGTTTAGATATATGTAGATAGTAGTTTTCTGCTTTAAATAGTAATTAAAGTCTTTAAGTAATATTATTCTAATAAATGATTATTTATACTAAAAGTTTACTTTCAAAATAGATTCTATTATAGACTCTTCTTTAATATACTAGTTAAATTAGACTTAGAGTTTTTTTTTATCTTTTTTCTTCTAGAGATACTAAGCTAATTACAAATAGATTTTCTTTATAAGTTATTAGAGGACATAGATTCCTAGGGTTAATATAGTAATATAATAATAAGATACATGTAAATAAAGTAATATAGATTATTTAGTAGGAGACTAAATTCTACTAAGCTCCTATTATAGGGGAGTAGCTACTAGAGCTAGCCTAAGGCTTTCTTTTGTATCTTATATAAGTACTTATAGAAATTATTCTATTCTAAAGCCGCTTATAAGACGCTTGCAAGCTACTTATAAGTAAATATATTTACTTAGTATTTCTAAGTACTTATAATAGCTCTAAGCCTCTAGAAACACTTAGAAATACTTAAAAATACTTAGAGATTAAGAAATAAAAATATTTACTAATATACTTTATCTTATAAAAGAATAGAAGCGAAGTAAGAAAGAGAACTTTAGAATTTAAAACTACTTTAAGTATTCTAAGCGCTCTATAAGTACTCTAAGTACTTTAAGTATTTATTCTATTTATAAGCTACTTGCAAGCTATATTCTAGATATTTTTAAAGTTTTAAACTAGAACTAATCTTAAAGAATTTACTAATATAGCTATTGAGATCTAGATATTATAAACTAGCGCTTAGTATAGAGTTTATCTAGAACTAGCTAGGTTACTAAGAATATTACTACTATCTATATTATTCCTAATAATAGTAAACGAGAGGGATAATAGAGAGCACTAGTACTACTATCTATATTATCTCTAATAATAGTAGATAATAGAAATAATAGAAATCATAAATATAGTCTAGTATATAGGCGGTAATATTTCTCCTACAGAAATATTATACTTAACTTAGAATAAGAATCTTATATTCTTATAATATATATCTAATTAAGTACTCTAGTAATCTTAATTTACCTTTATTATATCTTAAATCTATTTCCTATCTCTTAACTAGAACTATATTAACCTATAGTATTAGCTATTATTATCTAGAGATAGTAGCTTATTACACTAGATCTAGTCTCTATATACCTAAAGATTTACTAATATATTAGTATTTATATAGTTTGTATTTAAAAAAAAAAAGAATCTATACGCGCTAATAGTCTCTCTATATAAATACTATTACAAAAGTATAAGAAGTAAAGGGTTATAAAGAATTAGAAATGTAATTTAAAGCCTTATTAAATGTATCTCTAAGCTATTAGCTAGACTACTATTAGGAAATCTTTTCTCTCTCTTAGAGCCTCTTAGAGCGCTCTAAGAGCCCTTTAAGAGCTTTAAGGCTCTAAGTGACTCTTATCTCTCTTAAGAGGCTCGCGAGCGTATCTAAGTGCTCTAAGTACTCTAAGTACTTTAGATATCTAAATCATCTAAATCATCTAAATTATTTAAAGTATCTAAAGTATCTAAAGGTATAGCTTAGTAGGGCTTAGTATACTTAGTTAGTAGCTAAAAGAATTAAAAAAAGCTTTAAGTCTAATTTAACTAGTAGAATATAGAGGGTATATAATAAAGCTTATTTAGAGGGTAAACTTTTAAAAAGAGTAATTATTATTTACTTACTTTTTAAATTTATAGATACTATATATCTTTTTACTAGAGGGTAAAAGATAAGCGAAAATAAGAACTCTAAAAAAATCTACTTACTAAGCTACTTACTAAGCAGCTAATTATTTTAGACGTTTTAGATAATTTAGATAGTTTAAATATTTCAGATATCTAAAGCACTTAGAGCGCTTAGAGTACTTTAGATAAGGTAGTCTGTATATAAGGGGCTCGCGAGCGCTCCGAGGGCTCTTAGAGCTCTTAGAGCGCTTAGAGGGTTTTTGATTTTCCTAAGGTATCAAAAGATTTCCTAATAGCACCTTGCTTAGTAGTTTCTTAGCCGCATACTAAACCTATAAGTATTAAGTATCTTCTAGCAAAGCGTGACTTCCTAGAAAATTGAAATAGATCGAGTCTAGACGTTACGGTAGTGCGCGCTCTTATACGTGTTATGCGAGCCAAGTAGGTGATATAAGTATCTATCAAAAAGAGCCGCTAAAATACTTAGTCCGCTCTCCGAGATCCCAGCGCTTCTCGGTGGAAGCGCTGCGTTAGTTAAGATAGCCGTAGGGAATGCTTTTGCAAGCAGCAACAGGTGCAGCGGCACAACTTTGCGTTTCGTAGCCCATGAAACACAGCTACTTAAATGCTTACCAGATCCGCCACCTGAGCACTAAGCCAAGTAACATAGGGTATAGTGGATCTATCAGGACGTAATAGCCTGCCGTACCGCCGGCTCCCTCTCGTACTCGATCTCCACGTGCGGTCCTTTCCTGCCCTTCTTGACAGGTTTCGCTGGGCGCGACGCTGGGCGCTTCCTCTTAAGACTTCCAAGCGCCTTCTTCAGCTCCTCATCATCCGTATCCTCATCCTCACTGCTATCCTCGCTATCATCTTCCTCTTCACTACTTCCGTCGCCTTGATCTGAACTTTTGTCGCCTATCCAGTCCTCCAGGTCGTCACGATCCTCATCCGATTCGCCCTCTACGTCGCTAACATACTCGACATCACCAGCAGCTTCGCCCCGCTCATACTCGTACTCGTGCTCAGTCTCTTCCTCCTCTTCAATCCCTTCGTCGAGATCCTCGTCCCGCAATGCTTCGCCGCTCTTCTCTTGGCGCTTGAGAAATCGCTGCCATACCTTCTCGTCGACGTTCAGCGGCTGCTCGCCATATGCGCCTTCCTTCATTCGCTGCAGTAGTTCTCGTTCGATGGCTCTTTCTATCTTCGCGGCCGCTTCCGCTTTCCGCATTCTTGTCTCCTCTCTTCTTCGGACCTTGGGCGCCAACTTCGGGACCAGCTTCTCGCCTAGTCTTTCGTTCTCTTTCATCAGTCGTTTGGTCCGTATGGCAACTTGCGTCAATCGCGTGAGTCTTTGCTTGCAGCGGTGGACCAGAACTTTGGGGAAGAAGATGAGCCGCGTATCTATTTCCTCTAGAGCCTGAGTAATAGATCAGCTCAGAATCCCAAGACTCTGGATTTATAGCGCACATACCTTTGCGTAGTTCGACGGCAGCTTTATCTTCTCCCACCACTTATTCGGCATGTGCGCTCGCTCAACGGCCTTGATGTACAAGAAGATTCCATTAGGACCTTGACGAACGGTGGCGTATCGTGAGTTTGCCAGTGGGCAGTACTGCGATCGGCAGAGACCGGTCACATTGTACTCGTTGCGGCAAAAATTCGATTCTTTGGTAGTTCTGCCTCAGCTGTTAGCGAGAATGCGTCAACCGCTCGGTCTCAGGATTTAGAGGACATACTTGAGCTTGAAGGAGCAGAACTGGTTGTTAATGACCTTCAGACATATAAAACGTTAGCCTGTGAAAACATGTCTGCCTCGGGAAGCTCGATGCTACCCACCTGCCAGACTATTTCGTCTGAAGCCATTATGGATTGGGGAGCGAGGCCACGGGGTATTGGCGTAGGTGGCAAGCGTGCCGGGTATCGAGGAGAAAGGCCTGGATTAAGGCAGGAAGAACGGGGGTTTCTAAGAGGCGTTGCGCCTGGCGCAAACGGACGTGTACGGAACGGGTTGGTTGTATATTTACGCGAATGTGGCGAAACGGGATGCTGGAGTGAGACTAGCAGTTCAAAGTCGGTATTTTCAGTGCCTTAGAGCAATCTGATATTGAATGAAGTGACCGTTAGAAATGGGTAGAAGAAATGTCAAAAGATTTCGTCCTCCGCTGCTAAAAACCCGGGCTTGGCGGCAGAGACGAACTGCGACGGATCATCGTTTCTGCGGCGTTTGTACAGGCGTTCCAAGGTTCGGCGCCTGCTCGGCTCGTCAGTTGAGCGTTTTTCTATGCGCGCCCCACCAAAACTCACCCAGCACTTAAGCCCATTAATCTAGTAGCCTCACTATCGCTATAAAGCTCTAAACACACTAGTATTATCTATTCAAACTCTTAAAATTAGTGGTAATAGCTCTAAATATCTCAGACTATACTTGCAACCTTATTATCAAGCTTTTTACTACTAGATACTTATACCTTTGTATTACCTATACTATTTAAGCTAACGAATCTACTATCTAGTGTATTAAGCGTAATATAAAGCTTACTAGCTAGATTCGTCTTATTATAGTAGCTAGTCTAGTAAGGCTACTAAATTAAGAGAGGATTAAGATACTACTCCACTACCTTATTAAAAAGCTGGAGCTATATTTAGATAAGATGTGCTAGTTTATTTAGAACGAGTTTAGCAAGATCGCATTGCGGTAGTTACTATCCAAATATCTATAGGAAGCTAGTTAGAGTAGAAAGACTATAAGTTAGTTCTAAGATAGTTAAATAAGTTAGCTTAAATCTAAGATAAGATAGGCTCGTAAGATAGCTAAAGAACGTAATATATAGCTCTATATATACTACTTCTATCTTATATTACGATTTAAGGCCTTATAGCTAGTTTTTATTAATAAGTCTAGTATAGATAAGCGGATAGGGTTTTAAAAAACAAGCTAGTTACCTTAAGATTAAACGCTAATCTACCGCGAGTATTTAATGTATAGTAAACGCTTTTAGATATTACTAGTATATATAATAGAAAGTATTCTAGATACTATAGTCTTTAAATAAATAATAGATACGGCTAGATTTAATTTATAGATAGAGCACTACTTATTACTATCTTATAGGTGGTATCTAGGTAAAACTTAGTTATAGTAATAGATAATATATTCTTTTATTATTTAAAGTCTATCTTAAAGTTATTTAAATAGTATAGTGTTAAGCTTATCTTTCTACTTCTATATTCATCTAGTTTAAACCCTATAGAGAAGTTCTTTATAGAGCTTAAAGTATTTATTATATAGTATTAGCGTCTTTATATTAAAGAGATAGATAAGAGTAATTATTTATTTAAGAGATATCTCTATTAGTATATAGAGTAAGTAGGCTTAGATTGTAGATACACGCGTGTCTATTTTAAGTATTTAATAGTAGATATTAGTGATAATTAAGATTAAATTTAAAGACTTTTTACTCTCTATTAAAGTGGCTTATTTTAGTAGTTTCTACACTGAATTTTTATAGGGCTAATAGAGATCCTGAAGCTAATAGACACGTATAGAAAAGATAGAAGTTAAAATCTAAAACTAGCTCTAAAATCTACTCCACCTATACATTATTTTAAGCTATAAGCTTCTTACACTTAACCTTATTATACTATACCTTTACATTCTTCTTAATAATTCTAGTAATTCTATTCTTAATTCTATATGCTCTAAACTAATCTAGCTATTTCTTTCTTATATAATTAAGCCGAAGATAATTCTCTATAGTAGTAGTATAAATAGCTTTAAATCTAGTACACTAACTCTTATTATTTATCTTTTATTTCACCTAGCTAATATAGGCTCGGAGTTATATATTCTACTTTAGAATTAAATTAACTCGTAGTAGTAAAGATAGTAGTAGTCTAGAATTCTCTATAGTAGTACTATCTATAGAAAGTATCTGCGCCTATAATAGCGGCGGCGGCGGCGGTATTATAGGTATATATAAATATAGAGGTGGTAGAGATAGCTTAAATAGCTAATAATTTAGTTATCTACCGCAAGATCTATACTTAGTAAGATAAAGCTAGTCTAATACTACCGCTAGTAGCATGAACTTAGTAATAATAGTAATCTTTTAAAATAAAGCTATTAGGCATGTGGTAGGTGCACGTGTTTAAACTTATATAATACCTTACCCTTTTATCGAGTAGAGCTCGATACTATATCTTTTTAGGTCGGTACATATAGTTAAGTAGATAAGACTTTAGCTTGTAATAAAAGCCTTAGTCTACACTTTTAGATTAGGAGAGATTAGCTTTATATACTTGCTATTAGATAGCTAGTAGCACTATTTATTCTAATTATTGCAGCTACTATAGTTACACTAAACAGCTTAATAGATATATTAGTAGGATTTAACCTTATTATTAGCGTTATTACGGTTTAACTCTTACTCTAGCTAATTTATTATATTAGTAGATTTTTCTAGATATTTAGTAGCTAGCAGCGCTTATTTATTAAACTTCTATAAGATATTAACACGGAGTATATCAGGCACGTGGCAGGCATATGTGTTTAAGCTTATATAATACTTTATTCTTTCATCGAGTAGAGCTTAATACTGTATCTTTTTAGGTCGGTGCGCTAGTTAAGTGGGTAAGGCTTTAGCTTGTAATAGAGTGCCTTATCTCGAAATCTCTAGCTAAAAGCTTTAAGTATTCTATTAATACGTATTTAGTCTAGATAAATAAAATTGATAGTAAGAATATTATCCTTTATACTCTTAGCTTTAGTATAGATCTTAGCTAAATAAACGACTTCTTTAAGTATCTTATTAATAATCTTAGTAGCTAGAAGCCTCGTTCTTTTATTAAATAGGTAATAGCTCTAGTAGTAAGTTAGATCTATTTTAACGCTTTACTTAGTATCTTTAATAACCTTACAGCCTTTAATCTTAACTATCTAGCTAATATCATATTTAATAATATTAGTAGTAGCTAGTAGTACTAGCGAGTATCTAGAGCAAAGACGCTATAATAATTAGACTAGTTACTAACTACTACTAGTAAAGATTTTATTAATCACCTCTTTAACCTTAATATCTAGAGCGCTTCGCGGTATACTATCCTTATTAAATATATCTTAAACCCCTATAAAACGCGTGAACGGCTAATACTGAATAATAGCAGCACTATAACTCTTTAGCGGCTTATTAATAGCTTACTAACGCGCCTTAATATACCGCTAGACTTCCGCTAGAAGTGTTTAGTCTATTAGATTAGAAGCTAGCGAAGTAGGTAATAGATTAGGTGGTGGAATAGGCGGTAGCTCCTTCACCCTCAACCGTTTGAGTTTAGAAGGCGCAGAGAGTGTCTTTTTGGTGCCTTTGCGCTTGGCCATATTAGGCAGTTTATATAGAGCTTTTCGGCTTCAATTTCAAGAGTTTAAGACGTTTATAACGACGGTGAGGTTATGGGTTGATGGGCTTAAGCGCTGGGTGAGTTTTGGTGGGGCGCGCATAGAAAAACGCTCAACTGACGAGCCGAGCAGGCGCCGAACCTTGGAACGCCTGTAGCTGAGCTTCGAGCTGCGAGCTGCGAGTTTGATGCAACCCACTCTTTGCTCTCGGCATGAGAGCTGTCAGACCGATATACAATCGTCTGCAAACAGCCAGACTTCTGCACCCATCGTCCACGCGCCTTTTCACCGCCTCGAGATGCAGTGTTGCTCTTCAGCAGCGAAAATGGCAAACATCTGCCGCCCGCTCTCCCGCAAATCTACACGCGTCGACCACTCAACGTGCCCACCATAGTAACGCATTCGTAAAAACTAGCGTCAATGCTGGCGAGACAACTATCTATGCTCTCTCCACTGCCCCAGGCAGAGCGGCCATAGCGGTTATCAGAATCTCAGGACCAGCATGTGTTGAGGTATCCTTAACCCAAACACTGTTCGGAACCCGCTGCATTTCTAACATCGAATCCTTCAGATATACCACCGCCTCTGCCCCTCCAAACCTCTCCCCGAACCCCGCCTCGCCGCCCTCCGCACCCTCACCGACCCCACCCAACCCCCTTCCGCAGACACCATCCTCGATTCCAACGCACTGGTGCTCTACTTCCCCTCCCCCCGCACCGCCACAGGCGAAGACATCCTCGAGCTACACGTCCACGGCGGTCCCGCAGTCGTGAAAGCCGTGCTCGCAGCCCTACCGTGCTGCCCTACCTCCCGAGGTCGAATCCGCTACGCCGAGCCCGGCGAGTTCACGCGGCGGGCTTTTCTCAATGGCCGGTTGGACCTGACGCAGGTCGAGGCGCTGGGAGATACACTGTCCGCTACGACCGAGCAGCAGCGACGGTTGTCCGTCAGAGGGACGACGAGTGCGCTTGCGAGGCGGTATGAGACCTGGCGGGCCCAGCTGCTCTACGCGCGGGGGGAGCTGGAGGCGCTGATTGATTTCTCCGAGGATCAGCACTTCGACGAGGCCCCTGACGTGTTGGCCGCGTCGGTCGCTGCGCAGGTCAGTAGACTGAGGAAGCAACTCGAGGCCCATCGCGTCAATGCTGTGAGGGGGGAGCTACTGAGGGAGGGGATCGATGTTGCGTTGCTGGGCGCGCCGAACGCGGGGAAGAGCTCGTTGCTGAATAGGATTGTGGGGAGGGAGGCGGCGATTGTGAGTCATGAGGCTGGTACCACTAGGGATGTTGTTGAGGTTGGTGTTGATATTGGAGGGTGGTACTGTAGGCTTGGTGATATGGCGGGGTTGAGGAAGAGCGCAGTGGCTGGGGTGCGAGATGCGAACGGTGCGGTGGGGAATGAGGCGGCGTCTGGCGTTGTTGGCGCGGTCGAGCAGGAAGGCATTCGACGCGCTAAGCAGCGGGCGCTGGAGTCTGATGTTGTGATTGTCATGACATCTGTCGAGAGCATTGTGTCGGGCCAGTCAGCTTCCTTGGTCGTGGACCCAGAAGTCCAGGAGACTGCAAGAGAATGCTACGAAAACGGTGCTGCTCTACTTGTTGTCGTCAATAAAATAGACAAGATCCCAAAGGGCTTCGAAGCTGACACCCTGGTCCAACCATGGAAGCATGCCATTCAGCGCAAATTCCCACTTGACCAGGAGGAACAGGTCTTCTTCGTATCCTGCAAAGAGGCGTTTGCCCCTTCATCGGACACTGCGGACCCGGGCAACATACAACAGTTTCTCAAAGGACTTATCAGTGTCTTCGCTAGAATCACCTCAGCCATTATTCCGGATCTCGAAGACGCTGCACCCGACCCATCGATGTGGCAAGAGTCTCTCGGTGCGACCGAACGCCATCGTCTACTACTAGAAGACTGCATATTCCATCTCGACAGTTTCCTTGCCGAAGTCCAGCCAAGCTTAGAATTCCCTGAGCGCAGTTCAGAAGGTGATCTCGATGTGGTGGTGGCAGCCGAGAGCCTAAGGGCTGCGGCAGATTGCCTTGCCAAGATCACAGGAAAGGGACAAGTCGGGGATGTGGAGGAGGTGCTTGGTGTGGTTTTTGAGAAGTAAGTGCTAGTTTCGGGCCACAGTAGTCATTTTTTTGCGCGCACAGTATTAATTAGCGCTACAGGTTCTGCGTTGGCAAATGACGATAGCTCTAATCGCTACTCCTGAAACGAGAAACACAAATCTCCAAAACAAAGCTCGACTAGAGGTAACTGGGGCCAGCCCACCATCTACCTCCGCTGAAAAACGCCTGGAATGCTGCCGATGTCGTCGCTGGTCTAAGAGATTTTATAAAACGCCGTCCATGCATCTATCATAAGATCGTCAAAAGAGAAACGCTATCTGCAAAGTACGGGAAAGACATTCAAACCCGCGGCCGTCCCGCGCATCAACGATGGACCTGTTGACGGCTTCATCTGCCAAGCGTGGCCTGCGGGACCCTGCGCCGCGGCTAGTCGTAGCCTCCTCGGCCCGTTGCGGCGGACGTTCTTGCGGTGACAGCGTGGCAGGCGCTAGTTGACCAGTCGTTGATGGCTGCAAGAGTGCGTCGTGATTGTAAGAGAATAAGGGCTCAGTAGGAAGATTTGTGTTGTGCGAGTGATGTTTCTGCATCCGTTGCCGGTGGCTGCGTTGACCCAGGCTCTCCGAATGAACCTCCAGATGCCGATTGTGCAGCTGTGGATATGGACTACCGTCCCATGGAGAAAAAGAATTTGACCTTGGGGGTGCTCGGCGCTTTAGCTGTAGCCACCGTGACCCATAAAAGCGAATGTTTCGTTCGATTGGGTTGTTGGAGTTGGTGTTTGTGTTGCTGAGAGAGGCTATGTATGACGCTGTTCAAACAACGAACGCTCGATGGAGTATGAGATAGAGAACGAGTTGGAAGACGAGAAATCCTGAACGACGTTGACGACGCTCGGCGCTTTAGTTGTAGCCACCGCGACCCATGTGAGCGAAAGCTCTATTCGATTGAGGTTGTCGAAATGGGCGTTGATCTTGATAAAGGAGATCACGTATGACGCTGCTCAACGAGTGAGAGTTGAATGGAAGACGATGAAGTTCGGACGACTGTTCGAAGGCAGTTAACAGAAACGAGTTGAAGCGGTGTTTGAAAGATGGTCGTCCTCTTGGTGATTCCATGGCGGATATATAGGTCACTGCCTAGAGGCCGCACACAAAGCGCAGCAAGTGCAGACAGAAAACGGTCATGCTGGTTAAGGCCCAATAAGAGCACTACATCGCCTAAAAATGAACGAGAGTTCTGTTCTCCGTGAATGCCACAGCCACAACGAGCGGCTCAAGGACAGCCACAACCGCTGTTTGGCGCCGTTTGAGAGGTAAGGCTGATAGAAGCCACAACGGCAGCCATCTACAGTGCTCTGTGCACTTCTGCCCTTGCGAGATGCCGGCAGTCACTGTTGCAGGAAGCCATGCGGTGTTGCATTAAACAGATAATGACGTTGTGGTATATGAAGCGCAAGGGAACAGGTGTTCAGTCTGGAGGCTGCCTGGATCCTCGAACAGCTACTATAGCCACAGCACGGACGCTGGATACAGTCAGGCAAGTGAGCAGCAGACGGAATCTGTGAGGGTTCATCGATAGATGCGGTGCATACATGCTTCTGCACTTTCAGCTCCGGTCACTCACGCATGTTCTGCTTCCAGCGTCTGCTCCGATGCTAGAGGAAGAGCGTACGCTCCAGTAAGTTCAGCACCGCTTCAGCACAGTATCAAACCCCCACCGACCTGCATGTCTCCAGTGCAGGTCCACGCCCGCTAAAAATGCACTGCCATTACCTCTGCTGGATGGCCGACGTCTTGTTACAGAACCAGATGAGGCCTGCAGAAAGGTCGCGCGTTTAAGGTACAGAACTTGCTACAGATCGCTCTAGTAGTGCAGCACACGTTCCTGCATCTGTTAGGGCTGCATCTGCATCTCCCAAGCCGTAAGCGGAGCGCCGTTGCGCCGCGTGCCACTATTTTGGGCTCCCTGGAACGAATGGGAGTGCAAAGGTTGACCGTGGGAAGGATGTGGCTGCAGCTGTCCAGGTGGTTTCGGAACGAACGCTTCCACGTTGGGGTTTGCGGGGGCTGAGACGCAAATAGAATCTTGCGATTAACAGGCACGGCAGGGGCCGGGAGAGAAGCGAGAATGCGGGACCCTCGGACCCTTGTAGGGCTGGGGCTGACTTTGACGGGCACCTCAACGGTGGGGATTGGCATCAGGAAGGGTGGACCTTGAGGCTGTGCTGAAGATTCAGTCCTTGAGGTGTCATGATACAGTAGCATTCGAGTCTCACGCCTCATGGCGTTTCTTAGCCCTTCCATGGTATTCCATGCTACTGATATTTGTCAAGATTACCTAGGTGGGGAAAAGCAGGCAATAAATATGTGATATCTGTGTGCATATGTGGGCATAACGTTTCGAGCTCCACAGCTTTGGGGGTGCAGAACTGGCCTGAGCACCTGCCGCTGGTGCACACAAGAGGTGCGATACATGGACGTTGAGAACGTGGGGCCGAACGCTCAGCGATACATATCGAGTGTGTCTTGCCATGGTGTCAAGGCACGATTGTAACGCTGACGTCCGAATATTGCGAAAGGCCACGATCATGGTTAGTAGGAAGACCTTTACACAAAGGTATTTGTAAGCTGTAACACCAACAGATCAACTCCTAAGACTTCACGTGTTGTTACCTGGAAGGCTTTGCGGACACGACGCCTTGGTTGCTGCACATTACGGATATCATGCTGGAAGAAGCTAAATTTAGAGATTTGCCCCTGAAAAGACGATACAAAACGCCCAGCATGCTCTGCCGCAAAGAGCAAGCGGTATCAATCAGAATGGAAAGTAGATAATACACAGCCTGTAACTCGCTTCCGATTATGCGATGCATTTTCCCGTTCAACTAGAGCTGCGCCCTACCAAAGACCTTCTGAAGCGGGCGCTCTGCTGCGATGAGACAACAACAGACCGGAATTCTCGTTCCAGGCTACGTAAGTCGTTCCAGAAGAGCTATGGCTTCCGCCCTACAGCTAGGACCTAGAGATGGCTGGGGCTCGGGTGTGCTGTCGATGTTCTTACGGACAAGCAAACTGCGAGATGCGAGTGGAGAGACCGTACAGTACTTGGAGCCCAGAGAAGAACCAACGTCCCAAGGGAGGCGGATGCAAGCCAGAAGACTTGTGTCTTTGGTCTCGAGGAACACAATAGCGAAGATTCATGGGTTGGAGCGTGCTGATCAAGTTCAAGTAGATTGAGAGTCACAGATGTTTATGAATGTAGAATTTGTTGTGGCGGGAGTTCGGCGTAGAAGTTGCACAAGAAAACAACGAGTAACAATATAAGTATGGCGAAAGTACCCGCGATTCGAGAAAGCTGCAGCAATACCACTATGCTTTGAACAATGGCTAGGTTAGATTCTGAAATTTGTGCGTAGCGCAGCTGCGTTCATGAGGAACGTACAGTCGTCGAGCGACAGAGTAGCGTATGAACTATAAATGCGCCACTCTTTTTGATACACTTTTGCAGGTGGCCACTCAAGCACTGTACGAGCTAACGTAATACTGCCTTTCGTCAGCCTTCCAACGTCTTCTCAATCAACAGCTGGAGAGTCACTCACCGTCAAAACCGACTCATCCCCACCCTCCTCATTATTCGACAAATAAACATAGAGAATCAAAGCGTGCTCATGACAAAAGCAAGCAATGACCCTCCCCCCCAGCCGTCCCACACTCATCACCTTCCCCCAATCCCTCCCATCAATCCTACACACCGCCCACCCCTCCTCGCTCTTCCCCTGCACATCCCCCAGCTCCTTCATTCTCGTGCTCGGATGCGCCGCGATACCCTCCTCCCCACCCTCAACCTGCCCTGCATCCAATTCCGGATTACTCAACCCGGTCCACACACTCGAGATATTCATCGCGTCGGTCCTGATATTGAGCTTCAAGCACCCATGCATGTTCGCCGCGATCTCGAGCCGCGGGCCCAGTCCACTGGCCACGGCGCTCCGGCCGCCACCTGTGCCACCTGTGCCGCCGTCGCGGGACCCAAGCGCGAGTTTCGTGAAGCGGTCGCTGATACTCTTGAGCTGCATCAGCGGCGGCAGCAGGATATGCACGTCCGGCTCGCGGCACCGCGGCTCGTGGATTCCTTCTACGCTCGCCTGACCGAGGACGCGGATCGGTATATCCTGCGTCACTACCGTTTCTCTTTCCCGGCCGCTGCCTCCGAAGTCATGGCTTGGGCTTGCGCCGTGGAAGTCGTAGCTGTCGTCGCGCGTGTCGTGGGTGCTGCCTGACTGTGCGTGTGCGCCGCCGCCGCCGAATCCGCCTGTCGTGCTGCTGAGCGCATTGCGGTTGAAGGTATTAGTGGTGATGGTCAGGACTAAGAAGGGGAGGTTGGCTTTCTTGGTCAGGCGGATGGAGGCGGAGGTTGCCCTGAGGGCAGACTTGAGGGCGCGGTTGAGGGGGATGAGGGGGACTTCGAGGTTTATGACATTTGCGGCAGCGGACTGGATGGTGTAGTGCTCGAAGATGGTGTCCTGCGACACGCCAATTTAATATTATACTCACAAGTTTATTCAGATTTGGAGTCTTACGATGGAGAGGACACTGCAGGATATGCAAGAGTGAGTCTCGCGCCACATATGCGTGTATGGAGACTTACGCCCACACTTGGGTGCCCTGTTCGGGGATTATGGTGAAGCGGACTTCATGCTCGTCGAGCCGTACCCAGGCAACGGGACCTAGGGAGGCTAGGGAAGCAGTGAACTCTGCGTGGCCTTTAGCAGTTGAAGTAGAGTCAGTGGACTATGATATCCATACTGGTAAAGGTGTGGATGTTCTGGATGGTAGCTTTGAAACGCATGGTTTTGAAGATGGTGAACGCGCACGACGCGTTCAGGCCGCGATCGGCTCCTTGCAGCTTTCTAGTCTGTCGTCGTCGCCTTTGATCGTCTGCGAGCTTCTCCAAGATGAAGTATTCACAGAGTATTGAGGTTTTGGAACCGGGCTATTGCAAGAGTCTCGAGAGGGGAGCCATCAGGGGTGAAGACGGCCTGAGTGATCTGCTTACGGCGCAGAAATATGATGAAGATTCGCTTTCGCTATCATATTCCCTTGGAATTACTCATGGGACATATCATATCCTAAGGGCTCAACTGCTCCATGATCTAAACCATGCCATGATTGACCTGCGCTGTAAATGGAAATTCATTCGCCGGCCCCTCTTTCGGCTTCCAAGGTTATTCCTCTTCGCAATCTCGGCACTTCAACGACTCGCAGGAGTTCATCCACCAGGAGTAACGAAGATGAGACGCAGCAGACGTAAGCATCGAGGTCAAGGGAAGGAAAGCTGTTTTGTGGATCATCTCTGTGACGGATGTTTAGAGCTGCAAACGTCTTACTGATCCGAGGAAGCCAACCCTTGGCTTCAGGGACCAGGTCTTCCTATCATTCTCCTTAGGAGGCGTCCTCGCTATCCAGTCGCGAAATAATCATTAGGTGTGCTCTCCTTATGCGCCTGACCAACCATATCGGTTCAAATCCATGTTCGTGGTATAGGACGCCACGTCTCTGCCTCAAGCCCCTTTCTTCCCGAAATAATTCGTCAGTGTGTTTTTTTGCAGGCTGCCCGTCTCTCTCTTCCCCTTCTTCGTCTCGGTCGCCTCTTCCTTCTCCGGCTTCTCACCAACCCTTAGCGCCCTTATCAGCTCCTCAAATTCCTCCGCTGGCACAATCCCTCCAGACGCCTCGTTGTGCCCCCTCGCAAACGACTCGCCCAGCCGTTCAAGTAAATCCCCTTTCTCGGCAGCTTGAGCAACAGCCTTCAAAATCTCAATGATATTAACAGGCGGATCCCTATCCCGGGCGCACCGTGCAACCCGACACGAGAAGTTGACCATTCCGTCATCGCGGTAGCCTTCATTAGCGCATAGTACGATCTCGAGCTTCCTGGATTGGAGATGCCCGGCCCATCGGGTGGCGATGACGGGATGAACTTGTGCAGGGCTGTTGATGCGAAATACAGCAATTCTGCCGTCGATGGAGAATTTGGGGGCCGTATGGGTGCAGCGCTCGACCTCCGCGTTGACTTCGGCTCTCGCGGCTAGGAGCCTTCTGTTGGTCAGGAGCTCGGAGGGGGTGGATGAGGCGAGGAGAGCGGACCAGGCGGAGGACACGTCGTAGGTGGATGTCCGCCGCGGTGCGTTGAGGAGGGATACCGCGTCGTTAATGGCTTTCTTGGTGTATTTTTTGAGAGAGGCGGTCATGTCTGGGAATGGGGGAGACCACTTGATGGTATTGCCTAGGTCCCCGTGGGTGCCCATGACGCACAGCCAGTCACAGGATTCTTGGATGCCTTCATGCAGGGGAAGGCAGAGCTCGTAGGTGAGCAATGAAGAGGTGGCTACAGGCGGTGAATTGCATGCTGTCACAAATTTAGCTCCTTCCGGAAAGTTGGAGGAGGAGGCGGCGTAGTGGTGGTCGATCACGAGAGCCTGGTGCGGAGAAGGAATCAAAGGAGGAGAGTGCCGAGAGCCTTGATCAAGGACAAAGATATAGGACGGCGAGAGCTTGGTCATGGTCTCGCGCTCGACGTCGTCGTGAAGGCTGTTACCTTTGGCGGGAAAGTGAACGGAAATGAGGTCTGAGGAGAGCCCCAGAAGCGTCAACGTCCGATACAGGATCACACCTGAAGTGAGTCCATCGGCGTCCTTGTCCGGGCAGATTAGAGTCTTCTTGTTTGAATTGGCACTGCAGAATGTCAGAGAATGGAACCGCGTCCTTAAGCGCTGCATTCACTGCCCATACCATTGAACTATGAGTCTTCTGGCTTCTGCCATCTGGTCTTTGGGTGCCGGCCAGATGATCTCGCCATCAACATCACGAAGCGACGGGGTAAGGTGATAATCTGGGATCTCAGGTCGAGGCTTCTTCGCTTTAGGCGCAGCTTTCGATGTTGGCGCAGAACGCTTCATGGTCGTAGCGCTTCGTGAGGGCAGCTTGGATGACAAGAGGAAGGATGATGGCGGGGGAGAAAGTAATGCTCGTTTGGCAATGTGGTATGAACCGGGAAAGGGAACGTGTGTCTTTGTACATGCGGCTTTGACAAAAGTACCATGCAGACACTTCATGACTTCAACCAGGGTTCAATACCTAGGTACAGAGATGCGTTCGTTGCGGCTGTTGATGCTTCAAGCAAAGAGAGACGCGAGCTTCGGCCATGACGTCGTGGATCAGCCTTTGCCAGCCTTCCGTGCGCAATACGTAGTCCTCCCGCATGAACGAGAACTGGGTGCAGGTACTAAAAAACACGGGTCCATAGCCTGTACTACGTACGCAACTACGAAGTCGAAGGACGCGGTTGGAGACGCTCCTTGGAGAGGGCATCCACATGGCGCTGGTGCGCTTGGGCAACCTGGAACGTCTCCAACGGGACGACCCGATCCACCAGATCCAGCAATCTTTGGCGCAGGCTCCCCGTTTGGTCGGACTTTCCTTTACCTTTCTCACGACTGAAAGAAATTGGGCAGCGGTAGCAGCATTTAGCGGCACAAAGTTCGGGACAGAATATAGTAGGCCATTTGTACTCTAACTGCTGTATACATAGTCCAACAGAAGGGTATAAGTCTCAGTCGAGGTGTTTTCTGCACAACCGGTCGTCAAGCATTACCGCAGAACAAGGTCAAAACAGCTCTAGAACCTCGACTCTTCATCAGTCAAAAGACCACCTCGGTTAGTTCTCAGCAGCCGGTGCTGGGAATCTCGCCCGCCACCTCTTGCCATAAACCTGCGTTGCTACAATGGATATAATTGCGCCAGCGACGATAGCAGCTTGGCTGCCGAAGGTGATGGCGGGACCATCATGGTGCGCCCACTTAGCTTGGAAGTAGATGACAGTGAAGCCGCCTGCAAAACGATTGTGTTAGCACAAGCCAGCCCCACTCGTACCTCGAGCGGAGGATACTTACCAACTACACGGAAAGCATTAATCCATGACGAAGCCAGCGCCGCATGCTGAGGGAAGACATCAAGCACATACGCCGAAATAGCGACGGTTGTGCCCAAGGTCGAGAAGCAGTTCAGGCCCCAGCCAAACGCGACGCCAATCCAATGCAAATGGTGCTGCAGTGACTGGCCGAAAACCACAAGGCCAATGATGCCGAGGATCCACGCAGGATAGACGCCCCACAGGCGGTTCTCTGGCTCATATTTGCCGCCGTGCTTCTTGGTGTAGCGGTTGCAGAGGAAGTCGTTGAACCAGTGTCCCCAGAACTCGGCAGCGACGGTGCCAAGCATGGGAGCTAGGAAGAGTAGAGCGACAGCTGTGTGGGAGAAGAGATACGGTGGAGGCACGACGAAGTGGGTCACCGTGGAGACAATGCCGATGGTCCACATCGTGATAAAGGTGACGAATCCGAAAGCTACGTAACCACCGAGTCAGCCTATTACTCGATTACAGTTGAGTACGAGCTGACTTACTGGGCAAAAGGAGGTATGGTCGCAATAGCAGCGAGTACTGGTCCTTGGTCACTCTCCAGATAGTCGGCCTGCCCGCGCACTCGCGGAAGCCAGCAATACCCAACAAGAGACTTGTGCGGCGTCCAAAGCCGCTTGACGATATGCTCCTTCGGCCGTCCCGGTCGTAAAGGGTCTCGTCGCCAAAGCAGATCACCATGAGAACCGAGAAGGCGTAGAAGCCACAAAGGACACCGAAATTCTCCTTCCACCAGAGCTTCTCTGCGATGAAAGCCGAGATGAAGGGCCCGAGGTACGGACCGATCAGGAAGCTGAAGGCCCAGATATTGATTTTCCGGGCGCGCTCGTGGAAGAAGAACATGTCATGGATCATGGACAGCCTGTAATATCATAAGTCAACAAGGGCTTTTTTGGTGCTACGCCACAGGTTGTTGATCATGGAAAGGTACCCTATAACTTGAGGCGGAGCGCCGAAGAAACCTTGAAGCGTACGGCAGGCTGTAAAGCTGGCGTAGTCGGGTGAAACGGTCGCGCCGATGGTGAAGACCAGAGTGAGGAGCTGTGACCAGAACAGCACGGGCAGCCTTGACAATGAGGTCAGCGCGACTGGAGCCGTATTCTACGGCCATGCGTGTAGCTCACCTTCCGTATCGCTGACAGAGAGGGACAGCAAGGAGACCACCCGGTCCTTGCATGAAGATGGAGCCAGACATGGACTGGGCAACAGCTGGGACCTTCATATGCCAGTCCTTGGCCTGCATCTCAAACAGCGTCGAGCCCCATGTGATGACCCAATCCGTAAGGAAGCAGCCCGGAAGCAGGGCAGCAAAGACTGTGTGTTTCTTGACCCATGACCAGTTCAGAGGATCGTTTGGGTCGTCTGAAGGCTGTGGGATGAGGATCGTCTTCCCATCGGCTGTCGTCTTCAAGCCGTTTGGAGAGATGGTGCCGCTCTCAAGGGCAGTCTCTGGGATTTCCTTGTCGACGATGTAGGTGCCGTCCCGGCCATCGAGCTGGTCTTTCTTGAGAACTGGTGCGTCCATTGCGCTTGGGTGCCAGAAGTAAGGTTGTTTTGCGTATGCCTCAGATCTAGCGAACGGCTCCTCCGTTCGCGGGACGCGATATCACTCTCTTTATAACTTCTATTGCCGTGTGTGCTGTGGAAGGCTTTCTTGTCCGACGTCTTACAGGCCCCCCGTCTGACAATCGGCCCCATCCGGCACCTCCATGCAGAAAATGGTAGCGAATGCGCGTGTTCCTGGCCGTCGGCTGAGAGGCCGTAAGGCTTGTCGCACACTCCAGCGCTGAAAATATGGACGCAACCAATCAGCCCAGAGCTCTGTATTACGCTTGACCGCTGCCTCAGCTATTGTCAGCAGCAAAAGCGCTGTACGGCTGTTTAGCTGAGTGTTCTCTCACGGACGCACAAGTCGAATCCTGAGGTAACGGTCGGAAAATACCTACCTGGAGATCTTTACCGTCGGCGGTGACAATCGCATCCGGAGCGCCAAGAACGGAGGTTGGTCGTTGTCCGTCCAGTCGCGACGGACCCAGCATCTGCACCTGCGAACTTGGCTGGCACGGCTGGCTGCACGATGGCCACAGACTGGGTTGGAATGGTTGGTGATAGGTCGCTGGACGCCACGGCGATGTGAGACGCTGCATGGATGGTTCCCGGAAGCCACGGCTCACCACACGGGGAGCCGAAAGTAAAATGCCACCGCCAAACACCTGACGGCTCTTTGCCAGGGACGAACATGGAATCTGAGGTTTCTACCGGAATTTGAGGTCACGATGCGGAATCGCAGGATTCAATTGATTATGCTACTCCGGGCCGCAGGCTTGGAGCTCCGTCGCCAATCCAATCCTAGGTTTCGGCATTCTTTTCGCCGCCAGGCGACTGTCGCGAAGCGACCGCGACCGCGACCATTCCAGAGTGTAGACAGTAGTTGTTGCAAGAGCAACTCGACGACAAAAGATCGTCGAGCTGTGGGTCCCGTCTTCTCGTTCCGGCCCGCCCCCAAAAAGCACAAGCCAACTGGGGGTTTCGGCTTCCCCAACTTCCACCTCACAAGCATCATGACGTTGGGAGACAACCTCAGCAGGCACAACAGAAACGCCTTGCCGGTTGTCAACAACATCGTGTCAAGTGCAAGATGGCCTACTGCTTTGCAGCCCCTACGATCTGCTGGTATGGCCCATGCTCCGCGACCAAGAGGCTCAGGAGCTTATTCCGCCTTCAGAGAATAGTCCCCATTCTTGGAAAGAAGAGAGATGGTACCACCAACAGAGGCCGTGGAAGCAACCGTGAGTTGATGTTGTCGGCTCGGTGTTCGGTCCAGACGGCAATCTCATGTCCGAACATGTTCGAGAGAGAGTACATAGTTGAAGCTCATCAGCGACGGGGATTTCATAGAGCGAAAGCACATTGCGACTGGTGGCTCACCAACTCTTTTGTCGTCTTTGGTATAGTCACAGAGACGTGGTTATCGAATCCGAAGTGGCATTGTAGCGGTCACGTGGTGGTCGTGGCGAGAGACGTAGACTATCAACTATAAGCTATCATGATGAAAACCGGCAGATGACGACTCCGAGGAGCTTCCAGCTGGTCAGCCGTGGGCCCACGCCATGATGTATTACTATAGGTAACTCACGAGGATGGGTTTGGTCACGATCACTATCAGTGCTAATATGTAAGAATTACCACGATAAACAAGGATGACGATGAGAGAGTGAGAGCGCCGCTCTAAAGAATTGCACTGAATATGAGTACTACAATGCTGTGAGCAAGGAATCGTCGATGGAGTCCTTTCATTTCGGAAAAGGAGGCCCTGGTCCTGCAAGTGTGCCATCTTTACACCAAGTCTCAACTGTCTACACCAAGAAAGCATAGCCTAGTAGCGGGCCCGTCTTGACGAGTGCCATGGCGGATAGGTATGATATAACTATCATTGACGGTATTGTTGCGACCGACACTGAAGTCGGGGAGGACGATATTGCTATAAAAAATAGCAAGATTGAGTAGGTCAAGCCACGAGGAAAACTTCAGTTGGATGCCGCAAGGTGTATCGATGCTTAGGGAGGTTATGTGATGGTGAGTCATGTCGGATAGCGCTGGGATACCAAAGTACTACATAACGAACGTTCGAGCTGGGGGGTGTTGACGCCCATGTTCATCTTGAAGAACCGCCATTGTTCGGCAAAGGTTCAACAGCAGACAACTTCGAGACAGGAACTCGCTCAGCTATGGCCGGCGGCACCACGACCATCATCGCTTTTGCGCCTCAGCAAAAGAGCGAGGACACCCTCCTTGATACCTTATCAGCTACTCATGCGGAGGCTAATAAGCAATGCTACTCCGATTACTCTTTCCAACTCCTGGTTTCCAATCCTTCATTTAAAGCACTGGACAAGTTCAAGATCCTCCGCGAACATGGCATTTCATCCCTAAAGATCTACATGACATACGCTGCGCTCCAGCTCCAGGACGATCAAATCTTAGACGTATTGCTCGGAGCTCGCCGACAGCGCATCACGACGATGATCCACGCCGAGAACGGCCAAGTGATTTATTGGATGACTAAGAAGCTAGAAGAGAAAGAACGTTCGCGCCCAAATACCATGCTACTTCGCACCCGCCTATTGCAGGAGTAGCAGCTGCCTACCGAGCCATTAGCCTCAGCGAGTTCATCGACACCCCTATCCTGATTGTCCATGTATCGACTCCAGCAGCTGCAAAGCACATCCGTGAGGCGCAAAATGAAGGCTTGCCTGTGTATGCGGAGACGTGTCCGTAGTACCTCTTCCTGACGAAGAGAGATCTTGACAGGCCCGGTTTTGAGGGTGCGAAGTGCGTGTGCAGTCCGCCGCCGAGAGAAGGCAAACAAGACCACGAGGGCGTCTGGGAAGGTCTCAAGGACAGTACATTCACTATTCTGCCGTCCGACCACTGTCCCATCACCTAAGAGAACGCTGTAAATGGGAAGAAGACGGTCTTGAGCAATGAGTTCCCGGTTGGCCACTTCAAGTGCAGCCCGAACGGTTGTCCCGGCGTGGAGACGCGTCTAGCGCTTGCTCTGTCTGCTGAGCGGCTATCGCTGCAGAAGTTTGTCGAAGTGACATCGGCTAATGCTGCAAAGCTGTATGAACTCTATCCGCGGAAGGGCGCTTTGATCCCAGGAGAGAGTGATGCAGACCTTGTGATCTGGTATCCACCCGGTGTGCTTGGGGAGCTGCAGCTGATGAACGAGATGCTGCACCACAATGTCGACTGCACACAGTATGAGGGAATGAAAGCAGGACAGTGGCCTAGGTATACGATGTTACGTGGAGAAGTGGTGTGGGATCGAGATGGAGGAGGCCTTGTAGGCATAAAGGGGTACGGTCAATTCTTGAGGAGAGATGCAAGCTCCCTGGCTGGTAGCCCCTCGAAACAGGACTGGGACATTACGGGGCAATGAGAACAACGAAAGCGATCTACTCATGCATCTCGAATATCACATCGAACAGCACTCGACAGGCTTACTGAAGCGGGTTGACATTTCTAGACTGCGACGTTTAGTTTAAAACTTCTGCTCAGCAGTCATAAGCTGCAGCCTATGAAAACGCAGGAGTGAATTTGGCCACAGCACCCTTACTTGAGCGGCTCTATGATGAACCTAGCTTCAATACAACAACATATAAGCGTTACTGCGATATACAGGAACCAGCCCGGATGACAGAAGTCGTGACAACTCAGAACCGCGAACTCTTGGCGCCCAGAATTTCGCCAAGATCGTTGCTGCGGGATACAGCTGCACGTTTGAGACCACCATTTAGACCACATTCGCCGAGCAGCTCCAGAACAACCTCTATACAAGCCTGAGAAGGACAACTAACCTTCGATCAGCAGCGCACAACCCCGTTCTCGCGTTCCACCTCCACTTCCCACCTCCCAAACCTTACCGGCGCACAATGTCCTCCTACCTAACATCCCTCTACACAACCACCACATCCCGCTACGCCTCCCTACGCCGCAATCTCCTCTCCTCGGAAGAAGACGGTGACACCGAAGACGACTCGCACATCTCCCGCGTCCTGCGCGCCTACTACACCGAAAAAGGCCGTCCCTTCCCGCCATGGCTGCCTCCCGACCCCAGAGCCCCCCAAGCCCAACAAGCGCCGGCGGCAATCGCCAGCCGGCAAGGGAGTGTGGGAAGAGGCTCAGGAAGCGGAAGCGGAAGCGGGCTGAGCGACCTATGGGACTCACCTGGGCAAGGCCAGGCACAAGAGCCCATGAGTCTGCGACGCGGAGCGCCTGTGAGGGCTGGGGCGCGACAGCCACAGCCGCGATCGGGCACACAAGAGCCGCTCGAACAACAGACGTCTAGGCCGCTGCCGAGCCAGAAGGCAGGAAGTCTGCAGTCCCAGTTCTCCGCTCCGCAGCGACAGGCGGCGAACCCGTCACCTCCTCCATCAAGCGGGTCGGGGACGACGGCGCAGGAAAGGCTCAAAGCGCGGCTGTGGGGTAGTGCGAGATCGGGGAGCCCGACGGGGAGTTCGAACACTCAAGGGACGGGGAGCGCTGCGAGCAGTCCAGGGCTCAGTCAGGTTGGGTCGAGGAACCCGCTTGAGCAACGAGGTGCTGCGCCGCCGTATCCAGACGATAGGGGTGCTGGTGGAGGCGCGGCGGCTGGGAGTCGGGGTGCGCGGTTTACGGGTGCCAGGAGTCCTGCGCCGCCTGGTGGGAGATACTGATATAATCTCCCCTCCCAGACAAACGATGGTAGACTTGTCAGATGGCTTGGAACAACGAGGCAGCTACGGACATGACGGCGGCGTTCTTGCATTTGCTTGGATGTTTTACTCGAGCGTTCAGCGGGGGCATACCAGGGCGTTTACAGTGGCAGTGGAGTCAACTTCCTAAGGGTACATGCGCCCACCGTATCTTAGGGACTTGATCGGCAACTTCCGTCTTCCAACGCGCCCTCTTCGTCTTTTAGTGAGGATTGAGCTTCGAAGCCCAACAGCGTGCAGTTGGATTCGTGTGTGCTGCCATTCTGGGCGGGCCCGCCACCACAGCCGCGCACGCGCCACGCAACCGTCATCGTCAACTGACGACCACACCCCGCGTCTCAGCTCTCTCAGTACGAGAGCGACCTGAGTAACGCCGCTGCAAGCTTGCGCCGGTATATCAAACCTCACCTGGCGCTCAAGCTTCCTTGGGCATATATCTTACTCCTCCTTCTCATGCTTGGTCTGTTATCGGGGCCCGTTTAATCTGCCGTCTAGTCGCCCGCCAAACACCGCCGTAGGGACGCCATGGCATCGCCGCAGAGTCCACCGTCGCCCAGCGCAAGTTTCTACGATATGAGCGACGACGAGGAAGGGGAGTACAACACAATAAGACACACAAGCAGCGGGAAGGGTGTTAAGCTTCTTTACACCAAGAGCAAGGTCAGCCCACCATATACTCGTCCCACCAGCAGACGCTGCAGGTATCAGCGTACGCAACTGAGGGTTACAGAACCTTATACTAACTCCTGAATCCACAGGTCTACGTGCATCCAACTCCGTCAGCAAAGGACAACATCCCCGGCTTCATCGCTCTAGTCCAACAAAAGCCATCCCGCGCCTCCATCTCTAGCCCCGACCGCCCAACCTCCTCCTCCTCAACCCAAACCATCGCCGCCTCCAACCTCCTCCTAACCTGGATGCCCGAGTCCTCCCTCGGCAGCGCCCACGACATCTACGTCAAAGTCGACCTCTCCGACAGCTCCTCCCCCCCCAAACGCTCCTACCTCGTGCCACCACCCCCCATAGCCACGAGCCATAGCTCCTCCCTCGGCACCTACGCCTTCGGCGTCCCCGTCTCCGAGATATACAGCCTGCTCGTGCGCCCACCGAGCCTCGGCTGGTGGTTTGGCAGCGTGGTCATCAACACTCGCGCCGGCGAGTCGTTCCCGGCCCTCTTCTTCCACGACTCGGAATGCCAGTCGACGATCCTGCAGCGCAAGAAGCTCGCGCGGGAGAGCTTCGATCCGTTTGGCGATGGCGGCGGCATGTTTTGGGGCGGGGACGAGGTGCTGCGCTGGCTTAAGCGCTATGTGACCGTTGTGAGGAGTGGTGCTGAACCGAGCATTTACCTCATCGAGCCTGACGAGGCAGACAAGACGAGTTTTGGGCCGAAGCCGACAACGGAGAAGGTCAAGAAGATGCTAGAGGGGGACAACAAGCAAGAGAGCTCAAGAACTTCGCCGGCGACGAAGAGGGATGCAGGTATGGATCCTGTCACTAAGGCGCTCAAGGAGGCGAGGTGGAATTTCTTGGAGAAGCTGAGCCAGGTCACGACGTTCACGCGGCGCACGGCGCAGGCTGTGGCGGATAACCCGAAGGTTCCGCCCCAGGTCAGGAGGTTGATGAAGAACCCAGAAGTTCAGACCCTGCAGGAGGAGTTCGACAGCGCAAGACTGTACTTAGCGAGATGGGCGATGGGCATCGCAGAGCAGAGCGAACGAGAGAGGAACCAGAGAATCTGGACGGCCAAGGACGTGCTGGAGATGGAGGAGAGTGCAGTCGGCGAGTTCGAAATACTGGACATGGAGGCGGGCAACCTGTCGCTTTCCGAACGGCGGAAGCCGGTCACGATCAAAGAGTGGAATGGGTGGTTCGATGCGAAGAGTGGCAGATTGCAGATCACGCCTGACGAGGTGAAGGAGCGAATATTCCATGGTGGTCTGCATCCAGAAGACGGGGTCAGGAAGGAGGCTTGGCTGTTCTTGCTCGGCGTGCATGAGTGGAACAGCACCAAAGAGGAGCGGCTAGCGAGCTTCAATAGTAGAAGGGATGAGTACATCCGATTAAAAGGTGGCTGGTGGGAGCGGATGGTCGAGGGCCACTCCACCCCAGAAGAGGCCGAGTGGTGGAGGGAGCAGAAAAACAGAATAGGTATGTTGCTCCACAACCCACCTGCAGCAAATCATGGGAGACTGACTAATCCCCATCCTTCGGGGTTCGTGCTATAGAGAAGGATGTGCACCGAACAGACCGCAATATCGAGGTCTTCGCGGGAGAGGACATCCCTCACCCCGATCCCGACTCGCCTTTCGCAGAGGTCGGCACGAATGTGCACCTTGAGCAGATGAAGGACATGCTCCTAACGTACAACGAGTACAACAAGGACCTTGGTTACGTGCAGGGCATGAGCGACCTTCTCGCGCCCATTTACGCAGTGATGCAAGACGACGCAGTCGCCTTCTGGGCTTTCGTTAACTTCATGGAGCGCATGGTAAGCCTTCCATCATCGCTCCATCTACTACCACTAACCCACCACCAGGAACGAAACTTCCTCCGCGACCAATCCGGCATGCGTCTCCAACTGCTTACGCTAGACCACCTCGTCCAACTCATGGACCCGAAACTCTACCTGCACCTCCAATCCGCCGACTCGACAAACTTCTTCTTCTTCTTCCGCATGCTGCTCGTGTGGTTCAAGCGCGAGTTTGAGTGGCTCGATGTTTTGCGCCTGTGGGAGGGTCTCTGGACGGACTGGCTGAGCAGTAATTTCCACTTGTTCATCGCCCTGGCAATACTGGAGAAGCATCGAGACGTTATTATGGAGCACCTGCAGCGGTTTGACGAGGTGCTCAAATACGGTGGGTGCACACCTTACTGGCCGAGTTTGATGGATGATGACGTATTGACGAGGCAACAGTCAACGAGCTCTCCGGCACAATCGACCTCCAAACCACACTCGTCCGCGCAGAGGCGCTCTTCCGCCGCTTCGAGCGCACCGTCCAGACCATCGACAAGAAGCACAATTTCCCCAGCCCTAGCGTGAGGCAACGGAAGCCGGAGCAACAACCCTCGTCGCCGTCGCCAGGACCGTCGCAGAATGGTGCCGCTGCTTCTTCCTCTAGCACTGACAAGGATAAGCAAAGCGTCGGCGACGCAGTGGCCCAAGGCATCGGTGCCGAGAAGGAGAAGGTGATTAGCCCTGAGTTGAGGAATTTGCTCAGTAGGAAGGTCGAGAAGCTGGATAAGGCGGAGGTCAGGGCGCATGGTGGTGGGGTAGGGACGTGATGTTGCTGGATAATTGGGGGCTGTGTTGGGAGGGCGATTGCGGCGTATACTTGAAGGAAGTGGTGCTCGACGGGCGGCGTTGGCTGGCGCTTTCTGTGGCGAGATATTGGCGATTGAGACGCGCTTTTGCTGCGCTGTTGAAGTGTCGGATTGTTACCTGCAGCACACGGATATTCGACTCAGTCTCTTGTAGTTGGACTTAGGGTTCACTATTATTTTGCTTGAGGGCCATGTTGACACAATTCTGAGCCCTCGTGTAGTTGCGCTCTGGAATCTGAGCTCTTTCCTCTCCAATCCAGATCATAAACCCCCGAAGAGCTTGCTTGGGCCCTTTGGCAGATAAAGTACTTCTACGCTGCGGTTCTCAAACATTGGACGCAGGAGAAGCAGGAACAGCGGCGGGACTGGTTATTCCCAACGTAGTAACCGATCATACTACTCGGCCACGATCCTATACTTCGCGCACACACTCTTGATACGGGCGTGCAGCTTGGCAAAGCTTGGGCTTACTCCGAAATGCTTACAGCGCTCGATGCTTCCGCGCAGGCTACTTAGGTGAATGCCTCAGCAGAGGTACGCACCATGACAGACTGCTGTACGCGTGGCTGGAACTCCTGTGATCCACTTGAGGGACTTGTAGGGTAGGCTTCTGACGCAGCTGTGCTCCTCTTCACGGGCTGTCAGCATCAGATCCGTCTCCAGGCCCACTCAGAACCTCCCCAGCTTTGGCCGCCGTCTTCTTAGCCTTCTCTTTCTCCTTCTTCTTGACCTTCTTCTCCCTATTCCTCTTCGTCCTCTTCTCCCTTTCTGCCGCCTCCCTCTCCGCAGCCGTCCTGGTCGCCGCCGCTTTCTTCTCCGCTTCCACTTGCGCCTTCTTCCGTAGCGCAATGCGGTGCTTCTTCCCAATTCGCTTCCTCTTTCCCACCCCCGCGCCTCGCTGTGTTTCTTCGGTAGTGCTACTCCTGACCTTGCTAGCAGCTGAGACGGTAGTGACTTTCCATGCATATGCGGAACCGGGCCATGGGCTGCGCGACCTCACAATCACGCCGTCTCCGCTCACCGCAACACTCTCGAGGCGCTCCAATTCCGCAGTGGATAGGTCCCCAGTGAAGTAATAGCTCGATGGGCGATAAGGCTGTACAAAACCCGACGCGGCATTGTCTAGCGAGGGGGAACGCAGCCGTATTTTCTGGGGGCCGCTGGTCGTGACGGTGGTGGGAGTGGCGAAGAGGCGGAACTCGAGCTCATCTCCGCTTTGTTCGTGGTTGTTTCCATTGTTCTGGGGTTGTGCTGAACGGTCGATGGCGTCAAATTTATGCTGGACTCTGGAGCGTAACAGTTCGGTTAGGGCTGGGTCGGGCGACGAGCGTGGGGAGGATTGGGGAGAGTAGAGCTCTGCGCGCCGTATGCTGGATGTTTAGTCAGTTGGCTGTAATACATAGAGCGGAGAGTATAGTACCGCTTGGCTTCTTGTAGGCCGAACATTGAAACAGGTCAAGGGTGAGAATTGAGAACCTTTACCTCAAGGATGAGGTGGATGAGGGATGGGGTTGGCCCTGTGGCTGAGTAAGCGGATCTCTTGGTTGGCGGGCCGAACCGAAGCTGGAGCATGCACGTGCACATACATGCAGGTACCCTTAATCCCGCGTGGCCTCGGAGGTTTCGTTCGACTTCATTGAAACTCAACGGTAGCTACTGGTCGATTACCACAGCGACTGTATGCCTCGCCCTTCAGACCGGTTCTGTGGGCGAGAGTTTACCTTGAGATGCTCGACCATGGATTCCGCTTACTAGCTCATTTCCAGACCATATCTACTACCACCGAAGCGTCCAACCACGGACGAGTAGATTATAATCCTTCTCAGCAACCCCACCACCGGCATATGCAAGCATCATCGGAGGGTTGTCTATATAAACGGCTACATCCTACTGCAATCCATGACCGAGATTCCATCTAAATGGGAAAAACAAAGTAAAGGCATTGCAGCATCGAGTGTTGTTGTCCTGAACCCTGCTGATATCTCCCCCCAACCCTCCAGTATCCCCTACCTTCAATTGCAGTGTTACCGTTCAGGCCACCTGACCCCGCTCTTGGCCATCGTTGGTCGAGCCACTAAAACGGTCTCTCAGAACCTTATTCTCATCCATGTGGCCTGATTGTTGAGATCCGGTGAGTGATTGAACCGTCCGCTCGGGCGCCCTCAAAAGTACTTAGATCCCCTCGATCCCGCTTCCTCTCGTTTCAAAACTTTTCTCCAAAACTGCAGAGAAATCATCGCTTCAAGCAAGCATCACTTGAAAAATAACCACACTTCGAAAAATCATCATTTCAAAGCAACCATCACTCCGAACAACTGTTCCTCCGAAGTAACCATCGAGCCACCATCAGCAGCCTGTCGACGTTCTCAAGTTCGAAATCTCAATACAATCAACTGCACTTGCTCCGCTCGCGAATTCATCATCCCTCGACCAATCGCTCTTTCGAAGCTACCAGCACTTTCTCACCACACTCAGCTCCACTTCCAATACGACAATCGCTATGTCTTCATTCGTGGAACAGCCAACTCTTGGATCCAATGGCCAACCCGTGGTCGCTCCTTCCCACCAAATACTCCGACTTGCTACCGTGCAACAAGAACCACCAAAACACTCTATTTTCCTTGGGATTCCACTCGAGATCCGTCACATCGTATATGAGCTGGTACTCGATGGTTCATCATTGGTGGGCCGACTTCATGGTCCCTTGGAGTCAGACGAAGACATGCATCATCAAGTCGCGAGGGGTCGGAAATGCCAAGAAGAACACGATGCAGGCCGAGCGACCACTTACGCACGACCCTCGACTATCTGCAACAAAACTCGCCCAACACACGCACAAGCAAAGCCTCAAGTAACGGAGATCTCACAAAAGTCAAGCGAAACCGAAGAACATCCCCATGCGCTCCTCCACGTGTGCCGTCAGACTTATGAAGAATACGCACCCTTCGCATACAAAGGAGCGGAATTCACGTTCTGCATCACCAGCAAAGATTATACCCAACCCAGCATCCTGTTCGCTCCGCCCGCGCTTCTAGACAACCTGTATACCGTCGACGTGGAACTCGACGTCGAGGGCATCCCGATGTGCCATCGGGAAGAACTGATCACCCTTATCCAACGCTGCGCGCTCCGTTTCAAAAAACTCAGTCACCTCGGCTTGGTATCTTGGGGCTGCGTAAACAGACCGAACGACGCCGACTGCTCGTGCAACAACCACTGCGACTTCTCTACGCCGCAGTATCTGAAAGAGCTTGCAAGAATGCCAAGGCTGCAGACTTGCGTCTTGGAGCGCGGTGCAGTGGCGTGGCACTACTCGAGGGAGAATGCCGACGAACCTTTCATTCCGGAGTTCTTCATACTGTAGCCTCGAGCTTGAGCGGCTGGACCAGTGTGGCGGAGTAGGATGGATATCACTTGCGGAGTTGGATAGAGGACGCGCGTGAAAGACTTCTTTGGCTTCACGACGCATCAAGTCACTCACTGTATGATAGTTTCAAGCTTAATACCACTCGTTTTGTTCTCCGTGTTGTTCCTGATGCCTTCTGTGATCGCGATATTATTACCGTGATCGTCATATGCTAATACCAAGGGCGATTCGAAAAGCCTGTTACCGCATCAAAAGCCTCTCGTAGCCCTGGCAGTGGATAAAGCAAGAGTACGGTCTACAGACCAAAGACACTTTTGGTGATTGATGTATTAAGGAGCTAAACTGGTGTACGCGTTCTACTTTTCTATCGCGTGAAATTGGTCTAGTTGCTCTAAGATTAACAAGATTATGAGTCCAGTTTAATTGCGAATTTGGCGTCGGATAATCTGGAGCAAGGATGGCGCAGCGACCTTTTCGAGTTGTCCTTGTGCCGCGCTACCGCGATCGTGCACGACATGGTCACCCGAGTCCTATACCCAGACTGCTTGTCTTTCACAACATCGAGTCTGGAGGACATGCGGATCCCCAGGAGGAAAGGCTCGGCCAGCCAGACCCAAGTTTCGACTACGAACTTCTCGATTGAACCGACTTTGATATACACTACTAGAGCTGGCGGCTGCTCCCATTCAGAGGCTCAGAGCTATGATGCCGTTGGATGTATGACTGCGACTCGAAGTGCTGATCAATTGGTGCCCCCACCAAGGCAGGCTCGATCTACCCGCCTGCTTATTGTGCTGGTCTTGTCTGAGAACGGGGCAGAGCCTACCTCTAGTCGACCAGGAGCGTCAAGCGCCATCACCTTGTTCAGCGAACAAGACTGCGTCGCCATGGCCGAGCCGATCGACATCAACCGCACCCAGCACGTCCGGAACCGCTAGACTAAGGATGTCGGCTTCCATAGCTCCAAGTACACAATCAACCACATGCACAGCCACTTCCACAGCCGCCGTTGCCACGTCAAAATCCGGCAGGGTCAGAAGTGCCAGAGCCCTGCACAGAAGGGTACCTGCCGCAATACCGACGAGGGCCTTCCGGCTGGCGTTTCCGTTTGATCGCACAGCTAAATTCTCTGGCCTCGTTCGCAGCTACATGGTTGTGTACGACTAGCCCAGGCCTGAAGTCTACACGATACTCATGGTCTTTAAGGTGACCAGGCGCGACGTGGAATACTGAGTCACTGAACGGATGTTGCGTTACCTAGTCTTGAGAGACGTCAAGTGTTTTGCAATCCAGTATCATGGAGAGCAATAGTGGTGCCTATCTTGGATGAGTTTCTGGTACTCTGAGCGGGAGGCGGATGGAATCGACTCATTATGTGGCTGCCTGACAGGTTGGGAATCATTGTGGATTTAGATGTTCCTATAGTCATGGTAGAAGTGTATAACGTGAGTGATAAGTCAATACATACCTCGGGCTCTGCTTGTTCCAAAGTGATCAACATGTTTTTCTCAAGCAACAAAAAGTAAATCCGGCAATGACTGGAGACTTCGTTTTGGTTCGTTTAGGTCACCAGACACTGTAGGCGGCCTGTTCCTGGGAGATGAGGTGGAGCTAACAGCTCCATTTGGCTTGCCACCCGGTCTGATATCAGAAACTGCTTACAGCCGACTGCGTGTTGCCTATGACAATGATAGTTGCTTTGTCACCGGGCAAGGACTAAGATATAGGTGATTTCGTGAATCTTCTACTACCCGGAATCTTCTACTACCTGCTCTAGGACCGTACATAGCACTTGTTGGCTCGATACGAAAGAAAACCCGTCCCGTGAAGCGGATCTCTGGTATCCAGAAAAGCCCCCAACAGTCATACCAGCGAACTCATACCAGCGAAGTACGCATGGTATCATCCTTGACGCTCAACGCATTCTCAGTCGTCATCACTCGAATCCGAATCCTCATCAGGAACCGGCCTAACAATCGTAAAAGGTGCGTCCCTCGCATGCCTATACGTCCCTTGCCACGGCAATGCAATCTCAAAAGAGCCGCCGCCTGACATATTGACCTTCCTCAACGGCTCCAGCATCTTCCGCTCCTGCGTCTCATCCCAGCGTCCCGGGCCGTCTGTAATCGCAATATGGATGTCTCGTAGCCCTGTCATCTGCGTGGATATGATTCGCCAGCACTCTTCCCAGGTGGCCTCGTCGTGGGGTGGGTAGAGCGAGGTGTAGAGCCCTGCGTCACGGAAGAGCTCGTGGACTATGTCGTAGAGAGGTTCTGTGAAAGACCAGTGGAGGTGTAAGGTTTTGATTAGCGCGAGGCGGAGCGGAACAAGGGTGCTGGAGAGGTAGCGGAGGGAGTCGAGATCGTTGAGGGAGAAGGTGTTATGCGTGTAGAGGATGTTGACTGATTCGGAGTATCTAGCGGGTTCGCTTTGTCAGCACATGACTAGACACTATGTGTCGCTGGAAGGGACAAACGTACATGCGCCGGCACGATCTGAGCAACGGCAGGATCCCGCCGTCTGTGGGTTCGTGCCAGGTTGATCGTCCGCACCACACTCCTACGTTGTCGGTGAGGCCCCAGCAGGTTTGCCGGCTGTCGGCCTTCCCTCCGAATTCGTACTTGACGGGACAGTCCTCCGGCCTGATAGCCTTACACCTCAGATGACCCAGCTTCTTCTGCTTTCGGATAATGTGTATTGGTGGGCCGCTAAGCACTTCTCGGTAGATCTGTTCCCTAAGCTCAAGAGGCAGCTTGAACAGGCGTGACTGCTGCTGGTCGTATGTCCGCTGCGTCGGCTTCTCTGATAGCACACCGCTTGAATTCTCTGGCAATGGTAGTGTGAGGGCTCGCTTCCGCCTCAACGCAGGTCTCGGAGCGCTGCGTTGGCGCTTCTCAAAGTTCGCCTTCGGATCGTGCACGCATGGTCTTCGACGCAGTCGGGAGGGACAGAAGCATGCCGTGAGGCCGAAATATAAGCATATGCATGGCCCGCAGAGGATGGTGAGGGCGATGCCTGTGCAGCAATCGACGCCGCTTCGTGTCATGGTGGAGAGCTTAGTGTAGCGTTATGATGAGTCCGGGAGTTACTGAGTGTCACGGCCTGGAGGAGAGGAGCGGACTGAGGCTGAACGTTGGCTTGAGGTGGTCAAGCCATGCGAGGGGTTGGCGCCGCAGCCTGCAATTGAAGCGGCTCAGCCCTGCGCTGTTTCTTGGAGCATACGGCCACGCGACTGGTGCGGTTTGTCTACGATGGTGGCACTCTTTGTGATTTATGCCCAGTTACGATGTTTGGTTGGGCGGTGAAATGCTCGGTTGCAGTGCTTTGCACTCTTCTTGCCTACGTCAGCTTCAGCTCCAGGGCGGTCAAGGTGGGGATTGGGCAGAATGTCGAAGGGCTGAAACGCCCAGTGTTTTCACCAGTCTCCTCATCGAGGAGATGCGACATTCACTCGGAGCCCTTCTCCACACGACCTCGTTGTTCCCGAACACATGACCTACACAGATACAGCAGCACGAGTATCCAGATCTGTCTGACATGGCGAGGAATTATGCCAGGGCGTGCACCCAACCTGGAATGCTCACTCGGTGCAAGTAGCGGGCTAGGTAAGCACGAGCTTGTTTTGACGTCTGCTAGAAGATCAGTCACGTTCATTCTGGTCCTTCTGGTCCTTCTGGCTTCATTATGCTCTTGAACTTAGCCGCCACAACCAGTATGTGAAACATCGTAACATTCCGTGTACGTGCTCCAGGAGCCATTGAGATATTGGAACCGGTTCGGCCTGCATATGGCTCGGGTATGGCATTTCAGGCGGCTCTTGCTTGCGCAATAGGAGCACTACGATGTCGTGGCTGTATGCGATGCTTTGAGGGACTCTATCACGAACACATGTCCTACCAAGTCATGGCGTCCGATCGCTTACGTGACGTGGAACTTAAACGGTAGACGGGCGCTGCTACGTTCGCTGGAAGCGGTGATCTTTCTACACGCGCTCATTCTCATCGACCTTACCGTAGTTATTCGTCTTACTCTCGTTTCACGGACTCAAATATGGCTGTCCCAACTCATCAATGAGTGTCTTCTTCTTTGTGCCCACTGAAGCGCCACAGCTTCAAAGTCCCTTGAGGACCATCAGTTCTATTCGGAGTCCATGATAGCATCACAGCGAAGTCGAATCAACACTGAATCTAGATGGCGCTTATTGTCTTCGCAAACCCAAAGACATATATCAAAGACGACGACAGTGCGTGCAATGGGTCGAAAGATTCGAGGTTTATGTTTTCAAGTTTGTTAGAAAGCCACTTCAGGCACCAGAAGAAACGCCCGGAGAGCAGTAGCTGGCTTTTCAAACTTCTCGGCTTTCCTGTACAAAACAATGGAAGCCCTCCCGGCCCGAATGCACTGACGTAGCCTCGGATTGTCGGCGTGCCAAAGCGAACTGGCTCTTTGCCGCCATAACTAGGTGCTTCCAACTTGAATGGTTGCTGCCTGACATTTGTTTGGCGACAAAATGCTCACGTAATCACCGCTATTGGCTGTCGACGCTATTGAGCACCCGCTTGCTCATTGCACAGGTCTTGGCATCTATATGTATGCTAGATCTTCTAGGAAACACGAAACTCTTCCACAACTGACCAACACCCTGATAGCAACTAGTTATTGTACGCCATGCAACTACGATCTTAGCTCAACCATCACCTGAACCTTCTCCAGCAAATCGCTCTGCAGAAACACAAAATGCCTCCCCTCACGTTCAAGGAGGTCCGCCAGCAGCTCTTCGGTACGTTCATCGCTGATGCCCCTTCCAGTATCAAATATTAATCCTGATAGCCAACGCCGCCCTGCTCTTCAACGCCCATCATGGATCTAAGACTCATTCAATCGGAACCTTTGACGCCGTCATCGCCTCAGTCGTGGATGATAACGATGACCTCGTTCGTGCAGCCCTCGTCTTCCATCCCTCTACCGCTTTCAAGCACGCTCGTGTTGCCTCAAACGGCTTCACACCAGCAGACGCACCTCTCCAGCCTCCTTCATTCAAGCTGCTCCTGAAAGGTCCGGCTAGGCCGGAGCCGTACGATGCCGTACACGCGTTGCTCATGTTAACGGCTCACATGGTTGCTGAACGAATCGAGATGGGTGAGTCCGCAGGTAGCAGTATGTTGAATATCTTTCCTCCCACAGAGTGCAAACATCCGCTAATATCACAGGCTTCTCTTCAACTACATCGTCGGACTCGATGTCCGGAGTTGTATTCAGAATGGATACATCACCAGTCACCAATCACTCCTCCAAGTTCGGCACTGATGTCTTCGCTGGCAAAGCAACCCATAGAACCCATAGCGAGCCCCTCCACATTCGTCGAACCAATGGACGAACCACTGCAGCTGCAGAACCTTCATCGTCCGACCCGCAAGCCAATACGACCACATCAAACGTACCGATCCTCACCCGTCAGAGGTCCCGCACTATCGTTCCGGCGTTGTCAATCCGCCAGGCCGGCCAAGTGGTTGAGCGCCGCAATTCCTCCGGAGCTTCCGGCTATTCACTGCCCTGTACTAATGGCAATAGCAACGGGGATTCCGATGAAGGCTCCGCTACGGAAGTTGAGCATATCCAAGACGAGGATGACCAGACATACGCTGGTTTGTAGAGTTTCCCGTGAGATGACGTTCGTATTTGTGGAGGCAACGGGCAAGCGAACGGTACTCAGTTGCAGTTGCATTTGGCTGGCTTGCATGGAATCTGATTACAAGCGGGGACGAACACGGGCAAATGGTTTGAATTTCTTCATTCGAGCCCGGATTCTACAACACTGCTCCGGAATGGTTACAGTGCGATAGCTGTACCTGGTCGGCACCGTTACACAAGCTCGGGCGTCGTGAAGCACTACTTGCGCGATAACATGTACCTCCCGACAGCTCATCGAACCGTTCACGTGATTCAGTTCTTACGCCTTCACTCACTTCCGCTTCCTTGATTCCCCGTTGCTTGGTAACCGCAAATCACGTCGCGCAAATCACGTCGCGCAAACGCCGGCAGCGGGCACAAAACTTCTGCCTGCAACAATCCTCCCTCCAACAACTCACACTCCACCAACAACACAAGGCATTGTCAACCATACGCTTTCGTACTTCCGCCTCCTTTCCCACTCTCGACATCACTCTCTCAGACGGCGCTCAAAGATCTACTCAACAGTAGTCAGTGAACGCCTGCCGCAGCGAGCTTTCGTCAAGCCCCGTGATGGTGCTTAAGCCTGGAGTGGCACCCGATGTGGGCGATCTGCTCCAGCAGGTCAAGGGTACGCTCCCTCTATACCTCGTCTACGCATACTGCCCCGTAGTCCTAGTACTAAGACGTCCACAGCGAACGCTAGAGCGCTCTTTCCACGCAAGATCGTACTGAATAACTACCTTGAAGTCCTTGCTTCGCACGCTGAAAATGGGTTTCGAGCTGTACTAGTCGAAATTCCTCGCCTGCCGCTCTTTCCGCCTACGACACCGACCTATCAAGCCGGCAATGTTGCAGCTCAGCTTGCTGTCACATCCGCTGACGGCTTCACTGTCCTATTGCAAGGTCCTACCGCCCTGACCTGGAATGATGCTATCATGGCGCTTTTCATGGTTGTCGCACACGAGATCGCTCAGAAGGTTGCCGAGACGGAGAAGAAAGCTGAGCCACGCCGGGTGAATTGCCCTATTCATGGTGAGTAGAGTCTAACTCCTTCGTTCGTCTGATGCTCACAACAATGCAGGTGACGCTCCGGCCATCCCAAGTTCCTCGTCTTCCATGGTCGCAGAGCCGGATGATCCATCTGTGGTGACGGAGTCTCCTGAAGCTCAATTTGTTAAGGCAATGCGTCTACTCCATCCCACACCCACTTCATCGACCCCCCCAGAATCTCCCGCTCTCCCATTCGAGTCGGATCTAGGCCTTTCTCGCCGCGCAACCACCTCACGCGACTCTGTCCTTCCATATCCTGACCCACCGCCCGAGGGCTACGAGCTGCACTACCTACAAGAAGGTCGCCTTGATGGTAAGTACATCTACGTTCCAGGGAGCCGACCGCCAAAGCCCGACATGATTCCTCCTCCTGTTGGCGTGAAAATTGGAAGCAAGCATGCGCCCTGGCTGGAGCTCACTGAGTTCGAGGTTGGGCATGAGCGGAGGCGGAGGTGCGGCATGGTGCCACCTGACTGGATGCCAAATTTGGAGGAGAAGTTGCAAATCCTCTCCACCCTTAGCCGAGGCTTGAACAACGGGCGCATGGCTCGGCACGCTGCAAAAGCCGGCGAAGAGTTCCTGGACGAGGAGCCCGACATCAAGCCAACCCGGGCAACCTTGGATGAACTGCAAGTCCACGTGTCGGGGCCGATTTACGACAATATGGGCAACTTCACCGAACAGGATATGAAGCGGGTTCAGGCACTCGCTACACATTTGAAAGGTAGCAACGTGCGAGGGTATGCCGCCGAGGAGAAAGGATTCAAATACACAGCCGTGGATCTGCTAGATTTATGCAGCCCGCGCGTGACGAATTGGAAAGCGTTTCCGGAGCTCCGCCGTCCGACTCCACCGCCTGTTGGTTCCGAAGCCGCGACAGCCGTTGGGACTGGTGGTGTCTCATGCAATGGCGGCACAAATAATCAACCCTTCTCCTCTGCGAAACAAGCTATGGAGTCTGCCGGAGGGGTCGAAGAGCGCGATGCGTATTTGAACTTCCTAGGGCAAGGGATTGAAGAGAAGATGGACGCTAGTTTTAAACCGCTACTCGATCAGATCGACGAACAGGGCAAGAAGCGAAATGAGCAGTTCCGTGTGCTTTTTGAGACGTTTGACCATGGAAAGGCTCGGCTTCGGAGAGCCTTTCAAGATCACCAGGAAGCCCATCAAGGTCTCGATATTATCGAGGAGGAGTCGAAGAAAACGTCATCGTCGAAGAGCAAAGATCGAGCGGTCATCCCCATCACATTCGGTCAAATGAAGCTCGAGAATCTCAAGATAATCCAAGAAGGGATCAGGACCGCTCAGCGCGAACGGGCCCACCAATCGTCATTTTCGACTGGCAACACAATGAAGGCAACCACACTCTCCAAGCCCAACACCAGGGCTCGCCTTGAAGAGACCATCTTGACAGGCATCGCTGCCCCTGTTGCGAATAGCACCAAGGTAAAGCTGGTACAGTCCAAGTCGGAAGGTGTAGGTGATCTGACTTCCCTGGAAGAATCAACACGACGACGCAAGTGGGTAATCAGGAAGGCGGAGGCCTCGACTAATAGCCCGTTGCGTGGCGGACCCGAGCTCGGGGATCAGTCCAAGGATCGTATCATGAACATGCACAAGGCTGTCAAAAAGCGATGCGAGCAAGCCAGTCAATTATCGGTGTCGAACGATGGAACTACAAAGGTCACAATCGTGCCAGACATCCTCGAGCTGACGATCGAGGCTCCGCCTGTTGTCACTGTCACGACGGGCAATGTGACCTCTGTCGTGAAGGACACCAAGGCTGAATATGTCCAACAGAAGTCCGAAGGTGTAGGCAAAAAGGCTACCTTGAACGGTGCAACGCCACAAGTTGAGAAAGACCTGGCCACAAAGATCGAACCCGCTTCAGACAATGCCCAGAGTGGATGGGATACGAAGAGCGATAGAGAAACTGATCTCCAAGGCTTAGATAACATCTTTACTGCTCCGCACATGGAAGGCGCCGAATCCATACTTCCTGCCGGTCCACATGTGGAATACCTAACCGCTTCTCCCCCAGACCAGGCATTCAGTCCTATGATTCATAGCACATACTATGAAACTCATCCTTGGGAGATGCGCTCTGCTGCAGACGCGATGCCTACATCGCCATCGACGCACCCTCGCGAAGCTCCTCCGGTGCCAGCATACACCACATCGGCGCAAAATGCTGCTCTGCCAGGCTGGGCCTCAGATCTGCTGGATTATCCGGAGCCTGGCCCTTATGATGCCTCGCGTTTCGGCATCCAGGACTTCAAGAATGGATATCCCGGGTACAATTCGGCCTGGGTGACTGCACCGGCTTCTGCTCATCCGGACAGTAAAGCACACAAGTTCTCTGCTGCTACGCGTCAGCCCAACAACTCGGGCCATAGTTACGACCCACATAGCGTTAGCGTGGGCTACGACTACGATGTGCAGCATACCTATTATTCGGACTACGACCATGACATCCTGCACGGCACGAGCGTTCTTCATGTGGAGCGACCCCGCCGTCGGCCAGTGGAGAAGAAATCCTACGAGTATGAAGAAGCTTATCGTGTTGTGGGGAAACCCCTGGCGCCAGCCACTGCGAAGGCACTCGGCGAGGCTCTGCACCGCAACGCGGACCTCGAAGCAGCACCTCTCGCAACTCATGGACCATACGATGCGAGCGATCGGTCGTACGGAAACATGTCTTCTGCTATCCCGCCCTTTGCTACGAACTACCACTACGGCCCACCGAATGACGGAACCGACTTGTCATTCGGAGACACTTCTTTTGATTACTCGCACCAGGATGAAGACCTGGGTGACTATCTGCAGAGTCTGAACACCACGGAGTTCAAGCGTTCTCTCAATATGCCAGTGGAAAATGCGAAGGATGACAACCTCAAGGTTGAGCTCGCAGCTGCAAATGAAGCGCCAGCCGCTGCTGGTACATCTATCGGCACGATTGCTCAGCCCCACAGTACGTTTGGCGAATGGAAGCGTTCCCTGACCTTTGAGACCACTCCAAACTACGGTCCATTGCGTAAGCGCAACCGTGGGCTTATGGATTCTCGCCATGCGGTCCGTCCGGCGCTTGCGTCGTATCTTGAGTCTGACCATAAAGGTGACACCGTCTTGGGTAGTGAGGCTGAGCTTCCGGAGGATTTGGACAGTGAGTATGGACCTCCAGAGGACTTCAAGGTCCGTGATGTCTAGATGAAGTTCGATGGATCTATGGCTCTCTTTGCCGAGCAGAAGATATGGTGGTCCTCGGCTTAGCGATTGCGACTAGGTGGCTTTCCGGCAGACTGCAGCTTGCTTTGCCTGCGTTCCCCACTTTCCTTCCCTTACACCCCTCCCTCAACATTTACACATGCACACAACACCCCTCTCCTTTGGTTCAGTTCGACACGATGCAGCAGCAGGCGAGCGGAGAGGGTGTGGCGGGTCTGCTAATGGTTTCTCACTTGTACTTGCCGCTTTCCTTGGTTAAGCTTTGCAAGATAGTCAAGCAGCTTGGGTAATCTGCGCAATACGAAACGTATCTCCTACACAAGGTGGCAAGGTTCAACATACACATGCCTGAAAACATGCTCAGGTGACGTCCGAAGCGAGTGACCAAAGGCTTTGACGGACTACAAATAATATTGAATAGCTATAGCATGGCAGGCCGAGCAATCTCTCGATTAAGACCATGACGCGCATCCCATTATCTCCCACGAATGTCTTGTTGTTCCCACTTCTGTGCTCAGTGTTAAAGGCGAGCAAGGGAAGGCTATTTCCCGGGGCATTCCGGCAGCGGCATCACAAGGCACGAGGTTCGTGGCAGCACGGTTGAGAAAGCCTTGAGCAGACGGTTGCCATTCATTTCCGGAACGATGCTAATCCATCGTCCCTAGGCCAACAGCGCAAAAAGCAAATACGTCCTCTTCCAGTAGTCCGCAGCGTTCTTTCTGACCCGCTCAGCCGCAGCTGCATCCAACGCTGCTCTCACCTCGAGCTCACGAACAACACCGTCAAGTGCCTGCTCATGCGATGAGCCGTCGGTAGATACAGAAAACGCACGCTTCAAGTACAGCGTATCAAACAATAGCTGGATGCACTTGTCTTTCTTGACCTGCAAGTCGTTGATGCCGTTGACTGACGAAGCATGGACATCTTCCCCAGCGGATTGGTCATTCTCAGTAGCTTCAGACCCGTCAGCGCCGACAGTATCTTCAGTATGGGCGCCGTTCGTCATGCTGCCCTCGGAGTCATCAAGCCGCTCAACATGCCCATGAACCAGCTTCCCGACTTCCTCGCTCAGCTTGAGTTTGAGCACTCTTACCGCACCAGGCGCCCACAGGTCAGGCCCACAGTCCGCCATATGCGTCGCTAGCTTCCGGAGAAATCTGAATGTCGCTGGCGATGGCTGGACTGGAAGGGGCGGGGTTCCTTCCCAGAGTGCTCGGGTCAGAACGCTCTTTGCTTTTGCAAGCTTTTGCAAAGGGGTGGTGTATGTGGAGATAGCAGGTGACGAGACTGCGGTGGCGAGGTATAGATGTAGAGGTTCGGCAAGCGAGACCAGTCGGTTGGATGGAGGCGTGCCAGAGGTGACTTCATTTCGAAGGTTGAGGCCGGAAAGGCGCTGGCTTGCTTCGCGAAGGACACGGAGCAGGAAAATGACTTGAGACGAAGTATTGTCACCAGAAGCGGGAGTGCCCTCGCTTGTCTGTGCTATCAACTCTCTCAGCTGTCGTGTCAGTACGTCAAAGGCAGCTGTTAAGGCTTCGTCAACGGCTTCGCTCAGCGTATGTGGATCGTCTTCGGAGAGCAAAGCCTGCTTGGAGTCAAGGCCAAATTCGTCATCGTCATCATCGGCGGTAAGATCATCGTCCCATCGTGTGTCTTTCATCTCCTTGATGACAGCATAGATTGCGGAGATCGAATTCGCCCACTGATCGTATACCGCAATAATCTTGAGCACGCTAGCGTTGCGACCATGACTGCAGTCCAGGATAGCTTGCTTGAACGCCACGGCACCGTTACCTAGCGGCATTGAGGTCATTGATGGAGACCAAAGAGTCGGCGTGGCGCCTGCCATGCCAGGCTGCCGCGTCTCCAGCGTTTTACTGATTTCGAGGGAGAGGTCGGTGAGCTGTCCGACGCGGTCATCAACGACTCCGCAAAGTCGCGCATTCAGAACTTCACGAAGCTCATCAAGCACCGCAGCCGAGTTGATCCCAGGCAAACGGCCCGCCAGAGGGAGCCAGGTATCCAGAACCTCCTTGCGCACCGCGACCAGGGCTCTGAGATCTTCTTCTGCCATAAGCGCAGCCTTTGTACCTTTAAGAAAAGCTGCAAGTGCCTGCTTAGCCCACGCTTTACACATCCTCTCCGACTCGGTCCTTTGCAGCTCCTCGTGCCGCGGCCAGGGCGTAAAGTTCCGAACTTCGTCAGCAATCCATTTTTCATGAATGTCGAGATTTAGCTCTGTGACTGCCTGCACACTCTTGTCCTGAAGCAGAGGGCGTGCCTTCAACTCAACCAGCGAGTCAGCGAGCTCTTTCGGGAAAATTTTCTGCGTGTCAAGCAGTGTCCTCGTGAAACAGCTCAAAGCTGATAGTATGCCCTGTTCATCTTTGAACGGCTGGGACATCGTCTCTAGCCGAACATGATGGAAATGCCGGAGGACATCCGTTGGTGTCGAGCTCGTTGCAAGAGAGAAAGCACACATATCTTCGACAAGACAGTGTGGCAGGACCTTGGTATCGCAGAAGGACTTGTCGATGCTCTTAAGCAGCTTCCGCCGAAGTGATGCTAGTCGACTTCTGAGGCTATCTAGCAAGGGCGGCGCATCTGATAGCCGGGACAGCGTTTTGTGAAGAAGTCTCGAGATGACCAATAGCTTTGACGCAAGCAACCGGGAGCCGTCCTTTTTGAGTAATCGCGATATCACCGCCGGACAGCTCTGGAGGACTGCAAGCTGCGATGCCAAGGCGTAGCGATCGTGGTCTGCAATGATGTGAGTAAGGCGCTATAGACGTTGAACGTGTGTTATAGGTAACGCACCCTGGGCAGTCCACTGCTGCTCGAGTCTCGTACGGTTTCGAGTCATCCGTTCAACAGCCCGCGTATTGCATCTTTGGCTCATGCTGCCCAGGGTTGTCTCAACCCGCTGTATCTGCTCATTCATGCCGATGATCCTCTCCGCCGTTTCGAGAAGATCTCTGTAGCTGGCACTGCATACCTCACATCAATTTGGATTCGATTATTCCCAATAGAGGCCATGTCACTCACCCCACCAACGACCGCAACTTGGCGCGGTTCTCAGAATCATGTTTGCGGAGCTGCTGCTCGAGCCTCCGCACGACGGGTATAGGGTGTCGGAATGCATCCTCCCAAGTGTTCAGGTTTCGAGGATCGGGGGTTTCAGTGGTCATCCTACAGCCAATGGTTGGACGGTGGGTGCCTGTTGGTGTCTGAGGTTGATGCTGCGGAAGTTAAAAACATTCCTCTCCGCCACTCCGCCAGTCAAGGGGGGCGGAACTCCGCTGAGCATGCGATGGCGGGGTAAAACGGGGGCGATCGGGCTTCCAAGTTGTCGAGGTTGTGTGCGCCCCTCACTCAGCCTCATGACGCAGCCTTGACTGAACCACTTGGCCGCATCGTCATCCTGGTGGCGGAGAGTCATCCGTTGGAACTGGACACCCTTTAAGCTCCTGTTCCCTCGCCCATAACTACCCTTGATCGTCTCTTCCTAGAGTCGTAAATCATAACATCCTCGATCCGACCCAACTTCAAAGCCGAACCTCTCGACTCTCGTTCTCAACGCAACATGGCGGACTACGCGCCTCCTTCGGTACCGAGTCCAACATCCTCCTAAACTGTCTATCGTGTGGTTCTCGTGTTAACAGAGTGTCGTCAGATCCCTCCACCGCCCAAGGTCCCCGAAGGCTGGAAAGCAGTCTGGAACTCCCAGTACAACGAGTACTTCTATGTCAACATTTACACCAAGCAATCCCAATGGGAGCGGCCAGAATCGCCCGTCTATCCCCCCGGTGAATCAGATCACCGCACATCGTCCGATGTCCCACCAATGTACAACCACGGCGACTCAAGACCCGTCACCGCCGAGAAAACAGGCCTGAGCTCCAGCAACCCGTACGGCTCCGGCGCTGGAGGGTACAGCCAAAACAACACAGAATCCGATGAGGCGTATGCGCGCAGGCTGCAAGCCGAGGAAGAATCACGCGCTCATGGCAGACCCGTCAGCCATGGTTCGGACGGCTACAACCAGCAAGGCGGCAGTGTACCAGCCCAGCAGAAATACGGTTCAATGTTGGATCCCGGCGCAGATGGGTCGAAAAGGAAGTCGTCCTCGAGCGGCCTGTTTGGCAAGATCAAGGACAAGCTGAACACCGTTGCTGCTCAGCAGGGTCAGCATAGCCAACATGGTTACCCGCAACAGCATGGATATCCGCAACCACATGGCTACCCGCAGCAGAGCTATGGCCAGGCTGGGTATGGTGGCTACCCACAGCAGGGCTACGGCCATAGCAGCGGCGGTGCTATGGGTGGTATGGGTGGTCTCGGTGCTCTTGCCAGTCTTGCTGGTCGCGGTGGCCATGGTGGCCATGGCGGTATGGGCGGTATGGGCGGGTTTGGTGGAAGCCACGGTGGTATGGGTGGTATGGGCGGTATGCACGGCTATCCAGGTGGGAGGAAACCGGGCATGGGTGTTGGTGGTGCCGCCGCACTCGGTCTTGGTGGTGGCCTTCTGGGTGGCGCGATGTTGGCGAATGCAATGGATGATGATTATGCGGAAGGGGTAAGTGGAATATCATTCTAGAGCCTCGGAAGATATAGCTTACTAACAATCTGCAGTACCAGGAGGGCATGGAAGATGCCGGCGGCGATTTTGGCGGCGGTGACGACTTTGGCGGAGGGGACTTCGGCGGCGAATAATTGAGCTTCCACGATGCGCAGCTGTATGATACCATGAGGCGTTGGAGGGATGAATGCGCATGTGGCAACTTGTTAATAGTAGGCAAGGACGAGGCATTTATCACAAACGTTACGTCGATCTCGTGTCAATCGAATATCAGCTCTGTGTCGACACTCAACAAGCTCTACCGGTCATTGAGATGTGCCATTTCTAGGTTTCAACTGGTAACACATTTAGTCGGCGACTCCTAATGCTGCAATATTACAAGGACTCAGTGGCAAGTTAAATAGCATACGTTGGTATATAAGGCACCTGTTACGGTCAGGAGCTGCCTCAAGATACAGAAGTTCTGGTCCTTGTCCGTATCTTTGCCCTCTCCTAGGTCTGGCACGTCCTCCGCCCGCGCACTGATCTACAACAGGGCAGTAGAGCGAGCCAAAGTTAACCCGACCCAAAGATCCAGCTAAAACACTTACCCTCCGTAATATGTCGTGCCCCAGCTATTCAGGAACCCATCAGTCCATCCCAGAATTGAACCTCTAATCCCAGCGTCTGCCAGTCTTCCTTGGCAGACTGTCATGGCACCTAGACTTGGCTCCCTTCTGTATACCCAAACCGTACCCATTCCCTGTGGCAGGCTGGACGCATTTATCTGCCCCACAACGGCCATCACCACCAAAACTAGGACACCGCCAATCATCGACAACCACGGTCTCCGCATCCTCATTCCCCTCCATCTGCAGCCGAAGTTTACCGAGGCGAGTAGTACCGTGTCGAAGGCCTCGCAGCATAGGGAGACGGACAGTATCATGACGGTGGCGTTAAGCCAGTCGATTTGTTGAGTGGCTGGCAGGTCAATGCAACCGAGTATCTTGTTCATGGCGGATTTGATGGGATGAAACTGGCAGTTGCCATCCAGCACAGCCAGTGCAGACACCTGGAACATTGGCGAGCACCACTCCACGGTGAGATCCTTTGTGTGTTGTCGTGCCATGTCTGCGGATACCAGGCCAAGGATCTGCAAAACAACCAGGATGATGCAAAGGATGGCGGCAAGCATAGCGATGAAGGCCTTTCCCACAGGGCCTCTCTTTGGAACCTGGAGCGAACCATGATATCCGCTGCCTGCTTCTGCTACAAGCCTGGCTTCTAATTCATCTTCAACTACCACCGTCGTCAGCCTGGGCTCTACAGGCGGAGGGGGAAATGGGCCTTACCTTGCCGAGAGACTCTGCCCTCTAAATCCGGTCCAGCCGGTATGGGGACCATCGGGATGTTAAGTGGTGATACAACATCTGCCACTGATTCCCGCGAACGCGTTCTAGGATGATATCTTCCGCTCCCACCAGCATTGCTCTGATCACGGCCTGGGACAGCCCTCACCACCCACTGCCTTAAGGCACACACCAGCGGGCGAAAGCCAGCGTCTTCCACAATAAGCCAAAACACCTGCAACGTCGCACCCACATCCAGTAACAATGTCAATGGCATCCAGACGAGCACCTCGTCTGGTCTGCGTCCCGTCGAGGAGTATGCCTGTATGCAGAATGCCACACTCACACCGGCCAGGACTAGCGCCAACACTTGGACTTTCTCCCATCTCACAACTCTTATTATGATTAGCGGGCAGTGTATTGCCAACCACAGAATAATGTACGGGTATGGAAACATGGAACCGGAGACATCGGGACGCAGATAGGATGCGCCGCAGAGAGCATGCATGGCGAGCGAAGCTTCAAACTGCCAGTGTTGAAGTCCGTCAGCGATGGTGATGTTTGAATTGATATAGCAGGCCATGATGCAGTGCTGTACGTGTCCAAGACAATGATGAGTGACAGCTGGGAAGGAAAAGCTGAAAGCAAGCAGGAAGACCGTGAGTTATACGACCGGAAAACGAGGCTGAGACTTGGACAGCACACTGCGAGCGAGGCAACAAATCACAATCAAGACAGCTGGGAGGCATAGCCCGCACTATGTCCTCCTCTTCTCCCTAGCAGAGCCTCGGAGACCGCTTCTTGCCGAGTAGAGACTGTAGTAGCACGCTTCAGGAAGTCGTGATGTTATGAGGTGATTATCCGAGCGTGGTTGGATTGAACGTTAGCGGTTCGAAGCTCCCGATCGCTAAGCCTCCTTCCAGGGCTTAGCACCCGTGAAGTCTCCAGCAGGCTACTGCGGAGCACAAGTCAATTCGTTGGTCACTCTCGATGGACAATCGTGAAGTATGGGTAAGCGAACGCCAAGGCTGAACAGCCTCGCGTCGAGAGAGGAAAAGCTGTTCAGCCTCGTTCCCCAAGCCCGTCGGCCTTGTGCAGCGCCGTCATTTCCCTGGAGAACACACCTCAAAGGTATACTATCCTGTTTAAGGCGCACACCATGCCGTGGTGCAAGCGGAAGCGCCGTGGGTTAGGTAGAGTATCTTTGACTGATGAGGCAGGCCCTGTCGGGTATGGCGACCTTGGCAGCCACCAGACATCTACTTTCCGACCAGCTCCCTCTCGTTTCCTCCCTCATACGGATAAGGTATGGGCATATCAAGACCGTGTTGGAGAGACATACGGATCTAAGAGTCAAATAGATAACTCCACGCTCAAAAGTAGATATATCCACCAGTTCTAGTCACTCTACTACAAATTTATCTAAGAGCTATCTAGAATCAATCACGCGCGACAGCAACGCCATTGTCGCCGCTAGAACAGAGCTCCGAGCAGTTCCCCCTGAGTTCCGGTGATAGATTGTCGGCTAGCTAAGCTGTAAAGCCAGTCCCATTGATGCACCTCATAGAGCTGGAGAAAGCGTGGTGGCACGGGCTTTGGGCTGAAGGCACGTCCCATGCCCAGCTTCCTCCCTGTCTCCGTTCGATCTTAGACTATCGCGAGGCTGAAGCTAGACACACCCGGAGACTGATTAGACACAGAACGAATATTTTGTGGCTTCAAGCGTGCCATGGCGCCTTCAAGCCCTCAGCTCTCTGCGTTCCCACTTGTGGAGACCAAGCGTTTGCATCTGGTGTCTGTTATTTGGAAGGTAATCTAAACAAAATATAAGACCATTTTCTTTCAGTCCTCTGCTTAACCATCTTGCTTGCCCTCTGGACTTTGCAGAGGAGCCGAACCGCATCTATCTTTTCCATCCATTCCACTCTTTTACCGATTCGGCTTCATCTTCATTATCTCTATGCGTTCTACCTTCCTCGTAGCCCTCGCGTTTGCGAGCACGGTATTTGCACAGTCATCTCACGATAGCGCATCAGCTACTATAGCATCGAGCGGTGATATCAACCTCGCTGACCTAACACCATCGCGCCCGGAAGCAATGGAGCACCAGTCGGTACGGCAACCTCTGAACTCCCGGTCAACTACGCCTCTATCACCAGTGCGGTCCTGGCCCAAGTAGGAGAGTTTACCACCACGAACTTGGCCGACTATGTGACCTTCCCAACGTCTCCACCCACACCTATTGCGCGGATCTCGGCCGCGGTGAACAAGGAAAACCCCGCATATCCTCCAGGCGTGCTTCCCAAAGCGAGAGGGCGTGCGCCCCTGCTAAGCAAACGACAAGCATACTACAAGGACACGAGGAACCATCCAACACCCAAAGGCTACACGTCGGCCTTTGCAGGTTTGCAGGGCGCTACGCAAGCGAAGGGCTACCTCACTTACGAAACGCTCAAGACCTATGATCCCACCATTTGTGCAACCTTCTGCAACTCGGTTAAGATGTGTCAGTTCTTCAACATATATTACGAGCGCAACAGCGATGCGGCCGGCAAACCCGTCGATATCATCAAGTGTTCGGTTTACTCGCTGTTCCAGACGAGTGCAACCGCCACAAACAAGGGCCAATGGCGAGGCACCTTCCAGATTCTGATTACTGGGAGCAATGGGTACAACAAAGCAATTAATCCTCAGGCTCCTGCTGGCTACACGCTGGAGGATTTCGGCAGCGCTGCTATCAATGCACCGCTGTACGATAGGACTGGCCAATCCACTTTCATTCAGCCGATCTACCTCGACCAATACGACCCGGCGCTTTGCGCTGCTGCTTGTGACTCGCAGACCGACTACAACAAGAGGCACTCTGAGGACGGCTGCAACTTCAAGGCCTGTGTTTTCGCCAACCTCTACATCCTCTCTGAGAACGGGGTTCCGAAGACCACTGTTTGCGCTCTGTATACTCAAGGATGGACCTCTACCCACGCTGTGAACTCCGGCTACTCCACCTCGACAGATGTTTACCTAGTCAGCAACAGCATTGGCTTGACCAACACAATCGCCGCCACCATGTATCCTCAAACCTGCTCAACCTGCGAGCCTAAGAATACGGAGCTTATTCCAAAAACACTTGGCGGCGCCAACCTGGCAACATGGGCAGACCGGTCTAAGGTGGAAATTGACGGGACTTTCACCTACCACGGCACGTACGGGCGATGTGCCGTCGGCTCCACAGTTTACCTCTCCTACGATAAGGCACCTACCGACGTCTTCGTCTATTACGCCGTACCAGATAGTAATACTGTTGGCTGCGCCTCAACTGGGTATATCTACCATGTTGACTCTGAACTTTGCTTAACGCAGTCCAAGACTTCGGAATCTGCGCCTATGTACGCTGGGAGCACCACCACGCTGCAGCCATGCGACATCTCCGGTACCGCGCCACCGATGTCCCAGAAGTACTGCCACAACAGTTTGACACTGACCACGTACTACCCGGACCAGTGCTATACCTTCTACGGTGACGGCGCGTTCGACCTAGATTACGAATGGTACGGTATCGGCCCAGGACACAAGGAAGGAGCTAATCTTGACATCTCACCCAACACCAATGTCTCAAGACCAGGCGGCGTCGGTTGTATGTGGATGAGGATTGATGGTCGTCAAAAATAGCATACCTTCGGTTTGGGCGTTTACATCCTGGTTGCCGATTGGCCGTCTATGGAGGAATGGTGATACTGCGGGCTATCCGGCAATTTAGTCATGTGTATAGACACTGGAGCGAAGCTTGGTTCTAAGTACACTTCAGGTTACAGATCACATGGGACAATCTTGTTGCTGATCTCAGATCGAAATTGTTCTTCTGCACAGATCCATGAGAGATTCATCCCGGTCAGGACCTTGGAAGGAGAACGTGAGTATGACTACTCGTACTTGGGTGATTCAATCCATAATTCCACTCAAGATAAATATACCGATTAGCTGAGCTGCCCTGCCCCACATTCTCGATACCCGGAAACCCTTGGCATGCACAACACCAAATTCAAGTGTACTTGAAAGACTTCGGGATGCACGTAGCTACGGTATTCGAGGAAGGCACCTCTCAATGCGTTTACCTGAGCTTCGATAGGTATGGCTTGACCGAAGTGCCAAAATGTCCGGATACTCGATCAGAATTGACACCCTGGTCATATAAGCCGAATGGCATACCTCACTACCCCACAACGCGCGAGCGGGGCAGGGTTATGGCGTGCTCAACAGCTTCAAATAAGACATGACACGAGTGTTAGTCATTGCTAGCAGAGTCAGCTGATGGTATGTACCTGAAGCCGAGCTGATATTCCTTGCTCCCGTCTCACTTCGACCTCGTATTGTCTGTTCATCTCCTCTTGTATAAGATTGCAACCCCCCTCTGCCCCATCCGTTAGAGCCTCTCATCAGCCCCCGCCGGCATTACTGTCTCCAATTGATCACAGGAAAGAGCCCTAGGGTCGTTGCATGCCACCAAAGTCAAGACTAGAACTTATAAGAAGGCAACTCAAAATGGCTGGAGAAGACATCGCGCCGCACTTCGAGACGCTGCAATTACACGCTGGGTACATGCCTGACTAGCCCCCAATACACACGCACTTACTGACCGACTGCGTATGGAGTCATACGCCAGACGGTGCGACCAACTCCCGCGCTGTACCCATCTACGCAACTACGGTATGCTGGCCGACGTCCTTCCTTACTCGATCGCCTATCCTGACCCAGTACTGTCCAGTCCTACGTCTTCAATGACTCCGCCCACGGCGCCAGGCTCTTCGGCCTCAAGGAGTTCGGCAACATCTACAGCCGTATAATGAACGTACGTGGCAACCCACCTACAGACCAATCTCGCAATAGCTCGAGGCTCATGCCTCCTAGCCTACGGTCGACGTCTTCGAAAAGCGCCTAGCGGCCCTCGAAGGCGGTGTTGCAGCGGTAGCGGCCGCGTCCGGCCAAGCGGCGCAGTTCATGGCCATTGCGGCACTCGCGCACGCGGGCGACAACATTGTGTCGACGTCGAATCTGTACGGCGGGACCTATAACCAGCTGAAAGTTTTCTTCCCGCGGCTGGGCGTGCAGACGAAGTTCGTGACTGGGGACAGTGCGGAGGATTTCAAGAAGGCAATTGATGATAAGACCAAGGCGGTATATCTCGAGAGCATTGGCAACCCGAGGTACAACGTGCCGGATCTTGAAGCAATTGCGAAAGTTGCGCATGAGGCCGGGGTGCCTGTTATTGTAAGGCTTCTCTCCTGACACTGCCCATCCTTCCCCTTGACGGGTTATGAGAGGGACAAATGGTGCTGATGCAGAATCTCGCCGTGGCACAGGTCGACAACACCTTCGGCGCCGGCGGCTACTTCATCCGCCCCATCGATCACGGCGCCGACATCGTCGTGCACTCCGCCACGAAATGGATAGGCGGCCATGGTACGACCATCGGCGGCGTCGTGATCGACAGCGGCAAGTTCGACTGGGGCAAGCACGCCGCGCGCTTTCCGCAGATGAACGACCCCTCAGACGGCTACCACGGCCTCAAATTCTATGAGACTTTTGGCGCCATCACCTTCGCTATTCGCGTCAGGGTTGAGATCCTAAGAGATATGGGTGCGGCGTTGAACCCGTTTGCAGCGCAGCAGCTTCTGTTGGGCATAGAGACGCTGAGTCTAAGGGCGGAGAGACATGCACAGAATGCGCTGAAGCTGGCGAAATGGTTAGAGAGCAATGAGAATGTGGCGTGGGTGAGCTATCCGGGGCTGGAGAGTCATCAAAGCCACGAGCTTGCGAAGAAGTATCTGAAGAGAGGGTTTGGTGGTGTGCTTTCTTTCGGTGTGAAGGGTGGCGCGAAAGCCGGAAGCCAGGTGGTGGACAACTTTAAGCTCATCTCGAATCTGGCGAAGTGAGTGGAAACGGCAAGGACGGTGCCATGGGATTCACTGACGGGATGCAGTGTTGGTGACTCGAAGACTCTGGCCATTCATCCGTGGACTACGACACACGAGCAGTTGAACGAGGAGGAGAGGGTCAACAGCGGTGTCACGGAGGTAGGCATTGTTCTGTGGAGCAAAATGCGAACTCGTGACTGACAATGCGCTTGAAGGATCTCATCCGTATCTCGGTCGGCACAGAGCACATCGACGACATAATCCAGGACTTCGAGCAGTCCTTCAAGAAGTCGGCGACCGAGCCGGAGGCCAATGGTGATGCAAGCAACGCAGAGAAGACGGGGTCACCTGAGGGTGAGGCGAAGCTTGGTGGTGCAACTTGATTCGGAAGAAAGTTAGCGTACCTAGACAATAGTACGATCTATGTAGAGAGATACTCAGTCCCAGGTTGGCACCTCTACCAAACGCAGTCATCCCATATTCTGATGCGCCCGGGGACATTGAGGCATTCTCAGGCATCCTCAGACATCCTCAGACATCCTCAGGCATCCTCAGGCATCCTCAGGCATCTCTGGCCACACTCCAGACCCCGGTTTCTGCATGCATGATGGCGCGCTTGTGGCTTGGTTGTCGAGAAGCTGCCGAGATCTGGGGAGATGTCTTCACATGTGAACACCACCACTCAACGTTGTATCCGTGACTGAGTATTGTTGTAACTAGTCATCGCACGAAGCCCATGGAGATGCGTGGTTTCCGCATAGCTCTCATCACAACACTCTTCATTTCCAACATCGCTCCTTGGAAAGCATCTGTGCACAGCCGAATCCCTCAAGTACGACAGCTCTGACATCACGCTAAACCCATAACAGCAGCTACCTCGGTTCTTTCTGTTGTGTCACAGAACAGCATCATTGACCGAGATCACCTCCGAGAACGCCGAATCCCGCGTCCTTTCATTCTTCATGTATCCAATGTCTCCTTTCTCTTACTGCTACTACGTATCAGCGCTCCTTCTTCACCAACTTCGTTAGAGTTAACGATCTAGACCATTTACTGCATTGAGCATCTGCCCCTCCATATCGTGGCGTAACGGTCTAGCATCTGACAGTGGGTCTCAGCTTTCGGCCTCGCCGAGGGACAAGACATTAGCAGCCTTGAAGCTGATCACAAGGTTTAGATAGACGTTAAGAGCTTCGCTGTCTTCATCTCGCATCTCGTTTCTCCCCAAAGCAAGCCGTAATCCCCACCACTTCGACTTCATCCCGCCATGGCACCTCCATCGCTTCTAGCGCTCGACCGCGCAAGAGAGCTCCAAGCTCCTCCACCACGAGGCGCGCCATACAGTGTACCGCTCCCTGGCACAGCTACTCAAGGGCGAAGCGCCGTGTACCGGAACTGGAGGTTCCAGGATGAGCTGCTCCAGACGCTGGACCCGTCAATCACCACTATGCATGACGCTTTTGAGCAGAGTGCCAAGCGTGTTCCCACCAACCGCTGTCTCGGCCACAGACCGTACGACCCGGTGACGAAGACCTTTGGCCAATATGTGTGGCAGGACTACCAGACAGTGCAGAGGCGGAGGGCCAACTTTGGTGTCGGGCTTGTGCAGCTACATAAGGAGGCTGGCGTGACGGAGAAGACGTACGGTGTTGGGCTATACTGCAACAACAGGCCGGAATGGCAGATTATGGGTGAGTGAGACCGTTGACTGTACCTACTCTGGAGTTCGTCAACAAATAGCTAAGTGTAACAACAGACCTGGCATGCATGTCTCAAGGTCTATATTCCGTCTCCATCTACGACACCCTAGGCCCCGAAGCAACTGAGTACATCATCAATCACGCCAACCTCGCCTGCGTGGCCACCTCACTCAATCACATCCCCTCCCTCCTGAAGCTCAAGCCGCGGCTACCTTCGCTCAAACTCATCATCTCCCTCGATCCACTCAGTGAAGGCGAACAGTCCGGCTACTCCAAGGCTGAAATCCTAAACGCCCTGGCCAGCGATCTCGGTGTCAAGATATACTCCATCGAAGACGTCGAGACCTTAGGAGGTATGACACATCAGCCATACAATCCTCCGCGGCCCGACGACATCATTACGATCAACTACACCTCCGGCACGACCGGCAACCCCAAGGGCGTGGTTCTCACGCACGCCAACGCCGTTGCAGCCGCCAGCTCATCTCTCATAGTTGCGCGGCAGGCCACCGACGACGTCATCTGCTCCTTCCTCCCCCTCGCGCACATCTACCAGCGTGTCGGCGAGCACAGCGCGCTCTGGTCCGGCGCAGCGATCGGCTACTTCCACGGCAACATTGCGGAGCTCGTCGACGATCTGAAGCTCGTGCGGCCAACCACCTTCTCCGGCGTGCCGCGCCTGTACAACCGCTTCGGCGGCGCGATCAAGGCCGCCACAGTCAACCAGCCTGGCGTGAAAGGCGCGCTGTCCCGTCACGTCGTTAGTACGAAGCTGGCCGCGATAAACGATCCCGTCGCGCCGTCAAACACACATGCCATCTGGGATCGCCTATGGAGCAAAAAGGTCGTCGCGGCTTTCGGCCTCGATCGCTGCAGAACCATGGTCTCGGGCTCCGCACCTATCGATCCCTCCCTCCACCAGTTCCTGCGTGTCGTCTTCGCCAACCACTTCCTCCAGGGCTACGGCCTAACCGAGACATACGCCGTCAGCCTCGCGCAGCTCGAAGGCGACTTTTCAGCCGGCAACTGCGGCGCCGTGGCCCAAACTACGGAGGTCTGCCTGCAGGACGTCCCCGACATGGAATACCTATCAACCGACAAGCCGTTCCCGCGGGGCGAGCTGCTGATCCGCAGCAGCACGCGCTTCAGGGAGTATTTCAAGAACGAGGCGGAGACGACCAAGGCGATCGATGCGGACGGGTGGTTCCGCTCCGGCGATATCTGTACCGTGGATGAGCTGGGTCGCTTCAGAATCATCGATCGCGTTAAGAACGTGCTGAAGCTCGCGCAGGGAGAGTACATCTCCCCCGAGCGCATCGAGAACGTGTATCTTGCGAATTGTGGTCAGCTGGCGACCGCGTATGTGCATGGAGATTCGCATCAGAGCTTCCTGGTGGGCATCTTTGGCGTCGCGCCGGACCAGTTCGCGCCGTGGGCGAGCAAGGTGTTGGGAAGGAGCGTGGATATGACGGATTTGAAGGCGGTGACGGAGGCGGCGGAAGACCCGAAGGTAAGGAAGGCGCTGGTGAAAGAGCTCGAGAAGATTGGGCGGAAGAACAAGTTTAATTCCTACGAGAGGGTCAAGGCGGTCAGGCTGTTTGTGGAGCCGTTTACGATTGAGAACGAGCTTTTGACACCGACGTAAGTTTTCTGCATCTCCGTTCCGGACCTTGGTCAGTCAGGAGATTAGACATCGGTTGCTAACGACGCCTTTCTGCAGACTCAAGCTCAAGCGGCCGGTTGTTGCGAAGAGATTCCGGGATCATTTGGACCAGCTGTACGAGGAGGCCATCGCTGAGGCGGAAGCCGCGCCGAAAGCTAAGCTATAGGCGGCCCTCTTCATCCCTCTTTTGAAATATGCTCGCTTCGGAAACAAGTTCGGCTTCTAATACTTGCTGCGATTGCGGGCAAGCTCGGGGTACGGGCCGGACCGTCGAAGTCGTTATATCATACAGTGGAAGTGTCACTGCACTTGCATTGGCAACAGGCGGCCTCAAGCTTACAGGGCTTCTTTTCGTCTTGCATGTGCATGGACGGTTGTTCAGGGACGACATCGCGCGGAGTGGCATGTACAGAACAGACAGATATGAAATGCAGGGAGATATGCAAGTATATTCCATTACGGCTGCTTCGAGCGTGGAAGTCATTGGACATTGCGGGCATATAAGCAGCCATCCCGGTGCCATTCCTCCTCATGCTATCGCTCCCAGTGTGATTTGTTCGTTTATATGCACATTCGAATACTGATATTGGGGCGTACTTTGGCGATTATCCTTAAGAGGAAAGGACGGGGGGCTTTTGCTCACGTGCTGCCTTTTCGAGCATGCTCAATCATCAACGCTTGCAACCTCGTAAGAGAGTTGTGGGCCTCGAGCATTCTAGCAGGAACACAATGGCATTTGCTTTACTATCAAGGTTGTAGCAGTTCATAACAATGCTCGGGTATCCACGTGTTCGGCGCAAATGGCAGCCACTGATTTGATGCTCGGCTCAGCGGACACCTTGGAACTTCAGAGCTCCCGTTGCCGAACATCGGTCCAGCTTCCAGCCTCACCAGCGACAGCTCCCGTTTACCACCCAGTGCCGAGCTGCATCTCAATCGCCTCTGTGCCCTTTCTGCCACCGTTAGGAAGCCTTTGTTAGCCGTTGCGCGAGTCTCTACGTTTCTTACACCACCTATCCTCTCACAATGGCACCCATAACGGACACGATCGTCGACGAGCTCAAGAGCTTGGTCAACAAGCTCGAATCGCGGGTTGCCGAACTCGAGGCCAAGTTGGGCGGAGAGAAGAGCACTCCATCGTCGAGCGGCGCCATGCGCATGATCTTGATGGGGCCTCCCGGCGCTGGTATGCCCTCAATTGCCCTGCACATGTCAAAAGCTCTCCTCGGACGCGCTGACCCTCACGAATAGGCAAGGGAACACAAGCGCCGCGGATCAAGGACAAATTCTGCGTCTGCCATCTAGTACGCTTTGCATAAGCACTCGAGACAATACGGACAGTGCTCACAATTATTGCAGGCCACTGGGGATATGCTGCGGGCACAAGTTGCGAAGAAGACAGCGCTGGGCCGCGAAGCCAAGAAAATCATGGATCAGGGCGGGCTGGTCAGCGACGAGATTATGGTCAACATGATCAAGGGCGAGCTAGAAAGCAACCCCGAATGCAGGAACGGGTAAGCGCGTGCGACCCCCCAACCGGCTAATCCGCCTGCTAATGCGCCCTTTTATAGTTTCATCCTCGACGGCTTTCCGCGAACTGTGGCGCAAGCCGAGAAACTGGACGGAATGCTCAACGACAAGCAGCAGAAGCTCATGCACGCCGTAGAGCTCCAGATTGACGACGGCCTACTGGTATCAAGGATAACGGGCCGCCTGGTTCACCCTGCGTCTGGCCGCAGCTACCACAAGATATTCAACCCGCCAAAGGAGACGATGAAGGACGACGTAACTGGCGAGCCACTCATTCAGCGCTCTGACGACAACGAGGGTGTGCTCAAGAAGAGACTCGCGACCTACCACGACCAGACCTCACCTGTGGTAACGTACTACCAGAAGACAGGCATCTGGAAGCCCATCGACGCCAGCCAAGAGCCGGGACAGGTCTGGCAGAGTTTGCTGAAAGTGTTTGATGACGACAAGACAACGATAGGTGGCAGAACCGGCTCCTTGCTTAATAAGGTTGGCTTCAAGAACTAGATGTGTTGAGATGAAGGCAGTGGGGACGCCAGGAGTAGACGCAATGCTAATGTACCATCTGGCGCGGCGCACGTTTGTCTTTGGTCGCATCGCCTTGCGCACCGCTGAATCAGGATATCCCTGCTTGAAAAGTTCTGTCCGTCTTGAGGCGAGTGTGCATAGGGGCTTGAAGCGGGAGGACTGTACTTGTACAAATGGGTGGCATGTAGGGCGCGACGTTGGGTGTGTGTGTATCTCCTTAGCTCTTACGCTTCGTTCGGACGCAATCAAAGATACAGTGAATGGCCTCACCGGCTCGAAGGTCGTACGACACAAGACGTTGGGGAATTTAAAGTGAACTGCGAGGACCGACCCAAGTCGTGAATTCCTGACATTTATCTTAAAAACTCGTCTGGTCCACTCGCTTCTCCTTATCTCAATCGTCTCCCCTAAGATCTTGCCAGCCTCGGCTGCTTTCCCAATCCATGTCAACTTCGTCGAGACAACACAGTCGCTACTCTCTGTACCAGACAGCTCTCCGACAACGCAGATTTCATCTCGGCGCGAAGTCAGAAGCAGCTGTTGCGCAGCGGGCCACTTCTCAGCTGGGCACAACTCCGAGACCTGTCAACACATCGAGTACAACCACAAGCGAAGATACATTGTCAGCCATTGTAAGCTCCTACGCGCATCCCACACCTGTTCCGACGTCGAGCGATCTGCGGCAATTAGCCTGTACTCAATCCCTTCCGGATACCACTGTGCGTCTCGAAGTGCTACTCCACAGTCCATGCAGCCACTGGTGCTTTTGTAGGGAGTCTGCTCAATGGCTGACACCATTGATCTGCATTTCAGACTCCAATGCCTTTCTCCAAGTTCAGCAGCGGCGTCGCAAGCAGCATGAACAAGACCCACCTCACCATCGACACCGAAGCAGCGAAGTAAGCCACTCTACACCTCCTCACACCAGCCGTCCCGACCGCATCCGGCTACCAACCCTTGAAGTCCTCCCACCATACCCCCCGATCCAGATCTTGACCATCGCCTCCCCTCGGTCCACAATGGCGTTCCGCTGCTGACAAGCACCAGCAACCTCCTCGCGAACAGCGCACCTCCCACCGGCCAAACCTCCTCCGGCGACTCCCTAGCCATCACGAAATCCACCTCCCTGACGGCCCGCCCCGCCAACCCCAGCACCCTTCACAAGGTCACCACCAACCCCTCCCTCCCCAAAAGCTCCGCCCCAGCCGCCCGCCCCCCTCCCGCCCTAACCCCCCACCAAGCCGCCTACGCCTGCCCTCCCCTCCCCGCCTCCTGGACCAGCGCGCACGACCAGGCGATCTGCATGCTGGACGCGAAGCAGGTGCCCGTGACCTCCATCGCCGCGCGGCTCAAGCGCGCGTTTCCGGACCTTAGGGGAGTGGCTGTCACGCCGGCGATGGTGGAGAGGAGGCTTAGGTGTTTGGATCAGATCCCTGAGGTTGACTATTGGAGACGGGCGCTTGCGGGGGATGACGAAGGCGGAGGAGAGGGGAGATTAGCGGGGAAGGGGAAGGAGAGGGCTGCTGATGCACTGCTGTCAACGCCTACGGAAGCTGATTTTGTGCTCTCGCCCACTTCTGGCGCTGCTGGGGATGGCGGGGGTGAGGCGAAGGGGAAGGGAACGAGGAAGGGGGTGTACTGTAGTATCAGGGACGCGGCATTGGGGAAAGAGAACAGGAAGACGGACAAGGGAAAAGAGAAGGCAGGGCTGGAGGACGGACATCCACCTCGGCGAGTACCTGTGGGTAGGGCGATATGAGGTGGAGAGGGCCGCGATGATCGTGTTGGGGTGGCAGCATGGATACTTGGAGTATCTTCTTTGGCTTTGACCATGGCTTACGCGAAAAGCATGGATTGGCGTTGGAGGCGTGGGAACCCAGTTATGAATCGACGTGGTATGATCGAGGAATGGGAAATCTCGGGTCTTTGGGATCTGGCAGCTCATGCGAGGCTTGCCAACATAATGTAATACCTGAGCAGGGGAGAAAAGTTTGCCAGCTTCACAACCTCGCCCTTATCACCTTGCTAAGGAGGTGCTTGGCTTTCATCAGTTAGCCAAACAGCGGAACCGGCGAGGCGAACTCTGTCCCGTTGAATGATTTGTAGTCTGTTTCGATATCCACTTGGCACTCCAGCATACGAAAAGGCTATGGATAAGAACTAACTCCCTTCAAATGTTGGTTGCCCAACGCCTCCTGATTTGCCAAATGCGTCTTGAGATCCTCACAAATCCTACAACTCGAAAAAAGCGGACACCAGACATCCCATACGCCGCCCGTTAGAACCGTCATATCCAGATCATCTCGTACCATCATGCATCATCATAGACCCGCTCGTTTCAGAATACTCCGCTCAGCCCCCACACCCCATCTCACACAAACCCCCCGGCAGCCTTCTGCCGATACTCCTCAAAGCTCTGCGGACTCTCCCTAACCGCGCCCCTCTTGACCTCCTCCTTGCCTAACAACTTCGCCTCCCACGCCTCCTCCTCCGCCGCAATCGTCGCATGGAACCGATGCCGATCCCCGCGTGCAAAATACATCGGCGCCGCCTCCCTCCTCGCGACCCCCTCCGTCACAAGCACATACTTGATCCCACTCCCGGGGGCCTCAAACATCGCGTCTCCGAGCAGCCGCTCCAGCACGGTTCGTAGCCCGCGGGCGCCGGTCCCCATATCCTTGGCCACGCGCGCGACTTCGTGCAGGGAGGCGGTCGTGAAGCGCAACTCGATACCTGAGAGCTGAAAGAGCTGCTCGTACTGCTTGAGCAGCGAGTTGCGGGGTTCGGTGAGGACGCGCACGAGCGCGGAGGCGGAGAGCGGGGACAGAGCGCAGGAGATGGGGATGCGGCCGATTAACTCGGGGATCAGGCCGTATTTCTGGAGGTCGGAGGGCTCGACGAGGTCGAGGGTGTTGTAGAGGGGTTCGTCCTGGGGGTCTTTGCCGCCGGAGGAGGAGGCGGCGGTGGTGTGGTGGGGGAAGCCGGGACTGCTGCCGCTACTGCTGGGCTGGTGCTGCGGGCTGTGTGTCTCGGGCACGTAGAAGGGGAGGTGCTTCTTGAAGAGCGCGTCTTCGCCTCGCAGCATCGTGTCATGGGTCCCTGTCTCCGGGCTCGAGGCGCGGACGTGGGCCCCGAAGCCGATGCTGCCGCGCGAGATGCGGTCGAGGATCATTTTGTGCAGGCCGATGAAGGCGCCCGTGAAGATGAAGAGGATGTTGTCCGTGCGCACGTTGTAAACTTCGTTCTTCGCGCCGCCGGGGGATAGGGGGTTCATGTTGCCGCCACCGAGGCCACCGCCGCCTAGTGGGCCGTGAGATGGGAAGCCGCCGCCTGGGGTTGTGCGCCCGCTGCCGGGTCCACTGCCGCCGGCACCGCGCTCGGCTTTTGCTTGGATCTGGAGGGTTGTGCCTTCGATTATCTTAAGTAGAGCTTGTTGTACGCCTTCGCCGGAGACGTCTTTCCCATGCGCCACCTTAGCCGCAGCGATCTTATCGATCTCGTCAAGGCAGATGATGCCGCGTTCGGCGCGCGCAACGTCGTAGTCTGCGGCTGCCAGAAGGCGCTGTACGCACACGTCGGCGTCTTCGCCTATGTATCCGGCTTGTGTGAAGGGCGTGCAGTCGGACATTGAGAAGGGGACCTCGAGGACGCGGGCGAGGGTCTTGGCCATCAGTGTTTTGCCGACACCAGAAGGGCCGAGTAAGAGGATGTTGGACTTCTCAATGGTAAGTGGCGTGGTGTCGAGGATGGGGCTCGACTCGGGCGGTGGAGGGAAGGATTGGTAGTTTGGTGGTGGGTAGAGGTTTATAGTTGGTTGCTGACCGGGAAACTCATCTGCCAAAAACATTAGAATGGGTTGTATATATAACCGCTCAGATCTGGGACAGTGCGAACCCTCTACTGGGTGTCTCTGCCCCATCTCTCGCCGGGCTTGCTGCGCATGTAGCTCGGCCTCTTCTTCGTCTCGTCTCTCTAGCTCCTGTATCCGCTGATAGTGGTTGTATACCGCGACACTGAGCACCTTCTTTGCCCTCTCTTGTCCTACGACGAACTGGTCAAGGTGGTGCTTGAGCGCCTTGGGAGTGATTCGAGGGGCGCCGACGTTGCTCGTCCCCCCCAGAGGTCCTATGGTAGGCCCCCCAGGCTCGTAGACGCCTGTGAACGGCTGCCCCCCAAAGTCCGAGCGATTGAACTGGCCGGACGAGCATCGGGAGGTGGTTGTGGTGAAGGTTCGGCGGATGGAGTAGAGGGCGAGGTAGGACAGGCGAGCGTGCGCAGAGACGCTTATGGGAGCTGGCGCCATGCTGAAGCAGAAGAGCCTCCGAGCCGACGCTGGAGGCTCGTGGAACGGCGTTGGATGGCAGGTAGCTGGATGGTTGCGGCTACAGCATGCTTCTCCGCCCTCTTGGCCGAGGCCTGCGGGGTCCCCACTGGCGACTGATGGAGCGAATACCGCGATGAAGCGTCGAGGCACGAGTCGCGAGGAAGTAGGAGAGCTAGGATCGACACCAGCCTCTAGACCAGCAGAGGCTCTATATTGGTACCTCGGTAGATACGATGCAACATGCACCGACGCAGCGATCACGGTGGGAGGAGGCGTTGAGGTACAAAGTTACCTACATGGGTACCTGGGCACATCTGATAAGCGGAGGCGGTGGAGGAACGCGGCCCGACAGCGGAGGATCGGCGGAAACCCCCAGCGGAAGCCTTACTGTTTGTAGCCCAACTAGAGCTTTTCTGGTGACGTCTTTTTGCAGATTCGCTTAGGCTTCCCGCTCCCTGTCGGTGCACGGATGGATCCATGCATGTTGAGCTCTCTTGTCGGAGATCCCTCAGCAGCTCGACCCTTAGGGTGCAATGGTGGGTGGCGGGGATCGCATGCTTGGTCCAGTACCCCGCTATCACAAGAACTCTCCCGCTCTAAACCCCTACAAATCTGCCATCATTCCCCACTTGCTCTTCTTAAAACATCTATCTTTCTGCTCCACCACCTGTCCAGTTCCTCAATCGCATGCAGGCTTGAGCAGTACTCTCAATTCTAAGCAGCAATGGGTCTCAGCACTCTGAATGAAGCGTCGGACAACTCCATGATGTCGGAGCCCGCCCAGGCAATGCCTGCTGACGGCACAGGTATATCTGCTGTCAGACGATCATGAACTCGTGCAAAGCTGATGCGCCCCAGGCATTGTCCAGCTCGATCCCTGGCTGTCGCCCTTCAAGGAGCCTCTTCGCAGCAGATACAGCAAGGCGCAGGAGTGGATCAAGAAACTGGATGAAAATGAAGGGGGGTTAGGACAGTTCAGCAAGGTAGGGGACCGCGTACAGCTGGGGGCTGGGAAGGCTCAAGCTGATTGTGCATGCAGGGCTACGAGAAGTATGGTTTCCACGTACAGGACAACGGTGACATCGTGTACCGAGAATGGGCGCCGAACGCGCTTCGAGCATACCTTATTGGGGATTTCAGTATGCAAGCAACTATTATGTTTGCATGGCTGGCGGCTGACATGTTTTGCTCTAGACGGATGGAACCGCGACTCGCACGAAATGAAGAAAAACGACTTTGGCGTCTTCGAGATCACACTGCCCGCAAACAATGGCCAGCCAGCAATCCAACACGATTCCAAGATCAAGGTGCGTCTCACGTTGCGCTCTGTGTCTGGCCAATAGCTACTGACCCAACCGTTCGACTACAGATATCCCTCGTCGTTCCCAACGACCAAGCGCGCCAGGAGCGCATCCCAGCTTGGATCACAAGAGTCACCCAAGATCTGTCAGTATCTCCAGTATACGACGCAAGGTTCTGGAACCCACCCAAGGAACAGAGATATGTCTTCAAGAACCCCAAGCCAAAGAAGCCTGCCAGCGCCCGCATCTATGAGGCGCATGTCGGTATCTCATCGCCTGACCCGAAGGTTGCCACATACAAAGAGTTCACGCAGAACATCCTCCCCCGAATCAAACATCTCGGCTACAATGTCATTCAGTTGATGGCGATAATGGAGCACGCCTATTACGCCAGCTTTGGCTACCAGATCAACAGCTTCTTCGCTGCTAGCAGCCGCTACGGGCTCCCGGATGATTTGAAGGAGCTCATCGACACCGCGCACGGTATGGGCATTACAGTGCTCCTGGACGTGGTCCACAGTCACGCCTCGAAGAACGTGCTCGATGGACTGAACATGTTCGACGGCAGCGACCACTGCTATTTTCATGAAGGCCAAAAAGGAAGACACGAGCTCTGGGACAGCAGGTTGTTCAACTACAGTCACTACGAAGTCCTTCGTTTCCTTCTTAGCAATCTACGATTCTGGATGGATGAATATCAGTTCGACGGATTCCGGTTCGATGGTGTGACAAGTATGATCTACACCCATCATGGTATTGGCACGTGAGTTTCCCTCTCTCCAGGTCACTTGCACGACGCACTAATCATTGCAGTGGCTTCTCCGGCGGATACCATGAGTACTTTGGCCCAGGTGTTGATGAGGACGGCGTTGTGTATCTTATGCTCGCCAACGAGATGCTCCATTCAATCTTCCCCGACGTCATCACCATCGCTGAAGATGTCTCGGGCATGCCCGGCCTCTGTGTAGCACTGTCGCTTGGCGGCGTTGGCTTTGATTACAGACTGGCCATGGCGATCCCGGATCTCTACATCAAATGGCTCAAGGAGAAGCAGGACATCGACTGGGACATGGGCAATCTGGCATTCACTCTGACGAATCGCCGACACGGCGAGAAGACGATCGCGTACGCAGAGAGTCACGATCAAGCGTGAGTGCTTACCAGGTGGTTATTGTTGATATTGGCTGACGCACAGCAGGCTGGTCGGCGACAAGTCTCTCCTCATGTGGCTCATCGATGCCCAGATATACACGCACATGTCGGTGCTGATGGAGCTGACGCCTGTGGTAGATCGTGGCATTGCCATGCACAAGATGATCCGGCTCATCACACACGCGCTTGGTGGTGAGGGCTATCTCAACTTCGAAGGCAACGAGTTCGGTCATCCCGAATGGCTCGACTTTCCAAGGGAGGGCAACAACAACAGCTTCCACTACGCACGCCGACAGTTCAACCTAGTCGATGACCACAACCTTCGTTATAGGTTCCTCAACGAGTTTGACAGCAAGATGCAGTGGACCGAGGAGAAGTACGGCTGGCTGCATTCGCCGCAGGCGTACGTCAGCCTGAAGAACGAGAGCGACAAGGTGATCGTCTTCGAGCGAGGCGGTCTCTTGTGGATCTTCAACTTCCACCCGTCATCTAGCTTCACGGATTACCGGGTCGGCATTGAGCAAGAAGGCACGTACAGGATTGTGATCAACACCGACAGCAAAGACTTTGGTGGACACGATCGGATAGACGAGAGCACGAGATTCTTCACCACCCCGTTCAGCTGGAATGGGCGCAAGAACTTCCTGCAGGTCTACATCCCCAGTAGGAGCGCTATCGTAAGTTTTCACTTGTTTGAAGCGTAAGATCCTTTCGCTGACTTGACTAGGCCCTGGCCCTCGAATCTACCTTGTGAACCTAGCATAGACGCATTAGCTTTGCTGTACATCTGTCTGTATTGATAATGGCCTTCGCAGCCAACGCTTTGTAGTCTGTAGCTCCCTTTTTGTGTAGTTGGACGTAAAACATGTAGCAGGCAGGCGTGACAGATCACGTGATGATGAATGCCTGTCCAGTCAATGGAATGCTCGACTGGACAGCGCTGCCACTCTCGAAGCTCCGAGAGACAGTTCTCCGGAGCTCAAACGTTTCTTCAGCCCTGGTCGAGAAACGACATTGGAGTGAGTGAGCGAGCGTAAGAGCGTAAGAGGCTCCATTGCGTGTTGGTGCTCGGACGCCGCACGCTCATTGGGCCGACGCTAGCGCGAGCTCGGCAGAGATGGCAACTTTGCTCCTCCCGACCTCACCTCCCTCGAGCTCCATCTCACCAATTCGCACCTCTCCACTCCCCTTCCATCGCCGTTGCGACACCCCTCACAATGTTCAAGAGGTACCCTCGCCCTTCCTGCAGATGCAATTGACCACGCTTCGGAGCTAACGAGATGGACCTGCAGCGGCATCACCCGGTCGCTGCGAGCCTCAGCATTCCGCCGGCCAGCGACCGTACAACGCGCCTGGAAACCCATCACAAAGAACTTTGCTCCCGCTCTGTCGGCGAGGTTCGCAAGTACAGATTCTGCGAAGGATGGCAAGATTCATCAGGTCATTGGCGCCGTCGTCGACGGTAAGAGAAAACCCTTCTTGGCCCGTCCCACGGAGGAGCTTCATCGACTGGCCTGGTGCCAACCACAACAGCGCATCCGCTGACCATGATTCACAGTAAAATTCGACACCGAGCAGCTACCGGCCATTCTCAACGCCTTGGAAACGGACAATGGTGGCAACAAGCTTATTCTGGAGGTCGCAGTAAGATGGCACAATCAGCGAATCGTGTCGGACACCTTGCTAAACTCGATAACAGCAACACTTGGGCGAGAATGTCGTCCGGTGTATTGCTATGGACGGTAAGCTCGGAATTTGTTCGGTGTCATTCGATGGCGCTCATCGCAATGATTAGGTACCGAGGGTCTGGTTCGAGGCTCCATCGCTACCGATACTGGCTCACCCATTATGATTCCTGTCGGCCCTGGCACGCTGGGTCGTATCATGAACGTTACCGGCGATCCTATCGATGAGCGTGGCCCGATCAAGCACACCAAGAAGCTTCCTATCCACGCCGATCCCCCACTGTTCGTTGAACAGTCCACCTCAGCTGAGGTCCTCATCACTGGTATCAAGGTCGTCGACCTGTTGGCCCCGTATGCTCGTGGTGGAAAGATTGGTCTCTTCGGTGGTGCTGGTGTTGGCAAGACTGTGTTCATTCAGGAGCTGATTGTAGGATATTCTCCCTTGGCAACAACTTACAAGCTGGCTGACGGTTATTTAGAACAACATCGCCAAGGCCCACGGTGGTTTCTCTGTCTTCACCGGTGTCGGCGAGCGGACGCGTGAGGGTAACGACTTGTACCACGAAATGCAGGAGACCCAGGTCATCCAGCTCGACGGCGAGTCCAAGGTCGCACTGGTGTTCGGTCAGATGAACGAGCCTCCAGGGGCTCGTGCTCGTGTCGCTCTTACTGGGTTGACCGTCGCCGAGTACTTCCGTGACGAGGAAGGCCAGGATGGTAAGCCTGGCTCTTACTGGGCCAGCCGCGGCTGTGTGCTGATGTGCGCTAGTGCTTCTCTTCATCGACAACATCTTCCGTTTCACTCAGGCCGGTTCTGAAGTGTCTGCCCTGCTCGGTCGTATCCCGTCTGCCGTCGGTTATCAACCCACCCTCGCCGTCGACATGGGTATCATGCAGGAACGTATTACCACCACACAGAAGGGCTCCATCACATCCGTGCAGGCCGTCTACGTGCCCGCTGACGATTTGACTGATCCCGCTCCCGCCACCACCTTCGCCCATTTGGACGCCACCACTGTGCTGTCGCGTGGTATCTCCGAGTTGGGCATCTACCCAGCCGTCGACCCTCTAGATTCCAAGTCTCGTATGTTGGACCCCCGTGTTGTCGGCCAGGACCACTACGATACCGCCACAAAGGTGCAGCAGATGTTGCAGGAGTACAAGTCGCTCCAGGACATCATCGCCATTCTGGGCATGGACGAGTTGTCGGAACAGGACAAGCTGACCGTCGAGCGTGCGCGTAAGCTGCAGAGGTTCTTGAGCCAGCCTTTCACCGTCGCGCAGGTGTTCACGGGTATTGAGGGCAAGCTTGTCGACCTTAAAGATACCATCAGGTCGTTCAAGAGCATCATGAACGGCGAGTGCGATGACCTGCCGGAAGGTACGTTTTCACTATTACACTCAATACTCGAGTTCTAGCTGACCTATTTTCTAGGTGCATTCTACATGGTCGGCGACATCGAGTCAGCACGCGCCAAGGGCGAGAAGATTCTTGCGGATTTGGAGAAGTCATAGACGCGCAGCCTCAAGAAGGGAACCGATGTACTGTGAAATTGCCTTCAGCGAGCCGTTCTTTCTCTCAACTTAGCCTTGTACAGAAAATACTATGGGTGATTAAGCAGGGAGATGACGCTCTGCTGATGGCGGTGAAGTGTGAGAGGAGTGTAATCGTAGCTTGAACGTGTCTTGTTGACTGCAATTTGTTTCCCAAGTCTGAAGACCTTACTCACGTCGCGAGATCTTGCGCTTATCCATACTGCCTACCCATACTCCGGGGCGATAGCTTGTATCGCTGATGCATGAGCCACGGTGTTCCTGCGACGTACGAAGGCCTCGTTCGCCAACCCGGACGTTCACCCTGTTCTCAAGCTCCTTACTCGCTTGAGAAAGATTGAATCCGCGAAGCAGCCCCTTTTCTCTTCAGAACGGACGTTGAGGTACATCCTTTGGTCGAAATCCTCCTTGTGGATCGTGAACGCGCGTTGTTCGTTCTCGGGATACAATGAACGGTTTGGTCCTATCTCCAACAAAGCCAACGCAAGTAGTAAAATAGTACCACGGCGGTGTTCTGAATCTTGAAGGACATCTTAGCTGCATGAGGCTCCGCTTGCTTCCTTTCTGGCTGATGTATAGCAGCAGCATGCCATACACTTATAGACCCTACAGCCTTGACAGTTTCGCTCCTTGGAAAAGTCACAAGATAGCACAATTGCAAGGTTGCGCGGACAATCGATAGAAGGTTACTAGACGACTATATGTAGGATTCGAGAGAGCTGCGCAGCACGATACAAGCCTTGTGGCCTTGCTTAGTCACACTAATTCCATCCGTACTCTGATTTCGCAGCGCCTTGCGGCAATCCTAACCGCTGTCATGAGAATGAATTTCCGAAGCAGCTCGCGACAATATCGGACTTCTCAGGAGTCAGTTATGGACTTCCAGCAGATTATAGGTGGCAGAACTCTATGCCGCAGAACAATAGGTAGACGGTAGGAAATGCTAATTATAAAGAACGCAACCGTGAGTAGCTTCACGCATGGCCAGGCTCCAGCACAGCTTCCACAGCCCACTCAAGCCGTCTCGTATTCGCTTCACGAAAGATTAAAGCAGGACCTCTTGCCTCGTGAATCCGGCAAACAGCTTGTGTTTTGCACCAACCCACTTACAACCACCACATTGACCTCAGATCGGAACGTGTTCAGAAGATGGCAGAGAAACCTACTCAACACCAAATCGAAACCCCAAGCCAAGCTCCTCCAGCCAGCAAGACTATCACTCCCCCAGGCGTCAAGGCAATCGAGCACTGGTCCCTCTTCGGCCGACCAGGCCATCCGTCTCCAACACGCGTAACAGCCTCCGCGTGGAAAAGAGAGCCCTTTAAGAAGCCGGAGCATGCCGCATGGCATGTTCCCATCCCAGCCGACCAGCTCGGCACACTGCTGAACGGGTTCTGTCCATCGGCGATGGAGGACAAGTGGTTCGTCTATGCCGAGGGTCCGGATGCAGAGGGACGCGTTTTGATTCATATGCATCGCAGCTGGACGGGAAAGAAGATTGTTGAGCTTGAGATTAAGATTAGGGGCGACAGTGAAGAGGAGAAGAAGACGGGGAGTGCGGAAATCATGGGTATCACTTGGGAGATGGATGAGGAGGTTATTAGGGATCATAGTGAGGAGAAGGCGAAGTACAATGCGCTGGAAGTGTGCAAGTGGGTGCTGGGCGTAAGATTGGTGGAGTAGGATAGGGCGCAGACGGGGAAGGAGAATGGGCCGGCTAAGCTGCTGGGGTCGAAGTGATCTTACTGATGATACGTATTGTGAGGCGACGGTGGGCAGTAAAGAGGGAGGCTTGTTCAAAGTCCGGTGAGAGGAAGAAAGTGACACTATCTGTATCTCAGAGATATACAGCCAGCTCTTAAGACGAGGGGCGATAGGCGCGGATTATGGAGAAGCATCTATATGATATGCTGGTCGGTGACAGCAGCACTACTACCGCCTGATCGAAGTTTCGAAATCATGCGGACGGATTGGTGGAAAGGTGTGTAATTACGGAGACAATCTGCTTGAATGTTACTATCCCTTCAGCCATCGGGGTGGATAAGTAGGTAAATGTACAAGATAGGTAGAAGTTGAGACTATGGCGCTGAAACCGGGCAATTCGAGTCCAATTCCATGGATTCGTGGATCATGGTTACAATCACAGTTCGCTACAACTAGCTCTCGACAGACCCATCTTCATCCCAGTCCCCTTCACGCAGCTTACCAGCGCCTTTTCTCGCGTACATACATGAGTAAATCATACGCGAGGTTGAGGTCTCTCACAACGTCCTGAACATCCTTCTTGCTCAACATCTCCGGATGCTGATACAGTGTTCCTACCACCACATCTCTCAATCCCCTATCACTCTCGATTGTTGAAGTATATGCCTCGTACGCCGCCTGTGAGAACTCGGTGCTGTTCCAAAATGTCCCAGCCTCGACCGCAAACTTCTCGAGCGCGAGTGCTTTGAGCGCCGTGATGTTGTATTTTTCGGCCAAGGCATAGACTTTGGCGTGGATGATGAGGTTAGGAGATTGAATCAGTGGTTGGGTCGCATCTAAGTCTGCTGGTACCGGTTCTTCTGGTGCGTCCTCTGTGGCCTGTGGCGGATCGTTCCAGGCTCTCTGCGCATAGGCTGCCCGCGATGGTCCTTCATCGCTCTCCTGAAGGAGCATGCGTTCAGGTTCAGCCCTAGGTCCTTCATACCAGAAGGAGGACTTTTTCTTGCGCTTTTTCATCTTCTTCGTAGAGCCAGAAGAGTCCCATGGTGCGTAAATAACATCAATCCGCTGGGGCTCAAGCTGGGGAGGGGGAGGAGAAGGCGGCTCTGCTGCTTCAGATAGTGCTTCTTCTACCTGAAGAACCTCCTCCGATGGTGGTGCCTCTTGAGCCGGTGCAGCCTCCTCTTGGTTGTATTCATCACCAGCGTCAACATTCGCTGTTCCCGCTTCGACCTCCTCCGCGGTTCCATCGCCACGGTCATCGTCCTCGCTATACAAGGAAACATGCGGATAGTCGAGGTGATAGAGATAATGCACCATCAGCCTCACAGCCTGAGCGTCGTCGTGTGGGAGCGGAATCTTTGCCGTGCGCGCTTCCTGTTGTATTATTGATATCAGATCAGCCCGGTCCTTTCTAAACGTTTGAATAACCGAAGTTGCACAACTCATTTCTTGTCTACGAACCTTAAACACTCCATTGCAGGCTGCAGCAAAGAACTTGGAGCGTGGACAGACAATGGCTTTATGCACACGGTGTTGGTCGCGACCGCATGTTATGGTAAGGTCGGAGTATGTGTCATCAGTGAAGAGCCTGGTTACAGAGTCAGCGCGGTGCGACGGTTTTAGGAGCGAGGCGATGCAGTTCCCCGGTGGATCATAGAAATCAAAGTATGCTTTCCCCGTAATAGGCCAGCGCAGATGGGCAGGAGGGGTAGGAGCAGGCAGAACACGGACAGAAACAAGAGTGAAATCGAACATACTCGCGCATAGAACACATGAGCTCCTCACGCGGTTTGTCGCCCATCTTGGTTCCTTGTACTCCAATGTAGGTATTCCGCCGCAGATTAGACCTCCCTGGACTCAGAGGTCGCTGACGGGAAAAGAATGGCCCCCAGAGGAAAGAAGGCGATGTGGATGCATTTATCTTGGCCTTGCATCCATGGAAGCCAACTCGACCATGCAAGCTGCGTGCTGCGGGCTTCGGTGGCCCTTCTGCCTTCTGCGGCACAGCAATTTAGCAGCTGATACGCATATGCAGCCATCCTATTTGACGCTGCTCCAACTCCAACTCCGTCGCGTTTTTTTTTTGGAATTTGTCTGGGCTTGGACAGTAGCAATCTCAAATGATTCAGCAGAGGTGTTGGAATGTCTCTTAAGATGCTGCAGTTTCTTTGGAGTGAAGAATGGGCGACAAGGTGGACAAATTGAAGGGTCAACCTGAGGTCAATATTGCAGCTGATTGGACCTGCACGAAATTTGACAGAGAGTTTGTATCTCTCCTCTACGAATACTAGGGATACTTTAGCAGTTTAGAACTCTCTCTCATTTCCATCAATCTGGATATCGTGGCCTACTAACCACGCAAGATTCAGTAAATTAGAAGAACGTGGATTGTAGGAGTTGATATTGGTGTTCTCTTCTCCACCTGATGACAACGCCGTGCAGCTTGGCTCCCATTCAACCTCGTTGTACAACCCTCAGCCTCTTCGTCAGCCTTGAGTTAATATGGTGATGTTCTCCGCGTGTGAAACTGAGACATCTCCTGTTCTCACAAAGCAAACGTCCTCGGTTTTTAGCCGTTCTGTTCCGCAAGTAGTTCCGCACTTTCGGCAACCCGCTTGCCAAACGGCCCGCCCGAGTTTCAGCTCACCGGTCTACTATGGAGTCTCCAAGGCGCCTTCTACGGGGCACCGACCCGGCACGATTATTGCGCCTCGCTTCAGAACCCGTTCCATCAAGCACAGATGAGGAGGCGGGTCATCATGTTGAACATGAGGAACCATTCGAACGGAGTCGGCTTAGTACTACAGGTCACGACATTCGCCTACTGTCCCTTTGCTCAGGCAGATGGGAAGACCACATTCGATGTTCGATCCGCGTGGTTTCACTAGAAGACAACCCGACCTACGAGACCCTGTCATATGTATGGGGGGATCCTAGTATGACCAAGTCCATCTTCGTTGACGGCCATGAGACTCAAGTTACGACTAATCTTAAGGCTGTATTGCGACATCTTCGTGATTCGGACAGCGCGCTCACTATATAGGCCGACGCGATATATATTATACAGGCGGATAATGAGGAGAGATAGCATTAAATCGGCATGATAGGTGAGATACACAGAAGATGCATTCGCGATTATATCTAGCTTGGTTGTCCAGACGCGGATCACCAGATGTCCTAAAGCGGCTGCCATTATAGCCGGTACGACCAAAGCGATAATAACCCGTCCTCAGTCTTCTACCATGATCCAAGACCTAGTCCACCAAGGACGTCGACAGAGATGAAAGAGGCTGTCCCAGGCTCTCCTTTCCTTCACGTCCGCTATATCAGGCTGAATGTTGTTGCGATTGATATTTTCAATATCAGTAACGAGATCCATGGCTATATTACTGTCTTCAGCGACCTCTCCTAATCACAGAACCTGCGAGGCAGCTTGATATATATGTCGCATTTTCTGAATCTGGTGACCTTTCTCATGATGGTCCAGTTGATTGATACAAAGTGCATCGATCCAAAGAACCTTGCCCACCACTTCAGATGGCAGATGGTGGAGCGCATCCCAGAGATTTGGCGTCGCTGGAAACGGGAGTTCATTTAGCATGATTGTGCGCAACTCGAGTCTGTCGCTGCCCTAAGCGTAGGAGAGCGCCTCGTAGTTTGGATTGTCGTCGAGGTTTGCAGGCATAATCCTGCACTTTATGGCGTCGGATCTCTTTCCTGGAAGCAACGAGATCAATCGAATCTCATTACTCGTTGGACCGCTGTCCATATGTCTTGGATCATTTTCTCTCGAGACATTCTCAGCAGAGAAGACCTTGGAGCAATCTACTCGGCGTTCTTGCACCTAGATGAGATTATCCAAGTATCAGCAAATGTGGTAAGGCCAGGTATTGAGCTCTCCAGCGTTCAGAGCCTTCGTAAAATCAATGGAGGCTTACAGTGCTAACTTCGTCGGGCTGCCGCAATCAACAAGCAGCTGATATTCCTAGAGACATCGAACAAGTAGAAAGTTATCAGTCACTTCAATGTTGCCGCCGTCGAGGTGAACTCCTCAGCACAACAAACCCGCTGGTGCCTAACACCGCCGCTTTGATGCCGCTCGTGAGGGGGCATTTCGCCATGCAAACCGGCTAATCGAGAGTAGAAGAGCTTGATGCCCACTTCTCTTTAATCTATGGCCCTATGTGCTTGGTAATGGTGAAAAGAATGGTATATAGTAGTAGATCGGGCCTCGTTCTATACCCGTTGAGATCCGACCTTGTATCGTCATCGGATAGCGCTCCAGCGGTCGTACCGGCGAGAGCGGGCTTTAGATGAAGCTCGCATATGTATGGAATACCTTGGATGTTGTTGCACTACGAGTAGGTTGCTTGCTGATGGCACGTACAAAAAACTCCGTTTTGAGAATTATGCAAAGGTTGCTATCGTGGCATGCCTCCTTCTACAGAAGCCGATAAGCCCTAGTCGTTTAATGTATCTACAGCTTCATTACAGCCATGGATGAGCAAAAAGATGGTCATGTCATCACCGGTCAACTAAACCGGCTCAACGCTTTTTCCACGTCTCCAACCTTCAACTCCTCCTTACATACCCCTCCCTCACAAACCTGCACCCTCGGCTTCCCCGGATCCAGGCTCCTGAAAAGCTCATTCCTCTCCCTCAGCCACTCCGACTTACTCCCACCCCCCAGTCTCGCCACCGTTCTCGTAGTCCCTGCACTCTCCCTAATCCTCCTCACCGCCTCCTCGACCTCCTCGCCCTCCCCACAAACAACCACGCTCTTCATGCCCAGCACATCCGCAACTATACTCGTCATCATACTCGAGAACAAAAACGGATGCTGCCCAACCTCCGCCTCAAACGCCCCGCACGTCCTCCTCGCCCGCTCCGTATAGGTTTCATCCTCGAGCAAACTCCCCAGCCGCCACAGATTGTTTGCGCTGACACCGTTAGTGCCCGGCTCGGCATTGTCCATGCCATCCTTCAGGCGCAAAATTAAATCCGGCTGGTCCGGCGCTGTCGAGAAAAACCCGCCCCCCACATCGTCCCAGAATTGCGCGATCTGGGCCTGCTGCAGCGTGTCCGCGAACCGGAGGTACTGGTCGTCGAAGGTCGCCTCGTAGAGGTCGATGAGGCCGGAGATCAGGAAGGCGTAATCGTCTGCGAAGGCTGGTGCGTCACCGGGGCCTTCGCGGTACACGCGCTTCATCGTGGAGGTGCTCTCGTCGAAGAGCTCCGACTTGATGAAGTGTACCGCTTTCTCGGCGGCGGCGAGGTAAGTGTGGGACTTCTCTGGGTCAGAGGCTGCGAGGGCTGCGCTGGTGCGCGCGAGTGCGCCGACGGCGAGGCCGTTCCAGCCCACGACGATCTTGTCGTCCAGCGCTGGTCGAGGGCGTTCTCGGTTCCGGTGCTCGAGGAGTTTCTGCCTGCTCTTGGCGATGATTTGGAGGATGTCTTCGCGAGACATGCCGTATACCTTTGCCAGTTGCTCCGGAGTCCGTCTGATGCACAGCACGTTCTGATTGGTAAGCTCGTCGTGTGCATCGTGTTCAGGGCTCACATTCCCGCTGTCACGCACGTCCCAGTACCGCGCGCAGATCTCAGCATCCTGCTCGCCGAGAATGGACTGGAACTCCTTGAGCGTCCAGACATAGAAGGCGCCTTCGCGCTTCTCGGTGTCTTGCGGCCGGTAGTAGGAGTCTGCGTCCTCGGCGGAGAAGAAGCCGCCGGTTGGGCTGTGCATGGGTGGCGTGGTGAGGTAGGTCGCGATGTCATGGACAGTTTCGAGCATCACGGGATCTTTGGTGATGAGGTAGGCGTCAAGGTAGACTTGGAGGAGCTGGCCCTGGTCGTAGAGCATCTTCTCGAAGTGGGGGAGACTCCAGTCGCGGGTTACGGAGTAGCGGGCGAAGCCGTTGCCGATCTGGTCGTGGATTCCGCCGCGGGTCATGGCATTGAGAGTCGCGAGGACCATCTTCTGCGCGTTGTCACACTCTTGTGCTCCCACTACGTCTTGGACCGCGCTTGGGTATTGGCTAAGGCGGATAAGAAAGGAGAGGTTGACAGGCGTCGGAAACTTGGGCGCGCCACCAAAGCCGGCGTACATTCTATCGTACTTTCGTTCAAAGTGCTGATACGATTCTTCGAGGAGCTCCAGATCTAGGCCGTCGCCTTCGTGGTCCGCATTGTCTTTGCTGATAGTGCCTTCGTTGGCGAATTCACGCAGTTGTTCTGTGATCGCGTTCCCGGATTCTAAGCAAACTTCCGGCTTATCTCGCCAGAGATCCCGAATCTTTTGCAGTATTCCTAGAAATCCGATGTGGCCGCGGTGCCCTGTTGCCGACGAAGGGCCTGGCCAGTATGTTCCCCCGAATATAGGTTTCAGGTCAGGGGTGAGGAAAACATTCAGCGGCCAGCCTCCCGACCCTGTTGTTGCTTGGACGTAGTTCATGTATATGCGGTCGACGTCCGGCCGTTCCTCACGGTCGATCTTGATAGGTATGAAGGACTCGTTCAGGATTCTGGCGATCTCTTGGTTCTCGAAGGACTCTCGCTCCATGACGTGGCACCCTGGGCTCTCTGTTAGAAGCCATTCTAGGCTATCGCTGAGCTGGTGGAAACATACAGTGGCAGGCTGCATAGCCAATGCTGACAAACAGAAGTCGGTTGTGCTTCTTCGCCAGCGCAAGAGCTTCTGGTGTCCACATCTGCCATGCTACCGGATTGTTCATATGTCCTCGGACCTGTTATAGCCGTCTTAGCTTGTGGTCTCTTCCTACTTCTTTAGTAGTACGGCCGGCGTACTCACATACGGACTCCTGCTCTCATTGAGCCTGTTGCTCAGGTTCAACTCGGTTGCGCTCGCCATCTTAGAGAGCTGCGTATGTAGGCTAGCGTAGGAGCAAAACGGGCGAGCTATGTGTGTAGCGCGCCTAGCTGTCCGGAAAGCAGAGAGGTAAGTCTCGCGACACAGGTGATATCTTGGTGGGCGCCGCGCGAACTGGACAATACCAGTGCTCCAGGTAAGTCGCATGCAGGAATTGATTCAAAATTGATATATGGCAGACTTTGGTGGCGAGAAGCGAGGGCAGTTGCCACCGAGGTGGTTCTGTTTACTCCACCCTCATCGCCGTCGTCATTGCCGTAAACGTCAAGATGCGATAATCAACTTATCGATACCGCCGCATCGTGAGTCTTAGCATAGTCCACGCCGCAACGCAGACACTGGCCTCTTATCCGCCAGCAGTGTCTTCGTTCTGAGGAAGAGATGATAGAGCCTAAATAAAGGACGGCAAGTTTAGTCCCAGCTGCGAACGAACGGTAGAGTCGATCCACATGTATTTCGCGCAATGAACGAGTTCTACACTCGCGCCAGCAGGCGGCCAGCAGGCGGCCGGCTCCTCCCGCGTCTAGCGGCAGAGATGTGATTCGTCCCAAGCTCGGTTCTGCGCGTCAATCGCGCTTGAAGTCTGCGGCTGCGGCTCTGCTGTCACGGCAGCGCCCATCTTCGAGCTAGGACTTCGTCTGTCACCGCGACATCTCAACAACACAGCACACAACAGCTCCAGGAACACAGCTTCTCGCAATGATGATGCTCAGCTTACCGCCCATCATCCCCCGCGATGTACGTCGGCGCCCATTTCCTCTTAACCTCCATCTCCCCCACTAACGTCCCGCCCAGGACCACATAATAGGCTACCCCTCCGCCCTCGCCTTCTCCTCCCTCGACACCGACAACGATGACAACCTCACCTCCAACCCACACCAACATCCCGCCCGCCGCCCGCAAACGAGCCAGTCCAATCCGCGCACCCCCCTCGCCCTCCTCGCAGCCGACGAAAAGCTAGTCCAGCAGCGCAAGCAAAACGTCCGCCGCTTCGGCGCCGGCTGGTTGCGCCCGCCAGGCATCAACAAGACGTACCAGGCGACCATGGACGAGGCGGCGGAGCGCGAGGAGCAGGAGGCGCAGGCGAGGCGGGAGATGGCAATGATGGAGCTGGCGGAGGCGGAGCGGGAGGAGGAGGAGAGGAGGAGGGTCGCTGAGGGGGGTGATGAGGAGGGGGAGGAGGAGGTGGGGGAGAGAGATTTGGATGCTGACGTCCCGGAGGCAGACGATGGGGAGGAAGAGGAAGAGGATGACGAAGACGAAGATACGGAGGGGGATCATGAAGGCGCGAGTTTCAACGAGGAGAGCTTCATTGAGGGGAGCGAAGTCATGGCCCCCGAAGAGATCAACGAGATGTTGGAGATGGAGGAGGCGGAGATGAGTGGCATCTTGCAGGAAGAGAGGGAGCTGGGGTTCGGCGAGAGGGATCTGGATGATAGTGTCCCAGAGGCGGGCAGCTATCAGCATACGGATACCGAGTTGGAGGAGGAGAGCAGCGAGGAGGAGATGATGTCGGCGCCGCGTCACGCGCAAGTACAGATGATGCCGCCGGCGGGATCGAGGAGGGTGACGCCGTTGAGGGTCCAGCATCAGGATACGCCGCCGTTGAGGTCGCGTGGGAGAGGACTGAGGCCTGATGCGGGCTCCTTCGACAGCTCTGAGCTCGGCGCTGGCAGCTCATCCTTCCTGGGGAGCAGTCCGTTCGCTTCAAGGGGACGGACTCTTGGGGATGACTCACGCCAGAGGATGCTCAACACCAGACCGCCGCAACGGCGTGGACATTGATCACCAGGACTAGAGCTCAGGATTGCGTTTTCAGACATTGGTAAGCGCGGCGCTACCTCCAAGCATATGATACCCAACATTAGGCGATTGCTCTTGTAGACTACACGAGCTCCCAAGCTCTTTCCCAATTGTATGATCCATGCCAAATCAATGCCCGAAACGCCTTGCTATGCAGGATGGTTGCAGAATGCACCGAAAACAAAACAAGCCGATAGGCCCTGCGTGGGCAAGCCCAGGGCATTTGAGAGCTTCCCCTCATTCCAGATCGCAGCCAGAGGGCTACTCTGAGCCTTGTCTCGCGAAATCTAGAACAACCACACATACCAAAAAAGTACGATGACCGCCGCGAAGAAGCCGAGCCAGACCTTCCAGCCGACTCCCGTCCGCTCGGCCATCCGCAGCATCCGATTCATGGTACCCCGTAGCCGAACTCTCGTGTTGTCAAAAGAATCATTCATCTTCTCCGCCAGCGCCGTTGAGTCGCGTATCTCGCCCCCTATCGCTACTGTGAGCTGCGCCCAGCGTCAGCCCCCTTCTTGTCTCCTACACTGTCCAAAATGAAGGTACCACTCACATTCTTCAACATCTTGACCTTCGCACTCATCCCCTCCAACTGCTCCTCGTTCTGATTCTCCAGCTCTGAGAGGACGGCATCGCTGTACTGGCCCCTCGAATTTGGCGTGGCTGCTCGATACGTCCCCCCATGATTCGGTCCGCCGCCGCCTGGGTACGCACCGAATGCGGGACTACTGCTGCTGGCGCCGCCGTTGTAAGGTGCGTAGCCGTAGCCGCCCGAAGCTGGCCGACTGGTGGAGGGACCGGCGGCGGGGGATTGGGAGCGGTTGCGGGAGTCGTAGGCGCTGAAGAGGGAGGAGCGGGCGTCGCGGGGGTGAGTGGAGGAGGGGAATCTGAAGGACATTGTCAGTAAGCGTTGTGCGCATATCTTGGGAGGCGACACACACCTTGAGGACATTGTGGTTGTTTGGTCGCATCAGGCCAGCTTGCGGCTTTGAACTTTGACCCTGACGTAGGGCTGCGAGATTTTGTACGGCGGGCGGTTCGGCTGGAGTGGCAGTTCGCGCGACTCGTGATTTCGTGTCGGCGCGCTGCCAAGATATCAAACTTCCAGGTTTTGGCGACAAGCGTATAGCTTTCGGTCCATAGCACTATCAGAATGGCTTGATCTTAGCTACGCAGTTTACGAGATGTTCGCTCTGCAGAGCTTTGGCCGGATGCAGGGGGCCTCTCGAGGCAGCATCCCGCGAAGACAGCTGTTTACGGCCATCAGACGCCGAACTCCGCTAATTCCAGCGTGAGTATGGAGACGGTCTGGGAATGAGACAACCTATTGACATTCTTATGGTTCAGGCCGCGTCCTACTTGCCGCGCTCCTCTAGCATCGCCGAGCGTACGGTATGCTTCCTTGGAGGCCGGCGAAGATGACTCTGGTCACATTTCCTCAGGGCCGAACGAGGGCATCCTTTTCTTTGGCAGTATGTTATGACTATGAGCTTCTTGAGCCTATCCGTTAATGTATGCTCTAGGTGTCCTCCCGCTGCGACTCCAGTGGCTTCTCCGGCTACCGTTCCACACGGATAGGATAGCCCCAGAGTTCCTGAAGCGCATCAATGACAACCCCACGATAGCTGCGGCCGACCCTGTAAAGCTGATGCAGAAGGCCATGAGTGGTCAGCCAACGCTACAGATCAAAGAGGTCCTCCCAAGGCTCAAAGAAGGCGGTGCCTTCGTAAAGTTCAGCCACGACGCGAGCGCTTCCCCCAGCGAAGTCGAAGCGGCATTGAAAGCGTACCTCAAGGAGAAGCAGATCAGACCATGGTGGAACCCTTTCCAGCGGATCCGTGCAGCCCTGGTGCGCGGCCGACCATGGGTAGAAGACCTTTATCGGCTGCCGAGCTCCAGGGTGAAAGTGGAATTCATGCCGTCAGGTCCAGGCGAACAAGCGGCAGAGCTGTCGCAGGAGCAATTGTATAGCTTCTTCAGGCCTTATGGCAAGCTAGCGGACATCATAGCACAGCCTGCAGACTCGAAAATCGTACCCAGATTCGCGTATCTCGACTTCGCCGATGCCCGTCGTGCAATCATGGCGAAGAACTGCATGCACGGCTTCAAAGTGCTAGAAGAGGAGGGAGGTGGCAAGGCAGGCACAATCTTCCGCCTTACGTACGAGCGGAAAGCGAAGCCTCATTGGATTCGGGATTGGTTCTTCAATCACCCCAGAATCGTCATTCCTGCGCTGGCAGTCCTCATTACCTCGATCACCGTAGCCATCTTCGACCCTGTCCGAACCTTCTTCATCAAGGCGCATATTACCCGCCAGTTCCACTTGACGGACAATAGGATTTACAAGTGGTTCAAGGCCCAAGCCACTGACATCTTGGTAAAAATGCGCCACAAAGACGACGACGATGCCGGTATGGAAGCTGTCTGGGACGACCGTAAAGATCTTATCGAGCAGATTCAGACTTGGTTACTGGAATCTGTGAACACCTTCATCATTGTGCAAGGACCTCGCGGCTCGGGCAAGAGGGACTTGGTGGTCGATCAGTCTCTGAAGCACAAGAGGTACAAGGTCATCATCGATTGTAAACCCATCCAGGAAGCCCGCGGTGACAGCGCGACCATATCCGCAGCGGCGGCACAAGTGGGCTACAAGCCGGTCTTCTCCTGGATGAACAGCATCAGTGGCATGATCGATATGGCTGCCCAAGGCGCGACTGGCGTCAAGACCGGCTTCTCGGAGACGCTGGACTCGCAGTTGACCAAGATTTGGAACAACACAGCTACAGCGCTCAAGCAGATAGCGCTGGATGGCCGCAAGAAGGACGACAAAGATGCCCACTTAGGAGACGACGAATGGCTTGAGGCACACCCCGAGCGCCTGCCCACAGTCGTCATAGACAACTTCTTGCACAAGAGCCAAGAAGGGAGCGTTGTCTACGACAAGCTAGCTGAATGGTAAGCCTGCCTGCAACCTTATTCAATTCCCCATACCAACGTGAAACCTAGGTCCGCGGGTCTCATAACCGCAAACGTCGCGCACGTGATAATTCTCACAAACGACGTCTCCTACTCCAAATCCCTCAGCAAAGCGCTCCCCAACCGCGTCTTCCGCGAAATCTCCCTCAGCGACTGCTCCCTCGAAACCGCCAAGCGCTTCGTCATTACGCACCTCGACGCCGACAACGATGACCTCCCCGTCGACCCTTCAGAGAAACACCTCATGCCCTCACAGCGCCGCAAAGACCTGCACGAGCTCGACGACGTGCTCCCCCTCCTTGGCGGCCGCCTCACCGACGTCGCATTCCTAGCCAACCGCCTCAAGTCCGGCGAGACGCCGTCCAAGGCCGTGCGGGAGATAGTGCGGCAGTCCGCGTCCGAGATTCTGAAGATGTACATCCAGGGCAGCGACGAGGAACGGAGATGGAGCCCCGAGCAGGCCTGGCATCTGATCCGGACGCTCGCGGCGAAGGAGACGCTGCGCTACAACGAGATCCTGCTCGCTGACACATACAAATCCAACGGCGAGAAGGTTCTACAGGCGCTTGAGCAAGCGGAACTCATTTCTGTTGTCTCGGTGAACGGGCGACCGCACTCCATCCGCCCGGGCAAGCCGGTGTATCTGCCGGCATTCAGGCTGCTGCATGAGGACCGCGTGCTAAGGAGCCGGCTGGATCTGGCGCTGCTCAATGAGAGCATCAAGGTGGAGAATGTCTCGATTGAGAAGTACGAGACGGAGCTGAGGAACCTGGCCGAACTGCCGAAGCAGCCGACAGAGCTAGCGCCGAGGATCAAGTGGTTGTTGGGGAAGGTGGAGGCGAGTCAGACCAAGGTGGAGGCGTATGAGAGTGAGAGTAGTGCGTTGAAGAAGGTGCTGGTGAGTGAGTATTAAAGGGGGGTTGGACGCGCTTGTGGGGATTGTGAATATTTTGTACTTGGTCTTTCGCCGCGGGGCTGCTTATACGTGATACCATCTCCTACTATGGTCAGCAACACTCCTTGCTCAGTTATGCAAGCTTCTCAAGTCTCGAAAAATACGCTTCATCTTGTCTCGCAATGCTCCGTGCCGTACTCCGAAAGAATGCAGATTAGGCCACTATAGCGAAACGCCTCCAATGCCTGCCGACCAACTTCCGTCTCAACGACCACGCACGACCCAAAACGACTCAAAGCCGACCCAGTTCACTTCGTTCTGCTGTGCCAGGTCAGCGAAACAAAATCCAGCTTCCCAAAGCCATAAACTCAATCACCGCCTTCCCCGGGCCATCCTCGCCCTCATCCGCCTCAACTGATCATCAGCTCCCGACCGCCCCACAGGCTGCGCATTGGCCGGCACATTACTCCTCGGTGCGATCGTGTAGGTCTGCGTAGGCGTTTCGACTCTGGCACGATTAGCCAGATTGGGTTTGGCAAGCGCGCGCTCGCGGGCCGCTGCAGCAGCGAGCGCTTGGCTGGACTGAGATTGAGCTTGGCGCAATGGGAGGCGCCTGTTTCTTAGGTCAGCAAATCCATCTTCGAGAACTGAAGGAGGATATGAGGTGGAGCTTACGTGGGATCGTAGTCCGCCTCAGCAACTTCACGCTTGCGCCAATCGTCCGTGCGCTTGAGGATCGGCCGGCTCCAGTCCGCGAGCAGCTTGTCCGCTTGCCGCTTGATGGCCGGCTCGACGCGGGGGCTCTTGGTGTAGAAGAGGACAACTCTGCCAACTCCGCTGGAGCTGAGGGTTTCCTTGGTGATGGGCAGCCTACCCAGCGCGGCGAAGAGCTCGCGCTGGATGTTGTAGGCCGGCATGCTGCCATCCTCGAGCGGCTCCAGGAAGAAGCGGACGGCTTCGAGGAGATTGGTCTCGGGATCTACGAGGTTGTTGGCGATGTTGTTGCGGTTTAGGAGGCTGACGACTTCTGGGAGAAGCTTGAGCTTTTGCACGACGATTTTGCCTTCTTTGCGCGCGTTGTTGTCGGCTTTGGCTGCTTCGGTCATGCGGACGCGCATTTCCTCGATCTCAGCGTCTTGCATTCCGTCGAGATCCTGTAGCGTTGGTTGGTTAGCTACGGCCGTCAAGGAAATGAATGGCTGCGGAGAGAACTCACAATACCGTCCGCCTTGCGCCTCCGCTTGTTTGGATTCCGAAGTGCTTCGTCCATAGCCCTATCAAGCGCCCGTTTTCGGCCTGGTGATAGCTTTCGTCAGTGCCCAGGCTCCTCGAACAACCAAAGTCGCCATCATCAAACATACGCTCTTCCGGGGTCAAGCTCTCGTCGTCCTCAATCGGCGATGCCCTCCTCGCCTTCGCCCTCTCCTTCTTCTCGCCGCCCTCCTTCCTCTTCCTGACCCTCTTCCCCTCGATCTCCTCCCCACCACTGAACGCGTCATCGTCATCCTCCCTCCTCTTCTTGTTCTTCTTCGGCTTTTCCCTCCTCGCCTCCTTCCTCTTCTTCTTCCCGCCCTCCCCCTCCTCCGTCCGCTTCCGCTTGTGCACCCCGATGAGCCCTACATTTGAGTCATCGACCGCGATAGCCGGCCGATCCTCGATAGCAATGTTCGCGGGGTCGAAGTCCTCGAACTGCGCTTCGTCGACTTCGGAGAGCACGGACTCGTTGTCGGATAAGCCGTCCTGCTCGACTTGGTCTTCGGTGGCTTCCATATCCATGGTCGGCGCGGCGAGAGGCGGGTTGGGAGTGGAGTTCTCTTCATCGGTTTCTGGACGAAGGGGGTCGTCGGGGTCGTTGCCAGCTTCGGGGAGTGGGGAGCGAGGGGGTGTGGTGTCTGGGACTGGGAGGTCCTCCATTCTGGGACTGATATTGATGATATGGCTGAGCGAGGGAAAATTCGGGGTGGAGGATGGGGTTCCGTGAGATCTTGTTCGCTCGAGTAAGTGCGATGCTAGGCGCGAGCGATTCGAAGCGGCGGTCGTGAAGGGTTGTGGTTCTTTGGAAGAGTCGCCGTTGAAGCTCAAGAACACACGTGACGTCGGATGTGACCCGAAGAAAGCCCGACAACTAAGCTTCATGCAAGCGCATCGGGGAGAAAGTTCGCGGTCATCGTCGACATCAACCTCCACCAAACAAAAAGTGCTTGATACAAGTATTTCGCCATGTTCGGAGGACGTAATGCCCCCCCGATTCCAAGTCGTGAGCTGGTTGAGCTGACTTGCCACTGTAGCACCACCAGCACCAAGCAAAGCCGAGCTACAGGTACGCCTTTACTATTGCGCCGCTTGCATACAAGATCCGTCCTCTCGCCCTCCCGAAATCGCCTTTCTGCGGAGAGAATATTCGCGAGACAACGTGGGAATGCCCATGTTACGATACTTATGCTGACAGCTTCAAGGCTCAAGAAGCCGAAGCAAGCGCAGGTCTTCAGCGCGCCGCTGCTACATGCATCCTCCTTTACCTATGTAAGCCGGGATTGCACTCCGGAGCGACCTCGTAGCTGACAACTGTAGCTCCTCATATCATCAGCTACATCAAGAACCTAGTGTAGAATCGTCCACTGTGCGCGTCCGTTCGAATATGAAGGCGTTTTTGGGGATGATGTCTGGGATCGACTGGGAACTTGTAGCATAAGCGGCATGGTTTACATTGTATCATATGGGGGAGGTGGTCTCGAGTGCATAATGGGAGCCGAGCAGCGACAATCATAAAAGAATATATGGCAAAGCGTCGAAACGCAATGCGACCCGCTTTATCATGTAGTAAATCTGCTCTATCCGCCTAGACGAGTACGCCTAAACTCTTCATACGGATACCCTCCAGAAGACTCTCAAATGCTTGCTGTACCCCTATGTAACACCGTTGACACCTTTCGCTGGAACTGCAGTGGTAGTTTCCCAGTCAGCAAATTCAGACCGTATCTGCTCCAGCTCCTTGTTCAGGTGCGAGAGCTGCGCGTCGTAGTTATTCAGAATCTGCCGGATATCAGTATAAAAGCCTACCAAACGAGACGGGTTAACTCACCTGCTTGACCCTCTTCATCGTCTCATCATCGATAGGCTCTTCGGCCCCGTTCGCTAAGTTTTTCCCAAGCCTCTCCGACTCCTCCTGCAGCAACTTCGCCCTCGCCCTGACCGCCGACATCCTGGCCCAGATCTCCTCTTGCCGCCCATTCAGCACCGGATCAAATGCCCTTCTCTCCAGCTGTACAAGCTTCTTCTTGAGCTCCTCCTCCGCGCTATCCATCGCATAACCCCTATTCCTCAGTACCTGCACCTTGGTCGCCAGACTCAAGCACCGTTGACTTAGCGCCACGTGCCTCCTTCTCGCATCCTGCGCTCTCACCGAGATTTCGAGGTCGTGTCTCTGCATCATGGCCGTGAGGCTGTTGTTGATCTCATGCAGCCGCGACTGCAGCGCGTTGACGGCGTGAATCTGGACGATGAGGCGGTGGGAGATGCCTGTGAAGCCGCGGGCTTGGACCGGTATTGAGTTGGGCGTCGGCTTCTTGGCCAGCGCTTCTTCCCACTTCTTCTCGTCTTCGCCGGAGCTGGGGCCGTAGTAGGGGACATCTTCGGGCCGGACGGAGTTGTAGAAGTAGGTCGTTAGAGCGCAGGCCGGGGATTCGGGGTTCCATTTGTTGTAGATGATTTCCATTTGCTCTGGTATTGACTTCTCGCCTATCAAAATGGGGTCAGCGAATACGTTATGAGGCCGATGATACGGCTGATGACCGAGGGGTACCGACGTGTGCTCATGCCCGGCTGCCATTGCTGCGTCGACCTCCCATACACTGACTGCCCCTGCGGCTGTTGCTGATACGCCCCGAAAACGGAAGAGGTGCCAGGTCGCTGGCTCTGCAAACCTCCGAAGAGGCTAGTGCCCTGCTGTTGCGGCTGCTGCGACGCGCCGAACAGGGTGCTCGTTTGCTGCTGCTGCGGCTGCGCAGAAGATCCAAACAGCCCAGTGCCTTGCGACGGTTGTGCCGAGCCGCCAAAGTGTCCTGAATTCTGCTGCTGCGGCTGCGTGGCCCCTAGAGATCCAAAGAGCGACGTGCCCTGCTGGGGTTGAGAGGTGGTGGTAGAGGCGCCGAAAGAGCTGGGCTGAGCCTGAGTGTTCCCTGTGTTCAGTGACGCGAACATGGCTCTGGTGTTTGCTGGCCAAGTTTGCAACTAATTGCGCTCTGGATGATATCGACGCGGCGTGTGCTGGTTTCGCGGATGTTGATGCTTTGCAGACAAGGCGCGTCAGGACAGAAGGTGAAGGAGGTGGATTTTCCGCGCCGTAGCGACTGGAAATGTCTCGCCCGCAGGAGCTTCTGCTAGGTTAATATCATGGTTGCGGATGCAGCGCGAGGTTGGTCGATCTCGCTGCTGGTCGACGCTTCTCGTGTTGTTTTTGTCTGGACCGTCGTCTCAAATCCAAAAGCGCCAAGACACCCGCGGCTCGACCAACCCGAAGCTCGAGCTCGACCGCCGACCTCACTGCTTGCTTGCGGCCTGCTAACTCAAGAGATTCACGCCCACAATGGCCGCGCGACAGCCAAGGTGAGCAACCCGAACGTTTGAGTTCCCAGACTCTTGCTAATCTCACATAGGTTTAACCAACAGGTGCTCATAGACACCACCCCTCTGCCCGACAACATTCCCAAAGTTACAGAGATCGGAGCCAGCTCGGCGCCGCTACTCAGCGCTTCCTACTTCATTGGCGCACGATGCAAGCCGTACAATGACGACTATATGGTGTGCAAGACGGAGGCCAATGGCAAGGGGGAAATGGAGTGCATGAAGGAGGGGAGGAAGGTTACCAGATGTGCGGCGAGCGTGTACGGATCCCCCGCGCCTTTCTGATTTGAGCGAGAGCGAGGACGGGAGCAGTCAATCTGAGGGCGTCACCGTGATCTCACGGAGCACAACATGCTAACCGCTAGCAACGGCAGACTCGACGATATAAACAAGCACTGCCTGCAGGAGTTCCGGCGGCATTGGGAGTGTCTCGACAACAACAACCAGCAGCTGTGGCAGTGTCGAGGAGCGGAGAGGCAGCTGAACAAGTGCGTTTTTGAGAATCTGGTACGTTGCCTTTAACGTCGTTTCTCAAAGTGATCGCTGATTGGAGTTGCAGAAACTGGAAAAGGTTATTCCTGGGACGCCGGAAGGGGAGACGCCCGTGCATCTGCGGAAGAGGCAGATATACGCGCACTATTAGTATTAGGCATCGAGCAATGTATCTTAAGCGTGAGCCTGAAAGATGACGCATACCCCCAATGGCTGTCTTGATGCGTATGCATTTCCATTCCTCAAGTCTTTCAGGTTCGTAGTAAGCTCCTGCTCGGGTGATATAGGGTCTTTCCAATTATCTAAAGCCCGACCCGCCTGGGGTTATCCGTCAACTGGTCCGTTAGACTCTCAGCTCTTCGGACGCATAGCTACTCATCGCCGTCCGGCTGGCTCGGCACGAAATCGATCAATATCACTTATAGCGACAAGGGTCACTGTGCACCACGCCCCGCCTCTGGAGCCGCACGAGGAGAGCTACGCACTTTTCGAAATAATCAGTCCCAGCCTCGCGCCCTTGCTCCTGGTTGTAACCAGAAGCCGCCGCAAGAGTTCAAAGCCTTCGAAGTGCTGGCATGTTCTGGTATCCTGCTCGATGTGAGGATCTCACAATCAAACCGAGCGCTCTTCGGCAAGCACGGTAAGGGCCGATTACGAAAGGTTCCGCTTGTAGCAAATGCACTTGAAGGCTGCCACGTTGAGCTGTTTCACCCTCTGAAGTTTCAGGTGAAGTACAAAATTGGATTGCCAGATTCATTCTCCACATGTTTTCTAAAACGCGAAGGGATGACTCTGTTTGCTGCCCTGTGTGTCCCGGAGATGTGCCTAGTGATCCAGTCTTCGTAGTATCCTAGAGGCGATAGAAACCCGAGCAGGATGGATGGTGTTAAAAGGTGAGCCATGACTTGGTAGTGGTGAAGTGCTAGGTGAGATACCAGGCGGGCAATGGGTAGGGGCGTGAAACGCCTGACATGTTAAATCATGCATGAGAAGCTGGAACAAACACAGTCCTGAACAGCGAAGCCCACTGCTTACAAACCATCATCGACAACCTCGTTCCCATCTACGAGAACGGTTTCAGAAACTCCTGACGAACTGCTCGGTGCCAAAGCGATTCTATCAATAGTCTTTTCTGTGCACATACAGCGCAAATAGTAAGTCAGAACCATCATCGCTGCGAGCGAGTGTCCGAGACTGACTATGGACACCGAGAGGCCACCTACTCGTTGTCGAACCTCGTGTCTGAGTTTTCCACGCTTTCACCCTCGGGGGGCTTCCAAAGCTCAAAACATACCAAAGCGCGAAAGGCTTGGTAGGTCAGAAGACGTCGGAGACTTGGCAGCAGTCTCTAACCGATTCATCTAGACACTTTCGTCACGATGTGCGTGCAAAAGTACATCCAGTACACCTGTGGCTGCAAGAAAGAAGCGGAATTCGTTCAGTGTGAGGAACGTCTTGGTACCAACGTCAGATGCCACCCACCCACTCACCAAAGAAGCGGCCAAAGGTGTCAACCACTACTGCATGGGGCATTCGGTGAAGGCAGGCACTCCACTGTAGTACATGACTCTTGTTGAGAATCAGGCCAGACACAAAGATGGAGTTCAGAAGGGGGCCCAAAATGAAGGGCATAACGAGAAGCAGAACGGGAATCGGAAGTGAGGCAGGTTCCCGGTTCATAGTGCTTCTCAGATATGGGGATCTTGAGGCAGACTGCTTGGATGGAATGGTTGGCAACATAGGATTATCTGAACATACAGCGGGACTTCGGGTCGTTGGCGAAGCCGAGCCTGAACTGGTAACATAATAACATCCCCTTCATTCAACAACTACATTTTCAAGCCGCTTCGAGCAGAGCGTACCTTTATTACTGTCCGTCCAAAGTTTCTGTACTCGTGGACGCCATCGGAAATGTTCCAAAAACCCCTCTCGTAAATACAAACGAACATTGTTTGCAAAATGAGTCATATCAATCCGCCTTCCACACCAGGTCTCGCAGCCGTGACAATAGATACCATTCCGGACTTTGACTCTCGACAGGTCTAGATATGGCAAGACCATGGCAGCCATATATCGAAGGTCGATGTACTCCTCACCTGATAAGAGTGCTTTAATGTTGAGCTGTTGCTTGTTTCCTCCGATTCGCGTGCGCTCGAATGCCTCAGTTACGTGTTGCTCGGCCACAAGGTATCTCCGTCTCTTGATGGTGATCTTCATCCCAACCTCTCCATATTTCCCGCTTATTGTGTACATGACCCGGATTGATCTGCGCATAGATGCGGACAGCGCGGCCTTTTTCGCTCTTGAGAGATACACTACGGCAAACTCATTCTTGTCTTGCAGACACTTTTAGCAACAACGCGTGCAGGAAAGCAGGCAGATAAAGCCGCCAACATTACCACAAAAGGAGCAGTTTGGCGTGCAGAGTGTAGCAAACAGATCGAGCGCGTAACCCACAGCGCTAGACCTGTCTTGAGAATCGCGCAAAGAGCACCCAGAGCATGATCAGTGATAGCTCGGTATTGCCGAAGTGCCCGAATCACTTCTCGTGCGCGCAGATTGACAGAGAGGCAGTATCCATTCAGAGGCAGATTTGAAAGAACACCTCGAGAGGCAGAGACTCTAGGATTCCAAGACCTGAGATAGGCGTACGAGGAAAAGACCCTGATATCGACCTTCGTATCTGCTCGCGCTCATCTAGATGGATTCTCAGGACAAACTCGGCGGGTCGTTCGTTTTGCCAGCCAGCGACATGGATACTGTCCTCCTCGTGTTTCGGTTCAAATGAGAACTCATTCTCAGATCGACCGGTGGGATCTGGCATTCTTGTTCGATATTGCCCTTATCAGATGCACATCTCGATACAAGTGGTACGAGTGTATAGTCATGTGATTTCTGGAAGGGGTGTAAGTCGTGATGACCGGTCGAGGTTGACGCGTCGGGAAGCGCGTCTGCCTGTTTTGGTAACTACGCCGCTCACTACTCAAGCGAGAGAATCGCAGCAAATCGCGAGAACAATCCCTTGCCAAGTTTTTCTCTACGCCGAGGACGTAGACGGGATATTTAATCTTGAATGTGAGGTTCGAAAGCTGTATATACGACTTGGAAAGATGAGCCCAAGGCTGATTTGTCTGACATAGAACCAGCGCAATTACCTATATTCTGTCCATCTTCAAAGCCAGGAATCAGGACCAGCGTACAATCGCAGCATCGAGGATCTCAGGGTGGAGATTGCAGAGATATAACATAGAGTAGTACTATAAAATCCCGTAACGCCGAGCGCACAGATGACCCGGGACTAAATCCTATGAAAATGAGAACAGACACGAAACCGCTTCCAGGAGAACCAGGATTCTGCTCAGACTGCCGCACGCTCCGCAACCCACTGTGAGTAGCACTGCGCACAACCTCTGCCATTAGACGGTGGGGAATTTGTAACGGCCATCTACCATGCAAACAGTGTCTGTCAGAAAGAAGGGATCCGAACAAAACATTGGCCAACTCCCGCACTCCAAATCAGACCGTCCTGTGCCTCCACAAGAGTCTTAACAGCAGCCACCGGCAGAACCTGATTGGACGCCCTGTCCTTGCCCGATAGGAACGGTGGGCTTGTTGTTGACTGTTGTAGTGCCCATGCGCTCCTTGATCTGTCGTGCCATTGTCAAGAAGGCTTGTTCGACGTTTGAAGCGTTCTTGGCGGAAGTCTCGAGGAAGGGAATGCCAAGGCTGTCCGCGAATTCCTACGCCAAAAGCCATCAGCATCGTCCGGCATATAGTGAACTGTCTGTTTGAGTGTCTTACCTTCGCCACTGTGTACTCCACGACCTTCTTGTCTGCCATGTCTGACTTGTTGCCGACGAGTAGCTTATTCACACCTTCAGTGGCATATCGGTCGATCTCTTGAAGCCACTGCTTTACGTTGTTGAAAGAATCCATATCAGTGACATCATAGACAACGCAGATGCCATGTGCACCCCGATAGTAGGAGGAGGTGATGGTTCGGAAGCGCTCTTGGCCCGCAGTATCCCACTAAACACACCCATCAGCACCGTACACTGGAAGGTTGGCCGAAGAGAACTCACAATTTGGAGCTTCACGGTCTTGCCATCAAGCTCAATTGTCCGGATTTTCTAGAATCCTGTCAGCTGCTAAAGTTCCGCGTGGCGGGCTGTGAACGGCGAACGTACGAAGTCAACGCCGATAGTCGAGATGTAGCTTTCTGTGTAGGTGTCGTCCGCAAACCGCAGCAGCAAACATGACTTTCCGACGCCGGAGTCTCCAATGAGTAGGAGCTTGAAAAGATAGTCGTATCTAGGAAAGGGTGAGAGTCAGCTTCTGCACCGAAGGGCGGCCGCAGGCACAAGTAGGGCTGGACAACGTCTTGTTGCACGCTCGCCGGTGAGACTCTACAAAGCGAGGTGTTAGCAATAATCAGCAGCCCTTGGGGCAGAGGCGCAGTGAGCCTGTATCAAGCGCGCTGCTGATGGGGGCGGAGGGGGTCCAAGTTACGTACTACTCTGGATTCATCTTGCTGGCGGTATCTGTGGAAGCGATTCTACTGCGAGGGGGCGTACTGCGGATGCGACAAGCAAGAGGAGGTGGGAGAGTAGTAAGAAGCGGTGGATGAAGCGGCGAGATTGTGTTGTTGGCTGCGGCCGGGCAGATGTCACTCGAGCGGAAGTCATTTGGCAGCGCTTGCGCCAAGATGCGCTAGGCCGCAAAGGTCACCTATCCAAAATCCACGTCTTCTGGGTGACAGGTGGTTTATGTCTTGCACGGAGAACCTACGACCGCTTGTCACGCTGCTCTAACGCTCCTCACGATGTACCAACTGATGGATGGCTGGCTGACACGCGGCAAAGTTGTACGAACAAAAATATGTGCTGAGATGAGTCTGTCTTCTGACCGCTTCCTGAATGACCACACAAAGCCCCAAGGGACGCCGGCCTGTATTACACAAGACAGAGCTGCCACGCACGACAGCAAGATAAGTATGCACATGAAGATCTATAAATCTTCGGTAAACTCCCAAAAGGCGTCGGCCATTCTATCACCCACGTGATGCTTCGGTCGCCCCATGCCAGTAACGCCTCTACAACACTTTGTCAAAAGCTGGTATCAGCGTTTGCGCCAGCCAGAAGGAGAACACTAGCTTCGGTCCGGTCATCAGTAGCTTGGGCGTCAGGCCCTTGAAGAAGCTGGTGAAACCTTCGTGTTTGGCCATGTTTGAAATGATCCTGAAGCCGCTCTCTTTGCTTTCGAAATTCTTGTTCTGGATCCTAGTTTTGATGACGTCCAGTGGCGCAGATACAATGAGCGAGGCGCTAGCACCAGCGATTGACGCGACGAAGTTCTGCATCCAGGAGGCCTTGTTGTAGTCGTTCAGTTTGTACAGGTATTCTTTGGCAGCGGCGGAGCCTCCGAAAAGCTTTACATATATTTTAGTGAGGACCGTTGCATAAGTGTGCTGCGGAACTTACTGCAAATGATCCCGGCGCATTGCGCGCAGCCGTCCAGCCCCAGCCTCGATACAGTCCGAAGCCTTCATCTGCAATGATTCTTATGACACCACGCCCCCTGAAAGCTTCCGGGTTTGTTTGTCGCTTGATCTTGAGGACGTCGAGAGGTAGAATGACGATTTCACCAATGCCAATCAAGCTGTAATCGTTTGATCAGTGATTGAGCTCCGGAGTCTGGTTCTAGGGTCCACCATACCTTCCAGCCGTCGCGTGCATGATCGCCTTGCCATTGCCCTTTCCGAATGTCCTATCAAAGCTGTTTCCGTGATTCTTTGCCAGGTAGTCCCGCACGAATGGCTGCCCTCCGTACTTATAGACCCGCTGCAAGATTTTATATGCGGCGGCGTATCCCAGGCCGGGGAATAGGGAGAAGAATCGGCCTCCAACAGGCGCGTGTGCTTTGTCTCTGAATATGACGGAGTTGAGCTGAGATGCCGATCGTATCTTGCCCTGGTTGCTCATCAAGCGTTTGGCGGTGGTGTCGACCGGATGAAAGACCAACAGCTCGGCGATTCCCGCGCATCCTAGAATTGTCAAACAGGTTCAATGCTGTGAATCCATCCGAATTACCTGCACCAAGTAAACGTGCTGCTGTGGACTCCTTCTTGAACTCCGCGGCTGCTGAGCCAGTGAGAGCATTTCCCGCTTTCACGGCAGCATCTTTCGGTGATGGAGCCATCGACTGCGATGAGCGGCTTCCGGCAATAGTAACTGTGGGCAAGCGGTCGCAAATGGACGTAGCTGAGGTCTAAGTAGAGAACGACTTCAACAGGTAACGAGTGTGAGCACTCTCGAAGGCGTGCGCTTGGGATGCGTCCAGGCCGTAGACTTTCTTTTTGCGGATAACAGGGGTCTGACAGCTCGGTCCGTCGACAGCTCAACCCTCCCGAGAAAGCGACGGCTTGCGGGCCGCTCCTATGGACTTGACCTCAGCGAGCTTGGATTCGAAGACACCACACGGCCTCTCATGTCGTGAAAATCATATCACGTTGGAAATAATATCTCGAGGTTTGCCGTCACGATGCATTACAAACTCGATCAGAGTAGATACTAATCACGGGTTTGTGAATAATGCCACACCTTGGAGATGGCTGTTTACCTCACGCAGTTTGGAAGGCTTCTTTCAAGCCAAGAAGAGTCTGGTACTCAATGTCCCGAGACGCCGAAAAGCTTGAAATATTGATGATCCAGAAGCATCCTTGTGGGTTCTAGGATTTCTTCCCCTATCATTAACGATGTTACATGTTTCGTAAATGCATGTACTATATTCTCAAGCGGCTGACAATCGACCACTGCTGTCCTCTAATGATGCCAGCTGGCGGATGGAACAACGTTGTTTCTCCGTCCACAAGCAGGTATATGACTTAATATCTAAGTCAACTAGGGCAGACAATCTCATTCTTGCTGGCAGACGATAGCCGTCAGCATTGGGAATGAATCTTATCTACACTCTATATCACGACTCCCACTAGTCGCGCGTTTCGAGCTCACAGGTAATTGAGAACAAGCCTACGACGACATGCCCGCAACGGCATCGCTTGTGTTTCCATATTTTCATATCCAGGTAAGCATTCTGGACCTCTGCTATGGCTGGTAATATTTTCTCCAATTGTGCTCCTCCTGAAACCCGAGCACTTCTCGAATTTTCCTATTGCTCAATGGCGCTTCCCATTCACCCATCTCTCTCGTGATCGGCGTGTTCGGACATGCTTTCTTCAAGAACTCCTCCGTCGGCACTGTGGTAGTGATTGTGTTATTTGTCGCATTGAAAACTTGAAAGCCGAGCCCATCTTTCTTCACGCAAAGATCGCATATCTGACCCAAGTCTCGGGCATCGATATACGACCACGCATTCCGCTTCCTGCAGCTTGGATTTTTGACATAATTTGGGAAGTCGCGCTCGTACTCATGCGGCTCGATCACGTTACCGATTCGCAAGGCGTAGATGTCGGCGCCAAATCTCCGGGCGAAACCTCTCGCACATCGCTCTCCGCATAGTTTGGAAAGCGCGTACGTATCCATAGGATCGGTATCGTAGTCTTCTTCCAACGGGAAGGAATGGTAGTCGACATCCCCTTGGGCAAAGCAGACTCCGTAGGTCGTCTCGCTGCTAGCGATGATGATCTTTTTCACACCGAGCTTGCAGGCGGCTTCGATAACGTTGTATGTAGCGATGACGTTCCCCTTGAAACACCTACACCAGACTCAACACTGTACTTAAAGCAGCCGATGAACCGCCTTACTCATTATCCGGGACGAGCATATTCCGCGCATACGCCGCGAAGTGAATCACAGCATCTGGTGGCTGAGGAGGGGGCCCATCGTCGTAGCCGCCGAAATTGAAATGTGAGGTGAGGGCGTTGAAGACCTGGCCGTTGTCGGTGAGATCTGTCTTTAGAGTCATAACATTGGGATGGTCCAACAAGGGCACAAGGTCCAAGTTGAGAACTTGGTAGCCCTTCTTGAGCAGCTCCGGTATGACATGGCGGCCCGCTTTGCCAGATCCGCCAGTGAAGACGATACGCTTTCCCGCCATGTTCAACTCTTGGAGGGAAGGGAGAATGACAACAAGGGCAGACGCAGTAAAGCCCTTCTAGCTGCGGTCGAAGATGTATTCATGTACTCAGTACTTTAGCTTTAGTCCCCGACGTCATTTCTCGTCACTACCTATCGATAAGATTTTCAAGTAGTCGAGCCAAGCGGCAAACCCCCGAAGCCCTCCACCCGCCCAGTCCGTCTTCCCCATATTCAACCTTAGTTTGTCCAATGTATGTGACCATCAGCTCGGCCTATTGATGCCTTCTGTTCATTATCGATGACCGCCGGTCTGATGCGGACGCTCTCGCAAGCCAGACTGAGGATCGTGCGCAATGCCCTCACGCCGAAAAGCTCCGCTTCCCCAATCGTAGCTACCAGAATCCTTCGACAGCCTCAGCGCAGTCTCGCAAACATTCGAGAGCCGGACTCGTTGCTATCAGGAGTTTGGTTCAGCAGCACGCAACCATGTCCAACACCAACGAACCCTGGTAACGGGTCGGATGTCCAACCGCCAGACGAGCGGACGCTAAAGCTTGGAAAGAGTCGGTTTCCCTCGTGCTTGATCCGCAAGCGTGCATACTGATTGCAGTACCTAGCCATCCGTATCCTCCATGAGCGGCTTCCAACCCTCCTCGCTTCTCCACTACCGCAGGAGATCCTGTCCCCGCAGATCACCCTCCACCTCTTTCCCTCCACGCATCCGCACCTTCCCACAGTCACTGGCCGCATAGCCTACATGGCGGCCCTTTGGACCGCGCCCATGGCCTGGGGCCGCGTCCCCGTCGTCGGCAATGTCAAGTTGCACATTCTTTCCGAGCGTCTCGTGCGCAACGGACCCTCAGCACCTACCGCTACCAGCGGTAACCAATCCTCAAAGGCCGCAAACTACCGCAGCGAAAAGCTCATCGTGCGCTGGAAGACTTGCGGCAAGACAAAAGGCAAGGGCATGGGCGCGCTCTACCGTGGTATCGGCGGTAGCGAGCAGGTTGACAAGATTACGGAGTTTCTTGGAGGCGATGTGAGAGACGACGAAGAGTTTTGCGGGCTGTTCATCTTCGAGTTTGACGAGGAAGGGCGGGTAGTGTCGCACACTATCGAGCACGTGGAGGAAGGGGGAAGTTGGGACAAGATGACAAAGGTCATCAGTGTGACGGATTGGTTGCTGGGGAAGGCATGGGGAAAGAAAGGGGAGGTGCCGCCGGGACTGGCGCTGGGGTATTGTGCGGATGAAGAGGACAGACATGGCGCAGTGAGGGCTAGGCGAAGGCGGAGTTGAGCAGAGGAGTAAAGAGAAGCTTCTTCACAAATGAGTCATGTATTATTTGGTGGTCGCGAGCATATACCCGGCGTTTAGGAGAAAACACTTGTACAGCACTGTATATACTAAATCGACACTCAGCAGCCTCCGGACAGCCGGACGCAAGAGGCTTTACTACCTCGATCTTGTAGCCACGTTTGCACCAGCAACTTGCGCACGCTTGAGCCTTGCTATGATGTTGATTATTTATCGCAACCGAGCTCGGTACGTCCCTTGATTAAATTCACAGCGCAGAGGACGATGTAGGTATCCGGACGGTATTCTTGCGGTAAGAAACCGTGCTGGTTGCTTTGAGTGAGTAGACTGCTCATGATGGGCTTCTGGTGTAAAAACAAAAGAGACGCGAGAGCCGATGGTTCGTTCTGGTTGTGTCGCTGCTGTGGTGTTTGCTGTCACCATCGCTTCACCAATCATCCAACGAGGCCTGAGGTATCCAAGACGCCCGTGCTTGTGCTTCAAGGCCGACCATCCTTAGCTCTACAACCAGCTTCTGAGATACTCTTTGCTTGTGCTCTGCGGAAGCTTTGGCAAGCACAGACGCAGCTTCGGAGAAGCAGAAGAGCGTCACGTATCCCTAATCCGACTCCAGCGACACAGCTTTGGCAACGACCTCGACAGCATCTACCTCAACCTCCAGCCATCGCATGCCCGCGCGAATCGAAGCATTACGACCACCATGGCCGAAGCTCTAAGTACTTCGTCAGACCTGAGTATGCTCGTCCTTGGTTTTAGGATTGCCCCAACTGCGGACAACGGTAGCTAATGAAGCGTCCACTCCCTCCAGGCCACCCAATTCTTAACCTCACCCCGGAAGAGAAGCGCGTCTTCGGCCAGCTCTTCGCGCGCGCCGACACGGAAAAAATCGGCGTCGTTACCGGCGAAGTTGCCGTAAAGTTCTTCGAGCCGACGAAGCTGCCGGCACCCGTGTTAGGGGAGGTTAGTGGATGCCCCATACTAGATGTAAAGGCGGGAGACACTGTAGGAGAGAAGAGTTGCTGACGGCCTGTTTGCGGTCGAACAGATATGGCAGATTGCGGACACAGAAAACCGAGGCTTGCTGACCAGCTCGGGATTCTGTATTGTGCTGAGGTTGATCGGACACTACCAGGCTGGAAGAGATCCCTCCCCTGAACTGGCTTTTCAGCGTAGGCTCAACCCTAGATGGCCGCTTGGCCCCAAGGCTGACAGACTGGAAACGCAGCTGGACCGTTGCCTAAATTCGAGGGCCTCAATGTCCCGTCTAGCGCGCCAGCGCCCTCCCTCCCTGGACCTATCCAGCCGCAGCTCAGTGGTGGAGGACCAATACGGGTTCCGCCGCTAACGCCGGACAAGGTCGCCGAATATTCAGCTCTGTTTGGAAGCTTGGGTGCTCAGAATGGCGTTCTCTCCGGTACCTTGCACCCACAACTGCGCGCGGCCACGAGCAGCGGACTGACGGGATCTCGCAGGTGAAACGGCGAAGAACATCTTTGAAAAAGCACGGTTATCGAACGACACCTTGGGGCGGATATGGAACCTAGCAGACACACAGTTGCGCGGCGCTCTCGACATGACCGAGTTCATCATCGCTATGCATCTGATCGCTTCTTACAAGAGTGGTTTGTTGAAAGCCTTGCCTTCGAACCTACCACCAGGACTGTACGAAGCTGCGTCTAGGAGGGGACCAGCTCCGGCTCTGCGACTATCAGGAGGTGCACGTCCCGGAGAACCGGTAGCAATATCGCGTCAGTTCACCGGGCAGGGCCCTCAGCGCGCAGCGAGCCCTCTCAGCCGACCACCTTATCCGAACGCTCCCCAAACCCCCCAATCTTCAGGGCTCGACTGGGTCATCACTCCGCAGGAGAAAGCCGCTTACGACGAGCTGTTCAACAAGGTTGATACTGCCAGCCGAGGATACATCACCGGCGAGCAGGCCGTGCTTTTCTTTAGCAACTCGGGTCTGCCGGAAGATATATTAGCCACTATCTGGGACTTGGCGGACATCAATTCCGAGGGCCGATTAAGTCGAGATGAATTCGCAGTTGCTATGTATCTCATCAAACAGCAAAAGCCTCGTCCTGGGCAGCCCAGACTTAACCTCCCAGCATCTCTGCCGCCCAATCTTGTGCCGCCGAGCATGCGCAACCAGGCAAGACCTGCACAACAACCGACAGCTCCTGCCTTTGACAACGCCGCCTTTGCGACTCCGAAGCCAGCATCGGAAGATCTATTTGGTCTGGACGCCTTCTCCAGTCCTATACCTGCGCAGTCTACGGGCGGTTCTGTATCCTACAATAAGCCTGTCGAGACAGATCCGTTTGGTAACAAAAGCATTTCACCGACCTCGCCTCAAGCCGCTATCTCTCCAGCGCCGCGCAACCCTGCTTCCATGTTCAAGCCTTTCCAACCATCGTCGACCTTCGGTCAAGGCTTGACGACTCAAACTACTGGTGCGTCTGCCACCTCGTCACAGCCCCAGATACGCGGACCGCCGACCTCGGCCATGGACGATCTACTCGGTGACAATGATCCCGAGGTTAGCAGCAAGCTTACCCAGGAAACCACGGAGCTCGCAAACATGTCCAACCAGATTGGTACTCTGCGGAATCAAATGCAGGACGTCCAGCAAAAGAAATCAGTAACAGAGAGCGACCTCTCGAGCGCAGGCAAGCAGAAGCGGGAGCTTGAGCAACGTCTGGCGCAGTTCAGGTCACAGTACGAGCAGGAAGTGAAGCAGGTCAAGGCGCTGGAAGAGCAGCTTGCGGCGTCCCGCAACGACACAAGGAAGCTCCACCAAGAACTGGCCATGGTTGAAGGAACTCACCAAGATCTTCAAACCCAGCACAGGCAGGTTCTTGGAGCCTTGGAGGCTGATCAGCGTGAGAATGCCAGCTTGAAAGAGAGGATCCGGAATTTAAATACGGAAATCTCGCAGTTGCGGCCGCAGCTAGACAAGATGAGGTCGGATGCCCGCCAGCAGAAGGGCATGGTTGCGATCAACAAGAAACAACTAGCTACGAACGAAGGTGAACGGGACAGGATGAGATCGGAACTCGCCGATCTGACGAAGGCAGAGCAGGAGCAGCAGCAACAACAAAGGCGGGAGCAAGAACGGGCTGCAGCAGTTGTTAGCCCGGCCGTTTCTGAGCGGTCCAACACGAATCCTTTCTTTAGGAAATCTTCCGCTACGGCAAGCGAAAACGTCATGTCGCCGGCCGGCTTCAACCGAGAGGAGAGCCAAAGGGACTTTGACAATATCTTTGGCCCTTCGGTAGCCTCGTTACAGACAAGTGCTCCACCGCAGACGTCGTTTAAGAACGAGCCACAAACCTCGGGCTTCTCTACCCAGTCAGGTCCTTCTGTGGTGTCTTCGGGCCCCGACGTCCCAACACCCTCAACATCTCCGCCAGCATCGACTTATCAAGATTCTCCACGTGCAAACGAGCCTCCTCCACCACCTGAGTCACGGGTCTTCTCATCTCCTTTCCTACCGATTCGTGAAGGAGCACCACGCAACAGCTCCTTCAGCTCCTCGGTGAACGTTTCCGCTCCTGCGAGCAGATACGGCGGAGGTGCGGCCGGCGTCGAGACACCGACCAACGTCGAAGCAACATCGCCGGCAGCTACGCCAATCCAAGAGCGAAAGGTTTCGAGAGGATCTGACAGACCTGAAGCGAGCAGATCCGATACTGGAAGCTTCATTAACTCCGCACTCAACCGTAACCAGACTTCCTCGCCAGCCGCAAGCACTACCAGCGATGCCGCCAGGTCTGGCTCAAAGTCTGAGGAGCCAAAGGACCCTGACCAGTCTTTCGGCCCGCCATCAAATCTGAAAGACCTTCCAGGCGCCTTCCCAACGGAAGCTGCAGATTCAATCCAGCCTACCCCCACTGGCGAAAGTGCCGCGAGCGAGCAAAGCAAAAGCAGCACACGACCATCCGAGGGCTTCTCTAGCACACGCACCGATCCGTTCTCCTCAATGAACGGCAGTCAGACTCGTGGTCCGAGCACTGCGAAACATGACTTCGACGCCGCATTTGCCGGAGTCGGTGGCAGCCAGGCGGCTCAAGAAAGGCAGAATACTGGGTCATCGCTCAATGGATCCGCTGACAATGCATCAGCATCAAAGTTCTCCAGAGAATTCCCGCCAATTGAGAACCTTGACCATGAGGAAGACAGCGACTCGACCAGCGAACCGGGCTTTGACGACGACTTCACTGCCGCTTCCCCGAAACCGAAAGCCGAAAGTGTGAACGCACCAAGTCAATCCCAGCCTTCGCGGCCACTGACGAGCACTACGAACGTTGAGGAACAGTCCGATTATGGCTTTAGGCCCCGTCCGTCGGTGTCGCAGGTCGATTCCAGCGCCAGTCTCCCACCTGCAAGTGCGCAAAAATCACCACCAACCTACGAACAAGCTGTATCACCACCTGGGGGCAGCCGGCAGCCCAGGGACTCTAATCAGTTCCCACCCGAGTTCAGTGGCCTATTGCCCTCTCGAGAGGACCCTACCTCACCAACACATGTGTCACAGCCGTCCGAGAAGAGCTTCAGTCCACCTCCGCCAACGCAAGGCCAAACTTTGTTCGGCAGTTCCAGCTCTACCCGAGGGGTGCCTTCTGTGACTAGCAATATGTTCCCGGGTTACCCACTTCCCAGTCAGACCTCTGCATCCACAGGGCCTAGCGACGCGTATTACCCTCCAGCTTCCTATTCCACGGGTGAAGGAGCGCAACAACCTGCCACTCAGCAACCGCAGATGAGCAGGCCATCATATCAAGACGACTTCGATACGGGCTTCGATGACCTGGACGAGGCAAAAGAGGCAGACGGCAAGGGCGAGGACGACTTCTCCTTTTCCTCCCCGCACAGAGAGGGCTTTGATGACTTTAACCCGGTCTTTGACTCACCAGCCGCTTCCAAATCCACCATGACCTCGCAGCAGACGCCCACAGGCATGACCATCCACGACGACTTTAGCGACTTCGATCAACATCTGAGCGGCTACGGTAGCACGTCGAGCAAAGCGCCGCAGCAGCCCCATGCCAACACGGCCCAGGACTGGGATGCGATCTTTTCAAGCTTGGACACACCACAAGAAAACAAGTTGTCCAGCGAGCCCATCAAGTCGCCGTTTCCAGCCACGGCTGGTATGAGTGGCAACGGCACCGGTGGTACAGGTTTCTCCAGCAGCGGCATGAGGGGAGGCGAGTCGTCGAGCTCGACACAGAATCAGCAGAACATGCCACAGCTAGGCAGAGCGCTCAGCGCGGGGACTGAGCATGATGATCCGATATTGAAGAAACTGACGGGGATGGGGTATCCGCGACAGGATGCATTGAATGCGCTTGAGAAGTTTGATTATGACATCAACAAGGTGAGTTCGAATGCCGCATCTCGAGAAAGAAGAAGGCTATGACAAGTGCTGACTATCTGACAGGCGGCGGATTATCTGACGAGTGGACAGTAGTAGATGGCTGAGGAACTTGAGCGATGTATGCATCGAGATATTAGGACTTCAGTGTAATACATAATCATGTGCATAATGGCGGGTCAAGCATTTGTAGTCCTAGACAGCAAGTCCATTGCAAGAAGGTTGCTCTTCGAGCTAGTGATGCTCTCTGTAGCGAGTGCTGTTTGGATCGCCGAAGGTACCGAAAGAGACTTGATCTGAGGGTTGTGTACATCATGTCTCAGGCGATCTCCGTACCTTTACCCGTACTTGATCATGACGACATATTACGAAACGAAACTGGATTCACATCTATTGCAACGACCGTTCTTTCTCAACTCGCCAGCCGGCGCATCTATCGCATGAGTGTGACTGACATTTGTACTGTTCATGCGGATTACTTCGTACTGTCCCACGATTCGCCCAGGGCAGCTGCAGGTCCGTTGCTGGACCAGCCCGCCTGTGCTAGTGCGGTACTAGTACAAGTAAACACCCGGGTTCCCACACTCAATCCGGCACCAACCACCGAATCTCCACCTTGAGAAGTATCAACGCGGTATACAGTCGCTATCGCCCACGTCTTCCTTTCTCGAGCCATGTCTGCGGAGCCCTGCCATCTGCTCAGGCTGCCGACTGAATTGCGCCTCCATATTTACGACTACGCGCTCTGCGACGCCGAGGCTATAACCATATCCAGCGGCGAAGTAATCGATTACGGCTTCGGTGTTTACCCCGATAGTCGCGCCGAGCAGAACATCGGCAGGAAATATCCGTCTATACCAGGTCTACCGGTGAACCATGTTCCAATAATCCGCCGTCATTACGACCCGTCTCTCCTCTCCATCACTTCTCCGGCGGTGGTGATCCCCGGCTCCGTAAATCACTCGTCACCCGCCGAGTCCTTCGCCGACTCCGCCTACGCCTCTGCAGCTTCGCTCGCGTCAAGCTCGCATACCAGCACCAAGGCTTCTAGTGGGAACGCCGATGCCAGCTGGGACGCTATCCCGCTGTTTACTCCGCTGTCCCTCCTCGCAACCTGCCGCACCATCAACGCCGAACTGCAATCCCACTTGCAATTCCAAAAGACCACCACCGCGCAATACGGCCCAGCGCTCTACATCTCCTACCCAACCGGCCTCCTCGTCTTAAAAGCCCTATGCCCACATTTCCTAGCCCACGCGCGAGCCGTCTACATCGCCGGCGCATATCATGTCACCGCGCCGACCCAGCCGCCCGAAAACGAAAGCGCCATCTCCCGCCGCCTCGGTAGGCTCGACAGCATTCGGCACAGGAATTACAGCGAACGTGTAGCCTCCGCCGAAGATTCAACGCCCTCACGGCGTCCACACCACTACCCCATTCCGACACCCGAGGCCACCACCGCACTCGCCTCAACCGTGCGCACCCTCCTAGGGCCCCGCCCTCATCCAACACTTCAGAAGCTTCAGCTCCGCATCTACTACCCCTCGGAGCACTCCTACCGCCACGTCTGGGGCGACGACGCGAGCCCGATCGTCGTCGCCCTGCAGAACACGTGGGGCGGAAACATTGAGACCGAGGTCTGGCGCGGGCGGTGGGGGACGGGAGTGAAGTTCGAGGCGAGGAGTAACGTCGAGAGCAGGGTCATGAGTAGTGTTTGGAGGAGGCTTACGGAGAAGAAGCAGAGTGAGATGTTTGTTGTGGGGAAGGAGTGGCCTGAGGAGTCGGAGGGCTCGAAGGTCGGGGAGAGGGGGGAAGAATGTAGGGTCAGCTACGGTATCTCTCAGACGTGAGACGAGACCTGGCGAACGGGACACGGGAGTAAGATGTTGGATATTTCTTGTGTATTATTCTGGCTGACTAGGCCTGAAAATGGGGGTCTCTTGGACTAAAGAGGAGTTGTATGCCTGCTAGGCGTCGATATGGCAAAAGACTCATGCAAGAATTTACTTAGGTTCTGGAAAATGCGGCAGATGTCCGCCGCCTTGTACACACCTGTTATCTCCGACAGCTACAATATTATGTCTTCACGCGAGCGTCAAGGCCCATTCCCCGAACTCTATTACCACCCCGTCTACAGCCCCCATCTCTTCGGATCCAACGCCCCTATAGCCGCGCTCCTCGCCTTACCGTCCCACACAATCTCCGACACCAGCTTCCCTGTCCCCGGCCCATTCTGAATCCCCCAGCAAGTATGTCCCGTAGCGAGTAACAGCCCCTTCACACTCGTCTCGCCAATAATCGGCCCACTAGATCCTCGACTCACATTCGGCAAATAACACGCCTGCCTCGCCGTGACCTCGCCATCTCGCAGCTCGTCCGAGATGGCAGAGACGTACTCCACGATATCCTGACACCTGCTCTCGTCGACTTGGACCAGGTCCGTCGATTTGGGAAGCGGGATTAGGTGGTCGCCTTCGCCGCAGGCGTAGATCTCATTGTTCGGCCGCGCATATATCTCCGGCGTCACGGTCTGGGTGGACTGACGCTGTTTGCGCCTGCTTTCGCCGGTTTTACCTGTCGAAGCAGGAAGGGTTATGGATGTGAAGAGGCAGTAGGGCGAGACGTCCGCTTTGATGGTTACGCTGTGTGCGCGGAGGGCGGATATGGGGGCGCCGGGGAGGATGGTGGGGGTCCAGGGGCCGGCGGACAGTACGACATGCGTGGCGGGTAGGACCTTCGTCTCGCCGGACGAGGGATCGGCGGTTGCGTTAGAGTCGTTGGGTGTGTCCGGGGCTTTGGGACTGTAGGTTACGGATTTGACGGCTGATCCGTCTGCAGATTTGTCAATGCTGGTGGCGGAGCCGTAAACTATCTTGACGCCGGCTTCTTCGGCTAGGGAGGCCATGGACGTGGTGAATTGGTAGGGGTGGACTTGCGCCGTGGTGCTGGGGTCGCCCATCTCTTCATATGCCCTGATGTTCTCAGGTATGACCCAATCGAGGTCTTCGGGCACGCCAGCCCTTCTAAGAAGGCCCAAGGCTTCCTTGGTACGTTTCTTGAGCGAGACCCGAGTGTCGGCTTCTTTGCCGGTACCGCCAAGCGGCGCTTTCGCTGCTTCGATCTCGCCGTTGCTGTTCTTGCCGTCCATGGCCTTCGGGTCTACCGAGCGGCCCTTCATCTCAATCTGGCCGCAATTAACACCCCTATAGCCCCAGCGTTGAGCACCTCCATGCTTGTCTGCCAGCTCTTTGTGAAGCCTGTAACTTAGAGGCACGATGCTGGAGGGATACGCCCATAGCGCGAGCAGACCGCCTGCTTTGCCCGATGCGCCGCCGGCGATCTTGGTGGACTCGAGGAGGGTGATGCTGTCACGGTTGCGGTCGAAGGACGGGTGGTGCGAGAGGAAGTAGGCGGATGTGCTGCCGATGATGCCGCCGCCGATTACTACTATATTCTTAGGAGAGTCCGAGGAGGCCATGGTCGCGCGATGAAGGATGCGAGGAAGACTTGTGAGAGGCGCCAGCGTATTAGATGACGGGCGAAGAAATCAAAAAGACGGATGCTTGCTTATATCATGGTGGCGTTGACAACCATCAATTGCATCTCTATCGATAACCATCCGCGGCCTGACAAGCGCATGACGTTCCGAGGGGGTTCAAGAAAACGTGTTGCTGGTCCGTGCTCCCGTCCCGTCGCTCGCTTATCAACGCACAGGCCTCCGGGATCTCTGTTTCTGCCAAAACTCGCTCAGGCTCTCCACGCCGCATTTTTGAAGGTACAATGGTCATTTACGGTTCAAAAAGATTGGAATTGAAAGATCTATAGCCAGGAGGTCAAAAAGAGCGCAAAAAAGCTGATTCAGCCGAGGTTTGAACTCGGGACCTTCTGTGTCCATCATGTCACGTGATCGCTCACGTGATGACATGTTAGACAGATGTGATAACCAACTACACCACCGAACCGCTTGTGAGAGAAGTTTTCGTGTTATAAATCTATGAACCTCGATCTTGTCCCGTGGGGAAAACTGGATCAGCGGTGCACTTCGGATAATCTTATTGAATCTTCACCTTGCGCTACAAATGTTTATGGTGTCTACAAAAGAACTCCGTATTCCACTTTGCTGTACTCCTGGTAATTCGTATTCACCTCAATGTCTTTGCTCTAGTATGGATTTGCCGATCGTGATGGAGTTGCGATCATGTTGTGATTAAAACTCTAATTCCGATTCCACCGTATACTCTACTGTGTTAAGCTTCAGACTGGACTCCTGAATTCTGGATCGCACACTCAAAATCTCCCAATCAGCTGATACATGAAAGTGCTGAACTACTGTAAGATATGTGATCCGTTATCATGCGAAATCAGCCCAGTTTGCTCGCCGCCATGTGAATGCAACTCCCGTTCGACCCCAGTTACATGCTAAATGTTCACACTCTTCAACACCTCAGCGAGCTTTTAGAAGCCTCCGCACCCTCCAGTACCTTCACCATCTTGAGCGAGTAACGTCTCTGCCTGGGGGTTGTAACCGGTACGGTCTTGTGAGCAAGTATTGACAGCTGCACTAATGTCAAGTCGTGCATCAGTAGACAAACTCCAAACACACCGTCAGTAGTCCAAAACATCTGTGATGATGAATAACAAACAGCGTCAGACGTTTGAAATGTTCTCGAGGTCGCCAACGCATTCACGGTCGCCACGCTGAAAGCGAGGGAGGGCGGATATAGTTACCGATATATCCTTGGGATCTCGCAGCATCAGAAGTCGCTGAGCAGATATGTTTGCCAGTTTCAAATTAGATGTGACACGCATCAGTGACCGCAAAGGATCGTTGGGGTCAACACGGGGTTGATATGCGATTGACCTGAGATTCGACGTGATATCTATGCTTCTTCCTACCATTACCAACTTGCCGTACACTCACGCAAGGCCGAGCTGTCATTGATTCTCGAGCTTTATAACGGGTTCTGGAACTGTCATTAATCTGATTGTGCCCAATCCCCTACGAAACGCCTCTACTTGTTTGCTCCACCTCAAGCAAAACCGGTCCTCCCGCAGGACTGCCCGCACTCTCAATACCAACAGTCGTGGTCTTCATATTGGGTACAACAAGTACCGACTGTGCGTGACTCTCGTAGTCCGTCTCACAAACCATCGCCGCCGCTCCAGCATCCGCTCTCTTTCCAGCAGACAAAGGCCGATCCCATGCTTCTGCCTCGCTGCCTCCTCGCTGCTGCGCCGAGCGCGGCCGTATCTCCACTGACGGGAGCAGCAGATTACCCGGACGTAGCGGTATGAGCATAACAGGAAAGCCCTTTGGTTCGTTCTCCCGGGCGGAAAAGTGGGCTCGCCGCTGGCCGCCGATGAGCCACGTATCAGGCTGCGCATCTATGCTGTATGTGAAATCTATCGGGTCACTCGCGTCTGCTAGGCCGCCTGCGGTCTTGATTGCACTGGGACTGTTCCATTGCCGCGTGTGCTTGACATAGAGCATCGCCATGAGAGGCTCGCCCACTGCGACTATTGGAGGTGTACGACTTGAGGTTTGATCTTGGTTGAGCAGGTGGAGGCGTACTGTGTGAACAACGTGGGCTTTTGGTAGGGTGGCGGTCACGACTACACGGCGTGTTGCGGATCTCTCGAGGTCATCTTTGTCTTCTCTGGGTTTCAATGGCATACTCGTATTGGTCTGCGCCGATCAGCAAGATGGTGTTGAATTTGATGTTATATTACGTACCTCATGCCATTCTTGCAGCCATTGCTCCAGACCTGGTCGAGTAGCGCTGGGCAGACTTTCAAGTACGTCCGCCCAGAGTGTATCTTCATACGACCGGATGCAGATGGTGCCTAGAAGTGCAATTCTCTCACAGACCACTGGCCCGAGTTGTCGCCGCAACTGGGTAACAAAATGTTTGATAAGGAGTCGGCCAAGGCTCTTGAACCCGCTGTCGTTCACTGCAGCTGCAAAATGTGCCTTGGCCTGGTGTCGCACAACCTCATCAATACATCTGTAAGCCACTTCGAGCTCCAGTGGCAGGGCGTCGGTGACGTTGATCTGAGCGTTAGAGATCGCACTGGCTGTGTTCTTAGTGATCTTGTACATGATCAAAGCCGGCTGCTTCGGGAACACGACCATTGGCGTCAGATTACACGGCGGTGGCCAGACAGAGAGCGACTCCGGGCCTCGTAGTAAAACGCTGAGCAGCTCGATGGGAATATTGTTCGCTACTTTGATATTGAAGGTTGAGAAGAGCGCGGTCTCTTTGAAAACGTCATGAACGTTGACATCCAACGGCAGGTCGACTGAAACTGTAAACGGAGCGAAGTACTCGAATGTCCCTTTCTCCGTGTAGTAGGTGGCCTCAAGACGGATCGCAAGTTCCCGAGGGTTCTCCTCGACATCGTAGGGGATTTGAAGGACTGCACTCTGACCGCGACCGAGCCCGGAAAACTCGATAACCCCGGGACGCGAAGTGTCTTGGATGTCGAGATCGCCAGCGGTGATTGCCACCTCACTCGACCGGAGCCTTAGACCTGCCGTACCGGAGCGCAAGCGCAACTCCGCCTTTTGGATGTCGTTCCATCCAGAGCTTAGTTCCAACTCTATTGACCTGGTTTTATGGATGCGAATGTCCCGGGTCCAAGTCATCTCAACAGCAAAAGCCTGCGGGGACGGGAAACAAAGGATCCGGGACTTCTTTGCAGACCTGATGGGGGACGCCGGAACAGCTGTATAAAGGCCCAGCGGCGTGACTGTCTCAGCTTTGGCGAAGGGCTCGTGTACAAAGTTGATTTTGTTGCATTCGAAAACTAGTTTGTCCACCATATAAGAGCCATCTGTAGTAACCTATAATCATGAGCAAACGGACTGAAATGACAGAGTTATACACACATTTGTCTTCACCCAGGCCTTGACCGGGCCTCTGCTGACGAGGACATGACCCTCCGTCTCGAGCCAGATCTCCTCATTTTGAGCACTGGACATGCCGACAAGCCGTACTCGAAGCCGCTGAATGTCGAGATCATCCTCCAACAGATGTCGAAACCGGACTCTCAGTTCGAATCCGTCTATATCGGCAAAGTGGCGGATGTAAGGTTCTATGATGAGATCTTCAAAATAGTCGGTCATGGGTGCTGTAACGGAGTAAGGTAATTGTTCAGAATACGCAACGAGCTCCGAGAGAAATCCAGTAGTGTCGATGCTCTCGTCGTCGAGCCAACCGATACATTTTGTGGCAGGCATTTGCTGGCTGCTCTGTGTATGCATTGATTGCATCCTAGGGAACACGTCTGACCGCCCGCGAGCCGCAGACTTTGCCAGAAGGTCCAACATGGCTCGACAGTATTCGTCCTTGCGGTTCAGCTTTTTGAGACATTCCGCGTGCATCTTCAGCATGATCGTATCGACCAAGTTCCACCGGCGCTCTGAGTATGAAGGAACCATGTGGCTAAAATGCGTGGCCGCCCCCGCATAATCCCCAATCTGGCTGCGACATATTAACGGCAGCCGGCTAAGGACTGCAGTATGGGGTACTCACAACTTTAGCGCAGCCAGATCTCCCAGAATACTTTCACCCGACTTGGGCCGGCGTGCTACGATATAAAGTCTCAGCGCATAGTCGCTGAGTCTCTGGAGATATTGAGTCAGCCACTTGCTCGCTGCGTCTAAAGAATATGACGCTTACCTCATACAAAGACCTGAATTCATCAACCGATGAAGCGGCAGCGGCAAGGTTTGAGGAGGACAGCCCTTGCGTGCGTTGCATCTCTCCTCCAGGTTTGAATTCCGTCTCAACTTCCCGAGCAGCTGGAGGCTCTGCCTCATCCAATGAAACCTCAGAGAACGTGAGTTCGGTTATTGGCAACAGAGCATTTACAGCTGCCCATCCGACCGACCATCCAAAGCCCTTCCCAACTCGCTCGAGGATTCTTCGCTGTAGAAGATAGAGCTCTGCTCGATATGCGGCCAGCTCCTTTAATCCAGTCACCGGCGGAGGCTGGGCGCCGGCCGCATAAGCGGATTGGTTCTCGTGGAATCTTCCGTGTTCGTAAATGACCTGCCCTGAAGCAGGAGTGCGTGAGTAAGGCAGGTCGGTGGTGGGATCCCGCTTTCGGTGATAGGGAGCAGTCGTCCGCGAAGAAGGTATCATGGACCTGGGTTCCTGGGCGTAATGCTGCAACGTACTAAGTGATGATGCGTTTGTACAATCCGGTCCAGAGACTATCAGCGGCAGCGAAGGGGTAGCCGTCTCATCCAGTACCTGTTCCGCAACAGAATACTCCCACGATGACACCACGTGATCAATCAATTGATGAGGTATGATGGGCAACTTCGGAGTCAATCTATTATATGGTTAGAAAGTGCAACGAAGCATCGTGAGTCAAGACAATCATACCCAATCTCCAGGTCTTCTCGCATGATACGGGCGACTGAGGTTATAAAGCTGAGCGCGCGCTGGCATATTTCAGCTAGGGAGGCAAGATCTTCTGAGTCTTCTGCCCCTTGACCGGATATTTGCCTTGCGAGAGTACCATCTGTAGCGAATTGGCCATTGTTGGGTATAGACAGAGTCGGAGGCTTTGCCATCAGTTCTGTTCTGGAGGAGTGGGCGTTGGCTAGGCGCAGTAAAAGAGCCATTTGGCGAGAGAAAATATAGCACTTAAAGTCGAAGACGGAAATGTTGCTGGACAATACAAGGTCACGATAGTCCTTCCGTTTTGAGCTGATGGGCTTGTCCTCCGTATACGACATGGTAGGTGCACTGCGACTTCGACCATGAGATGGAGCGCTACTGCTCTCCTGAGCCTCTTCGTCCGCTGCGAGCGCTTGACGCTGTAGATCTTCCGTATATGTGAGAAATGCTCCGCCATAATCGGGAGAGCCACCGGCAGCCTGCTCTCGGACCACGGTATCTAAGCCGATAGAGAGCTCATCGTACCCGACAAGCGCATCTTCGACCAAGCCGACACTCTCGAAGCCTCTTGCAAGGCCTTCTTTGAGGACAAAGAACGTGCAAAAGTTCCAGCCAGGAAGGGCACGCTGCGAGTCTTTTTCTCGGATATCTTCCTCGTATTGGCTTACGCGAAGGTCAAATGACATGAGGATCAAAGTCTTGAACTTTGCCAGGAGGTCATGCCATGCGTTTGCTTGTTCCTGCGGACTTTCGCTGTAAGGCGTGCCTGGTGCAGATGGGCCTTGAGGTAGAAGACTTGGAGGCACGACATTCTTTTCCAAGCGAATCTGGGCGACCCTATCTGGTGCCGATTTGCTAGACACATTGAAGTCTGCACGAATTTTCTCTAGAATCGTACTTGATCCACGACCTGGCCATCGACTACCGGATTTCTCTGATGGCGCGAGTGAAGGGGTGCTCGAGGATCCGCTCCAGCGCGGCTGTACTGCTGCTCCAGTATCCGGTAGCACTACATGTAAAATGAGCCATTCAAACGCATCATGATTCTCTTGATTGCTGGAAGAACTTGTGTTTTGAGACGGCGGAGTATGCTCTTTTAGCCACTCTCGAATTGCCTTTCGTGAAGATGCTTTGTATGTTTCACTGTCATCACATCGTAAGATGTAGATTTTCAGGTACGGCGTTTGCCTTAGGCCAGGGATCTGATGCCGCCTCTCTTTGACCGGAGCTTTTGAACCATCACTTACAGTTCGAGCAGCCGTACTGCTCTGCCCTTGAACTGGTGGCGGCTGGCCCTGGAGTGCGTCCCTTACATTCAGGACAGCTTGCAGCTCGGCGGCCGAGAAGCGTTTGTTGTCATTCTCGGCATCGCGGGTAGGAACAAACTGGACATGCAACGACTCAATGGACCTCAACGGCCGGGTTGGAGATTTCCAATGAAGATTGCGGAGCGGAAGCTTTGCGGTGAGCTGCGGTTCCAGAAGGGGGAAAAGATTGGAAGGGTCGTGATATTCAACTGGTGTTCTCGTCAGCGACGCTCACAAGATGAACTCGTCGTAATCTCCCAAGTTGAAATCGCTTACCAGTAACTTTTGAACTTGATGAGCCATCCATCACTGGTCTCTCGGCGCGGCTTTCCACATTGCCAGGGTCTGCCGACTGTTCTGCGGCATTTCCAGCGACTGGCATGGGACCACGGTCACTGCCACCGAGGAGTCCCCACCTTTAGAATCTCGAATACGAAATACGCAATGGAGGCGGTGCTGTGCCTGCTTCTCGTCGACCGTGGGTTTCTTTGCAGATGTTTACGGCCGGAAGTGCCGGGGCAGTTCTCCCTCGCGAAGCGATCTGCGTTGTTCGTATTTTGACGACGAGGCATCCAGCAATGCGCCAAGGTGCCTTTCAGTGACAACCAATTCACTCCGTCTTTGCAGCGCATGTGACAAAATGTGCCCTAGTCATTTGGTCTTGCAGTGCCTTGTGCGGTTCTCAAGTCCGCCTTACTGGGGTCCCGTCCACTCAGGATACTGGCTTCTCACTCTCTTACACTCCAAAATGCACTGTAGTATCTCCGCGCGCTTCAGAGCCTTACTCGGCTGCCTGATCTATCGTATTCATCTCGCATCCCCAAGTCACGTTTGTTGAGTCTTCGCCCCGCCACAAAAGTTCTCCATATCTTCGTGGATAAAAGTCTGCCGTAGCACTGAAGCTCGAACTGGCAACTCACTTGTTCATTTACCAGTAGCCCTAATCTTCGCATCGACGTTGGCCTGTGGGAACATCCCGATCACTGTTTCTATTCCCGTTCACAAGCTCGGAAGGGGCTATATCGTTGACACACACTATGGAAAACTACGGTAAGGCATCAACACCCATCCTGTACTGTGTGTGATATATCTAACGTTTCTCATAGTGGAAGGCAGCATGTGGTTTTATGCCCCGAACAAGGTGGCACCGATTGTGTTTTGCGTACTCTTCTTCATCTCAGGAGTCTGGCATGCGTATCAAACCCTGTGGGTTTACTCCCTAGAAAGTCGTGTTCGAATGGAGCTTATACAAATCACAGACGCTACCATTCGTGGAGAACGACCCTCTTCCTGCCCTGGGCCGCCTTCCTGATGATAGCAGGCTTCGCTACTCGCGAAGCCGGCGCCTATCACCTCGAAAACCTCGGCCTTGTCATTGCTAGCAACGCGCTGATCATGTCCGGCCCGTAAGTGCCTACCACTCCGAACGGCCGGGGTTTGCTGGCCTGACCCGCTGTATATCAGGCCCGTCTACGCCGCGATAAACTACATTATCCTCGGCCGCGTCCTCTACTACGTTCCTTACCTCGCTCCCATGCACCCCGGCCGTGTGATCACGACCTTCCTTGGCATCGACGGCATCATCGAAGCCATGATTGTCAACGGTGCGATTCTGATGACGAACTCGAGTCTCGAAGAAAGCAAACGCATCCTCGGTGCCAACCTCGTCAAATCATCCCTCATCATCCAAGCAGTCATGTTCGTCGTCTTCGTCTTCATCGCATGCATCTTCCACCGGCGGGCCCAGCGGGCCGGGGTCTTAACAAAGAAGCTGCGCACCATCCTGGTAGTGCTGTATGTCAGCTGCACCATCATCACCGTCAGATGCATCTTCAGGATTGTCGAGTTCTTCGAAGGCTGGACTGGCCACCTGTACAGGCACGAGCCGTATTTCTGGGTCTTCGAGGCGAGCATCATGTTCGTCAACTCGCTCATCTGGAACATTTGGCACCCTGGCGCAAGGGTCCCGCGCTCCAACGAGGTTTACCTGTCTCGTGACGGCGTGACGGAGCTGAAGGGGCCGGGATGGGACGATGACAGGAACTGGGTCGTTACCATCTTTGATCCCTTCGATCTCTACGGCATCCTCACTGGCAAGGATAAGAGGACGAGGTTCTGGGAGATGTCACAGGAGGAGGTGGAGGCGTTGCTGGCAGAGAAGAAGACGAACAAGAGGAAGTGGTATGCGGCGCTGCTGGACCCATTTCACCTGTGGGGCTCGAAGGGCTTGATCGGGAAGTACCTTGTCAAAAAATCGACTAAGAACCCAAGGCCCACAGCTTCATCCCCCACCGCGAATCCTTCAGGGGATAAGCCGCCGGCTAGTCGAGTATCCGAAGTGGTGTAGAACCTCACGGCGTATTCGATATGCGTGTGTGGACGTCCATCAAGTAGAATCATTCACACAGCCGCTTGAACCGTCCAGTCGCGTCCTTCTCTACGACCGGTCAGCAAGCTCGCCATCTCGACAGCCTTAGCACACGCAGACCCTATTTTTACAGCGACTCCGTCTGTCGGATCGCTATAGCTTGTACGATTGCCCCGTTGCTACACTCAACGCCCAGCTACCAACGCGTTCATCCATCGGTATCGTTGGCTTGTTTAGACCCATAAGCGCGTCAGACAATTCATCCGTTTACATGGGTCTTCATTACATTTGCCAAACTTTTAGAGATTCTATAAGCTCAGCCTCAGCTGAAACAGTTCGGTATTCTGCTATTCGTTCCTATATAGATTGGCGCTCGATCTCACGTCAGCTGCAACAAGCCTTTTTGTAATACATATCCATTCACTCAAGTTTCCGTCACGGTATGACAAGCTGCGAAAGAATTACGGCCTTGGCTGAAAATAGCTTGGTATCATCCTATTTGTCCTTCTAATGAGGGTTGCTCAATATTATGTTGACCAAAATCACGGCTACAGCTCCAAGACCTGCTCGTCCCCCGCTGGTTAGAAGATACGATCAGCATTTCTACAATATTTTGCACGTCCATCTACTAGTCCTGAAGATTGTGGATGTCCCACGTCAGATATCTATCTCGTCTTCAACCTCAAAGCTTCTTTACAGTTGGAATCTGCGGAACGTACATAACTCTTGAAGCGTTTCCTCAGCTGTACAATTGTCTATAAAACACAGTCTTCTAACGCCAACCAACCCATCTCCGCCAACAAGTCCCTCTCCCTTGATCGATCACTATGGCTGGAGCGGGTGCGAACGCAGCCAATCCCATGGACCAATATGTTTTAAATTGGAGAGAATCACCGTTGGAAGAGAAGCTCGGAACGCCCCAATATACATTGAGAGCCGATTTTGACTCAACTGCCTTGCCATCATCCAAGGACCTGAGTCGGTACGATTCACCAGTCAAAGACCAAGGCAATCTAGGTTCATGCACCGCCTTCGCAGCGATAGCGATCGTCGAGCACATTGCGAAACGGAATGGCCGAGCATCCGACTGGTCAGAACTGTACTTGTACTACAACACTAGAGCGAAAGTGTTGGGCTGGAACCCAAATGAAGATTCAGGAGCATACGTGTCCTCGACCATGGTTGCATTGCAAAAATACGGGGATGCGCGCGAACCCGACTGGCCGTACATTATTGCACGATTCGGAAACTTGCCTCCACCAGCCGCGTACCTAAGAGGAGCTGTCAACCAGATCCTCACGACGGCATATGTTCCGAGCACCGTGGCCGCCATCCGTGCCGCGATTGCGAGTGGAAAACCGGTCGACATTGGCTTTATCTGTTACTCGAACTTCACGAGAGACCCCGCGGTCTTCACCTCAGGACAGATCCCCATGCCGTCGCCATCTTCCTTCGTAACCGGAGGACACTCCGTCACGATTGTAGCCTACGACGATGCCACTCGGAGGTTCAAGTTTAAAAATTCCTGGTCAACACGCTTCGGTGTAGGGGGCTATGGCTTCTTACCGTACGACTATGTCGCGGGCTATACCCCCGACGCTCCCAGGAGGAAGTTGGTATCGGACTGTTGGACCGTGGATAGCATCGAGTTCGAGAACGACCATGTGATCCTCCGCGGTGTGAGCGCGCCAGAGGGAGTGGAGCCCTTCGAGATGTCAATTATCGACCCCGCTCCTCCGGGATCAGAGGATTGAACGATGCCTCGAGGTGAGCAAGGTGTACCTCGATGACGATCAGATAGCTAATGAGGCTGCATTAGGGAAAGTACTGTGGAGCTATCGCTCTACATCCTTCTACGCCGTTTCGTATTCCAGACCCTGTATTGTCGCTCGAACACACCACCATAACGACCTTCATGCTTTGTTTGTCCTCAAGGGCTGTGCGGATCCTTTTGTTAACTTTCACTTTCTTTCTCAACGGTCGCTGGATAGTATGTTCTACTTTGGGCTTCCATTACGTTTTTGTACTCCACCAATAGGTGTATGGTCAGGTACAGCAGAGCAGCACATTCACTGAGTTCAACCCTGCCTCATGGCGTGCATGTTTGCAGCCCACAAAGCCTCCCGAACTAGATCGGAGCTCGCTTTTGCGGGCGGGGTGAGTGTGATTGAACGGGGCTCCTCATCTTCAAGTAGCTAGTTTGTTAGCAATGAAGGCTAATTGTCACAGTCCGACGAAAAGCATTGAAGTCAGTGCAGTAATACGTGTTAGAAGGCGTGTCATTTATACACGGATTATACACACAAGTTCACATATTATTAACCCTTCCGCTCCCAACCCCCATCACATCACCACCAACACATCCATTCTCACTACGGTGCTTTAACTCCCCCACCCCCCACATCCACCCAACATCAACAACGGCATCCGCTTACAAAAGCAGCCCAGCACCGATCAAGCCGACAGCAGCCAAGATGCCGCTACCGACCAAGTTCGCAGCCGCGCCCGTGAAGGTGGCAATTGGCGGCGTGGACGAGGTAGGAGTGGTCTCGTTGCAAGAGTGGCTGGAGCAGTTGGTCGGCGGGGGAGCGACCCTGGAGCAGTCGACGGGCGCGAGCTGGCCGAAGGCGGTGGCGTTCTTGACCTCGCAGACGGTGGTGACGATGCCGGCGAAGGCTGAGAAGGGGGTTAGCTGGGGCGTTGGGAATCGTGGAGCGGGTAAGAAGGACGAGAACGGGAGGGAGGGGAGGGGGCAGGGCCAGGCGTAGGGCTGACGACGAGGGGCAACGTACTTCCGACCTCGGCCTCAGTGCAGTTGGAGGTGGTGAGGAGGCAGGGCTCGATGAGGGTGGCGACAACGTTGGTGTTGAGGCAGTGGCAGGTCAGGTCCTCGAAGGCGCAACCGTCGGCGGAGAGGGCGGCGGTCTCGCATTGGCGCTGGATGAAGGTGTTAGCAGGTTCGGGAAGTAAGTGTATGTTAGTGCGAGTTGTCGGGTACATAGCGATTGCTGCTTGTAGAAGAGTAGAAGGGAACTCACAGCGCAAGCCGGGATCCGAGCGGTAAGCTGGGTGGTGGTCAGGCATTGAAGGGTGGCATTTGACTGCGCGTTGACCGCAGCAGCGGAGGCGAGGGCAATGGCAACGGCGAGGAACTTCATTGTGGCGGTAGTGTGGTATTGGTGTTGGTTAGGGGTGTGAAGAAGATTATGAAGTTGATTGATATACAAGGTCAACGAGTGACTGTGGTAAGCGTTGCAGCAATAGTAACTGGAATCAAGCGGATCGACTGAGAGAAACTGGGGGGAAGGGCTCCCATTTTATGGGTTCCATCACCAAGGTGCCCGCAGAGGACGCGCTAGAGCAGAACCTCGACCGTGGCGCACGGGTTAGCTAAAGGTGGAGAATGCCAGAACAGATCCGCTTGGATCCATGGATATCTCCCGCGAGCCAGGCTCCGCCTCTTTCGATAATCGCTAGAAATAGATAGGTGTCTAGATTCCATAGAGCAAAGACCATGGTTAGACTTGACCACAATATGAAATTTGGGACGGTGAACCTCAGTGGCTGGCCACACCAGCCCCTTCCCAGCCGCCAAGCGTCTATTAGAGAGTGGACAGGGCTGGGAGGGACGTTGTGGAGCACAGTGCTTGATGCGGGTGCTAGTTCCCTCATCTCAGGAACGCGGAGTGCGCGTGCACCCCTTTCAAATCTCCACTAGTTAGCCGCTGCGCTGAGGGGAGACCGAAGGATGCGGGAGCGCGATAGGTGTATCGAGCTGGTGTCAGCTCATTGAATTCACGAGCAGTGAATGAGGTTGAAGCAAAGCGCATGGTGGATACGAAGCTTGAGAGAGTCACACAGGTAAAGCCGTTGTCGTTGGTGCACATAAGGTATCATGCCGTTGCTGTGTTGAATTTCTGGGGTTGATCGTGCTGAGGTACTCCCCATGCGAAGCTTGCAGCCCTACGCGTTGCCCCTGACGATCAACGCTTAGCCTGCTCACTTGCTCAATCACCACCCGTGTTGCGGAAATTAAATACCGGGATATGGCATCTGCATTTCGTTCCCCACGATGAAAGCCATACAGTAGAGCAGGCCCTAGCGTGTTGTCTTGAGATGTTCACATGATTTACAATACGGCAAACACGTGGGGAGCCGTATGCATGGTGAATTCGGAACTATGCTTGTATACCCCTGAGCATATTCCCATAAGCGCAGTACTTCCCCCCTCAGCTTTCCTCGTCAGCCGCTTCGCCCTCAAGAGCGCAACATCTCAAAGCGCCTGTGTATCGCTAGAGGCATGCTTTGGCCAACTCCCTGTCAAAACTGCAGCGCATTACGACTTGCGCCTCCTTCATGCTGTTCGCAGAGGACAACTAGGAGCAGAGCAACTCAAGGTCCGCCACAGATAGCCAGATATGCCATAGCTCGATCAGTCAGCCGAGGTGAGATGGATGTGCAGTACATTCACCATCCGTATGAACCCTAGGATTGAAGTACGCCTGTTGGTTGCTCACTCAGCGAGAGGAGTGACCTCGCGCTTCCTCGTTGAAGATCTGTCATACGCTGCTTCGTCGGAGGCTCCGGATTCCGGATGCCACGCAATGATGAATGGAGACAGTGTTTGGCGGCGTTGTCCCAAATCCAGCTGAAGCGGTTCTCCAACACCAACCATGGCTGATAACATGCACCAAGGGCTATCCCGTGCCTTGTTGATGGGGTTTTTCATCCAACTCTCTGGAGTGTGACTTGGCCCGTAGGCGTGGTAATGTTCAAGCTGGAAAGAGCGGAATGAACAACCATGCTCCTGCCGTAACCCTCCAGTCTTCTCTGGCTGATGCAGCATTGTCCTCGAACTACGGCCGCCGGCGCGCCTAGCTACGGCTCAGCGACAGCTCGTCGGGATACGAGAAGCTCACTAGGCTTCAGTAGAGGACGTTGCGCCAACTGCTTCGCTTGTGTCCTTCTCCCAGGGTTTCTTTCTCCGCTCCTTAACACTTTGCGTCCCTTGACCTTCGAGGACAGTGCTAGGAATCTCCTTGATACCCGGAATCGGTTGGCCGGTTGTGATCAGCTCCACGATGTGGGCGAAGGATGTCGGATAGGGCGCTGCTGGCTCCACAGCCGTGGTCGCTGTTGAGGTGGAGGAGGATGCTACAGAAGTCTGTGGCTCATTTGGGGGGGTCGATGTTGCTGCCGGAGCGCTTGAGTCCCCATTGATCCGTGCCGCATGGGCAGTGTTTTGCTGTCGTCGCCAAGCATTGTAGCCGTCGAAGTCCACATGTGTATTGAATTTCCTATATTATATGAGACGTCAGTCGAGACGGTAGTAACGACGGCGAGAAAGCGTGCGCTACCTGGAGAAGTAGAAGCATCGTGCGTGCAATGTCAGGTCCGCCGCTTGCTCAGGCGAGGGATTCGGCCCTAAGATGGCAGCAAGGCCACCTTGAAACTCAGCATCCGTATCCCATGGATACTGGTCTAGTTGCTCGTAAAGAATAGAGCTTGCGTCTGATGTCGTTGGATCTAGCGTAGAGCTTTGAGCTGTTGCCATTGCCGTCAGCAGCTAAGCGGTGCTCTGATCGTGCTTTCGTAAGTGTGACTGTATCTCACACGTAGGTCTGAAATGAGGGCTTGGTGTTGATATCGACTTGACTTCCACCCCACAATACATCTCGAGCATCACGTGATTATAATTGACCCTTGGCGCCAGAGCTTCTCGTCGCCCACAAACCACCGCGACTTCTAACCTCACTACCAACAGACTTACTGCCACCAACCCTCAACACCTCGACCGTCTCTAATTTCTGCTTGTCTTTTCTTGCGCAATTGCGTTGACTTTCTTCATTTCGCTTGCAGCTTCTTTCGTCGCCCGAGATGTCCGAATACATCGGGTTCGTCAGATGCTCGGCCCACCAGATCGAAGTGAGCTAATAACAGCTCAGGTCGCGTATATCGCTCATATCAAAGAGTGACATCCGGTCGGTCATCATCGCTACTGCGGAGTCGAGGCGCGTCGTGCTTACTTCGGAGCCAGATATGTCGGCACTCTCCATGAAATCAGTTCCGCGGAATCGACCGTGGCATTAGAGAATGTCACTTCGTACGGCACAGAAGGAAGGCGCGGCAACCCAGAGGAGGAGATTCCGCCGTCAGATAACGTCTACGAGTACATCGTATTCCGAGGCAGCGACGTCAAGAACCTCAACATCGAGGAGCCAGCGCCGAAGGAGAACAAGCCCCCTCAACCGCCAGTGCCTAATGACCCGGCCATTCTTGGAGTACGTTCCATCCTCCTCGCATAAGCTTGTTCTCTATGATGAAGCATATTCGGATGTAAATCACTAAATTACCGAGAGCGCAAAACCGTGTGGATATCTTCCGTTGCCTTCCTTCTGATCGCGTCACTGTTATATACCGGAATCTCTTCAATCATTGTTTACGGCGCACGCGCTAACACAATTGCACCTCCAGGCTCAGCGTCCACCTCACCAAGCTGCGCCAGGACCTGGTCAGCCCCCGCGCCCGCCGCAGCATCCAAATTTCGGTCAACCATCACCATACCCCCCATACGGCCCTTATCCGCCTTTTGCCGGACGAGGCTATGGCCCACAGCCAGGCTTTCCAAGTGGTCCTGGAAACTATGGATATGGCATGCCGTATGGAGCACCACCGGGATGGTACCCTCCGCCTCCCCCGGGTCACGGTATGCCCGGCCAAGGCATGCCTAATCAACCCTTTCCCGGCAGACCAGGTCCATTTCCTCCGCAACCTCAGGGTCCCATCGGTCCTCCGGGCCCGCACCAACCACAGCAGCCATCTCCTGCGCTAAACGACTTGCAAGTGAACAAAGACACGCAGCCAAACATCATATCAGAAACTCCAGAGCCGGAGGCCGCACCGAAGCCAGTAGAGACTCAAGCGTCGAGCCAGCCTGTTGCTCCCGCCCCGATCGCCCAGCCAAAGCAAGCACCACCCCCACCAGTCGAGTCAAAACCAGATGTAGCCGCAGCGCTCGCGCCTCCACCAGCTCCCGTACCAGCACCTACCACCGCTCCCGCTCCCATCCCAGGCATCTTACCTACCGCTGGCGCCAAACCAACTCCAACAGGCCCGAAAAGCAACCGCGTCATCCCCGCTGTACCGCTGTCCGGCGCTGGCAGCAAAGCCGCCGCACCTCCCAAGGCCGGCGCTACGCAGCAACAACCCACTCCTAGCGCACCGGCTGCTGCGCAAGCACAACCAAACCCGATTCCTCCCGCTGGTACCGCCGTGAAGGCCGCTCAGCAAGCCGCACAGCTACAATCACAAACGGCAGCCCAGCAAGCCGCGGCCGCCGTCGCCGCCGCAATGGCCAAGCTCGGCCCAGCGCCCGGCCAACCGAAATCTCAAGCACAATCCAAGCAAGAAGGCGACGCCGCGCTACAAAACCTGACGAACAAAGTCAATGAAATGCGCATGGACGACCGTATCAGACATAGCAGACAGCAAGGCACTGGTGGCTACGCGGCCGGCCACCGCGGCGCCGGCAGGGGTCGTGGGCGTGGCCGAGGTGATCACCCTCAAGGCCAGCCACGCAGGGAGAGCCAGTCAAAAGTCGAAGTCCCCGCCACGGATTACGACTTCGAATCCGCGAACGCGAAGTTTAACAAGCAGGATCTCGTCAAGGAAGCTATTGCTACGGGCTCGCCCCTAGGCACGCCGGCGGACGAGGACGTCCGGTCGCCTATCAGCGGGCATCCGGAGTCGATGAACGGCACCGGAGCTCCTGCAGCCGCGAACGGTACAGGCCCGGCGTCTGAGGACGTGGTTGTCCCGCCCCCGGCGCATGGATACAACAAGGCGACGTCTTTCTTCGACAACATCTCTTCTGAGATCAGGGACCGTGAGGACGCTGCGAGCCAGAACAGGAGGCTCGGTGGGCAGGAGTTCAGGACCGAAGAGCGCAGGAAGAACCTCGAGACTTTCGGACAGGGTAGTGTTGATGGTATGGGTGGCTATCGGGGTGGCTTCAGGGGCAGAGGCCGTGGGAGGGGCTTTGGGAGGGGACGTGGTGGGTATGGGAGGGGCGGGGGCGCATTTAGGGGCCGGGGTGAATCCGGCCAGGAGGCGGGTGAGGCCTGAGGTGGTGTTCTTTTTGCGAAGGGGATGATATGCGATGAGGTGAGCTATGCGCTGGGGCTCATGGGACGTCTGTACTTATAAGCTTCGAGCTGAATATTCTGCGATTGCAGAAGCTGGAGGGATCCTTTTCTTGGGAGGCGTCAGACACTGGTTGCATAGGCTGTCGGCGAAAAGCACGCGTGGCTGACGGTCTTCTCATATAACGAAACTTGGAACACTAGCTCTCTCCACTAAACACTCGTGTCAACGTTGGCTTCCTTGTGCGTGTCGCACTCTAACAGGAAAGGAAAACACCTTAGTGGTCTTGAAAAGGTCACGTGACCAACACTGCCCTGAGATGTCACAAACAATTAACGCGTTGTCCCGCGCCGGCGGACTTGACAGCGATCTGCTGCGCAAATAACAATCCACACAACTCGGCGCAACTGACACATGGAGACCTCCATGCGACAACATGACCTCCAATCCCAACGTCAGAATCACTGGAACGGCTGAAAGAAAGACATCAGCAAGTACACACGCCAGTTCGAGACCCCGCGTCCCCTCGTCGATTGTAGGCGGGGAGCAGTCCAGAAAACAGTCCGCAACGGAGTCTTTGAGACGAAAAGAGACGCGGGATGTCCTCACACGGGAGACTATCACCTCCCGAACGGCAAGCCCGCTGAAGAGAACGAGTGAGAGCCGCGTCAATGCTGGCAGACGGGGCAAGGAGGATGGCAAGGCGCCGAAAGCGGGCGCGACTGCTTCCGCTGCTTCTACAGGAGCGAAGAAAGATGATTCGCATGGTGTGTGCCCTCAGGCGTCTTCCAGAGACCTCTTGCGCGCAATAACGAGGACTACACAAGAGTGAATGCCTCCTACATTTTTACATAGACGCTGACCGATAGGCTCACAGAAACACCATGGAGTCCCCAAGCGTCGTTGGTACCCCACACAACCGCCCCGCTAGCTTCTCGTGTCTCCATACCACCGCCCGCTGCGACCGCTCCTCAAGGCCTACAACCGCAACCGTTGCACGAGCTGTCCCTCGATGCGCAGGAAGCCGCGATAATCGAGGATCTCCTTTTTGTCTTCATGGGTTTCGAAGGGCAGTACATTCGCTTCGTTGATACCTACAATGCTTTGGAGGAGAAGGATCGCTTGATCGGGCCTTCGTTCCGGATTATGCCAGGGCTGGACCCGAGCTTACGAGATTTGACGACATCCATGCTGAAGATGGCCACGCATTATGTTGCAGTAGAGGCTTTTGTAGAAGTGCAGAGCAGGGATGAATACGGAGCTGTGAATCATGCGCTGTGTGCTGCGGTTAGAAAGCTCCTTAAGGATTATCTGATCCTCATGGCACAACTGGAACACCAGATGTTGACGAATGAAACGTTTACGCTACATGTCTTGAATCTGCACACGGTACGTAGGCAAACGTTATGGGATGTTCGTCGCACTTCGTAGACCATCAACTCTGATAGCAAGCACAGAAACCGACGAGCCATATGCTTTTCCAGTTATACACACTAGGTAAGTAATACTCCTGGTGCCCTCAACAAAAGGTTCCGTGAGCGAGATGCACAAGCTTACTGTAGTCGGCAGGCATCGAGGTACTGAAAGCCAACTCCGTCCTAGATGACGACAAGGATGACTCGCTAGACGACACAGATAACCTAGAGGATATCCTGGAATCTCTAAAAGAGGGCGCAAACCTCGATGCAATCCCAGGGAAGAAGACTTGCAAGGGCGGCCAAGTGCTTAGTCTGGTCACAAAGCGTCTCGCTTCTATGTCCGGAGACCCGGCCGCCCGACAATTGCTCACCAATTTACTGAAGGAGGCCAGTCGTCCATACATGACCATGCTGAATGAATGGCTGCACCACGGTGGTATCAAGGATCCGCACGCTGAATTCCTCATTAAAGAGCAGAAGAGCATTAAACGAGAAGACCTGGGCAAAGACTATACTGACCAGTACTGGGATAAGAGGTACTCTGTTCGTGACAATCTTGTTCCACCGCAACTCGAGGGCGTCAAGGACAAGGTGCTCTTGGCTGGCAAATACCTAAACGTGGTCCGGGAGTGCGGAGGAGTGGACATCAGCAATGTGGTGCAGGACGTGCCTACGACCTTTGATGATCCACGGTTTCTGGAGAATGTGAATGAAGCATACACATATGCCAATTCTGCGCTGCTCGATCTGCTTCTCACTACTCACGCCTTGCCCGCCCGCTTACGGTCTCTCAAGCATTACTTCTTCCTAGATCGATCCGACTTCTTTACCTACTTCCTCGAACTTGGCAATTCAGAACTGAAGAAGCCTGCCAAGCAAGTGAACCTGGGCAAGCTTCAGTCCCTTCTTGATATCGTTCTTCGCCAGCCAGGCAGCGTGGCAGCAGAAGATCCATATAAGGAGGATGTCAAGGTGGACATGATCGAGATTTCCTTGGCCAACTGGTTGATGATGATTGTCAACGTCCGAGGTATGGACCAGGAGTCAGCCAGCGGCAGCATCGTCAGTTATACTCCGGCCACTCAGTCGTCGTCCATCAACGACGACAAGGACCTTGTTGGCTTCGATGCGCTTGTTCTGGATTGCGAAATTCCTTTCCCTGTGTCGCTGGTCGTAAGCAGGGTCACCATCACCCGGTATCAGGTAAGCTGATTCTCATCTTCTAGTGTGCAAGCACTCTTCTGTCCCGGTTGCCCCTCGCACCAATCACATCTTGTACCCGTGGTTTTTAATTGGAACTTTGCAATACCTATTCGGTCGATCAGGGCTTTCATTTGACGTGCACTATTCTCTTACATAGTTGGCACTAGAAATGTTCCATTACTGACCACACCAGCTCCTTTTCCGTTTCCTCCTCTCGCTCCGCCACCTCGAGACCCTCCTCATCAGCACCTGGACGGACCACAGCAATGGATTCGCGTGGAAGCACCAAAGCAAAAACCCGAAGATCGAGCAATGGAAGCGCCGATGTTGGACGCTCCGAGCGCGAATGCTGGTGTTCGTTCAACAGCTGCTCTACTACTGTACTGCGGAAGTCGTCGAGCCAAACTGGCAGGCTCTGATGACGCGATTGGTGTCTGGCAAGCCACCCGATGCTGCTGAAAATGGCCCAGCGCAGGTCAAGAGGACTGTGGACGAAGTCATGCAGGATCACATTGACTTCTTGGCGACGTGTATGAAGGAGTGCATGTTGACCAACTCGAAGCTACTTAGGGTAAGTCTTCGTCCATCGAGTACTTTCCAGAGAAAGAGCGCGGCAGACCTGACAGAGTGTAGATCAACTCCAAAATCATAGCGACGTGCACCATGTTCAGCAACTTCCAGGCCTCCCTAGCGCGTCACCTCATCCGTGCCGATCAAGACTTGGTCACGATTGCTATCGCGAAAGGTACTAAGGCATCTCATCCCTCAGCGTCTGCTCCCCTGGAGTACGATCCGGCGCACGTGAGCAAGCTCTTCGACATCTTGGGCAAGTACGAAGAGAATTTCACGAGGCACTTGAAGGTCTTGTTGGACACGCTCAACTACCTTGCTGCGACTGAGACGGTCGTGTTCTTGAGTCTGTGTGCGAGGTTGAGCACTGCGCAGGATGGAGCTGGGGCGGGCCCGGGGGAGAGTGTTTATGCTTGATGAGAACACCTGAGTTTTGATGGGGAAATGGGAGGCAGGGAAAGGCGTTTCGGAGTACCAGTCGTGCCAGGTTCAAGTTTAGATACCCATATATGCGAATAAAGAAGATGATGAGGTATACTCATGTTTCTAATGTGCCAGCCGTCAAGACGAGGCTCCGATGGCATGGTATGCTCTTCATCACCCATTACGCGTGACTCTGTTCAGATGGCAACCGGAAGCAAGGTGATGGATACATATGATTCCTTGGGAGATTGGCTGCGGAAAAGATCACAATCAGCGTTCTTCCGTCAATCGAGCGGCTGTCTGTTCGCGCAAATATCCTTGCTCTGGTGTCAGACGAGATTAATACGAAGCGTCCCTTGGGCCCGATGTAGTGACAAGTGGTAACTTAGAGCACCTGCACCCTTGAAAGCGGTGAATCCCTAGAATGGGATGTTTGCATGTCGGGAGATCTGCAATCTGACTCGGCAATCTGTAAAACGTCATCACAACGTGGAATGTCCATTCAGGATATCGAACTCCACGACCCCACCGGCCACACCTCCTTCTACACCAATGGTAGGCGACTTTTACTAAGCCCCCCTCAGGCACAGCAGCTTCACTGGATCAACACACAACGCCAGAGTTGGTGATGTCAATGCTTCCAGCTGTCGATGCGCGTCATGGACGGTGTAGCGCCTTCATTCGTCCCAATAAAGGGAGAATACCTGCCCACATCCTATTGCCAAATACCCTTTGCTCAACGTGCATACAGTTCCTAACATACAAAGACACAGTGAACCCTTGACATAAAAGGTGCATACTGCTATTCCGAGAGCTTCATACAATTCTGCAGCGTTTGAACCATATTGACTTCTGAAATCAGACCCATTCCACAATCCTGTCCATCATGGAGACCATCAAGACCACTCTCGCCGAGAACTTCGGCGGCATTGCCCAGCAGGCTGTAGGCGAGGAACACCAGTGGTCCCTGGAGCAATGCCCCGATCTGTCCGGCAAAGTCGCTGTCGTGACAGGAGGCAGCGAAGGCATTGGCTACGGCTGCACGCACACCCTCCTCTCGCACAACATCGCCAAGCTGTACATCCTGTCGATGTCCAAAGACATCGTAGACCAGGCCCTCGATGCCATCAAGGAGGAGATGGGCGCCGAGGCCGCAGGCAAGGTCAAATGGCTTCAGTGCGACCTCTCCGACTGGTCCAAGACTGGCGAGCTTGCATTCGAGATCGCGAAAGAGAACGACAGACTCGACATCCTGATCAACAATGCGGGCCGCGGCATCATGACACGACAACTCGCCGCCAACGGCATAGACCTCCACATGGCCATCAATCACATGGGCCACGTCGTGCTGACCTCGCATCTGCTGCCGCTGATGAAGAAGACCGCGGAGGCGGGCAATACAGTCCGAATCGTCAACCTGGGCTCAAACGCGCACCAAGGCGCGCCGAGCGACGTCAAGTTCGAAAGCGTCGAGGAGCTGAACAAGGACTACGGCCCCAACGCCCAATACGGCCGCACAAAGCTGGCGGTCATGCTTCACGCGCGGTACCTCGCCGACCACCTCTCGAGCAAGTACCCCAAGATCCTCGCCAACGCCACACATCCCGGTTTTGTCGAGACGCGGCAGTCAAGCGAGCACATTCTCGAGGCGTTCCCGCTGGGCGGGTATGCCATGAAGTACGGCATGGCTCCATTCAAGAAGTCTCAATTTGAGGGCGCCATCAGCACAATGTACGCCGCGACTACGACGGAGAAGACGGGACAGTACATCTGCCCGCCTGCGATACCGGAGCCGGGCAGTGAGATGAGCCAGGATAAGGAGCTGGGCGAGCGGTTGATGAAGTTGACGAGGGAGGTGGTCATGGAGAAGACGAGGGCGGATAGCAAGGAGAAGGGGTGTCCGTTCCAGGATTATTAGGATTCGTGTACAGAAGTGGTCGTTTAGCCCGTCTAATACCATATTGCCCATCTTCTCAAGATACCGGCTGTTCTTCTTTGGCCTTGGAGGATACCTCAGATATGCGTTGTGGACTCGTGTATTCAATCTTGGCGAGGACATTCAACGTAATCTTGAACAGTGTGACGGCTCCGCGATGGCTGGAAGGCTCAAGATATTTGACATGTTTGACAAATAGGAGAGAAGTGCCTCCCATGATGTGGAAATTGTGCTATCGTCGTTCAAGTCCAGCGCGCTGTAGACCTCTTCAAGCTGTGGCCAGTGGAGCAGTAAATACTGATACCTGTGTGCTCTGATGCTCCCTCGAGTTATTACATATAATAGAGACTCAAGTCTCTGACATCTGTCAGCTTCAGGACGGGTAGCAGCTCGAAGTTGTACGTTGTTAGATCGGAGGACGGGGTTTTGGCCTGAGGCGACAAGCAGCTCCCCTTAGCGGTGACCGGCCTTGGCATCTACGAAGCTCAAGCTGCCTGAGCTCCAAATCATTTGCAACTTCACCACCATATCAACGCGCTTCAGACTCCTTCGAGAACTTCTCTTCAACTTGAGTCTGTGTCCATATCCTGCTCCACAGCCTCAACGCACCTCGATACCCTTGTTTAGACGACCAAGATGTTCATCGCGCGGTCAGAATATGGTAAGCAGAGGGCTTCAAGCTTCCCTAGTCCCCAGCTACAACTCACGCTGACCCATCTCTCCAGATCGCGGCATCAAGTACGTCTCCTCCTCCCCAAAGTCCCCAGAACTCCCACTCACCCCACCCCAGCACCTTCTCCCCCGAAGGCCGCCTCTTCCAAGTCGAATACTCCCTCGAAGCCATCAAGCTCGGCAGCACCGCCATCGGCGTCTCGACAAGCGAAGGCGTGATCCTAGGCGTCGAGAAGCGCGTCACCAGCACGCTCCTCGAAACCTCCTCGGTCGAGAAGATCGTCGAGATCGACCGACACATCGGCTGCGCCATGTCCGGGCTGCAGGCGGACGCGCGGAGCATGATCGAGCACGCCAGAGTCGAGAGCCAGAACCACGCGTTCCACTATAACGAGCCGCTGAGGGTTGAGAGCTGCACCCAGGCGATATGTGATCTTGCGCTCAGGTTTGGAGAGGGCGCGGAGGGCGAGGAGAGTATTATGAGCAGGCCGTTTGGTGTTGCGCTGTTGATTGCAGGGTATGATGAGGATGGGCCGAGTCTGTGAGTGGTATTACTGTGCGGGTGCTGGTGGGATAATGCTGATGTTGGGCTTGCAGGTATCACGCTGAGCCGTCGGGTACTTTCTACCGCTACGACGCGAAGGCAATAGGATCGGGCTCGGAAGGTGCACAGGCGGAGCTACAAAACGAGTTTCACAAGTCGTTAACGCTGCCGGAAGCGGAGGTGCTGGTGCTCAAGACCTTGAAGCAGGTGATGGAGGAGAAGCTGGATTCGAAGAACGTGCAGTTGGCAAGTGTGACGAAGGACAAGGGTTTCAGAATCTACTCAGACGAGGAGATGGCGGAGGTGGTGGGCCGATTACCTACGAACTGAAGAAGTAGTCCGAACAATTGGTGCTGGTTTCCGTGGTCAGTTGGAGCATATACCTGGCGTCTCAGGCGCCTTGTAATAGCGGCTACGTTAGATCAGGGATAAAATCGCGTTTGATGGAGTGAAACCACATCAGGAGTATCAGAGTCTATCGGTACCAAATACACATTGTACTTATGCACAGCAAAACCCTGCCCGCTTCCCAACAGCCCCATCCACCTCCAATGCTAACGCCCTAGAATGGATTGTCCTCTGGCGGTATCTCATGTATGAAGTAGTCTCCAATGATCGGCATTCTCTGCATGATGTCCTTCCGTACTTTAGGAACCTCAGCGAAGAAGAAGAGGGCGAAAATGCCTGCAACGGCGCCGAAAGCACCAGCTGTTGCGCCGCTAAGATACGGAGAATTGTTAGCTCCATCCGAAGCTGAATCCACCGAGTTCATGTTCGCTGCCGAGTAAAGGACTATCCGTAGCCGCGATTTTAGAGGACTTAGGGGCGGACGTACAATCGAGCGGCACGACTGAGGTTGATGCCGTGGAAGTGGGTAGAGGCTCTATAGCTGCAGCGAAGTACCGTCAGTGCTGAAAAGCGCTACAACAGGCATGCTCGAGGGCGTACTTGGGGCCGTAGGGAGACTTGTAGGTGCCGTAGTTGGGGCGGACCGACCACGGCTGCATGCCATGGTGGCCGTTGTGCGTCAGGTCTCCGCGAGTAGACTGCGCAGCATGTCAGCACAGTGAGCAAGGAGATCGACGGGCAGTGGATACCATGGTGAGTGGATTGGGCGTCTCAAGGCGAGGTGTGCTGCTCAGTGATGCGCGGTGATGCGGTGATGCTTTGGAGGTCGGAGGCGCAACCTCTTGGCTCGTGCCCGAGGCTGAGAGCCCGCTAGACCCTGTTGGAACTTTTGCGGCCAAAAACCACCTCGACCTGATTTCCACGCCAAACCCTCGAATTCTGCGCAAGACTGCTAAAATGGCGCCTATCAAACCGAAGACCAGCTCTAGCAAAGGCGGCACGAAGTCAAGCTCGAAACCCTCCGGCAATAGCGCCCTAAAGAACAAGAAGCGGACCGCAAGCGCCGTTGGAAAAGCCGTCCAGAAGAAATCCGCACCAAAATCAGGGCCGCCAAAGAAGAAGAAGAGGATCTACACGGAGAAGGAGCTAGGAGTACCGACATTGAACATGATCACCCCGTCCGGTGTGCAGAAACCCAAGGGCAAGAAGAAGGGCAAGGTGTTTGTGGATGATCAAGAGAGCATGATGACCATTCTGGCTATGGTCAATGCGGACAAGGAGGGTCAGATAGAGAGCAAGATGATGAAGGCAGTATGTACTTGGCTTCTGTCTGCGTTTTGGGGTTACGGTGATTGATTGGCGTGCTTGCAGAGGCAAATGGAGGAGATCCGCGAAGCCAGGAGGAAGGAAGCCGAGGCACGGCAGTACGACAAGCGTTCTAAGCTGGTGAGTCACTTTGGCATCATTTCGTGCGAAGCACTTTCCTGACATCGATCGTAGGAGGAAACCAAGGACTCTCTACGCAAGCGACACAGACGCAAGGAAGACGCCTCAATCACAGAACCCGACGCCGATCCACAGCCTGAAAAGCCAAGGAGGCCCAGCAAAAAGCGAGTCTCGTTCGGATGAACTCTTTTTACGACATCTATCTGGTCTATCATCTACGGAGAGGAGTACCACAGACACTATCTGGGAATATGCAGCTTGCGCCGCATAGGCTCGAAGTATGAACCCTCGCTCTTTGGTCCAACCCCTCCGTTCGCATCTGCCATCCTCTGGTCTGAGATCGCCTCTATGTCTATTTCCTTCGCCATTTTGTTAAGGAAATTAACCGCCTAAGTCCGTCAGCAAATGGCCTTCTGTCAATCAATGCCGAGCATTGGAAAGAAGGTGGGCCTACTGGCTTCACGAACCACCTTCCACCACCCCACTCGAACCAGCTCAAATGACCTCCCACAGAGGTAGTGCAAAGCACCGCGTACGGGTTCTGCTTGAATTCCTCGTAGGGGATGGCTTCATTGACCGCAATCTGGCCAATGATTAGGTTGGACAAGCTTGAGGAATCACTCTACTCACTGGATCATCTTCCGCGTTGATCGCCAGTAGAGGTGTCCTCACAGCGAGCAAAGAGTCCGAGGATGATGCATCCCGATAGTATGCGCCTTCTGTGGGGTAGCCCCAAGTGGGTCCCTGTAGCTCTCTGTGCATGATGAGAGTTAGCAACTGACAATGGATTTTATCATAATTGTCAACACGTACCGATCAAATTCATGAAGATATTTGACTTTTCTGACTCTTTCGACATCAATCCGCGGATTCTTCGCGATCTGATCCACATGACTGAATCACATTGTCAGCCGATATCAGGAATGATTTCCACGGCACGTACGTCTCGAAGAGCTTCTTCATGTTCCCACCCATTGTCTTCGAATACACTTCTAATCCAAGCCATGTCCGCTGCAGTGCTAGGGATCCAGCTTCGAGGTTCCATGGATTAGAGCAAACGACCGAACCCGAGAGCTCACATCGTTTGCCTTCTTCACCAAGGTACTGCAGTTAAGGGTGCATATCAACATTACGGTCTTCGTACGCTTTGCTATGTGATCGAGTACATACATTCGTTAAGATATTCGCTCCCAGGGAAAAGCCCAACCCAAACAGCGGCCGATTAGGAAACTTCTTTCTCAACCACTTCACCATCTGACGCATATCCCACGTTGCTCGCGCGTTATAGAGCACACCTGTAGTGATCTTGCTCATAGCGCAGCCTCTCGAGTTGATGACGCATACTTCCCACCCTCCTTCTTCGTTTGCCAAAGGCGCGATGACGTGCCTGAGATAGAGTTCGTGACTGCCTCCGCTGAGTCCGTGAAGCGTGACTAGCATGGGTTTGCTGTCATCAGATCCGAGTGCATTGAATTCTTGCTCGGAGTAGTAGGTCGTCCGCTCCGGTAGTGATGCATCTTTCTCAGTCCTCGTCGAGTTGGGCACGACGAAGTCAACGGCGAAGGTGCCGGCGAATACTGGGTCTTCGGCTTCGAAGATTCTGCGCTTGTAGGTGATGGGGACGTCTTGAGCCTTTACTGCTGTCCAGAAGGTTTGGAGATGACCGTTGAAGAGCAAAGGGTTGAGCTGACATGGCGGCGTGGCTTCCTCGCACAGTTTGAGTAATGATATTGAGTGGCCTGTCTTTGTTGGAAGGGATATGGGGGTTGCGGAGTGGTGAAAGGACGTCCTGACGTGGCCTAGTAGCCAGGCCATGGTTTTGTCGATAAATCTGGGATATCTATGATACCCGAGCAAAAGTATAATCCTCAAACAGAAAAAGTGAGTTCAGAAATTCCCAGGAAACGTGAAGGGACTGTCCGCCGTGATAATTTCTACATTCTCTAGAGTCATTAGAGTCACGTGGAAGTCAATCTGCTTGAGATCGACCTGCCTCGGTCCGCCTCGAGCGCCGATCAGCCGCGCGTCTGGCGCCTAAACTCAACGTCGTTCGTCAGGTCGCGCTGTGAGCGAACCCGTGAAAGAGATCAACCTCAAATAACTCTCCAACGATGCCAGGAGAAGTGTAGTGCCAGCTTGCCCGATGGAGTATCAGAGCTCACCGCGTCCTTTGCACAGCAGGGCGCACGCTGGCGCACCTGCAAACCCACAATACCTACCTTTGCCGGACAACGCGCTGTATCCTCCGTCTCTCGCTCCTACCTTGCACCCAGGTCAAGCAGACCCACAAAGAACCAGCCATCCCAAGGTTGTCATTCCGCAGCGTTCTTCGGCGCACCAACATCAGCAATACCAGCAGCAGGATGCGCGAGCCTACCAGTACAACCAGGCATATGCCACCTATCCACCGCAGTATGCGCAGATACCACCAGTATACACATCGAGCCCACAAATGGCGCAACCTATCGCGTATCCTCAAATCCAAGCTAGACCCCAGCTGCCCCCGACACCGGCGCCAACTTCGTTCGATACCCCGTCCCCCTCCATGGACCCTGCACTTCCAGTGGACTACCACTTGCTCTTGCTCTCGCTTGCCGAAGACTACATAGCTGCGGCACACGGCATGGGATCTCTGGTCGCCTTACACTGTCGGAACGCGGACATGGAGGCCTACTACAAGCTCATAGCTACGGGCCTCGGTTGTATGGAGTCTGTGCTCAAGAACTGGCGACTTCATCCGCGTATGGAGGCAGAGCTACGCTTGCGGTATGCCGGCCTGCTTCATCAAGAGACTGAGAACAGCGCGCAGACGGAATCAGTTCTCAGCAAGGGGATCACACTTTGCGACCGGAACCGCTTGTTAGGTCTTAAGTACAGCATGCATCATCTTCTTGCACGTGTGTTGTTCAAGACAAATCCTCGAGCAGCGCTCAAATCTCTGGACAATCTTATACCGGATGTTGAAGCGTCCGAGCACACAGCTTGGGCGTATGCTTTCCGCTTTCTACGCGCCTCTCTATCTTTACAGGTCCCTTCTCATCCAGAAACACTTGCAGCACTACAGCATCTCCGCCGAATATCAACCTTGGCGGACAGTCAAGGAGATAGAGCCATCTTTGTGGCGTGTTCTGCAGTCCAAGCGATGGTCTACCTACGGAGTGGTAGCATGGACTGCATCGAGCAAGCCCAGAGAGCTATTGCTGCTGCAAGAAGTTATCAACTGCAGATGACCGCTCAAGAATTGGGGCACTTTGTGACATTGCTGGATTTCATCGACTTAGCCTGCTGCTTACAGCAATACAATCCTGAGCAGGCAACGGTCAAGATGCAAGCTATGCAAGCGTCAATGGACAGGATCAGCGACGAGATGGCTTCGACCGATGATGGATCATTTTCTGTACTTATCGAACAGAGCTCTGGTGGACAGGCCACAACATCGACCGGCGGCGTTTTCCAGAAAACGGCCGACGGACGGGATATGCTAACATTCACGTGGCTGCGGAAACTGGACCTGTATCTACTTGGCTACTTCCTTAGCGGCGTCACCGCGCATCTGAAATTTTCTGTTGGCGGAAAAGCCGAGCAGTACTTGCAAGAGAGTCTGAGGATGTCACGTGGTACGTCTTAGCATGTCACGTCAACCCTGCTGGCAGCATACTGATCTGTCGCAGAAAGTTTCAAACTCCCCGAATCCCCTGGGGAATCTTTCTCAACGGCGACTGACAGGGCTCGATGGAAAACTCTAATTGAATGGCACATCTACGTCCACCTCGCCCTCTTGTCCAGCTACCGAGCCGATTGGGCATCGGCAAGAGCATGGCTCAATAAGCTTCACGAAACACGCCATAAACACGGTATCTCCGAAGCCGAGTCCCTGGATCAGTGGGCAACCTATCTTCACGGCGTGATCGATCAAGCATCGGGGAACACAGTTTCTGCCCTTTCAGTCTTTCAGTCCCCGCTTCTCTCGCTCCCGGACCCGGCACCAAACCGCTCCCTCTCCGTCCAGCAAGACCTCGCCATCCTCGCCGCCCTCAACACTATCCTCATCATCCGCGACTCAGCCCACCCTCAACACCACCAAGCCGACACTCTCCTCCTCAAGCTCGAACCCCTCTGCCTCTCCCACCCCAACAAAGCCATCGAAGCAGGCCTCTACCTCGTCAAAGCGACCTCAACCCCCGGTTTCCACGGCGAAGCGCCCTCGATCATCAAAACCAAGCAGTACATCCACACGGCCCTCAAGGTCGCCAAGAGCGTCGCGAACCAGCAGCTTCTCGCCATCAGCATGAGTTTCATGACGGCCATGTTCTTCAAGGACATCGTGGGGGAGCAGGCGGAGAAGAGCGCGAAGGCGGCGAGGCATCTCGCGAGGGGTGCGGGAAGCGCGCTGTGGACTTGTGTTACGGATGGCATGTTGGCGGATACGCTAGCGAAGCATGGGAAGAGGGAGGAGGCGGCGGCGGCGTTGGGGGAGGCGAGGGAGTTGGCGGCGCAGTTGCCGGGGGAATTGGGTAAGAGATGTGGGGGTGGCAAGTGAGAGGTTTGCTATGTGAGGGGTATGATGTACGCGATGGTTGTGGCGTGAAAGGGCCGAGTACTATGTGGATTTGTGTTCTAGCGAGCTTTCTGTCTGGGTTTGGGTTGCTGCATGGCTGTGGCGCTTAGTGCCGTTTAAGAAGGATACCCGGGTTGGCTTTCGGATGTCGGGTTAAGGTATAGGTACAAGGGAACATGTCAAGTCTTGCGACACGGCTGTAACGAAGCATACTCGTCCTTCGGGTGATCCCATGTGAGAAGGTATTGGCAGGTACGCACTTGTGCATGCGAGCCCTGTGTGTACAAGACCGTTTCTGCCTTCAAGGATTTGGATCCATAACGGCCCTTCTAGCTCGAGCTTATATAACGCCATAAAACGGCGCCCCCCGCATTCCAACGTCCATTGGAGGCATTGCCGCTCAGCTAGCACGCCTCCTAACTAGGATAGGCGAACCGCTTCGGCGCAGCGCCGGCTTAACTTCCCTATCCATCATGGCATCTAACAAAATCTAACGTCATCTGTATTTTCACCGCACTTTCTCAGGAGTCTCGAGGTCAGTAGCATAGGCGTACTTCTTAGAACGCAACGGTAAACCTAAGTCTAAGAGGTCTAAAGAATGTGTGCCCAAGCAAAGTTGCCAAATTCGCTTCACCAAACAGGGTCCGACGACTTTGCAACGGTGCCTACTTCCAACCTCAGCCCGCTCGGTACGGACGCGTTAACAATGGGACAATCAGACCTAGTGTTTCGGCGCCCTTACAACCGTTACAGGATTGGCTTGATGACGCGTATATAGCACCTCGGTATCAAGTTTCAGCAGCCATACCCTGTAGATCCAATTTCCGAGCTGTGGTACCATCAGGTTGCTCAATTGAAGAAATGACGATGAAATTCACTGCGATCTTCAGGACAACCTGCCTAGAAGGACCGGCCCTGGCAGACTCAATCAGCTAATGGGAGCGTTAGAAAGAGCTCGCCACACGGAGCTAAGGAGGACTTCAAGGATCCTCTAAAGAGTTAAGCCTGCATAGGAAAGTACCAAGGCCTTTTCTCTTGAGCATCGGGCCATCTCACTGCCCACATGTCCAATGTGTCGGGAATAACTAGTTCTAGAATGTCTCCAGCAAACATAGAGTAATCCCTACCGTACCTGGAGAAGTGGGCAGGGCCGTTAGTGGTTGACACAGATGCTATGCTACATTAACAGCTGCTTTAGCTCATTCTCCCGTCTGATGTAAAATCTCTCCAGCCTCAAGCTCTTGTCGCACCCTACCTGTCATGATGCTCGTGCTACGTAGTTTGACCTGCCTTTTTATCTCAGTTCTCTGGGTGGCGTCTTCTACCGCATTTCCCACGTAAGGCACATCAACGCACACCTTTTCACTAAAGTCTAATCTTGTTGATAGCGCCGAGGAGAAGCGCCAGGCCACCGTCACGGAGCTTCCGAGCTACGACTTCGTCATTGTGGGATCGGGAGCCGGCGGAGGACCTCTTGCTGTTAGGCTTGCTCTCAGTGGCCGCAAGGTTCTTCTTCTTGAAGCTGGAGATGACCAGGGAGACAGCGTTCAGCAGTCGATCCCGGCGTTCTTTCCGGCTGCCAGTGAATATGGACCAATGTCGTGGGATTTCTTTGTCAGACATTATCCTGATGACGCCCGGGAAGCGAGAAACTCCAAGGCCACCTACACCACGCCCAGCGGCGGGACATATGTTGGATTGAACCCACCTGCTGGCTCGAAGCTGAAGGGTATCTGGTACCCAAGGGCAGGCACCTTGGGCGGCTGTGCGTGAGTAGAATCTTCAGCAGCATCGTTCTCGATCGTTTCTCGAGCAGTCCACTGATGGCGCGCCAGTGCTCATAATGCCATGATAACGGTCTATCCATACCAAAAAGACTGGTCCTTTATCCAAACCGTTACCGGCGACCCATCCTGGTCTCCGGCCAATATGCGCAAATACTTTACACGGTTGGAGCGCAATGGATATATAACAACGCAAACAGACCCCTCTGCTGTTGGCCACGGCTTTAATGGCTGGCTTGGCACTGACGAAGTGGATCTGGAGCTTATGGCAAAGGACCCCCAGATCCTTTCGATGCTCACCGCAACCAACTCTGCGCTGAAAGGTGCCCCAGCCGAAAACATAACCGACGCTGCAAGCCTGAAGAGGGCGTTTCCTCAGGATATGAATTCCGACTATGCCAACCGGGACTCGACTCAAGGCCTTTTTCGCATCCCTATGGCTGTCTCAGATGGAAAGAGAAGCAGCCCGCGTGATTTTCTTCTTGCTACTGCAAACGCAGTCAACGCCGATGGATCCAAAAAATACAAACTCGACATCCGCCTCAATACTCTAGTTACCAAGGTGCGGTTCGCACCGTCCACTAATAAGAAGAACGCCCCGCTTAAGGCAGTTGGTGTCGACTTTCTTGACGGCCCAAGCTTGTACAGGGCAGATCCTCGAGCTGGTACAGCCAGCCCTGGAAGACCCGGCCGTGTCAATGCTACTCGCGAAGTCATCATCTCAGCCGGCACTTTCAACACTCCCCAGCTTCTCAAGCTGAGCGGTATCGGACCAAAGGCTGAACTCCAGAAGTTCAATATTCCTGTCGTGGCTGACCTTTCAGGCGTTGGTGCCAACCTTCAGGACCACTACGAGATCAGCACTGTCGTCAAGTACGACACAGACTTCACCTTCCTCAAGGACTGCACGTTTCTCACTCCTGGCACGAATGATGCTTGCTTCGCACAATGGATCAGCGGCTCAGACCAAAAGGGACCCTACGGAACCAACCTTGCCCAAGCTGCGGTTCTAATGAAGTCGAATCCTGCTGTCGCTGACCGTGACTTGTTCATATTCGGAGGGCCAATCAAGTTCACCGGCTACTTTCAAGGTTACACCGCCGCCGCTATCTCTGACACCAAGCATTGGAGTTGGCTCACGCTCAAGTCGTATCAGAAGAACATTGCAGGTGTAAGTGGAATCTCTGTCTATTTTAACCCATTTTAACCCATTGACTGATACCTCCAAATACATAGACCGTCACACTGCGCTCCGCCAGCCCCCAGGACATGCCTGCCATCAGTTTCAATTATTTCGATGCCGGCACCACTGCGGGCGGCATCGATCAGCTAGACCTCCAACAGATGGTTAAAAGCGTCAAGTTCAGTCGCGGCATCTACGGAAACATCTCAGCCCCGTACCAAGGTCGTTTCGTCGAGGAATTTCCGGGCCCAAACACCAAGACTGATGACCAGATCAAGGAGTTTATCAAGAATGAGGCATGGGGCCACCACGCAACCAGCACCGCGCGTATAGGCGCAGACAGTGATCCTTTCGCTGTCGTCGACTCTCGCTTCCGCGTCAAGGGAGTCCTTGGTTTGCGCGTTGTCGATGCTTCCGTGTTTCCCGCCGTTCCGGGCTTCTTTCCTGTCGTTTCCGTTTACATGGTCTCGGAGAAGGCTGCCGATGTCATTATAGCCGATAACCCCTTATGAAAAGGGTTCTTTGCATGCTTGTTGAACAGGAGCTGATTCATGTATATAGAGGGTATTGTTCGCTTTTAGATGGGGGTTTGGAGTGCTGTGCACTTCAAGCTCTTCATAATGACCTCGAATAGAGACTTTGAGTCTGTTGGACGAATGCCTCAAGATTACCGCTTGGTAGCCTAGTAAGATGGAAAGGCTAGACTGGCCTTTTCTCCTCGCAGTCTAACACTTCAGGGTCATGCATACGTGACAACAGCCTGTACGTTGGCAGAAGAAAGAGTGGCTCGTGAGCTTGATGGTTGTGCTCTAGCTTGGTACGGGGCCGATAGACGAGGTTCCGTCAACTCTACGGATTTGATTCACGCTTTGCAAAACCGGACGAAAACATGCACTATAGATTTCGTGCTCCCATATCCTAGAGTCTACGGCTGCGGGACAGATATTCTGAAGTATTAGCGATAAGAGGCTAGAACTAGAAGAGCTGCACGGAAAGGTGGTCTATAGACTTTGTGAATGTAATTCCAAGTAGGCAGATTAGCGGCTAAAAGGACGGTGTATGCTTAATGAAGGGTATCTGGAGGTTGAATCAGGCTGGGGAGATTGGTGGTAGATACTTGGCGAGCGTTCTTAGAACCTGGAGAGGGGGACGATATATAGCTTGCAATACTTGGCGTGGAGTAGAAGCAGCTGATACACAAGACGGATATAGAGAGTTATCAGCTTCATCATCACGATCAGAATAATCATCAACATTGTATCACGAGTTATACGGGATCAGCCACGAACGGTAAATATATTCACTGACCCGAGTGCCCATACCATGCTGCGAAAAGCTTATGGAACCTTTTGGTGACAACGCCTGGATGCGAATACCTTGTGATACCCACGAGCCAGCCATGCCCTCTACGCCGGACGCCAACATCTGATCCGCCAGCCAGTCTTCCACAGCCACAACTCTCTATACCGCACCCTCCTCATCCAGTTCCGATCCATCCCTCCTGTCCAACTCGTTAGCCAGTCTCCCAAGCTCCCCCCCTATCCTTCCCCACCCTTCACACGGGAACACTTACGGAATATACTTCACCCCCGCATTCTCCGCCCCCACGATCGCATACTCCGGCAGCTGCCCCACAACTTTGGTGGCATACACGCCCGGCACATAGTTCACAACACGCTGCCATTTGGCGACCCAGCTGTCTTGCGGCTGCGCCATCATGATGAGCCCCTCGTAGACTTGGGAGGTGCACTCGGCGACGTTCTCGGCGCTGCCGGCGAGCTCGAGGAAGGAGTCGCAGTTTGGGCAGCCGTTTTGGAGGAATTTCTGGGGGGAAGGGTTAGTCGGGGGCAAGTTGACGAGGGGAGGAGGTGAGAGGGGAGGGAGGGGGGAAGGGGGAGGGAGAGGGAAGGGAAGGGCACGTACGGAGTGCAGGAGGACGATGGAGCAGACCATGCAGGCGCGCAGATGGCGCTGCTGGTTCGGCGCGGCGTAGTTGGACATGGCGTTGTGCGGATACTGCGACATGGTGAGTAAAATGGTGGCAATGTGCTAAGGGGCGGAACCTCTGTGCGTGTTTGGGATCTTTCATACTGACAGTGCAGGCTTAAGGAACATAAGCTTCTGCGCCAGTACCGTGGATGCGTTCTGCGTTTCTTTGATCGGAATGTTCGTTGTTGGACGCGTGAGGCTAGGCCGTGAAGACGGGTACCGCTTGAAATTCCTGTGCCTCCACAGCCTAGAGAGCGAGATGGTGGTTTTACAAGTCGAGTGAAGAGAAGAAGTGCACGATGTTCATATGGAGAGGTTCACGATATCGGTGTAGCAGCCTCAGGCAGAATCGTGGGGCGTGAAGCTTGAAGCTTTGAAGCTTGGGGCTCTGCGGGTCTGGCCCTTCGGTGGCGGCGACTTTGGATCACCACCGAGAGCACAGAGCGTTTTATTTGCCGCAACTCTGCAGGAGCTCCGGATGCTACAAGGCACCCTTTACGCTGTCTGTCGTTACTGATCCTCGCCCATACTGCGGCACTCCTCTCCTGTCCTCCTGCTTTACCTGCTTTACCTGCTTTACCTGCTTCACCTGCTTCTGTCGTCCTCGATCCCCCGCGTACCATCTGTGACTTTGACCGCCCCGGACAGCTGTGATCATGCCCTCAGCAGAGGAGGCAGTGGCCTTGAAGGAGAAGGGCAACCAAGCATTCAAGGAGCATGACTGGGCGCGGGCCGTGGACTTCTACACCCAAGCCATAGCCGCGAACGGCTCAGAACCCTCTTTCTACACAAACCGGGCACAGGTACAGCTCCCGCAGCCGTGCACGCGAGCATAATTGACCGGCACCCTGCAGGCATACATCAAGCAAGAATCCTACGGGCTTGCCATCGCCGATGCCACCAAGGCGCTCGAGATAGACTCGAACAATGTCAAGGTATATACACACTTTCGTTCTGGTCTAAGTGTACCGTCTCGCGAACGAGAACGAGCATGAGCAGGCAGCTGAGCAACTTCTGTCTCTACGCACACAGGCCTACTACCGCCGCGCCGTCGCCAACACCGCCATCCTGCACCACAGCGACGCCCTACGCGACTGGAAAATCGTGATCAAGAAGAACCCCTCCGACAAGGTCGCCAAGCTCCAATTCTCCGAATGCGACAAGGTAGTGAAGCGCGATGCGTTCCTCAAAGCCATCGAAGTCAGCGACGCGCCCTCGGCGGCCGAGGGGCTGGACATCGAGCACATGTCCGTAGAGGCAGACTACGATGGCGTGCGGCTAGGAACGGAGATGACGGCCGGGTTTGTTGAAAACATGATACAGAGGTTCAAGGACGGCAAGAAGCTGCCCAAGAAATACGTCTTCCAGATCATCCTAGCCGTAAAAGCGATAGTGCACGCGGAGCCGACGATGGTCGAGATGGAGGTTGGGGAGGGCCAGACGCTGACGGTGTGCGGAGATACGCACGGGCAGTTCTTCGACCTGCTGGAGATCTTCAGGCTCAATGGATTCCCGAGCCCGACGCACTCGTACCTCTTCAACGGCGATTTTGTGGATCGAGGCAGCTGGAGCACGGAGATCGCGCTGCTGCTCTACGCGTACAAGTGGCTGTACCCGGACCGCTTCTTCCTGAACCGAGGCAACCACGAGACGGACGATATGAACAGGATGTACGGCTTCGAGGGCGAGTGTCGCGCGAAATACAACGAGCGCACCTTCAAGCTGTTCTCGGAGTCCTTCTCCGCGCTGCCTCTGGCCACCCTTATCGGAAAGAAATATTTCGTCTTGCACGGTGGCCTCTTCAGCGACGACGATATCAGTCTAGACGACATCAGGAAGTTCAATAGGCATAAGCAGCGCCAACCCGGCCAGAGCGGCCTCATGATGGAGATGCTGTGGACGGATCCGCAGACGAATCCTGGGCGAGGCCCGAGTAAGAGGGGCGTGGGGTTGCAGTTTGGCCCGGATGTTACGAAGCGGTTCTGTGAGAAGAACGGGCTTGAGGCTGTTATCAGGAGTCACGAGGTCCGCATGGAGGGTTATGAGGGTGAGATCGCTTTCCCTGCCCTTCCTTTTCTCGTGGACATCTGACTAACGGCGTTGATTCAGTCGAGCACGATGGGCGATGTATCACTGGTAAGATTTTCGATCACGTGCGCTCTAAAGTATCCAGCTAACAATACACAGTCTTCTCAGCGCCCAAGTACTGCGACAGCACAGAGAACAAGGGCGCCTACATCAACATTGGCCCTGAACTCAAGCTCGACTTCCATAAGTTCGATGCCGTTCCACATCCACCAATCAAACCCATGGCCTATGCGTCCAATGGGCTCATGTCCATGATGTAAAAAGATTTCGCAAGACCTGTTTGAGCATGGCCAGAAGACATTGCATCACGGTTTCCTCTATTGTTTCTCTGCTCGGGCCGCAGCGTCTCCCTCATTGGTTGGGTTATTTACAGGTTTTTGGGGATTTGGCTGCATTCTGCATTGCATAGCAAGTCTCTTCTGCGGGAGGGACCGAATGTTGTATGAGCACATGGCGTGTATGCTAGAACATGACGGCGCATTATCTACGGGGCGGGGTAAAAGTAGAGCCAGTTCGCTCATTTCATCGCTCAAACCCCTTTCCGATTCGAGTGGTGGGGCCCAGCGGGAGTGACTTTCAGATTCGAAGCTCAGCGTCGGCGCAACCCTCAATACTCGGTGCAAGCTCTTGATAGAGCGACTCTTGCAGAGGCATTGACCGGCCCAGCTTGCACGTCCTTCTTGACTAGAAGCCATCTGGCTTCTCATAAACCTCGGACGCCCTGTACCTCCCACCCTGCTGGCGGTGGGCCCTCCGATCTTCAGCCGGGTTCCACTTAACCCTAAATCTCGATTCATTAATCCCGTCCATAGCACCTCTCACGATCGGAGATGAGCGTGCTAGCGACAGTCTTCTTATAACTGCTTGACACCGGACTTTCATTTTGTCGGCAGGGCGAAGAGGCTGGGCTTCATGTTGATCTTGCAAAGACGGGCGACGCAGCCCGCGAGTTGGACGAAAGTCTGGACGCCTTCGAGGATACGCATATGCGTGAAGCCGATTTCTTTGATGAACTCCAGCTTTGAGTGCTCAGGCAGCGTGGGAATCGTCTTGGTGACCTTGAACATGGTGCTGATGATGTCGTGGCATGAGTAGCCGAGGTCCCTGTGTGTACTCTGGTCAGTACACGAGCTTTTCTGCCAGTTTGAAGACTTGATGTGGGTGTGGTGTTCGGAAGGGAAGGCGACCAAAGCATCCACTTACCACAGCTCCTTCAGAGTATCCAGCGCTCCATCCACTCGCCCCTCAAAACACGCCTTGATCATCGCCTGCACCTTGACCGGATGCGGGCTATCCACGACCCTAAACACGTTATCCCCGTTGACAAATCCAAACCCGGCGTGCGTGGACTGCAGATTATTGATAGCCTGCCGCATATCCCCCTCAGCGCTAAACACCAACGCCGCCACCCCGTCCTCGCTATACTGCACGTTCTCCGCCTCGCAAATCTGCAGCAGGCGCTTCACCACCTGTCCGTCCGTCAGGCGCGCGTACCGCAGAATCGCGCAGCGGCTCTGCAACGGCTCGATGATCTTGTTGGACTGGTTGCACGCGAACGCGAAGCGGGTTGTGGAGCTGTAGATCTCCATCGTGCGGCGCAGTGCCTGCTGCGCGCCGCTCGTCATGCTGTCGGCCTCGTCCAGGATCACGATTTTGTGCCTTCCCGGCGGCAAGGTGACCTTCTTCTGCGCGAAGCCCTTGATGCGGTTGCGCACGACGTCGATGCCGCGCTCATCGGAGGCGTTGAGCTCGAGGACGGCTTCTTTGTAGACGGAGGGCCCGAGCAGCTGCCGCGCGAGGCAGAGGATCGAGGTTGTTTTGCCGATGCCGGGCATGCCGGAGATGATGACGTGCGGCATGTTGCCGTCTTTGGCGATGATCTTGAGACGCTCGATTGTCTCGGTGTTGCCCACTATGTCGTCGAGGACGATAGGCCGGTACTTTTCTACCCAGGGGAGGTCGTAGTTCGCGCTGCTGGTGGCATTAGGATTTGGCTTGACGCCGTTGCGGGCGGCGGACGAGGAGGACTCTGCTTGGACCATTGTGTTGGTGGTGGTTTGGAGTCTGGTTGCTGGTGTCTGGTCTGTTGATGTCTGAAATCGCGGTAGAGGCTGAAGACGCGAAGGTGCTTTACGCGTGGACCGCGAAAGTGGGATAGCGCGGCTCGGCGGCTCGCTCGACAGCACGTGGAGATAACAAGCGATAAGATCTCAAGCTTTATCTTCAACTCCAAGCATCCCTTGCTTCGTGGATGTCACGGAGTTGCGAATGAGCTGACAGTCGCACAGTGTGGGGGCTGCTGACAGCGGCGGGGGCCTTGCTTCCCGAACACGACGTCCTGCATGGTTCATGGTTCATGGTTCACGGTTCACTCTATCCCGGGTTACTCGCGGACTTCTATATACGTGCTGATGCTCTGCCTTTGGTTCGGTTGGCGCAACATACAGATCAGGCCATACTAATAACTCGAACACTGTACGATTGATACGCAGGCGGTAAAAACTTGCGCTCTTGCAGCTTAGAAGTGACTCAGCAGCAAAGTCCTGCAATGAAGAACTCCTCTTCTGTATACTGCTCGACAGTTGGAGAGCCCGCCCAGGCCGACGCGGACCCCAAATCTGACTGCGGCTGCAGGATGCATCAAGCCTCTTGCCCATTTTCCGTGGAAGTGTTACGGAGGGCGGTGGGACAAGTCTTTCAGTGGCTACCTGTAAGCGAAGCAGCGGCAGAAGAGTGCGCGTACACATGCAAGCTGCGACGAGAAGCGTCGGCATTGTCGCGTGCTGTTCGAGCGCGAGACCGCATAAATTCATCCCGATTGCTCTTTTGGGCAAGCAGCTTCTCCGACTGGGAGGATTTGGCTGACGCCACCGTCTGCACGGCGCGCGTTCAACAGCTGGATGCGGCTCCAGTGGACTGCAAGCCAAAAACCTCCCTGCAGGCTGACACCGGAGTCCGAGCGTCTTCCCCACAGTTTAAGCTGAGTTTTGCTGCACTGCGAGGAATGCTGCTGCACTGCTGCTGCACTTCCTTCGGCTGCCCGCTGTGCAGGCCGACGCTGTACCACGCTGCCGAAGGAGATAAACGGGTGGAGCTCCTCTTCATTCGCTTACCTGCAGTGATGGTTGCATATCAGGACGCTCGGCAGCAGGCGCTGACCTGGATCATCGGACGTCGTCAGCGCACCGCCACGCGAGGAAAGAAAAACCTCAGGCCAGCCATCCAGTAGGACTCGAGCAAAATCGAAAAGAAGCCGCCAGAACCAAGACTTTTCGCAAGTCAACCAAGCACTCACGGCACTCAACACATGACGGGCTCCGCAGCCACGCATCTTATGCCAATCCCGAGCCCTTTTCGTTGTTTGCGGTCGTCATCGCCTGTCCTCGCCTGTCCTTCCGCTGTAACCGGCAGCTTCAGACCGTGATCGCCTGCTCTTCCGCCACTCGTGTCGCTCGAGCCTATGACTGCCGCGTCATCCGCTGCGGCTCTCTTAAACGTGAGCCCTGGTCTTTTCGTGCATGTACTGAAGTCTCCGTTACCTCAACCTAACATTCTACTGCCGCTATCCTCACCTTCACACCCCTCTGCCTCAACGTTCCCTCTTTCTTTAACCTCAACGCGCAATGAAGTATGGAGCGGCGCTGGCGCTGTCGGCGAGCTTGTTGCCGTTTTCTGAGGCCATCAGTTTAGTGCAGCGAAGTGTAGGTGGTCTGAACTTGAACTGCGTTGATGAGCCGCAATCTAATCAGCCCTACAGCCAGACGCACGACCCAAAGCCGTCGGGCTAGACATCCAACGTCGCAAAGTCGAAAACCCTCTCCTCCGCGATCGGTTACGACGAAGACAAGAAAACACAGTCCAACAAAACCTCGACAACCTAGAAACACTCTACTTCGCAAATGCTTCTCTCGGCACACCTCCTCAGGATTTCCGCCTACACATTGATACTGGCAGCAGCGATCTATGGGTGAACGCGGAGAGCTCAACGCTCTGCAGTGACCAGCGCGACCGCTGCGCAGTGTCTGGCGTCTACAATGCGAATGATTCGAGCACCTATGAATACATCAACTCTCTTTTCAACATCTCTTACGTCGATGGATCCGGCGCATCTGGCGACTATGTGGCAGATACATTCCGCTTTGGCGGCGAAGAGCTGCCTGGCTTGCAGTTCGGAATCGGCTACACCTCGTCGTCATCGGAGGGCATCCTGGGGATCGGGTACGCAATAAACGAGGTTGCTGTCAACCGCGCTGGCCAGGAACCGTACCCGAATCTACCGCAGCTGTTGGTGAACCAGGGCCTGATCCAGACAAACGCATACTCGCTATGGCTCAACGACCTCGACGCTTCCACCGGCAACATCCTTTTCGGCGGCGTCGACACCGCCAAGTACGTCGGCAACCTTCAAACACTCCCCATCATTCCCTACCAAGGTCAGATCTACGCCGAATTCATCATCGCCCTCACCTCGCTCGGTACAAACGGAAACACCAACAACCTCATGTCCTCGGCCCAAGTGCCCGTCCTGCTCGACTCCGGCTCCACCCTCATATACCTCCCCAACGACGTCGTCACCACCATCTACAGTGAGTTCAACGCAGAGTACAGCTCCGAGCGAGGCGCCGCCTTCGTGGACTGCGCGCTCGCAAACTCCGACGCAACCATCGACTTCACCTTCAGCGGCCCCACAATCCGCGTGCCTATGAACGAGCTCGTGATAGTAGCAGGCTATAGCCGCACCCGCCCCATCTGCATCCTCGGAATCCTGCCCGCGGGCGACGGCACCGCTGTTCTCGGAGACACGTTCCTGCGGTCCGCATATGTTGTGTATGACCTCCAGAACAACGAGATCAGCATCGCGCCTACAAACTTCAACGCCACGGAGTCGAATGTGCTCGAGATCGCGAGAGGCGCGGACGGCGTGCCGGATGCGACGGGCGTCGAGAACGCGGTCACGGCTGTGAGCGTCCAGACGGGCGGGGCGATAAATGGGGGACAGCCATCCGTTACCGCGACCTCGACGGCTGGCGGGGTCCCTGCTGTCACTGCGGCGCCGAAGCTTGTGGCTGCGGCGGCGTTGGCGGGGGCAGGCGTGCTGTGGGCGTTGTAGATGAGTTTTACGGATTATGACTGCATGAAAAAGGGAGAAGCGGTGCATTCCTGGGCGTCCTTGCGATTCCACTTGGCTTGGTTCATAGGTCCTTGGATGGTGCGCTGGTCTCTTGTGTATAGAAATGGGGTGGCTGCTTTTGCATCAGCGGGTGGAAATGGAACGGAGGAGTTGGATCAGGGCATTATGAGCTGGTTGGGCTCTGGCAACGAGAAGTCACAAGTATATAGAACACGTTTGAGACGGATTCATACGAACTCATTGATGAGCTACCATTTTTCTGCCGCTACATGTTCATCGAGTGCCGCTGATATTGGGCTCATAATGGTTATCAGGTGATGCTCACACGCGGAATGGCAGCACCTAATCACTAGGGTGTGCGTGGCCTTCCCATAAGCGATATACATGATCTTCGTATATTTGTCTGACCTAAAGACAATATTACAATGCTTCATGGAGCACATCGGATACACCCACTATCCTTGGCAACCCCGTCCGTGCTCAAGCTCTCGCTCTCCCCGCACCATTGCTCGGTTCGAAACATTGGTTTCATGGAGAAGACCTCGGCGATGCAGGTTGGTGAGAATGGCGGATCACAATATCCGCACCTCTAGCTTGTATATAGAAGTGATAAAGCATAATATACAATGCCCCTCTATCCGTCTTCATAAAGCTACTCCAGATTTCCAAGACGTCCTGTCCTTCATCATTAACCAGCCTGCAACCTGAGATCGCGACAAGGCAAAATCTACTACCCAGCTATACTCTCCTCAGTTCTCCTTCCAAGCCCAATCGATTCTTCCCAAACCCATTTTCAAAAGCTGCAAAAGTCCTACCCGATCACACAGCATGAATTTCTCCCTCCCCCCCGACCTAATCGACTACCTCCACCGCCTCGACACCTTCATAGACGCCACGATTCTCCCCCTCCAATCCCGCGACGACAACGTCCGCTTCTTCGACCACCGCCGCGAGCACGCCCGCACCGACTGGGACGCCGGCGGCCTCCCCCGCAAAGAATGGGAGGACCTACTCATGTCGTGCACGCGTCTCGCCGACGCGGCCGGCTTCTGGCGCTTCTCGCTGCCCCGCGAACACGGCGGCCAGAACGACAGCTCGGGCCGCGGCAGCAATCTGTGGATGGCTGTGATACGGGAGCACCTCGCCGCGAAGGGGCTGGGGCTGTTCAACGACCTGCAGAACGAGCATAGCATCGTCGGGAACTTTCCGGATGTGGTGATGCTGCAGCATTTTGGGAGTGAGGCGCAGAAGAAGGAGTTGATTAAGGGCAGGTTGGAGAAGAGGGTCAGGATTACGTTTGGGCTTACGGAGCCGGGCCATGGGAGCGATGCGACGCATATGGAGACGAGAGCGGTGGCGGAAAAGAGGGACGGGGTCGAGGGTTACAGGATTGATGGGGCGAAGAAGTGGCAGACGGGGATGCATACCGCGACGCATTGTTTTATTTTTGCGAGGACGAGTGGGAGGGATGGGAGTGTGACGGGTATTAGCTGCTTCATTGTGCCGCGGGATACGCCTGGGCTGGAGGTGGAGAGTTATGAATGGTATGTTCCCGTCTTTACCCTGCCCAGCCATGGCGTGCTTGAACTCGCAAGCTGACCAGCACCAAAGGACGCTCAACATGCCCACCGACCACGCAACCGTCTCCATCAACAACGTCTGGGTGCCCTCCACCGCGCTCCTCGGCCCCCTCGACCACGGCCTCGCCGTCGCCCAAGCCTTCGTGCACGAGAACCGCATCCGGCAAGCAGCCTCCTCGCTCGGCGCAGCCGTCTTCTGCATCCAGTCCTCCGTCGCCTACGCCAACAAGCGCAAGCCCTTCGGCACGCCGCTCTCCCACAACCAAGGCATCCAGTTCCCGCTGGTCGAGCTGCACACGCAAGCCTGCATGCTGCGGCTGCTGATACGTGAGACAGCAACACTGATGGACGGCATGCCGCACGTCGAGGTCGAGAAGCGGCTCGGGAATAAGGTCAGCATGTGCAATTACTGGGCGAACCGGCTGTGCACGGAGGCGGCGGACAGGGCGATTCAGGTCCATGGCGGCATGGGCTATTCGAGGCATATGCCGTTTGAGCACATATGGAGGCATCATCGTAGGTATAGGATTACGGAGGGCAGCGAGGAGATCCAGATGAGGAAGGTTGCCGCGTATCTTTTTGGCTTTGGCGGTCGGAAAACTGAGAGTCAGGGTATCGAGGGCGCGAGGGGGACGAAGGAGAGCAAGCTGTAACCTAGGATTCAACGAGCACATAGAAAACGTGCGCCATGATCATAGTAGTTCTATATGCAGAACGGGTATCCCGCAGGCTTTGTGTGACCTGCGGAATACGTTCTATTCTCTCCTAGTCGATACTATGCTGCATAGCTGCAGGCACGCGCGGTGACTGTTCCCGTGCCAGTTGTTGGAGCTTATAGAAATTTTCCACCACAAGCACAAAACACATCCAGACGAGAAAGCCACCAGATGAGCGCCGGATTCTCCTGTGGTAGATAAGCAGATCCTGTTCTACTCCCAGAAATGCAGCAAATCCAAAGGGTATAAGCGCCGTCCGCTATGCATCATAAAGGGAATGTAAAGGACAAGATCGAGCGCCGGAGCCGGCAGAGACGTACGTGGGTTCTGCTGGTGCGGTGAAGAGCGTCCGGTCCTCCGTGATGAAGGGTAACGGGAGCTCTAGGTGTAGAACGCCAGGGGATAGGGTGGCCTGCTGTACGGTATGCAGCACTCGAGGTTCTTCGGAGATGAGAAAGTTACGAAACTCCATAATCCCTTAGTATCGACACCAGATCGTCTTGTCTTCCCAGCTGCGTGAGAAGCTTCTCTTCGGTACTCCTCCAAAGGCGAAGGATCTGTCTCTCTTTCGCCAAAAGATACTTGTCCTCGTTGCCGACGACATCTGTGCGCTCAGCCTTGTCTAGAAGCGGCTGTATCTTCTCCTTCTCGACATTTGCCCGCTGGATTAGGCGAGCCATGGCCTTGTAGGTCTCGGCGAGGATGACGCGACGGCAGCGATCTTGATCGAAGAACCACAAGAAGATAGTCCTGGATGGTTGACGCGCAGTGTCCTTTGGCACCTCTTGCAACTCCACGAAGCCGGCTTCCTGCATGGCAGTGAAGGTAGATCGGATATCCTTCTGTTTGAGCAACCCGATGTTGGCCACTGCCTTCTCGTCTAGTTTGCCCTTGTCGCAGAGGATGCGAACTAGTCGGATAGCGAGGGAACCGAATCGAGCCATTATGGTGTTCTCGATCTCGAACTGGACAAGCTTGTTGGTCAACTGGCGAAAGTTGACTTGCCACTCCCCACCGCCGCGGCCGCCTGCCCGGAGTATGAATTTGCGGGGATCTTCAGCAAGCAACTTAAGATGTTGTTCGGCATATTTCATGCGGTCACGCGCAGTGTTGGGCGTCGAGCTTGCGGATCCGTTCACCCCGTTCGTATAGCCTCCAATGCCATCCAAGTCAGTCGCGTCTGGAGTATTATCACCAGTGGTACCGTTTGATACATCTTGGCTGAGCGATATGCCTGCAGAGAGGTCGAGTTCGGGATCCAGAGCGTTGACCACTTGAAAGAGGGTTATGGATGGAAGTGCCTTGAGTTCCGCTTCCTCGTCTTCGAACTCGTTGTATTCGTCATGGCATCGGGGGATCTTTTGTTCGAGTAGTGTAAGCAAAGTCTCGTAAACGGTCGCCGTTGTTTCGCCGATGTAGCGCGCTGCCAATGTGACAAGCTGCTGGTTGCGCAAGCCAACGTTACACTTGTCGTAGTTGACCCTGACCACAAGCTCTTGCTTATCTAACGTCAGCTTTTGGTTATTTCGTTAGTAGCGCTGAACATACATCGAGTATGGGTGTAAGTTCATCATCAGAATCTGAGTCGAAGTGTCCGTTGACCCCGTTGGAAGCGCCATTAAGCCTTGCGCGTTTGTGAGACTGCGGCGCATAGCCGTTCGCTGGTCGCCTTTTTACTCCATTGGTTACGGGCTTTTCGTCGTCTCCTTCGATCCATTTTCGCTTGAGGTTGTTGACCTCCTCGGCGAAGTCTGCTTTTCCCTTGGGCCCCTTGATGCCTCCTGGGAACTTCTCGCGCTTCACGATTTGCTCGGCATCGGCAGTGATGTCGGCCGTGGGCCGGAAGTGAATGTCTCGCACTGGTCTGACGTAACCAGCCTGGATAAGCTCGTTCAGAATCCTGTGCAGCTCACCCACGGAGCGGATGTGACTACCCGCACCATTGCTATGCGTGTCCTTACCTACACCATTCGGGAGCCCTTCACCGTTGATGTGGTTCGCCTCGGGGTCGATTTCGTTGTGTTTTTTAACAGCGACGTTGTAGGCCTCGGCAAGATCCTTCACTTTTGCATGCCCAAGCAGCAGCAGGTTCGATATTATGCCTCCAGCGCTTTCACCGAATCTGTCTTCGCAGAGCTTGATTATCTTTCCTGAGCGAACCAGAGCATATGCATTGGACCAATGCACTTCGTAATATGTGGTTTCCTCGTCTTCGGACGTATTGTGAAGCACAAGATGCTGTTGGATGAGTACGACGAGTGCATGCTTGAGCTGTTTTGCTGACAGGTCCGAGTGGTGTTTGAGCGCGTTCAGCGGTAATCGACCGAGGCGTGCGAGCACCGAGAAGACCGTCTGTGGGGGGAGTCAGTGACTTGGCGGCACGCAGTCCGAGTTCACATAGGCGAGTGAGATCCGGAAGCGCATGTGCCGTAGCTGGGCTGAGATCGGGGCTCGTTGGTTCTACAGAACTTACAGACGATAGACCGCCGTACAGGTCATCTACAAGCAGAGTGCAGAGCTCCGAAAGGTTCTATCGTGACTATTAGTCCCCGCCCCGCCTGGAGGTTGAAAGAGGCTTCGCGCATTCGCAGCGAGGCTTTTGCGAGCAGAAATTTACCTGAGCCATTCTCGTTCTAGAGATAGCCTGCGATCTCTAGAAAATCGCCCTCGTCACCAGCGTGAAGACATGCGCGCAGGTCTGCAGCGGGAGCAGTAGTGGGCTGTGATTTTATGAGCAACAGGGCTGCACCAAAACCTGAGGTCGGAGCGTCAAAACGGGCAAACCAATCGCCGAGCTTGTTGCGGGAACCCAAGTCGTCTCATCCTCCAGCCAAGCAGGACCTTAACCCATCAATTGCTCCCCATCGAACCCTCGATACGTCCTCCGGCCGCCCTCGCGAAGATGCTGTCGCGCTCGTCTTTCGGCCGGCAGGCACAGCGTGCTCTTCAGCGCCAATGCCGTGCCCAGCCAGCGAACCGCAGAGGCCTTGCTGCTCCAGCTTCCGGCTCCTTCAACTACGACACCGGGGATGCCTCAGGGATCAAGTACGCTAGCAGAGACATGTCTGGGCCGACGACGACGTTGGCATTGGTGTCGAAGGCTGGCACGAGATACCAATATCTCCCGGGGTTGACGGAGGGATTGGAGAAATATGCGTACCGCGTATGCAACCCAGAACCAAGGGGCTTCTCCCATTACTGAGCCTCGCTGGTCAATCCGCATGCTGAGACATGGTTCTAGGGCACCGAGCGAAGGTCCGCCCTGCGCATTGTACGAGAAGCCGAGCTTCTTGGAGCGGAGCTCCAGACTACCCACTCGCGAGAGAGCCTTATAGTTGGCGCGAAATTCCTCAGGGACGACCTGCCGTACTTTGTGGAGCTCCTGGCAGAGGTTGCTACGAAGACCAAGTACCTCCGTGAGTACTTTCAGTATTGATGTATTCGATGCCAACAGCTGACCACTTGTAAAGCACACGTCTACCACGAAGAGGTTATGCCTTTGATTGCGCTTGCGCACAAGAAGTTCCTTGCCAGTACTAAGGAGATGGCGCTCAGCTCTGTACATGGTCTCGCATTTCACCGTGGCCTTGGTACACCGCTGTACCCGTCCTCATCCACGCCTTACACTAAATATCTTGATGCCGACACCATCGAAGAGTTCGCCTCGGCCGCATACGCAAAGGGCAACTTCGCCATCGTGGCTAACGGCGCTGAGCACTCCGATCTGTCGAAATGGGTTGGAGAGTTCTTCACCGACGTCCCGAGCTCAGGCGGTCAGTCGCTGCAGAGCCCGCAGACGAAGTACTATGGTGGTGAGGAGCGGATCGCTCATGGCTCAGGGAATACCATGGTCCTTGCCTTCCCCGGCTCAAGCTCGTACACCGGTGGCTTCTACAAGCCGGAGATCGCCGTGTTGGCAGCTCTTCTCGGTGGTGAATCAAGTATCAAGTGGTCCTCCGGCTTCTCTCTGCTCTCAAAGGCTGCCTCCAAGAATCCTGGTGTAAGCGTCAAGACCAAGAGCGCAATCTATTCTGATGCCGGTCTCCTCTACGTCATTATCCATGGTTCGGCTAAACAGGTTGCTGGAACGGCGCAGGAGGTCGTCAAGACGATCAAGAGCATTGCGGGCGGGGAGATTAGCAAGGAAGACATCATGAAGGCTAGGGCATTAGCTAAGTTCAAGGAGCTCGAGCACGGTCAGACCATCATGGGCAGCTTGGAGCTTACGGGTGCTGGTCTTGTGCAAGGTGGCAAGCCGTACCAGCTCGACGAGACTGCGAAGGCAATCGATGGCGTGACCGAGGACCAAGTGAAGAAGGTTAGTCAAGCTTCTACTCTAATAACGATCGGGACGGTAGCTAACATTACCTCAACTAGACCGCCAAGTCGCTACTTGACTACAGGGCGTCAGTTTCGTCGGTGGGTGATTTGTTCCAGCTACCTTTTGCGGAGGAGCTTGGTCTCAAGGTGTAAGTACGAACGAGAGCGGGAACGATCACATTGTACCAATAGTCCAGTGATGTGTCGTTTTAAAGTTGTAACTGTTGCAATGCAATCCACTTTCTACGTAAACATCGGCTGCATGCCCGCGACGACCTGCTTCCCGAAAACCGTGAAAGGGAACCTGAGCAATTGAAGCCTCACGAAGAAATCTTCCGTATCAAAGGTAAGATGCAAGTACGAACGGTGGAAGGCGAATAGTCACGTGATTCGATCTGCCGCTTGAGGTTCGGATGCCGCTCGAGCTCTCACCTTCAAGTCGCAAAGCAAGCAACAACCTCCCACAGCCTCCAAATCAACCCACACCGTCACAATGGCATTCGCATGGAAGGCTGCTGTGAGTTTTCTGACCTGACGTTCATCTCCGTCAATTGCTGACCGTTTACTAGGGTTTAACGTACGCCAATACCCTCGTTCTTTCTCTCACCAACTGAACACTCATATTGCCTAGCTACAATCGATACCTTGCGGTAGCTGCCCGAGTAGTGAGGAGGAGCCTCAAGGAAGACAAAAGGCTGCAGGCGGAGCGCCGAGGGGAGATGGATCTCAGGTTCGCGAAGTGGGAGGTGAGTCGTGGTCTGGGCTGGGGCAGGCCGGAAGAGAGGCGCTGCAACCTTGGGGAAATTGTGTTGCGCGATATCTTGTTTCTCCTCTGGCCTGATCGGGTTTCGCAACGGTGGCAGAATGGGGCTGATGATGGTGGGCAGAACGGCAAGCAGGGCGAGAACAAGTCTTTGGCAAGCGCGAACGAGGCAGCAATGGCGGAACATGCAGGAGGTCAGGGTCAGTAGTAGGGTGGGTGGCTATGGTGTCTCAAAGTGACAGGAAAGGGAATCGTGATGGATGGTCAGCGAGAGTTGTGATCAGATGCTGTACATTTTCGTTGTATGATCATATCGACCGCTAGCGAGCTTCCACTTGCTTTACGACCTTTCACATGACAAACTTGATGCCCTCCTCAACTATCTTCATAAACAAGTGAACATGGCCGAAGCCTCCGGGCAGTCATCGTCGGAAGACGAGATCAATGTGATACGCCAAGGTCCGAAGACTCGCTCATGCAGATGCCGGCGCTCTAACACTTGCATACAGATGTATCACGTCTGCACCTCAACGGAGCAGGAGATGGCCACGATGGGCAACCTCAACCACCTCGGCCTCTGTCTGCATCCATGGCACCAGTATTGGCAAAGCCAGTGGTCAACAGCGGGACTAAATCGTGGGATATCACAGAAGAGTTTACCAAAGCTGCTGAGGGTAGATGCCTCCGTTTTTTATTGCTTTTATTTTTCCTATGTCATTCCTACTCCCATAACAAATCCCAAATGATACAATCAGGAGAGATGGTTCCACTCTGAGCTTTACTTCAATCTCTGTTTATTGCACTATCCAGAGATATTTCGACGCGCGTGACTATCGCTTTTTCCCTTTCGTATCCTCAACAAATTTGTCTGAAGTAACTGTTGACAGCTTCTTAGCGCTCGATGTCGGCCAGCTCGTCAAAGATGATTACTTCACGCTTTTCGAGTCCGTCGCGGCTCTGGAGGTCAGGTTGAGTGCCAGACCTATGATATCCATAACTGCTAATGACAGCTCAGATCATGGACCCTAAGATGGACAGCGGCGTGCTGCAGCCCGGCGAGACGCTCGAGCACGACTACGACCTCCAGAAAGATCTCTTACCGGAAGAAGTTGTCGGTATCATGGACCAGTTGCTCTGCTATGAAACGGCATGGCATGAAGGCTATCCGCTCTCCCAGAACCTCTTCACCTCAGTCCATCTCGACCGGCTGCTTTGGCCTGAGCCAAGGATCCTCGAGGAAGCGAGTTTCGATCGTGGCAAGCCTGCTTCTCCAATGGCTATGATGAACCGGATACTGCGCGCCTACTGTCTAGCCTTGATCAAGTGTTGCGACCGCGTCATTCAGACAGTCACTTCGAGAGACTACTACGAAGAGGAGGATTTCTCTACCCATACGTATAACAGGTCACTCCTTACGCAAATTGACGAAGCTGAAATTCAGCAAGAACTGAGTCACTGCTGGGAATGGCTCGTTGGTGAACTCGGGACGCAGTACAATATAAGGTACGTCCTCAGGATGCTACAAGCCTTGTGTTACTTGCACACACACACTCTTTCTCCAAGTAACCAAGAATGCTCCCAGCCCTTGACAAGCTAACAACTCGTAGTAACGATCTCAGACGGGCTCTGGAATCCCGTCTTGGTTTCCGCCAAACGCTCCTCAGCGCAATGCATCAAGACGCGACCGAACCCCTCAATGCTCTGGATCCGTTATGGAGAGTGACTGCTACGTTCTTGGGCGACATGAAGTCTAACCATACCCTTGGCCAGCCAGTCCCAGAGGCATTCAGCCCAAAGTTGCAGCGACGCCTCGCTAGCACCGTCCCGCCTAGGCCCGTCGTTGAGTACACCTTTGACGAAGCCATTCAGAAGATGACCTTGCTATGTGAACATAGTCTGGAAACTATACAGGCAATCGATATCCGCTCGAGTAGCGCTGCTGGTCTTCTGGTAAGCTCATTTCCCTAAGAGCTGTAGCGCAGCGGGCGGATTACCATGCATCTTCGCACCTGCGCTTTGCATACTGACTCCACACCAGTCATTTACTTGGGCTTTCGCTTCCCATAAACCTCAACCGCTAGCGTATCCACGCGCCCTTCTGGCGTCGTTCATCTTCGGCGGTCCACCGGAAGCGTTCAGCTCCGTTCTCCAAAGGGACTTAGAGGAGCTTGTGTTTACAGAGGACACAGTCCTGGATCCGCTCAACTGGACTATCGAAATGTCGAGAAGCTCTCTGATCCCACATGACCCGCGCGCGCTAATCGCTAAGACCATCGACGACTTTCTGGCAAGAATATCTCAGGTATGGGTTCATTGCTACATCGGCGAGAGAAACTATCCTGCCAGCGGCCGATAGATCAGAGACTAATACTACACAGTGCTATGCGTATCTCTGGAGCACCCTGTGTCAGAATCGATGCAGAATCCGCCGGATGTTGTGCCACAGCCTTCGAGAATTCGATCACTTGATGGCAGATGTAAGCCGCCTCCAGTCTCCCGTCGAAATCTCGTGATGCTCACATCCAGCAGGCCGAAATCTTCGATAATGAATTGCATGATTTGAGCAAAGACACGCTCTCCAATCCGCTAATGACCTGGACCTACTACCACAAGCTCCGGCAAGTGGAATGGGTAGTCCAGCTTGGATTCGAACAGGAGATATACCAGCCCGACGAACTTGTCGGAATGTACTGGTGGCTGTCACAAATAGCTTCGAGCAGATACACCGTGCTTGAACACATCCTGCCCTTCACGAGACGCCGGCACGCGCGGTTCGCTAAGAAGAAACAACTGCGCGAAGCGTCGTCTGTTGGTCGCACGGTAGACTACGTTGACGCTATGGTGAAGGAGGCTAAAGGCACGGCTTTGCTCGCAGGATGTCTCAGTACGGTAAATGCCAATCCCTCCAAGAGTGTTCTCTCTCACGGGCAACTGCTTTTCCTTCCTTTGCGGACGAGCAGGGACATAGCTGACGTACAATGCTCCAGCTCTACGCGCTTCTCCATTACCTGAAGCTGTTGCCCGTCCCGGAGCGCCCATACAGCGCACCCGCTTTGCGTTACGAGCTCAGGATGAAGCCCTTCCTCCTCACAGTTGAGCCCCCTACTCCGCCGCCGTTCGAGGAGTACCGACAGAAGACACACCCGCTTGGCGACTACGACCAGCCATCTTCAGACAACTTGTCCAGAAGCCTAAAGGCCATGGCCGCAGATGCTGACGACGCGGTGAAGATGGCAAAAGCCGAGTTCGCGGCATTGAAGAAACTCGGCGCGAAGGCGGCCAGATGTGAGGCGGTTGAGGACGCATGGAAGAAGGTAAGATTGACTCGAGAGTCTAAGCACTGGAAACAAGACATGCTAATATGCCTGGCTATGCAGAATATCGCCAGTATGCTCTCTTCCTGCGTCGCCGCTGGTATCGCGACATCTACGGTCAAGGCTGCTTGCTCCGCGCATAGTGGAATCAGCCGGCCGCCATCGCTCAAGGTGGAGATGCCGGAAGCTTGGAAGAGGTACCATGACTGGTGGGTCGTGCCGAAAGTTATCAATTAGCAGACTGCACGATCAGGGATAAATGCACGGTCTGACGTGACGAATCAAACGCACGAAGGAATGGGACAGGCTTTGAATAGCACAACATGGAATAGAACGAGATAGGCGTCTACGGCTGCCGGGTTGAGCATTTTAGTCATGAGCACGCGATTGCTGATATTTGGCACGACAAGAGCATTAAGGTTTCTCCCACCAGACACCAGGAACAATGCCTTCGTAAACATAAACGCCCGTGCCCTGGGTATCATAATCGCATGTTTGTCATAACGAAAAACTCCGGTGTCATGCCTTCAACCCTTGAATTTTCTAAGAGACGTCTGCTGTACTGTTAGCGTGGTCACCTTATCAGGGGTTTTGCTGTGCGAGCAGCGGCAAACACGAACCTCCCTAACTTTCTTGATCGCCGTAGCGGATATCCCCTTCTCCCCGCTCTGCTTGGATCTAATCGATGCCTCTCGGATGAGACTATCCACGAACGAACACATCAGTAACCCTTTGCCCTTCCACAGAGAGTGTTGACTTGGGCAAACAGCGTACTCCTGCATGAAAAGAGTGTAGTCTAGGAAAATCTGAGAAGTTGTTAGTTTGAGTTGCTGCCGCAACAGGACAATAAGGGTACCATTATATCGGCGTTCTTGCTCAGAGGGCGTTTGGTGTGCGCTTTGACGATACGCTTCACGGTACCGCGCGGGTAAGCTTGAGAGGGTGCCATTGTTGTTCTCTCGTCTTGATGGGTGCTGTAGGCCTGATGGTGTTGATGCTCGCAGCGCGTCGGGAGTCGTGTTTGGGGCCGCGATGTCACGTGCAAACCATCACAATCACTCGTTTGAGGTAGGTACAAGAACCTAAGGTTGTCACAGGCCTGCTTGGAATCCTTTGCATCCTTGAGAAGCACTATAGATTCAGCCTCGCCCGGCTCAGACTGCTCTATGCATATCGAGAGCGCGATCTATTATAACGCCAAGGAACCTACACCCACCACCTCACGAATCCACCTCCATGCCCTCGCCTGCCTCCGGCTCCGGCGCGGTATTCGTATTCTCAAACGTCGTCTCCAACCAGCCACTAATCTCCTGCCCCTCATACAGCCTAAAGTCCTCCTTCACGCCCCCAACCCCAACACTCGTATTATCAACCGTCAACTCCTTATCCTGACTCAGGCTCTCCTTTAGCGCCTTCAACGCATGCTTAACCAACTCCTCCCTACTCGCCCCCTCAAACTGCTCCAGATTCCGCTCCAAGTACGTCCGCGCCATCTGGCTCCTAGCGCCGATGCCGCACGCCACCATCTCCTGCGTGACGCCCGAGGGCTGGAACTCGAAGAGGTGCGGGCCCTTGGCGTCGACGCCCGCGATCAGCAGCCCGACGCCGTAGGGCCGCTTGCCGTAGTGCTGCGTGTTGGTCTGCGCGCGGTCGCCGATGCGGTGCGTGATCTCGGAGAGCAGGATCGGGCGGTCGTACGTTAGGCGCGAGGCGAGGGACTGCTGCTTCATGAAGTTTGAGAGGACACGGGCGTCGGAGGCGAGGCCGGCGAGCGCGACGCCGTAGTGTGAGTCTATGGGGATGATCTTCTTTTGGTAGGAGGAGAGTTCTTCAGCGTTGCGCTGGGGGGGTTAGTTAGCGGAGGTGGTTGGGGTGGGGGGAGGGATTGGGGAGGGATACCTTCAAGGCGGCTAGTACGGCGTGGGTCTTGGATACTATGCCTACTACTACTGACCCTTGCTTCACGGCTTCTTGGGCATATTCGACTTGGAAGATGCGGCCTTGCGGTGAGAAGGTTACGGAGTCGTTGTCGTAGTTGTTGCGGAACATGGTGGACGGCGGCTGTCGAACGCGGAGAGGAATAAATGAGAGAATGGATAGGACGATGTGAGGGCTGTATGAAGGTGAAGTTAAGTGTTGTGGGTTGCGTGTTTGCAGGCAGTTGTGGAGGACGCGGCAAGCTCAGAGCTCCGGAAATCCATCCAAAATGGTCCAAGCTTCACTGCCATCTTGAGCCGCATGGCCGGCGACTGAGGCCAACGCTTCCAAGGCTGAACCACAACCCGCAAGATCACTCAGCAGCCCTTCCGGAACGTACAGAGACAACGAGTTGCCTGACTCCATATACACCAAGCACGCATTGATTCCGCACACTCCGCCACATCTACGTCCCCCGCGCCAACCATGGCAGGCCTTAAGACCATCATCGCGCTCTCCTTCGTACGGCCGTCATATACTTAGGTATATAGACCACTCGCTAACCTATGGGATAGGTCCTCGCCATTGGTTTCCTCCTCGTCATCCTCTCCTCGGCGCTATGGAAGAACTACCTCCCGCTCCTCGTCGTAGCGACCTACGTAGTCGCGCCTCTGCCCAACTGGATATGCGGGCGTGCTGCCAATCCCGACGACCTCTTCGAGAGCTCCGGTAGCGGGGTGATCGACTTTGGGCGCTTCTTGACTGGATTCTTGGTTGTTATGGGTATTGGTACGTTGGACTCTCGGCACGTGCCTGCGACATGCCGGAAGAATGAGTGAAGATTGCCAGTTGAGTGTGGTTGCTGACGGTTACTCTCATACAGCATTGCCCGTGATCTTTGCTCACTGCGCTTTCATCGTGCCGACTGCAGCGGTTATGTCCATAATTGGAGGTCTTTTGATATATGGGACCATCATTAGCTTCACGATGTTCTTCCAAGAGCAGGAAGAGTTCTGAGAGGCGTTCGAGCACTTGGGGAAGAGTATCTTCCGGTAAATATGGTTTTGGTCGTCCGAAGTGTGGCAACATCGAACCAGGCACGAATTGGGGTCTTTTTTGCTAAGCAGATACGTTGGGAGTACCGGAGTCAGTTCCTCGCAAGTTATTACTATCGACTCACAGATCCCCTGCGAGCTTGCTCCAGAAAAGTGTGACTGATGTACTGGTCCCATGCCACAATCAAGATTGTCACTTCAACGCCCGCTATCTGTACAACCAAACACATGTGAAGCCCTAGGACCCAGTTTAAAGATACTGAACCTGCCCTCCTACTTGCCGTCCTACAACGCCAGGTTATAAGTATACTCATCCTCCATATTCTGCGACACCCACAGCACCACCGAGCTACACACGTCAGCATCCCCCCACCTCCCAAGAAGTCTCCCGCTCAACTCACCTTAACATGATACACGCATTGGCAACCACATTCGCGACCCCAAACCACAGCGTCGGCCACGGATACTCGGGCACCACATACTTGAGCACCATAACCGTAACACTGCCCGCAAGCCCGCCCGCCATAAGCGCAAACCCCAAAAACAGCACCAGCCGCGCCTTCCACGCGACGCCGTTGCCGCTGTAACTGAAGCTATCCGCCGCCAGCCGCGACTTGTCGATGCTGTTGATGACGAGCATGCCGAGCGCGGAGCAGATTCCGGGGATCCAGTCCACGAAGGTGATGTGCACCTTGGAGCCGTTGCGCGGGGAGGAGGAGAAGGCGGAGGCGTCGATGAAGAAGAAGAATCCGAGGGAGAACTGGACGCATGTGTTAGTAGGGGGTGAGAGCTGAGTGGGAGGGGGAGGGCTACGAGGGCGCCAGCGAGGTAGACGCCTGCGGTGCGTGTGTTGGCGTTGTTGAGCCATTGCGGCTTGGGGAAGCGGAAGAGGCGGTGGGATGCCATCGTGATGGTCGGCGATTGCTGCTGCTGCTGTGGTGTTTATTCTGGCTTGAGGACTATCAAGTGGCTGTGGTCTTTGTAGCTGACCCTCGCGCGGCTGTGATGCTCGGTGTCGCAGCCTCAATCGCTCGGCGGCCGGCAACACTTCGGTACGACACACGATATAAGTTACAAGGCTGAGATAACTAGGGTATCAAATTGCCACAAGGCAAGCTGTCTATCATAACAAGTACTGTAACGTCCATTCCCTAGTTCCAAAGCCTCGTAAGGTCGAGCCAATAACCCAGATCGTTAAGCCTTGCCTGTAACATGATATCCTAAATACTCGCCTACGCTTTTCACCTACCCCCAAGTAGCAATCCTCCAAAATTCAGCACGGAGCAATATACATACTTCGACTACCTAGGCAACGCAACGAGAGAGCTCCGCAGCCAACTTCAAGCACGACTCCGCCTGCTGCTGTTTTTCAATATCCAACTTCGTCGACTTGGTATTCAACATTGCTTTAACAACGGATGCATAGATGGATCCGCATTGAGCGACAAGCAGAGGCTGGAGATGTTTCAAGATATGCCCGTGAGCTGAAAAGTAATCTTCCGGAAAGCGCTCATCATCCGCAGCGTAGTAGCGCCGCCTAATGGCTGAGGGTAAAGTCGCCGTCAGAGATTTCCACAGTCCTAGTTCGAGGAGCACAAGACCAAGCGAATAGATGTCGTAGGCATGCTGGTATCGACGGTATGGGTCCATCCGCTTGTCAGGATGCTGATAGATGTCCAGCTCAATACGATGTTCCTGAGTTGAGCCACCCACTTCTGCACCCCCACGGGTAACATTAACAACAAAGTTTTCTGACCTTGAAAAGCCCCACCCCATAAGATACGGCGATTCCCAGTTGAATGGGGGTGTGCTCCGTGACACAGGACATTTCCGAAAGAACATGATGGAGGTTGACCGGATATTCTTATGGACCCATCCTGTAGCATGCATTAACATGACGCCCTCAAGCAGCTTCTTAGCAAGACCAAATCTGTCACCCAAGGGCGGCGCTTGCTCAGTTTTGATGACCGATTCGAGACTGCAAGGCATTTGACGCGTGAGTGCTCTCGCTTTTTGGGCATGGGAACCCCTCACGTCGAGACGCCAAGGCAGCTTGTACACAAATCCGATGCGTCCTTTGTCAATATCCTCAGTAAGGCCGTAGCAGGTTCTGGTGTGGAGCCGCACCGGCGTCTTCGGATCGTGTAGTAGCTTTCCGAGTCTCAAGACATCATCTCGCACTTTGTCATCTCGATCACCGTCGTGGTTGCGGTACGATTTGAACTCGATAAACACCGCCTCTTTCACTGTAGAGTCGTCGACCTCTTTAGACCAGACAGCCATTGTGGACGGGTCGTCCTGATTGTGGATCTGGAAACATTCATCCTGGAGGTTCAGGAGCTTCCTTCTTTGGTGATTACTTAACGGCTCCGACAAGTGCGTGGCGCTGCCCTTCAGAGGCGCTAGGTCCGCCAAGGCATCGTAAAGGTGAGAAGATGCTGGATCGCCGTGACTTGCCATCTCGGTTGCAATATTCTTTGTTAGGAGCAGTCCCGCTGGGCTGACATGCGACCACAGATATTCGACAAGGAAATTGAGTTTCAATGTCTCATGAGCTCCGTCCGGGCAAAGAAGGTTTAGCGTATGGTTGTGGGTCGAAAGCTCTGTTGTCAGATCCGTAATCTTTTTGCCGTTCATTAGAGCCCACTTGCACCTCTTGAGAAACGAGAACCGATCTCTCAATGTTTCCTGGAGCGCTTGGATTTCACTATCGGAAAACGACGAAAGTCGCGGAAGGGGTTGAGAGCCCATGATGCCACTCTGTGTTTTGGCAATTAGACACAGTACGGGGAAAGTTGGCCGGAATATACCAACCATGCTATTCCCTTGTCCGGGCTTCAGCTCAATCCCGTACTCGTGGAAAAGCTTCTCGTTGTGTGAGAGTGCATCTGCAATGGCGCACAGAGCTCCCTTTACCGCATCAATCTTGTATCGGTAGCGAGACAGATACTCTTCTATCTTCTTGTGAGGCTTGCTGGTCTGCTGCCGTCCAGATCCGGTTATCGCAGCGGCATGGCGGTCGATCTCCCAGTACGAGCCCCATGCTCTTAGAATCGACTGTTGTATGCCCAATGCTCGGACCTCTCGAAAAGCGCTCTTGTTCGCCGATTTAACATCTGAGAAGAAGATAAGACAGTCTCTGCAGAATGAATACAGTCCGACTATCCCCACGGCAAAGCCTGCTGGATCCATTGGGACGTAGCGCAAAAAAATAGTGTATGGGCAAATGCTCGAGACTTGGAACCGGCTTCTTGGTGCGAGCTCTCATCCCTAAATGTCTTGCTTCCTAGCCTTGCCTCAGCCTTGCCTCCACCTTCTCTGCCTTGTCTCTGCCTTGCCTTTGCCTTGCCCCATATTGAGCTTGTTGCCCAGAGAGCAAGCATCGACGAGCAGGGTTGTTGCACGATACACTCATAATCGTTCAAGCTATATTATCAGAACTCTTGGCACGGTGTAATCGTTGAAGCGTGACCTTAAATGTAGTTAAGGTACCTAGGTATCACTATGTTTAAGAATTCCCCGACTTCAGTCGAATGCCACGGCATGATCGATACTGCAGTTATGTTTCAATTTGCGAGGCACTTGCCAGAGTCCTGCCGCTCGTCAGCATTTCCCAGAAAGCGAAATCTGGAGTAGTGAAGCTGCCACGTCACAAGCCGTCCATGTAAGCGAGTACGATACTCTACAGGTGATATTTCGAAAGCCTCATAGGGCTGATGTGGTGTCCTAAATCGTGAAGTTCTACATGTAATGCTAAACCGTGTCCGTCCCCGTAAACCACAAATCCCACCCAAATGTAGCTAACCTCAGCCCTTGATCGAAGATAGCTTAGGCAATTGCAGCTTCGAAATCTGTTTCCCACCCACCCTTTGCATCTCCGTCACCGCATCCCCAAGTAACACTCTGATCGCGCCCTCGAGCCGGCGATCCTTCTTCCGCCGCATCCACAGTAGCACTACGCCAAGCACAAATACGTCCACCATCACGACCCTCGCAGCGTTCCAGAATACCCACCTTGCCCACCCAAGAACCGAGTGCCGCCGAGAATGACTGAACAGCCGGCGCGATTCAAGCTGTTCCCTTAGTGCGGCGACCTCGGCTGTCATCTTGACAAGCGCTTGCTCGACGCGGCGCCGCCACTTCGACTCTTCTGAGTTTGGCGAGGAGCGTCGGCGAGTGTTTGGGGGTCTGTTGGTGTGGGCTGGGGGTTGTGTTTCTTGTCTGCGCTGCGCTCGCCGCTCATCCAAGTGCTCGAGCTCATACTGCGAATCCGGCGCGTCGACAAACTCTTCCCGTTCCTCCGCCTCTTCTTCCTCGGCGTCCTGGTCTTCAGACTCCGGGCTCACTTCCCTCATCGGCGTGTTCGTCGAGACGGGTTGCTGGTTTCGGAAGTCGCCCGAGGCCTGCGACGACCCTAGCGTTGGATATGTAGGCGGGTTGTGCAGGCCGGGTATCGAGAGCCTTTGCAGGGGAGACGAGGATGACGAGTCCGAGGAGACGTTCGACTTGACCTGGTCCCAGACAAACTCGAGTTCGGCGACTAGCTCGCGCGCGTCTGGGCTCGGTGAGGCGTACTTGTGCATCGTGTCTATAAGGGTGGAGATATAGCGGCGTTTGGCTTCGGTGCGCGAGAGCCCCTGTTGCTGCTTCCATGCGTCCCTAGGGTGGAGGCTTAGTAGTGCGATGGCTGGTAGGTGGGAGGCTTGCGGTACCATTTCTCCCGCGCTCGGTGCGCCTCTTCTCCTTGGCCTGAGGGCCGGTCCATGACGCCGTCGACATCTCCTTCTGTGTCGTGTGAGCCATGTATGTTCCCGATGGAGGGTCAGGAAGACGCCCGCATACCCATGCTCTGTTTGTACAAGCCATAGAGCTTCAGTCGGACCGCCGACGGTGGCTTCTCGGAACCGGTCCGGATTTTGTTGACGGTGTTGAGCGCATGGCTGAAGACTCTGTCTAGTTGTGCCTTTCTGTTAGCTCGGTCTGATATTACATCTAAAGACACCACACGTGTGGTAGGCGCATCCCCGCCACTCACCTACAGAATCCGACATCTCTCAATTACTGTGCGCCGCCAAGTGGCAGTTTCCTACATCAAGATGCAATGAACAACTGTGTAAAAGAACGTAAGAATGGGAGCAATCCTGCGGGGAAGCGCAAGGCACAATGGAGGAGTACATATCATGGCCGGCAACGCGCTCCTCTAGAGACGCACGAGGAGATGCATGTCATCGAGCCGCGGCAGTTGGAAAAAAACACCGAGGAGCAGCCGTACAGTCGGCAACAAGCTGCGAGTTTCGAGGTCAACGTCAAGGCAAAAGGCTGCTAGTAGAAAAACAGAAGGTTGTGCGTGTTTTTGAACTGTAACATCTAGCTGTCTAACAGGACGAGTAGTTCAAGTGGTAGAACCAGCGTTCTGAGCCTTCCATTTTACAGCGTTTCGATGTATTCTATCGGTTAGTGCACCAGACGAGGTTTTCATAGTGACTACCTCTATAGTCTGCCACAAAAACTAACCTTACCAAGGTCCATTTCTATCTTTGGACCTAAGCGGTGGCCGCTTTAACCTGAGCCGAGGACGAGCTGGCCTAAGTAGTGTCAAGGTTCACGCAAGTTGCACGAAGACTTAATTGTGTGGTAGAAAGTTGTTGTTTCTATCTGGCTCGGATCGACGCTCTATATACCCGATCCGATCGGCGCCTAAGCAGCCCTAAGGAGGCCCTGAGCAATGCAAGGGGAGCCTATTATGGCTCTCTAGGGGGCCACTTCTAGCTCCTTAGGGATTTGGGTATAGCTACCCAGCAGTCTCTTAGCTGATTGCATCAAGTTCGCTATTGATGCGCAGCAAAACCATCTTTTCTTGGTAGGTTCTCAATAGGGATCTAAAGTTGCCAAACCCTTCCGCTATGTGTTCATCCAATTCCAAAGACCAGAAATCGACGGCGTTTGTTTGGTATACTGTTCCTGACGTCCTCGAAGTGACCTTGAGATAATCAAGTAAAGATGTAAAGGGTCTGAAAGGCCTTTGGACTCTTGTGCGCCAAGGTCGGTGACTTCAAAATTTTGCTGGCTGAGCGTAAGAGGAGCGGATGATGATGCTATATATCAAGAATCGTGAGCGGTGATATGGACTGTACAGCATGAGGATAACTCTAGGCTTGCTTACGTGCATTTCCCCCAGTTTCCTCAGCCGTACCTTCCTGTTCCGTCATAGTGAGTTCTCTTCGAAGCTCAACTAGCGATTCACCAGTTACGACAATGTGACCTCCGTCTGCGAATTCGAGTGCGCGAGCCGCTCGATGAACCATAGGGCCAATATAGTCCTTCCGCCTAGTCACTTCATCTTCCTTAGCAATGGGGTTGCCCCAGTGAATGCCCATCCTCACAGACAGGCCGCAGAAAATTATCTCGCCGTTGTTGTCGCGAATTTCTTTTCCATGGGTATGCTCTAGGATTTCTGGCGGCCATTCCGTACGCAGAAGTTGTTCTTGGACTTTCATACACCATAGCAAAGCTGAGGCTGCTGTTGGGAAGGCAATCATAAATGCATCGCCTATTACTTTAACTTCGTAGCCGCCATAGAGTGAGATCGTGTCTCTTATAACACGGTTATGCATCTCAGTGGCTCGTTCCATAGGCCCAGGGAGCGTCTCCCATAGAGCAGTCGACTCCTTGATGTCCGTGAAGACGATGCTGAGGTTTCCGCTAGGAGCTGGCGGCACTTTTTCCGCATCAAAACTTGCCGAAGTTGTATCGCCCTGGGCCCGTGACTCGGCCGCCTCATGGTGGTTCGTATTGCTCATCTGACTTTACTAAGAGAACGGTCTCAATAGGTGAATCTGTTCGGTGAAACCTTACTGTCATACTCCTCCAAACCAGCGAAGTGACAATGACACGGGGAGTACTCTGTTTTGGTGGGATCCTGTTCGGGCACCCTGGGGGACCTAAACAGGTCCCTTGGGATAGTCGCGTAGAGTTGACAAGATTCGCACGATAGTGCCAGAGGAATAGGAACGTAACTGAGCACGTCTAAGCAGAGGGTGAGCAACACTGAGCAGAACCTGAGCAGCCCGAGCAGCGGGTGAGCGGAGGTTGCTTGGCGTCTGAGTAAAGCGGCCATGCTGACCCGTCGTGCGCGATAAAAGCCTCACCGCGGAAATCTCGCCGTGAAAATCGTGTTTGTCTGACTACGCCTCGCTTTACTATCGCTACGCCCCCTACCAATAAAATAACAAAATCCTCATAAAGATAGAAGATGCACTGAGGTTTAATTAGATAGGTCTTCCGTACTTCTTACAGCCTAATATAGGCGGTAGTGTGGATAGTGGTTGATAAAGCATGGGTTTCGCGGTGAGGCTTCTATTGCGCACGACGTAGGTAGGTAGTAGTCGTTTGATGCTTCCATAAGCCGCGAGGGGTTCGGCAAGCCGCATCAGATCCAGATCCGGGGCATCCGCCACGCGACCGCATTCAAGACTTCTTATTACAAAGCTCAAGGCACTCTAATCAGCAGAATGAAGGAGTTCTATTCTATTTGAGCTGCGCGCGTCTAGGATATCTACGCTTAACCGCATTTTGAGTTCAAAGTCTGACTGAGCGAGAGCGAGAAAGATATAAAGGATACCACCTGACACCGGACCAAACCGCTTCAACATAGCTCCCCGAACGCCGTTATGCCATGCTTCGCGTAAGATTTTGGAGCCGATACGAATGACCCGCCCGCCACAACTTCAACAACCGGTTAACTCGTCGACCAAATCGTCTACTCATCCTTGCTGCTGGGTGCCTCGAGCTTGACAGGCTTCGTACCCAGGCTGTTGCGATTGCGGAAGAAGAAGACGCCCTTCCCCTCACCCTCGGCACCCTCGCTCGGCTCAACCCAGTGGCACATCCTCGCGCTGGTCCACATGCTCTTCAGGAAACCGAATGAGCCGCCTTCGACGTTTGCGCGGTAGTGCTTGCCCATGATGGGCTTGATCGCCTCAGTGGCTTCGTCGGCGTTGTAGAACGGGATGGTGGAGATATAGTGGTGTAGGACGTGGGTTTCAATGATGCCGTGGAGAAGGTGGCGGCCGATGAAACCGAATTCACGGTCGATGGTTGCGGCGGCGCCACGGGTGAAGGTCCAGGTGTTGGCGTCGTAGTGCGGGAGGGTTGGGTCCGTATGCTGGAGGAAGGTGATGGCGACTAAAGGGTGTTAGCTAGGTGCCTCAGCTGTAAGTAGGGACTTTTCTTACCTAGCCAGTGGTTGACCCAGAGGTACGGGATGAAGTACCAGACGAAGAGGTTGGACCAGCCGAAGTTCTTGCCGATGAAGAAGAGGACGGTCGCGGTGATGGCAAGGCCAAGGTCGCTCAGCAGGATCAGGTGCTCATCCTTCTTCTCGTACAGAGGGCTTGAAGGGTTGAAGTGGTTGACGCCGTTAAGGAAGCCGTTTTTCTTGCCGACTCCTTTTCCTTCGATCTGCTTGTGGTGGTTGTTGTGGCCGGTAACGTTGGAAACCAGGTACATGAGCCAGCCACCGAGCTGTTGGCCGATCATATGGGTAGCAGTGGCGATCGGTGTCTCCTCCATCAGCTCCGAGAGCTCGTGGCTCAGCTTGCCGATGCGGGACGCATACTCCTCCCTCGTCTTCGGTACGAAAACCATGTCACGCTCCATATTACCGGTCGCCTTGTGGTGCTTGCCGTGGGAGATCTTCCACGAGAAGTACGGTACAAGCAGTGCGGAGTGGCAGACCCAGCCGACGGTGTCATTGAGCGTCTTCGACGGCGAGAACGATTGATGGCCGCACTCGTGAGCCAGCACCCACAAACCCGTACCGAAAAGACCCTGAATAACGGTATACAACGCCCAGAGGCTGGCTCGGATGGGAGTAGAGGAGATCGTCTCCGGGGTCACATAGTTGTGGAAGATGTAGAAGGTCGCTGCGAGGCTGGCCACATCGCGGGCCACGTAGGCCAGGCCACGGGCACCAGAACGTTCGAAGCAGTGGGCCGGGATAGCATCGCGGATCTGCTTGATCGTATAGTCGGGAATCTCGAACTCGTTCCCGTAGGTGTCAAGGAGCACACCACGCGAGTTTTTCACCACTGGCTCATCGACGGACCCAAGAGATGACAACGACGTCGAGGAAGGGGACTGTCTGGGCGTATCCGAGGGTGACGCCGAGGTCGAGGGCGCAGAAGAGGAGGGGGAGGAGTCCGCTGTGGGCATCCTCTGCAGAAGAGAGCCGCGGGGGCTGATTGCGGTTGACATGGTGGGAAGTTTCGTAAGCCCAATTGCTATGGAACTGGGAATGCGCTCTTGGACGAGGAAAGGTGAATCAAGAGCTGTGTCGAGATATTCCGCAGTCGGTGTTGGCTGTCCGGAGCACAATTGGGGATTTCGCGAGGCTGAAGGTGTTGTTGGGTTTCGGTTACCCGACTGTTGGGATCGGAGAAAACGAGGGTCAATTCTGAGGAGGGGGAGCAAGAGCACCCGAGTGTTCGAAGAGAATTGAAGTGTGAAGAGCAAAAGCAATTCGAGGACAAGGTGCGGGAGGGGTGCAGCGAGCTTTAAGAGTGTGGCTTTGTACTGGTAGCGTTGCAGCTAGAAAATTATCTGTACATGTACAGGGTCTAACCGAGGGTCCAGCGGCATGCCAGACGTTCGAGATCCAGGAACGGGCCAGCGACCCAATTGCAAGGGTGGTCAGAATGCTGTGTTCAACCCGTCACCGGGGGTTCGCCTTGCCCGCAGGTGCTAGCATTCGGTCTCATGCTACCGAGGTTCCTCCCTCTTGTACTTCTCCCTTGGAGATACATGCAGCACCGCCTCACTCAAGATGTCCCGCCGGTCCGCCAGAGGGCAGCCAGCGACGCAGGGAAGGACTTGATCCCTCCGGTTTCGCCCTTCGCGAAAAGCGGAGAAGGGCGCCCCGTTGAGCTCCTGATGAATTGTTCCTTAGGAAACCCCGTGTACGCTACTTCAGGGCTGGGCATCGGGGCTAAGCTGACGTGGTCCAGAGCAGACCGCCATGTTGGAGTTGCAGGCGCTGAACTGGAGATAATTCCGGCGCATTACCCGCTTGCAATAATGATCAACGGCATGCTCTCTCGCCTTCTCCCTTTCCATCTGACAGTCTTGGGGAGAGCATGTGAAAGTGAGGTCGCCCACAGTACAGTGCAGATCAGAGGTACCGGTACATGTCTGCAAAGATGACGGTTGGTGTGCCTGAGTTTCTGCCCCATTGGTTTCTGGATGTTGGCCTGAGAGTATTTCTCGGTGGTGAGCGCAAGAACGGCAGCTACGCCAGATCGGGCTACTGCAGGGAATTCTGTTGGGTAGCAGGGTCTTGGAAGATCTCACCTGCATCCGGGCACGTGAGATCCAGCCAGGGTCCAGGTTCTGGAAGAGCCGCAACGGCTGGAAGAACAGATTCACGCATTCATACACAGCGCTTCCCGTCGTGAACGACTGGCTCTAGCCTGGGGCGAGCCCCTTGCTCAAACTTCGAACCCTGCCCCCGTCAAATAGAGAGAGATGTAGCGAGCGAAGTAGGACATCCGGAAGACAGAAGTCACGTGATGAGAAAGACCCGAGACTGGCGAATCCTCGGTCGAACCTCGCCGGCAAACGACCGCCTTAAGAAATGTTCCAGATGCGAGATCTGCTGTGACAAAACAACCGAGTCCTAGCAATTACCGGTGTCGAGACAACGAAGCATGGTGCTCTCCAAGACCCTGTCTCGCAGCCTCCGCGCTCGCGAAGACGACTCAGCCTCCGAACCCTACTCCGACGAGCTCGACGTGTCCTCACCATCAGTACTTGACACCGGCGAAGGCGCGGACATACCCAGCTCAGACAACGAGTCCGGGCAGGATGGTGAGGAGGACGTAGAGCTGGTCAGTGGGCTACATGTTTACCTGACGGCATGGGCTGAGACTTGTCAAGTCAGAGTATGCAGATGACGGCGGAGAGGTCCAGGATCGATTAAGCAAGGTGTCGTTCGGCGCATTGGCGAAAGCACAAGATGCGCTTGCAAACCAAGACATCGGCAGTCGGAAGCGCAAGCGCGGCGCTGAGGGGAGCGAGGAGCAGGAGGCAAAGCTACAAACCTTGCGCGAGCGGCTGCAGGAGCTCAAGTCGCGGAAGAATTCTAGCGCTTCGAAACCGAGCGGCAAGAAAGCCAAGCGACCCACGAGTCAGGAGGAGGAGCGGCCAGAAGAGGAAGAGGACACAGATGCCTCATCAGCATCCGGCTCGGACACGCCCAAGTTTAAGCACTCCCGCTCCTCCAAGCACGCACCGGCCCAGCAGTCCTCCAAACGCGCCGTGACCCGCAGACGGACTGTGATACCCGTTCACGAACACAAGGCGCGAGATCCGCGGTTTGACCCCCTTGCCGGCCCTGTATCTGAAGACTCGTTCAAGAAGAAGTACGCTTTCCTCAATGACTACCGCGCTTCGGAGATGTCGGAGCTGCGTGCTAGCATCAAGAAGACCAAGAACGAGGCAGACAAGGAGCTTCTAAAACGGAAGCTGCTGTCGATGGAGTCAAAGGCAAAGGCGGATCAGGCAAAGGAGAAACAGGCCGAGATCTTAAGAGAGCACAGGAAGAAGGAGAAAGAGTTAGTCAAACAGGGGAAGAAGCCGTTCTACCTCAAAGAATGTAAGAACTCCTACCGCCTGAGGGATTGCTTTCGCAGCGGACGAGCATATGCTGATATCGGACTCTTATAGCCGAGCAAAAGAAGCTTGCACTCATCAACCGCTTCGAGAACATGAAGGGGAAGCAGCGAGATCGTGTCATCGAGAGGAGAAGGAAGAAGGTCGCTTCGAAGGAGAGAAGGAATATGCCATCCGAAAGGCGGAACATGGCTGCGTGATACTGAGAGCAGTATTTGCTAGCCATACTCTAATTCGCGCACCGCTTGGTGGCGCATATACGTTCCATATGCTGTGTCTGAGCTGCTCGCCCGCCACTAAAGGCGCAGCCCGAACTATCTACTTGGAAGAGACATGCTTCGACCTCGCGGCCTGTCGAGTGGGTAGGTACCTAGTCATGGTTGTAGTGCAGAAGATTGATTGCGGCCACATTGCCAATCTGTGACAACCGCTACCGCACTTGGTGACAGCTCACCTTGCGTCCCCGCGTGCTCAACGGCGCTCTTGGTATTAGGTTTTTTGTAGCCAATCCCCAGCCATAATGCGTAACATTAAATAGGCGAGCAGAATCCAGGTACTCCACACAGAGTATCGCCATTGTAAGGCGTCAACTCGCAGTGCTGGCTCCGGCTCCACCGCTCGACCGATCCTCTTGCTTGACGCAACGCGTGGCCCAACATCGTATTTCCAAACCAAGCTCTCCACGCTCTTGTCCTCATCCGAATACGGCGCAGCTTCCGTTATGGCCTCGCTTGCGGTCAATGGAGACGCCGCACCATCCGCTCGAGATGGCGCTTCGGCAATGGCGCGCACGGAGGCCAACGGTTCGTCTCACGAACCCGCCGCGGGTTTCACGCTGCCCATTCCATGCTCGTGCAGCACCGCTCGAAGCTGATTCAGATGGCGCTGACTGCTTCCGATCGCAATCCCCGCCCTACTAGAGCGCTTCTAGTAAGCGGCAACTGGGTTTATGCCTGTTCATCTACCACGGCTAGGGTTCTCATTCGGTCGATGACGTCCTGCCTTGATCAGCCACCCAACCTCCCAACGCCCAGGAAGTTGGAAGTGGGTGTGCTGTCGCAAGGCTTTTAGATGCGCCTGGATCTCTCTCCCCGACTTTCTTTTCCTGCTCTCCATCGCATTCTGTGAAGCGCAGCAAGACTCTTGTTCATCCCATCTTTAGCATCATCCTTTCGAAGTAGACACTTTCTAGTCCTAATCACACGTAATACTCCGTCGCCCATCAATTGGAAGTCTGCGCGCCGAAGAGGCAGCATTATCATCGCAGAAATGGCAGCCACGCAGAGCCAACCGGCGCAAAGGGAGAAGCAGCTCCACGAGTACGTCTATGCGATTGCAAATGACCTGGTCTCACGAAGCGCAATTGACCCTCTGCAGGCTCCTCTCCCGCGACTTGGTAGATATCTACGTCGGCTCCGAAAACACCCACTGGATCCTGCACGAAAAGCTACTCTGCTACCGCTCCAAGTTCTTCGCCAAGATCTTTTACTCTTCCTCTGAAAGCGGCTCCAACAAGGTCTTCGGTCTCCCCGACGAAGAAGACGAGCCATTCCGCCTCTTCGTCGGCTGGCTCTACTCCGGGTATGTGCCTGCGCCCAAGGAGGAGAAGGACCTCGGCGCGCTATTCGACCTCTACCTCATGGGCGAGAAATGGCAGATTGCTGGGCTGGTCAAGGATGTGCTCGGGGCCGTGCGCCACTGGTACAAGTCTACCGACACCTACCCGGGATTGCGCCGGGTGCAATACATCTATGCTAACACGGACGAGTCGAGCGACATGCGGAGGATGCTAGTCCACTCGGTCGCGCGCATGCTAGCGCTGAGAGACGACATGCCGCAGCACTGGGATAAGGCGCTGAGGAAGAATGGCCAATTGGCTGTGGACATGATCAGGAGCATCCAGAAGTGGCACATTGACCCCAGTGTCGTGCCGGATGCGAGGGATGAGCAGACGGAGACGGAGAAGGGGAAGAACGATGAGAAGATGGACAAGAAGGCGGAAGAGGTGGCGCAGAAGGAGATCAAGGGCGAGGAGCAGGGTCAGAGCCAAGACCAGAGCCAGGGGAAGGAGAAGGAGAAGGAGATCAAGAAGGAGCCGCAAGAGGATACGGAGCATCAGACGAATGGGGTCGTGAACGGCGTTGATCATCACAGTGACGAGGACCACTGAATGCGTTGGTTTGACGGTATCTTGTTGTTCGCCGCGTTTCCTTATATTGCGGTCAAGGTTGCTGCAGGCGCATTGGGGCCCTAGTTGGACTTCGACGCTTGGGAGTTGGGGTTTGGATATCCCATAGCTTGTACACTCCCTTGAGACTTCTATTGGAGAATCAAGTTTCCCTACATTGACCATGTAATAATATCGATACTGCATTGCATCTTCACAGTTCATTCAAGGTCACGTGTCGTGAAACGTACCAATTGCTTACGCGTCAAATCTCAAGATGCGCCGTTACATTGGCTTCTCACGGTTCACCAATTGCAAAGCGTCGCAACACTCTACCAAGTCCCTGAAGTGCTTTCTATCACAAAACCATAACGTCGCTGAACCTCCACAGACTTGTCGCGATGACTTGATGGGATTTCAATCAGCTCAAGACTTAAAAGACTTCGAACTGACAGCACGATTGACTTGCTTGACAGAATAACCAAGCCTTCAGCCATCTTAACGTTCTACGGAGACCTTGCAGACTTCCGTATTCGGATTCCTTAAGTTATCGCAGAACATCGCACCGCACTCATCACTACCAGAAGATGGCAGCGGCGTTGGCAGTCAACAGCAGCAGCAGCAGCAGCAAGAACAACGATTACCACCGCCAGGAAGGTCTTAGGTACAACAGCGCAGGTTCGGAGCGTTAGAATGCCATCACGAAACGACCGTCCTACACTTGTCGACCTACTCAGACGTTGCAAAGGGTGCTTCGACTACTTTCTAGTCCACAGGCAGTCACAGTTGTTCTACGAACACAACCCCCATTTCCTGATACGGCAATATAAATCCTTCGGCCGTGGAACGCCGTCAATGGTTCACCACATGTTGATGGCAATAATCGTCTGCAGCTGTGATAGCACTCTATTATATCTGTTTGTATACGCATTTCTTTCCGAAAAAATCGTCTTGCTATTCAGCAATGTTCAATGACAGCCTCGATCCATCCCATTTCTCTGTGCAGCTATGAAACGAAGCTGCGCATTGTGAGTCTGATATTTGTGATGGCTGAAACGTGAGAGCGGTTGCGGCGTCTGTGGCGCGTGTCAGAGAGAACAGAGCACCTTAGCGATCCTCCCGTCTCTTGAAACCTCAGGCACGATGAAGGACGATTCGGAGACTTTGTGTGGAGCGTGCTGCAGCCCAACGCTCCAACGCTAGTTACCTCAACTTCGTACCGAAGAGAGCTGAGCAGCGATGTACCTCACTGTCACCATGCATGCAACTCATTGGTTCTGAGAGACTCATGGAATCACGCACGAACTATCGAAAAGCACCGCCTTGGCAAGTCCCACTTCCAGAATCTGACAATAGTGCCAAGGATTGACCCTGCGTATCAGGATCCTGCCCGTTCCCGGAACCGAAGAATCCAAAGCAGGCCTGCATGGATGAAGTCGCAATCCGAGATCGTTGGGCCCCGGTCTGTTGGTCGCTTGGCCTGCCCAGGTGCTGATCCTGAGCCTACCTTAGCAGGTCTACACGGAGCTGTTCAAACTCTATCAGATATCGCTTCTGCTCATCCGTGAAGCGATGTGGATTCACATTCAGGGGACGAGGAGTCAGCACTCAGGATGAAACCGCACAGGAGCAGTGCACGGATGACAGTCGCGCTTCGACGCATTGGCGGTTTGAGGCGCCTGGAATCGCTGGAAGGATTGGCTGGGCCGTACAGCTGGCGCCTGCAGAACTGGTTACATCTGCCAATGACTGGCTCGGGATGGCCGCGTATCGATAGTCAGAGCGCCATGGGGGAGCGAAGGCATGACAAAAAGCGTGAGAGAACAGCTGAAGCTGAAGGCCTTTCCGGCTGCGAGCTCGAGCTGTCAACGCGACGGCGGCAGGCTTCAAGTTGTCCGGCATGATCAGCTCTGCCTCCGGCACTACAAACAGCACTGCACGCAGCCGTTGAGCCCTGGGGATCCCCATTCAATAGATGCACAACCGTCAGCCTCCTGCTCGCTGCCCGCCAGGCTGTTGCACCATCGAAACGCCAACAGCAACTTGTTTCAGCGGAAGAGGATCGTCTTTGGCCGTCTTTTGCCAATACGAGCATAGACTCCCCCTCCCAAACCCTGTCTGCCGCACCACTCGCACCAAAACGGAGTGCCCAGCGGGTCGGATAGAACTGGCTGATTGCTTGACTGGGCTGCTGCTTGCTCGCTCCTGTCACCCTCGAACGCTGCCATTTTTATCGACTGCTGTCCCACTTCTGCCCTCACCGTCGTCGACAGCAGCACAGTCCTCACCTTGACGCGCGCAGCACCCAGCGAACTCCACGCCGACCGCCGCCGCAATCTGTGCCTTGCTCCGCCAGGCAGTTTATTCTGCTGGCTGCGTCGCTCGTTTGGTCCCCTCACTGACAATCAGCCTCGTCGAGACGCTGTGAGGCTCTGCCACCGCCCACGCGTTGGTACTTTGGTACATCGTCAACTCACCACCAAACAAAACAGCAACACCACAACACCGCCGTTATGACTTCGGTCGCCGCCGCATCGCCAGTGCCTACGCCGCTTGCGCCTCTGACGGAGCACACTGCCAACGCTCGAACATACGCCCCGATTGCACCCTCGACCGGCTCCCTCGCAGCGACCCCGAATACCAAAACCACGAGGACTCCCAGCGGACATGGCTCGCCCACTTCAAGTGATCCGCCCTCATCAAGACCTACGGAGGGATCGGGAAAGCGGTCGCCTAACTCGTACGTTGGATCACTGTTTTCCGCGTCTTTGAACGCTCCCTTTGAGGCCTGATTGCCATATGATCACAACCGCTTACATGTGGGTGTACTACAGAACAAGATCGTCACATGCGCCAAAGATCATCGTCAAGAAGGAGCCCCCTTCGTCGCCGGACCTTCCGACTTCTCGACATCGCCCTCGAAGGCTTGATCTGTCGGCAAACACCATGGCAGGCAGCCAACCAGCGGCCTTGTCTGCGCGCCCCTCCGCACCTCTGACCGGGAAAGAGAGCGCTGGACTAGTAATGCAAGACGTTGGACTTGCATGCCTATCGCCAGGATTCCACACACATGACCCGACCATGCGAGAGCAGTTACAGCGGAGTATAGACGTGCGGGACCGCCAACGACAGATAATAGAAGCCCGCCAGAAAGGCGTCAAGCCTCCGGACAGTGCGAGCGAAGGACTGCGGCGATCAGATAGCAATCCATTCGGCAACGAATCGAATGGGCCAATCACCTCACGAAGGAAGGGCCCTCCACCGGGTCTCTCAATCGCTCCACCCTCCCACTCTCAATTCGCCAATGAACGCGTGATCCAATCCGCACCGCTAAACCACTCCTTTACCGGCCTGCGCCAGCACGCACAACCCCTCTCCCGCCAGATCGTCAACGCGCCCTCCAGCCTCTCCCAAACATCCCACATCCACCACGTCCCCGCAACGCAAACAAACAACCGCCTCCCGCCCATCTCTGACGTCTTCGCTGGCGAAACCCTGGGCGCGCCCCGAGATCCGAGCAGCACCCGCAACGGCTACTACAGCAATCACAGTCCCGGCCACTCGTCCCACTCGAATCACCCGCCGCCGCTCCCATCGCCCAGCTTCCCCCCTACCTCGTCGTCCGCGCAAGTGCATCCCCCGCCACCACCTCTGTCGGGCCGCCCGCGCGAATACAAGTCCGCCGAGGAAGCCGTCCAGTCCATGACGGGCGGCCGCGAAGACCTCGTGCCGCGCATCGTGCACTACGGCGGGCATCAACCTCCCACCCCGCCGTCGCCCATGCCGTCGTCTGCCAAGCACCCGCCTCCGTCGCTCTCGGCGCACGGCTTGAACGCGCCGACGACGGGCGCGGATATTCAGCGGAGTGGCAGCGGCAGGAGGAGAAATAGGGATGAGTACGAGCGGGATATGGGAACCCCGCCCTTGGGACGGAACGCGGAACCCAGGAGAGGCCCGTTTGGAGAGGGCAGAGATAGTCCGGAGACGCAGACGAAGAAGAAGGAGGAGTTTATTGCGCTTTGTGCGAGGGCGTGGGATTTGTTTCATTCTTAGGGTTATCATCTTGATCTGTGGATCTGACTCTATAGGCGTTTGGTATAATTCCTGGGTTTTATCTTATCTTCAGTGCTATCGTCGTCGTTTGGTTGGTCATTTAGGAGTCTAGTGGTGGTGGTGTTGGGGATGTTGGTCGCTCGGAAGATCTATTTGCTCTGATCTAGCCAGGGATACGTTTGACTTTTTTCTGTCGCACTTTCTCATCTCTTACTATCTCTCTCATGGAGAAAAGCCGGAAGCTGGTCTAATACGGTGGATTGAAGAGGATCTCATACAGGACGGACGGACGGAACTGTTTGATTGAGCTTATGACCGTCGGTTCTGAAGGGGAGGGCGAGTCTTCAGTAATGCAGCTGCTCGCTCACGGTTGGTCTCAGAGCTGGATGCTAGTTCAGCGGCATCGTTCTGACTATTGAATTGAACAGTTTCGCAGTCAGATGCTCTATTGGATTTGCACGTGACCAAACTCTTCATACGAATCTCACGACTTAATTGAAGTGTATGATCAACACTCTACGCCCACTTAAATTGCATACCGCATGTTAACCCAGCGTCGCTTACTACGTCGTTCGAACGGAATCTGTTTTGACTGTGACCGAAAATCACGTGCCAATTGAGGACATCACTACCTAACGTTTGACCTTTAGAATCCAACAACGCCTCGGACTACACCACGCCAAGACTCGCGATAGTGCTGTGAACGGATCCACTCATTCGTCCGTCACGTAAGGCTATTGTTGCGGAGGACGCTGAGACGTTATCTGTTCGTATCGCTGCTCACTGACTGCGGGCTGAACGCTCTTGAACATTTGATTGGACTTCAATTGCCGTGCCATGTAGAGTACGGGTGTGCATTGGGTAAGGCTCCCCCACGGGGAATTGGTCTTCGCATCCCGGTCTGTGCCTTTGTGGAGAGGCTCACGTCGTGGCCAAAATAACGCCAACTCCAAGGCTCAAAAGCATAGAAATTCAATCCCTTACCACCGATTGAACATACTAAATCTGGTCTGCATAGCCGATTATAAGCTTTATAGAGTGCTTCCTATATTGCTTAATCACATAAACGAGCTGGCATTGATTTAGAGAAACTTCGCACCGGTGTCGAGGCGTGATGTTCATGGTTGGAGTCGGGGTATTTTTGGCCACGACGTGAGGCTCTGAAGCACAGCTGTTTATGTACGTCAGCTGTTGCTACCTTAGAGCTCAGCCACCTTCAAGATTCTCTTGGAAAGAAGCTTCCCGCCTTTTTGTCCGCATCACTTTATTTTGTTTATCGCTATCTTACAGTAAAGGTCTACCAACTCGCATAAGCCGTGCGACTGGACGGTTGAGGTGACATCGCTGTCCCAAAAGTCTCCTTTACCGGCCTCATCAGTCATTAAATATACTCTGCGAGCATGTTTTGTCCGGTTTGCCGATCAGCTTTCAAGGACTTCTGGCTAGATGACCACACGAAGCGTCGTCATCATCGGGACTACGAGAGTCTTCGTCGGTCAGTGGAACTTGGTTGCGGGCCATGCAACGACCTGTTAGGTCTCCTGCTACATAACCAGCCCAGATTTGCTCCCCATGCTGCTGGTGTTATGGCGAAGCCCTGCACTTTTTACTCACGGAAAGATTGTAATTTTACTTATGACAGCTATCGCATAAGGTTTGAATACAGCTTGGACTGGGTACATTCCGCTGGCCTGCAAGTGGAGATAGATTGGCTAGATTATGTATGGGTGGATGTCAGTAACAACCCTCTCGAGGCGACCGCGGAGCCACATCTCGAGTCGTCGCGCGATGTGAATTCGAAGAAACCGCTTGAGCCCCATTCTGGAGGCAACACCGTCTCGTCATACAACTGGATTCTTATGACCCAATGGCTCGACCGATGCTGCCGTTCCCATTCTGACTGCAACTCATATCTCAATTCCTCATGGATCCCTACTCGCTTGCTTGATGTAGGTCTATCCGAAGGCCCTCAAAGAGTGCGGCTGAACATCGTGCCAACACGGGACTCAGGCGGCGAACATCGATATGTCACGCTGAGTCACCGCTGGAGTTCAAGCCTGGGCTTAGGAGTGAAGCTGACGCGGGAGAATATGGAGGATCTACGCCATGCCATCGAGGTGGACAATCTACCCCAAACCTTCCAAGATGCGGTCCAGATTACACGACGGTTAGGGATACCCTACCTCTGGATCGACAGCCTCTGCATTGTCCAAGATGATCCAGACGACTGGGCGCGTGAGTCAGCTGTAATGAATGAAGTCTACAAGAACGGCTTGTTCAACATCTCCGCGACTGGCGCAAGAGATAGTAATCAAGGGTGTTTTTTCCGACGCGATCCATCGAGAGTTGAGCCATGGCCGATTGACGGGCTTAATCCAGATCTTACCGGCCCAGGGATTTCCTGGGGAGTGATCCGAAAGGATTTCTGGAACAGTAACATCGAATGGACTGCTTTAAACAGACGGGGCTGGGTTCTACAGGAGCGGACCCTTTCACGACGTGTCCTCCACTTTGCCAATGAACAGCTCTTCTGGGAATGTCGACAGCTCCGTGCATGTGAGAGCTTTCCAGAAGGCGTTCCATCCTGCCTCTTTGGTGACATTAAGGTTGCTACACTCAAGGATCGCGCTCCAGGACAAGCTCTCGAACATTACAGGTACCAACTATGTTTGATAGAATATCATTACTGGGCTCTGGTTGTTGACAGATACACATCGTGCGATCTGACCTTCCAAAAAGACAAGCTGGCTGCACTCTCTGGAATAGCGCGCGAAGTTCAGGGCCTGCTTGGAAGTGACTACGTTGCAGGATTGTGGAGGGACCAACTACCTTACGCCTTATTGTGGCACGCGAACCCTCACGCAGAAGACTCCTGCTCCAGAGCACAAGAATATATCGCGCCATCGTGGGCATGGACGTCAATTGAAGGGCATGTTGCTTATCCGTCTGGCCCATACGAGCTTCCGAGTAAACAATGCGAATGCCTCAGTATCCTGGACGCCAGCATAACTCTCGCGAACCTGGAAAACCCCTTTGGTCAAGTAAAGGACGGTTTCCTTCGAGTTCGGGGAAGGCTAAGCGTGGCCACTTGGACATCGCCTGAAACCTGAGCCAACCGAATTAAAGATATCTCCGTGTGTATTACGAACTACCTGCCACCGTTGCAAGCATACGGCGGCATCCAACACCCAAAGAGCTTTCGTTTCCGTCTCTCGGGGCTAGATTCAATCCATATAGACGATGTCGCTAAGAGCACCGTGTACCAGCAGGCATTCTTCCTGCCCGTCCTCCTGCGTGGCGTAATGGATGGACTCTTGCTTCTGCTCTTACCATGTGGACGATTCGTTCGCATTGGCAAGATGAGATTTTGGGATAATAGGGTTAAGGAGATACTGGACTGCTCCATCGAGCGAGAGCTAAAAATAATCTAACTTCCGCGAATTGATGACGCGCAATGTACACCTACCCTTTGATACCCCACAACACAAGGCATTAAGGAAACAATCTATCTTCATGCGCGCCAGAACAACAGGAAACCACAACAAGCATTCGAGTGATGGATGCAGCCTAAATATCGCGGCTAGCACAGAGTCCCAAACCTAGTTACCCTCTAGAACCCAACCCAAAACGCCTTAATGCTTCGCGGTGACCTTGTCGCCAGTGAGCGCCTCGACCGCATCCTTGGCACTGGAAAGAGACAGTCAGCTCTGCTATCACGCACCCACAAAGGGGCAATCGAGGAGAAAAAAAGCACTTACACGTCACCCAACGCAACCATGCAAACCGTCTGCCAAACGCCGAGCCCAATCCTAGGCGTAACGCCCCTGTACAGCCCCTTAATGCCATTATTCTGGTAAATATACCTGAACGCCTTCCCAACCGTCAAGTTCTTCGGCCGGTTCGGATCGACGGTCTTGCTCTGCATCTCGACCCGCACGACCTCGATAGGCTGGTTCCAAGCACTCAGGCCACCACCAATAGCGCTCGCGAGAATCTTCTCCGTGACGCTGAGCTTCTGGGTCTCGCTCTTGCCCGTGACGTTCCTGATGCCAGTCTCGGCGACGCGCGACAGGCCGAAGCGGGAGCCCCAGTTGGTGACCTGGCGGACGGCGACGGCGTTGACGCCCTTGTTGATGCCCCTGATGCCCTCGGCGCGGTAGATCTGCATGAAGGTCTCCATCGTCCCCGGCGGCTTCATGCCCGCGGCCGCCACCTTGTGCTTTGTGATCTCGACCGTCTTCATGCACGTGCAGAAGCCCATTGTCGCGTAGGCTTGCGCGAGGCCGCCGACCATGCCGCCGGAGATGCCGCCGACGAAGTTGGAGGCCCCGAAGGAGCGCGCGTAGTATTCGGCTTCGGAGGCGACGAAGAGGAGGACGGCGCCTTTGGTTGAGGCTTCGATCCAGGCCTGTGGGGAGAGGGGACGTTAGTTGGGGTGGGAGAGAGGTGGAGGTGGGGGATTGGCTGTGCGAGGTTGCTGCTGCTGTTGTCGTGGATGGGGTTTGCGGCGTGCTGGGCAAGACTTACCCATGGGATAAGGCCTTGGTAGACTGTTGCGCAAGTTGTCAGCGGGTTGGTGGTGGTAGATGCGCGGTGCGAGTCTGCGCGACTTACAGCCTAATACGCCACCACGACCCCATATCCTCGAGATAGCACCTGCCATGCCGTCTGCCCGGTTGGCGGCCATAGTCGTCTTGACGACCTCCAGAGGCTGTTATACCATCCCATGTCAGTGTAACCGTTCCACCCGTTCGCTCTCAGGGTCCATAAACAAAGGTGCAGCGTACCTGGCCCAGCGTCGTGACCCTGCAAGTACTATCGTCAGCCCCGGTTCTCTCTAGCTCCCATCTGTCCGAAAGAACGTTGCGACTTACTCGAACAGGTTCAATCCCGCGCCCACTGCACGCGCATCGTGGTCAGCCTTACAGCCTTGCAACCGATTCTCTCAACGGTCGTCGCGGAGGGGCAAATACTCACGCAGCAGATTGCTGAACTTGACGGGCTTTTTCTCGAGCTTCGGCGGCGCTTCGTAGCCGACCATGGCAGCTGCTGGTGTGGACATGCTGAGTTTCGCGTCGCTGTCAGAGGGGCCCGGACCGAGGGAGTAGGGTGCTTCTTCGCGGTGAGAGTGTAGAGTGGAGAGTGGAGAGTTGGTGATGCGTGAGTTCGTGAGTGTGCGCTGTAGGTGGCCTCAATGCTGTTCACTTTCTTTGAGCACGTCGGGAATCAGATGCACGGACGGGGTTGGCGGCCGGTGGACTTTGTTGGATGTGGCTAGCGACTGTTGACGGTGCTCGCCTTGGAGGAGACGCGGTCCGTTAGGTTTAGCGTTTCCGTCGTCCGTCGGCGGCGGCTGTTGACGGAGGGTTTCCGGAGGGTTTCGGGCGCGGACGATTAGATCAGACGTCGCGGGTTCCTTGAAGAAGCTGCGATGCGACCAAAGTTCAAAGAATTCAATCCAATTCAGCGCAGAGTTGTTCTGCTGTGAGGCTTTGTTCAGGGTGCCGGCTGACTGTGATCGGCTGCCCCTTGGCTTGTGACAGGGTCCGCGGATCAGACCGAGGGTCTTCGCTTTGGTTGAGTCAGGGAAAAGGTTCTTGTCGGGTCCCCAAAACATCAAGAAGCTGGCTCAGCCCCCAACGCCATGCCGGCGAGCGAGAAGCGGACCATTTCAGCGCCCTCCGGAGGCTGAACAAGCCACAGATATGATCACCGCACGATTCCGCGCTACAGTAATCACCGGCACCGCAACTTATCTGACCTATCTCATGCACAGCTGCTCTGCTTATCACGGTTGACGATATTGACTTCACATCGGATGGCGGTTTTAACAGAGTCTCATGCAGTAAAGATGGTAACACAAGCTGCGATTCAATCCATAGCCCAACACTGCAACGAGCAACCCGCAACCCTCAGCCCGCTAGATCAGCCCTACACTATGATTACAGAACACATCAACCCGCTCCCATACCCAGTTTTTCCAACCTCGTGAACGATTACAACGTTGCGCCAACCAACTTAGCATAGGCGTCAGTGCTGAAAGACTTGGGCCGCTCAATAGGCGCGCCGACAGCCCGGTCAATGATGAGCTGAGGAAGGACACCAAGCGCGCGGGAAACGCCGAAGAGGACGGTGTAGAAGTTCTGTTCGGTGAGGCCGTAGTATTGCAGGAGGACACCAGAGTGCGCATCAACATTGGGATACTAGTGCGACAGTCAGTACATGGAACTAGTTAGGGACTACAAGAGGCATACCGGGTTCTTCGTCTTGCCGTGCTCCGTGAGGACACCAGGCGCGATCTTGTAAACTTGGCTGACGAGCTTGAACATTGGGTCGTCCGGAAGATGCTTCTGGGCGAACTCGCGCTGAGAGACGTAGCGGGGATCGGTCTTGCGCAGCACAGCGTGGCCGTAGCCGGGCACGACTTGTCCGGCCTTGAGCGTTGACCACAGGTAGTCCTTGATGGCGTCGTCGCTCAAGTCGTTGCCAACAGCCTTCTTCATCTTCTGGAGCCAGTTGAGCACCTCCTGGTTGGCGAGGCCGTGTAGGGGGCCGGCTAGGCCGTTCAAGCCAGCAGCCAGCGACAGCATAGGAGAGCTGAGAGCGGAGCCAACGAGATGGGTTGTGTGGGCGCTAACGTTTCCGCCCTCATGGTCGGAGTGGATCGTAAGGTAAAGTCGCATCAGCTCAACAAAATCGCTGTTCTCCGCAAAGCCGAGCTGGTTGGCCAAGTTGTAGCCGTAGTCCTTGTCCTTCTCGACAGGAGCAACCTTGCCGTCCTTGTACACATTGCGATAGATTCTTGCGGCAATCGTTGGGAGCTTCGCAATGACGTCCATCGAGTCCTCGAAGGTGTGCTCCCAGTACTGAGCCTTCTTCATTCCCTTAGCATATGCCTTGGCGAAGTTCGACTCGTGCTCAAGCGCGGTGACTGCGAGCGAAAACTGAGCCATCGGGTGGAGGTCGTTCGGGCAGCGGTCAATGAGCTCCTCGATAAACTTCGGCACATCGGAGCGAGCGGCCCACTCTGCGGAAAGGTCACGGACTTGCTGCTCGGAGGGAACCTCGCCGGTCAGGAGAAGCCAGAAGAGACCTGCGCGCTGTTAGAACTTGTAGTACCATCAGATGTGTTCTTGGTTTGACTGACCTTCTGGCAGCGGCTCCTCGCCGCCGGGTGCTTTTGGCAGCAATTGCTGGCATTCTGGGATCTGCATATCATCAGCATCACGGCACTGTGTTACTTTTGCGTGTCGCACTAACAGTCTTGCCGCGGAAACGGATGCCCTCATTTGCGTCCAGGACCGATCCCTGCTACATGTCAATTGAAGCTCTAGCGATACAGCATTAGCCCACATACCTCCCATACAAGGGACTTGATGCCTCGAGCGCCACCGTAGACCTGATCAAGAGTGACTTCGCCGACGACTTTCCCGCCGTATTCTCTGTCCTGTGTGTCAATCGACTATTCGGATAGCCGGCGGGGTCGCAACAACGGCAAGCGGTATGACAAACTTTTTGAGCTTCTTGATCTTCTCAACCTCGCCGGGAATCTTCGCTGCAAAGGTCTCTTTCAAGGACTGTACACCCACAAGTCAGCAGATGATGATGCAGTTGTGGAGGTAGCTGAAACTCGCCTGTGTCTTCCCGCTGGAATAGCATCGCAGGCCATTGAAGGCTGCGGTTTTCAATGGGGAGCTTGAAGCATTGATAGATGAGCGCAAGGCGGTAGAGCCTACTCTGAGGGCGGAAGCCATTATGTGAGGATATGTAGAGATGGGATAGCTGAAAGGGCGGGATGGGGAGGATGCTGCACAACAACAGCGGAGAAGAAACGAGAGCTTTGAGGTGCAGCACGGGCCAAGACGTCATTTTCCGACCGAAAGCTTTCCCGTTGAGAATCCGAGCCGGCACGGGACCAGAGTCCGGACGAGCTCTGTGCTCGAAGCTGTCTTGGATCCGTGCATTGTTTCATGGTATTGATTTTGCATATTCCTATCTCCTTACCACCTGCAAGCCGCATGTTGCTCGGCTTCAGCTTAGGCACGTGACATGTACACGTGATGCTGAGCGCTAAGCGGCTCTCGTCAGCCATCCATTCGCGCCTTCGTTCTCCTGTCCAGGACACGACGCAACAACCACCTGCATGCATCAGGTCTCTACATGCTCAGTAAGATCTCAAACAACAACGTTGAAGCTGCCGTTGTCGCGTGCCTTCACTTCGACCGTCTGTGATTGTTGTTTCTAGGACTTCTTGAGACCTTCCTAGCCCGCTCTCGCTGGAAGTCGCGCCCACCTTCTGCGTAGCTCAGCTCAGTAACAAATTGACTTGCGCAAAGGCGCCCAGCCAGCTGAAGGACTTCACTTGACTGCCATCGCTGTTTATCCCTCTGAGCGATCCGTAGCTCTGTTCGTCACGTAAACTGCGCTTACTTGGGGTTTGGCTGCGGCAAAGGTTCATTCTGCTCTCAGAGGTGCTCGTTTGACTTGCTCGAAGACGCGCATCGGCTTTATTTGAACTGGTCGGTGTGGTGTAGTAACCGTCTTGACCATGGAAGAACTAGACGCGCAGCTGCAATCTCTACAAACCCTCAAACCGCCAGGAGTAACCAAGACGAAGATCGAGTCCATCACGGCGATATGTATCGCCAACGTACAAGTACGGATTCTTCAGTCACTTCTACTTTGCAGGGTCTCATCAGACTGACACTTACTCGCCCAACAGGCAGAGGCACTGATCATCCAGACGATCTTGGCGCATTTTCAAAGAACTCCCGCCACGCATAAGCTAGGCGTGCTCTACGTTGTAGACTCCGTGACGCGACAGTGGGTCGAAAAGGCTCGCCATGCAGGTCAGGCGCTGTCTGGCTCTGCTGCGGCGCCAGGTACTTATGCGGCCGGAGTTCATAAGATAACCGAGGTGCTGCCCGTGATGATGAACGAGCTCATCCAACACGCACCGGAGAACCAGAAGGTAAGCCTATCCAGGCATAATCGTGCACTCTGCACCACCGAGGCCTAGGTCGATGCCCTTCCGAGCAGTTCACGCCGACGACTTGCAACGGTGAATATGCCAGACTGCTCGGCGCCTTTCCAATAGCCGCACATGTACTCACGCGTATCTGCAACATTAGGAAAAGGTCAAGAAGCTGTTGGACATTTGGGAGCGCGGCCATACGTTTCCGGCCACCATGCTCGCCGACTTCAAGCAGAGATTGGAGGCTCCTTCACGTAAGATATATATCTTTCCTTTGTCTTTTGGCTTTTGTCCCAAAGCTCGTTCTGATGCACTGGTCCGGACCCTATAGTTGCGCGATCGTATACCCCCAGTGGAGATCCTCCATCCAGCGCCACAGAAGTCCCAAGGACAGCAACGCAGCAAACGGTAGAGCAACCGCAGCTAGTTGGCACGGCCACCACAACAGCCGCACCAGTCTCGCAAGATCCAGGTTCCATCCTAGCTTCGCTTGCAAATATGGGCAATCAAGCCCCAGCGAGTGCCGTACCTGCGCCTTATGCGGCTCAAAGTAAAGGTAATTTCACGCACGTGACCAGTATACAGCATCAGAACGGAGCTCCTCCGGCATTGCAACCTCAATCAGCGCTTCCGTACATGCCGCAGGCCAACATACCCATTGCAAGCACTAACGGTAATGTCAACGGTCCTGCTGTTCAGGCAAATGCGGCTGCGGTCGCCTTTCAATTTGCAGAGAATTTTCCTGGAGGCCTTCCGGCTTTCGTGCAAATATTGCAAGCAATCCAGCAGCAGAATCTGCCACCCCAACAAGAAGCGCAGTTGTTGGCGATGTTGGGGTTTCCACAAGGAGCTTCAACAGTCCCGCCGGCACTTCCAGCTATGGCACAGCCTGCTGTTGGTATGCCAAGTGGGTATACACAGAGCGCTCCAGAAAACGGATTGCAAGTCGCACAAGATAGCCTAGCATCTGAGCAGAACGGTAGGCACATGGCCCATGACAGCCACACACAGCGAGATCGTAGCCGCTCGCCTGATTACTCACACAAAAGACGGCGCGTCACTCCGCCCAACCGCCGTGCTAGTCCCACATACGGTGTTTATGATCCCGCAGCTGTATCTGTTGGGAACACGGTAAGTCAGCAAGCAGAGCATGATAGACGTGGAAAGGGCAGAGGACGAGGCAACCGTCGTGACCATCGTCAAAGAACACCACCTGCGCACCTCAGCAAGCCGATATCTCCGGCAAACGTACCTCGAGGTCTGCAGCCGAAATGGGTTGAATTTGATAAAAGCCTCGCTCCTGGGACCATCAAAGGTAAACAGCGTACTCTCAATCGGCTTACTCGCCCTCTGCTAACGTGGCATATGTAGTGCTTAGCAGGACCCTATTCATCGGCGGAGTCAAGTAAGTTCCTCAGCGCTGCCAGTTCAGGCTCGTTAACTGACATGACTGTAGCTGTCCTGAGGCGGAGGTAAAGGCTATCTTCAGCCGCTTCGGCAAAGTCCAGACGTGCATCGTCAACCCCGACAAGCATCATGCGTTCGTCAAAATGGTCGACCGCAAAGACGCTGTTGCCGCAAAAGTGGGCATGGAGAACAGCACCGATCCCGAGGTAGTCAACAAAGCACGCAGCGTAAGTAGACCGGCATCCCATGCGCTTGACGCGATCCAGCTAATCCGTTCAGACCCGTTGGGGTGTCGGGTTCGGCCCGCGCGAGTGCAGCGACTACAACACCGGCATCAGCATCATCCCAATCGATCGCCTGACTGATGCCGACCTCAAGTGGGTGGTTAGTGCTGAGTACGGCGGGACCGGGGGCGTACCTCTCGAAAGCGGCATGGTCATGGAAGAGCCGGACATCGAGATTGGAGCAGGTGTATCGTCAAAAGGTGAACAAATTCGTCACGTGCCCTTATCAGAGCCTCTTGCTAACTCCAGGACTTACAGCCATCAGCGCTCGTATGGGTCCAGAGCCTATCCACCATCGCGGTGGCGGCAGCATGGGGCGTAAGAAACATTTCGACCCCGGCGCGCCACGCTATCGTAAAGCGGACAAGCGTACATCGCCAAAAGCAGATGCCGCCATCGGAGTGCCACCGCCTGTGCCTGGCTTTGGATTTCAGCTTCCGGGCATGAACAGATGACCGTCTTCGTCTGGTTCAGAGGCAGAATGATGCTTGTCAGCCAGAACGGATCCACAGTAGTTTTGCCCTCCCCCAGTTCCAAATCAGCTATATCTCTTCTTTTCTCTTCGTTACGGCGTGCATGTCGCCCGCTGGCTGTGGTTTCCAGGGTGGTGAGGAAGGTTTTCGAATGCATAGTATGCGAGGATGGGGAAAGGTTGGCCCGGGTGTTTCTAAGCATGTAGCTCTCAACTGCACGGCGTTGGATAACAAGGGGCTATAGTTCAGCATTTACTCCGGCTCTGAGCTGGGCCTCGAGTCCGCATATAGCTTTCATCTTTAGTTGTACACTAGCAATTCGATTATGGGATCTCCGTTCCCGTTCCAAAGCAACACTGAACATCCAAAGAATGCATGCTGTGTGCAACGCCCACGTTCGATCGAGTGGCTATTCAAGGTTCACAATATCCCAGCACACCGCGGGACTCAATGTTGTAGAGTATAATGGACGTATGTCACTCTGTAATCGATTGTATCATTGTGGTCCTGATCTGTGACGTACACGCCTGCACCTCAACACGCCTCACCCAGCATCACCGTCTCCTCACCTGACTCGAACCACCGTTCTCGCCTTCGTCAGCACCCGTAGACTTCCCAGCCATCCAGCTCGCCAGGTCGAAATTCTGCAACTGCGCCGCGGGGTTGTTTGCCGATGCCAGCGGACTTTTCTTCTGCATCTCCTCGAACTCGGCGCGGGTTTCGGGGTCCACTGCAATTCACGCAGCAGTCAGCGACATGTCTAGCATACAAGTACAGTGCAAGTAGTTGTATTGGACGTATGAATGAGAGGAATAGGAAAGGGAGGCGGGAAGCTTACTGTTCTCCATCAGATACGGCATCCCCACGATCAGTCCTAGCGAGAACAGCGCCATGAGAATCATGGGGCTCTTCAGGAAGCTCAGAACCGAGACTGCGCATGTCAGCCAGCAAACTTTTCAATTATTTCGCTCCCATGCGCGCGTTGAACACTTACACCCACTCCTCTCCTGGTAGTACTCCTTCCCCGCCACCGCCCTCACCTCCGCAGCCACCCTCCCTCTCCCCACTCCCCTAACCTCGCCCTTATTGTCCCACTCGTTTCCGCGGAATGTCTGCCAGACCTGTACCAGCTCCCCCTTCTCCTTGCCTCCTACCTCTTTTACTCCCTCCTCCTGCTCGTCACCCTCCTCCTCTCCCACCGCCCCAACGCCCCCAACATCAACCCTCAGCCCCTCAAAGACCACATCCCTGCAATGGACGTTGAGTAAATAGCTCCCGGTGGTGAGGTTGCGGAACTCGAACGTGTTGGCGCGGGTTAGGTAGGCGGTGGCCGGAGGGCCGGAGGCGTGGAGCGTTGCGTGCGTTGTTGGCGGGAGGAGGGACGGGTTCGGAACGTGCTGGGAGGGATGGATTTGCAGGATGAGGTCGGCGGCGAGTGTGAGGATTGGGAGGAAGGGGAGGAGTATGGTGGTGGGGAGGCGCATCGTTGGCGGATTTGCGAGGTTGGTGGGCCGTTGGGCGTAAGAAGGGGTTTAGTGACCAGTTGCTTTTGAGTGGTGGGTACTGGATGGTTGCCCTGTGGTGGTCGTGGTGGTCGTGGTTGTGTGTACGTAGGTTACTGGAGATTAATGGGTGCCTCAGGCCAGAGCACAGAACAGCAACGTCACTGGACGAAAAGAGGAATGAGAATAGCGTTGTCATTTCCACTGTTCTTAAACGTCGAGTACTACGAAAAGCAGCAAAACACAAAAACTTTTGCTTCAAGGTATACCAATCCCCAGACCTATTCCTCCGGCGAAAATTCACTTTTGATATACACAATGCCACGCACAAAATGCAGCGAAAAACAGCCACCCACACATCGCGATGATGCATTTCCAAAACGCCTCCCGGGTATACCGTTCCTTCCCACCCTTTCCATCCTACGCAAGAATATACCGCGCCTAAGCACACGTGACTTCGCCAGCTCCCGTCTGCCCAAGACCCTATTCGGCAGCTTCAACCCCTAGAATGATCCGACGCCTGCTTCTCCGTCTCCGTGGACCCGCTGAGCGTACTACTCCTGCTGGTCGCCTCGCTCACAAAAGTCGCAATGCTCGTCCTCTTAAACACGCCTCCGCTCTCCCTCGTCCCGGGGCTCGTGACCGCCAGCGGCCCTGAAGCGATTTGACCCCCACCACCTGACGAAGGCATTGATATCGCCAGCGGTGGCCCTTGCTGGCTTTCATGCCTCTCTTTTAGTCTCCGAATCTGCCGCAGCCGCGCGCACCACGAGGAGGGATACTCGCCATTCGCGCGGTTCTGCCAGACGAGGCTAAAGACGGACGCATTGAGCGCGATAAGGCGGACGTAGTTCGGCAAGCTCTTGCCGCTGATGATCTTCGGTTCCGCGGCCGGGGAGATCTCCGGGAAGCCCGGAGCGACCATGACCTGGACCTTGTAGAACAGATCTTTACCGTCGTACGAGGCCGACCTGGTCTCGACGAAAGAAGCCCGCGCCTCGGGCGTGATGACGATGTAGACGTAGTTGAAGGCGGAGGGGAACATGTTGAAGTTGAAAGGGAGACCCGAATTATTGAAGATGATGTTGACGTAGTCGTTCCCGATGTGGCTTTTCTTGCGGATCAGGAACTCGGTGTTGGGGTCTGTGGGCATGATGGTGGGGATGTGGAAGACGATCTCGGTGACGCGGTCGCGCCAGCAGTAGGTGAACTCGCCGTCGTCATTGTTTTGCCGATCTAGGCCTTGTGTGTTGAATTTGGCGTTTTTGAGCCGCATCAGAGAGCCAAGATCGCCAACGAAGGCGGTGTAGTCCGAGGATCCCATGACGTTGGCGAAGACTTCGGCTTCGGTTTTCTGGCCGTCGCCAATGAAGAGGACGCCGACTTTGTGGCCGTCAACGGTAGGAATGTGGTCGAACATGGTTATGGCGCGTCGCGTCTGTTCGTCGTCTGGCAGGGGTATTGGTGGCTTGGTGCCTGCCCCGTATGTCGAAACCAAGCTTTGGGAGGAGTAGAGTTCTTGAAGTATTGCGTCCGGTAAGATGCCGACATATGTTGACTTGTAGAACTCTTCAGCTGCGAGGCCTGTTGTGAGAGGTACTTGATGTCGCGGTGGGTCGTTCAATAGTGGCCTGTAAATGGAGTACTTTGTGCTGGTCTAGTTTCCCGATTAGCGCCCAGCCAAACCCAAATGGATGATAGATGAGACTTACCGGTCGTCGATGGGTGATGTGGGAGATACCCGTCCGGGCTGCAGTCTCGATCGTTACAAGACTTAACCCAATCACCCAAGACTTCGCACGGATTTCTCCATCTGAGGGCTTAGCGAACTCTGCATCAGCGGCTGTTTCGTCACGATCAGACCAAGCGACTCTATACATCATGTCCATTGTGACTAAACTGTAATCGTCGACAATCTCCCGGCCAGCAGAATCGGTATAGGTAAGGTTTTTGGCAATCCAATCCTTGTACTTCTGACGATCTTGAAGCTTCAAAGCCATAAACCAGAAAACGATGACATGAAACGCGAGCGCATGGACATATTGCGGAAGATCTTCGGTGGCCGACCTGGTCGAGATTTTGGAGTCATGTCTGGATGCTGCAGCGAGATCCCTCGAGGGCCCGCTATGTCTCAGACTTCCTAGGGCATGCTGCGAAAAAGCCTGGTTTGATACTCTGTCGCGCTGATCCCGGACTGACTGCAGGTAGCGGAAACAGACGCCAAAGACCATTTTGAAGTCATCCTCGCGGAAGTTCTTGTATAGATCTGACATACGAGACAAACCGGCCAGAAATTCGAGAATATGAATGGCGTTCTGGGATTGCGTAACGATCTGAGACATCTTCTGCATGATGCTGTCCAAACACTTACTAGTAGACAGCGGAAGCTCATGACAGCATACCGTAAGCGCGTGGATACACCACTTGGAGGTTCTGTCCCAAGAGCCTATACCTAGATGGAACGTCCTGACCATGTCGTCCTCTTCAGACTTGTCGAAGTGCGGATTGTAGCTGATGAGCATGGTAAGGATATGGAACAGGCATACGGCAACATCAGCCTTCTTCAATGACGTAGATGCAGGTGGCTCATAAAAGCTTGCGGTCTTGATCTGGTCACAGAGCAGGTTTCTTAGAATCCTAATGGCCTGGATTACCCCTCTGAAGAGGGATTGATTTGTGAGTTGAGCACCGAGGTGAACCAAAAGATAGCTGTAGATTTCCCAATCGGCTCCATGCTGGAGAATAGAGATCAGGAAGTCAATCCAGAGGCCGATGTTCAGCTCTTCCCGAGTGTTCGACGGATCGTTGTCTGGAAGACTAAGATGAGAGTACAGAAAAGGGCTGGCTGTGGCACACGGTTCTTCCGGCAGGCCCCTTGCACCGCCGTACATCCAGATTGGCGGAACAGGCCTTACCATCCTGATAGGCCCGCTAATGACACGATGTACCGGCTTCGTGGAGGCAGTGTGCGGACTAGCTGCGGATGTAGCTCTGCTGTCCCGTGAGGACGATTGATCATCGGCGCGGGATTGCCTGTGTTGGCCGTAGTCCTCAACAGCATAGTTGCCAGCTGCTGTTTCTACTGTGCGGCACAATACAGCGGCGATACTCTCACCCTCCGACGATGGGGTGACTAGGATCGCCTGATTGGTATCGCTGCGCAAGCGGAAGAGGAGCTTGAGTGCGCTGATGCGAGCATCTATGGCACAGAAGTCGGCTTTCGCAACACGTAGTAGCAGCTCAAAGATCATTTGCGCCTTGTACGCTGAGACGCTGACAGTTCGAATGAACAATCTCACCAGACATAACGTCAGCACATTGGAAGGTGAGCCCGGGTCTTGCTGCTCAGTAGGCGCACGCGAGGATGACGGTGACCAGTAGTTCAAAGCGGGCGACTCGATTGAATTACTGCTTCGTCTCAGGAGCACACTGCGGAACAGGTCGAGTATACGATCAAACAGCGGCCCCGGTGCCCACCTTGCGACGGTAAGCGCGAAGTTACCAAGGACCTCCAGAACTTTGGGATCATCTTCGTTCGAAATGGCCTCGAGCATCATGATCGCGAACTCGGCGACAGTGCTAGTCTCGCTGACGCTCTCCACTGCGAAATATGCATCGACAAGGGTGTTCAACACCAGGATACGGAACCGTGGAGTGCGCTCCTTGTCGCTGAAAAACACAGCCAGCAGATCTCGACACGCAACAAGCCAGCCGTCGTTCGACGGATGAAGTAAGCGCTCTTCGGCATAATAGTTGATCAGCCTGCTGGCTATGGTCTCATCCAGCTGACTGCCTAACCGTCTGAAGAGATCCATAACTGCCGCTTTCTGAATGAAGTCCATGGCAGGGATGATAGCGTCCAGGTCCTGGATTATTTGGGCTAGATCCCCAAGATGATTAACCGGGTCGCCATCGTTGTTGCTGGCCAACATCAGCGATGCGTCCGGTGGCACAGCTCCAGGCTGCATATCCTTTTCTAGAGGTTCCTTTGCGTTCAACGCCCGAGCACATTCGTCCACAATTTCAACGAAGGCGGTCCAATCATCCTCCTCTAGCAACAGCAGCGATAGGTCAGCGTCCCTCAGGATAACGGTTAGTAGCTGTAGTATTTCTGCTTCTATTTTGTGGTATCGCATGAGTAGCGGACCCTTGAGTGCCGGAAGCAGTAGCGAGAGCGAAACCCTCGGCAGATTGTCTGCACCCTTGGCGAGCAAAAGACTTTGCAGAGCATGAAGGGCGCCTCTGACTATGTTTCTCCTCGGTTTCTCTGCGTGCGGCTCCTCTGACAGAACATTTAGCAGTACAACAACTGCATATTGACCCATGTGGGAAGTCAGGAGATGACTGAGCGCCGCCCAAGTTTGCTTTTGGCAGCTTGGCAGCTGGCGATAGACATCGCACAACGTCTCAAGACAGGATTTCAGAGAGCGCCGTGGTATTTGTGTGTAGGTGATGAGGGCATTGAAGACGTTGACGCAATTGATAATGTCCGCTTCGCTGATAGTCTGCCTGCAGATGGAGTTGCTCACCTCCAATAAGAACTCCACATCATGCTCCTGAAACAACCTGGCATTGAACTTCACGACATCGACTACATACTGGAAAAGCCGAGCGAGGCCCTTTTCCAAGGTATCGAGGTCGACGTCAGCTTTAGATTTCTTCTTCGCCTTACGAGCGTCAGCGACGATTTTAAACCGTCGCCACAGGGTCTTTGCAAGAGTGTTGGAAGGCAGAGCCTCAAAAGCCTCAACGTTCCGTCCATTAACAGTTAGAGCGAGCAGTATCTCGAAGCGAGTATCGAAATCTGCGTCGTTTTGGTTGGCCGCCACTGCTTTGAAGAAGGCACTACGTTCCACAGAAGAGAGGTCGGGGAGCTGCACGCAGCTTTTGAGAAGCCTGTAGACCGCGCGTGTTGCATCGGCATGTCCTTCGCGGTCCGCAAGATCCTGCGCGGTGGTCCAGATCGCCAGCACATTGGTGATAGGATAAGCCTCTAGTATCGGACATATGCGATCGATCGCTCCTATCCTTTCGGCTAGAGGACAGTCTGGATGCAGTTGCTGCAACAATGGTCCCAGTTCAGGCGGTCCACCAAGTACATCTCCGAAAGATGAGGGTATAGCCGTCCGCCCTGCCGCCAGTCCAGCGTCCGGCTCAGCACGGCCTTCGGTGACGTCGATGTGATTGTTCCGCGCGATAGTCTTCAGCCTCGAGCTGCTCTCGTGCCGTACGAGTTTGGGCGGTGCCGGTGTTATGACTGCGGCAGATATCGCGGGCGTCTTGATCCGGCCGCCGGTGAGGTTTCTAAATGCGCCGAAGAGTGCCGAGGAAGAGGACCTTCTTTCTGGGGTTTGCGGCACATCGTTTGGGGTCGGAGACATGTGTCCCGTCGAGACTGCCTGGACTTTATAAACGTTTATCAGGCTAGAGTGAGAGTATTGTCAGCTTTGTTCGGAAGTGGGTCCAGCAAACAGATAACGATCTGAAGTCCAAGAAAGCACATAATCGCAAAGTCGATCCTATCTAGCGCAGAGCAACGAAAGGGACAAGCGTACATGTATGTAGATTCAAACCCACGGGAAGCAGTTCTGGCTCTGGGACATCTAAGCGTGGCGCTCTGCCCGCTCCATTTGCGACAAACCACGGATACGGCAGGTGTTGGGAGCTCTGAAGGTTTCCATGAAGCCCGGCACGTTCAGTTGACAGCGACCGGATCGCGGAAGCTAAGGCGAAGACGAAGGCATGGTTCCGGGGCTGGCGGAGATGGGTTTGGTCGAGGCAGGCGCACGAGGACAAGGGAAAATTGCTTTGGGAGGGCTGCGAGGGCTGCGACTGCAGGATCTGGGGTCAACCAAGAGCGGCACAAGCGGGCCCGGGGGATCACCATCACCACCTGGCACGCCGGTAAGGCTGAGACGCATGGCCCCCGAAGTTCTGCCTGGCTCCTGCCGTTTCCATGGCTTCACATCTGTACAATTTATTCTAAGGCCTCCATTTTCGATCCACGGCCCCGTCTTTGATCGCTCACTTTCACACTCTTCATAGCCACATCCGCCATGGCTGCAAACCAGCAAGCTGTTGCTGACCTCCTGAACCTCAGTCTAGATCCCCGACAGAACAAACAAGGTGAGCCTCGTGATTTCTGTTTGTTTACGGCCGTCTTGGAGCTCTCTGGAACCCGTCTGGCGTGTTCATATGCCCAAAAACCCCTACTTAACTCAGCTTGGAGCTGGACTCTGTACAGCTGCCTAAGCCCGACGTAACTGACGAAGTTGTCTGCAGCCGAAACCGCGTTAAAGCAACAAGAGACGCAGCCGGGCTTCTCCATAAGTCTTCTCCACATAGTCGCGAACAACTCCTTTCCCCTCACGACCAGGCTTGCAAGCGCGCTTTTCTTCAAGAACTTCATCCGGAGGAACTGGACGGACGAAGAGGGCAACTACAAACTCCCGCAGGATGAGGTGTTCGCCATCAAACAAGAGCTGATCGGCCTTATGATCGCCGTCCCTCCAGCGATACAATCACAGCTCGGAGAAGCAGTGAGCGTCATCGCGGACAGCGACTTCTACGAGCGCTGGGACACCTTAGTGGACGACCTCGTGTCGCGGCTCACGCCGGACAATGCTACGACCAACAACGGCGTGCTGCAGGTGGCACACTCGATCTTCAGGCGTTGGCGGCCGCTCTTCCAGTCAGACGAGCTGTACACAGAGATAAACCACGTCTTGAGCAAGTTCGCTCACCCATTCCTCGCTCTTTGGGACAACACCGACAATGCCATCACACAGAACCAGAACAACAAGGGCGCGCTGCAGGAGTACTGCAAAACCTTGGATCTCATAGTAAAGCTCTTCTACGACTTGTCATGTCAAGACCTGCCGCCGGCTTTCGAAGAGAATCTGCCAGCCGTCGTCGGCCTGCTACACAAATACCTCGTTTACGATAATCCACTATTGCACACAGATGATGACGACGAGGCGGGCGTTCTGGAGGACTTGAAAGCAGACATCTTCGATGCACTGATACTCTACGTGCAAAAGTATGAGGACGCGTTCGGAGGTTACCTGACGCAATTCATCAGCAGTTCGTGGAGTCTCCTGACGGCAGTCGGGCCAGAAACCAAATATGACATCCTGGTCAGCAAAGCTTTGCAGTTCCTCACCTCTGTCACAAAATCGCCGCAGCATGCGCAGAACTTCAATGATCAAGGCACACTTGGTCAAGTCGTTGAGAAGGTCATCCTGCCAAACCTTGCGCTTCGGGAGTCGGACATTGAGCTCTTCAATGACGAACCAATCGAGTTCATCAGGCGGGATCTGGAAGGGTCAGACAGCGACACACGACGACGTGCAGCCACCGACTTCTTGCGCCAACTCATGGAGCAGTTCGAGAAGTTGGTCACCGAGGTCGTCTCAACATACATGAATCGCTATCTAGAAGACTACGCCAAGGATCGGGAGAGTGGCTGGAGGTCAAAGGATACTGCAGTCTACCTGTTCTCTGCGATAGCAGTCAAAGGCACCGTCACCAGCCAAGGCGTAAAGAGCGTCAACAGGTAAGCCGCTCCGACCGCACCCGTGTTTGTTCATGTCTCTCGTGTTACTTCGATTAGTAGTAGATATTCGCTTTGAGACAGCAATGGAGGCTGACGATTGCGTAGCTACACGGATATTCTTGATTTCTTTCAGAAGAACATAGCACAGGATCTTACCGCGGAAGACACTCACCCGATCCTCCAAGTCGACGCAATTAAATACCTCTACACTTTCCGAGCGCAGCTAACACAGCAATACTGGCAAGCAGCGTTCCCGCTCCTAGTCAGACACCTCGGTTCTTCCGAGTATGTCGTGTACACTTATGCTGCTATCGCGGTCGAGCGCGCCTTATCCCTCACCAATGAACAAAAGAAGCCGATCATCCCTCACAACGATGTCGTCGCGCTTTCGAAGGACCTCCTGCAGCATCTTTTCCTTCTCATCCAGAAGGATTCTGCCTCCCAAAAAATCCAGGAAAATGAATTTCTGATGAGATGCGTCATGCGCGTTTTGATCGTGATCAAGGATGGCGTGGTACCAATCACGGACATGGTTCTTCGCAACTTTGTTAATATTACTAAAGTCATACGGCATAACCCCAGCAACCCTCGATTCTACTACTACCACTTCGAAGGCATCGGCGCGCTCGTACGGTACGCTGCACCGGCGCAGCCGGAAAAGCTCGAGACAGCGCTCTACGACCCGTTTGCTGCAGTCCTCGCAGAAGACGTCCAAGAGTTCTCACCCTACGTCTTCCAGCTTTTCGCCGCACTTCTGGAAGCTAACCCATCCGGCACCCTGTCTGAATACTATCTCTCGCTCATCCCACCAATCCTCATGCCCACCATCTGGGAACTCAAGGGCAACGTCCCAGCACTGGTGCGGCTTCTCACAGCCATGCTTCCCCGCGGCGCCGACAGCATAGTCAAGAACGACCAAGTCGAGCCCCTGCTCGGCATATTCCAGAACCTGATCTCGAAGAAGACGACTGAAAGCCACGGCTTCGACCTCATTGAGGCGATCATAGCCTCAATACCGGCGGCAATGCTCCAGAATTACTTTGTGCCTATACTTCAAATCATGCTCACCCGTCTCTCCAACTCCAAAACCGAGAATTTCTCCCTACGCTTCACCCGCTTCTACCACTTCATCTCGGCGCGCGACGACAAGGGTTTGGGCGCGGATTTCTTCATCAGCGCCACGGACCAGATACAAAACGAGTGAGTACAAACCCCCTTTGCCTCTATGGAGTCTACATGCCCCTACCCTTCTCCTCAACGCAGAACCTAGCTAACAGATCACTCAGCGTCTTCCGCCCACTATATCCCTCCATAATCCTCCCAGACACCCAAAAGCTGACCCGCCCCACCGACCGCAAAACCGCCGTCGTCTCCCTCACCAAAACCCTCGCCGACTCCCAAGCCTTCGTGACGCGCTACCAAAGAGGCTGGGCGCGCACCTGCGAGGCCTTGCTGCAGCTCCTGACGAACCCACCCGCGCCGTCCGTGGCCGCCGACGACGTGATCGTCGAAGCGGACATCGATGAGGTCGGCTTCGGCGTCGGCTTCACGCAGCTCACGACGTGTAAGCAGGCGCCCCGGGATCCGTTTCCGGAGATTGGGGACGTGAAGGGCTGGGTTGGGAGGTATTTGAAGGAGGCGGATGGGAGGACGGGCGGGAGGATTGGGGCGCTGGTTGGGGAGAGGCTGAGTGAGGAGGCGCGAAGGGCGTTGGTGGATTATATGAGTTGAATGGGGAAGACTTGGTGGGGTGGGGAATATGGAGCGGGGAGCATTTGATACCAGGTAGCGCGTTGGTGCGGTTTGGGAACAGGTGGAAGCAAAGTCGTTGGGAAGACGCGGAGGAGAATTACGCTGTTCATAGGTAGGTCAGGTAGGTAGGAATGATAAGAGTAGATGTATAGGGGAAGACGTCGCAGATCTAACTTTACCACCTCCCCAGGTTTCCCGCTCTTGGACACTGGCTTCAACGGTGACCTGTTCACCTATCCGGTTGATACACACCGACCGGAATGACCAACGAACCCCTAGAAGTCTTGTTTGGGCTGCCGCACTTCATTGTATCACGCCATCAACTGCAGTCGGGCAGACGGATGCGCAGACGAGCGTTAGTAACACCTGCTCAAACGCTCGCAGCATCCAACTACACTACACATTTAGAAAAACCACAAAGGCCTGCTACCAAGGCTGGGCACTCAGAGCACGCAGCGACGCCGCTCGAAGCCCACTCAAAACACATCGCTACGCATCACAGTCGTCCAACGGACACGGCCTACCCATATGAGCGCATTTTCCATCTGCCTCATCTCCTAGCCAACTTCCGAATCGGGTAACACCACCCTACTTCTGTAGAACGCCGCAACGAGGTGGTAGGTCGGACCCCCCCCCCCCACTATAGCCACTGCGGCCTACCCGGAGGGTTAGTGGGCGGTTGGTGGGCGGCTGTGATTGTGTAGGGCACAACCGTGACGCTGACCACGACGACTTCAAGAAAGCCACCTACCTGGCAGTAAGAAGATAGCGCTGACAGCGTAGATCAACTAAGGAGGTGAAGCAGATCCGTGGCTGTCGGATTCATACAGTCAGTATCATCGCCACAATGCGGAAGGGATTCTGGAAGGAATGATAGCAAGAACCATGACGTGCATAGTATCCACGGCCATCGGTATGTTAATGGGGTATTTCAAACCAGCACGACGTTCTTACGAGGAAGCCTCGAGGTCACCTCTGTGTAGATTTCACATTCGTCGTTCTACGAACAATACTCTTTTCCGAATCGGGTGGTGTCGCTTTCCATAGGACGTCGCGCAGTTCTGGCCGGCCAGCCTCACTGTAGAGTGCTCACAGCTTGGACTCGACGACAGGTCCAGAAAACAAAGCCATGGCTTTCCGTCGTCGTAAGGTGGTAGCGAGGACGGTGACTCCATCGATGAAAGAGCCGACCAGCACGAGGACCACAGCGGACGCCGGGATCATGATGCAGATTGAGCAGGACACTGAAAACCGAGGCGAGAAAAGTCGGGCGGTCGTTTCCTGGGGACCTGACACCTCCAACATTCGTAGTCGTTCTACGACCATTAGCTACCGTCCAGATACGGCAATAGCTGGAGCTACCGTAAGACGTCTATCACTCTTCACATCTTCACATCCTCTCGCAGGCCTCATCCATCCATACAAATCACCCGACAAAGCCGCTGCGTGAAAACTTAGCAGGTTCGCGGAGGACATGGACATCAAAGGTATGAATGGTGTCGTATTAGCATACCTTAGAGTAGCCGTACCTGCTTTACTTGGACAAGTTACAGCCGTTACAGAATTCAAACCCCCTCCCTCCACCTTCAGTAGCTTCCGCCCCAAACTCTACAGCGTCCCTGGGGAGATGCTATATGCAGTTGACTGCAACTGGGCATGGCCAGCCCGTGGCTCGCGTCTTCAGTACCCAAGTGTTCTAGTTTTGGTAAACCAGCATCAACACGGAGCTAGTCCGATGTCTAGATTCTTGCTACTATCAAAAACTACGCCCTGAATTAGTACGAAAACGGTAAGATGGACTCTTTTAGAGATGTATCGCTATCTCTATGAACAAGCGCTTTTCATGAAGTGAGCGTCTAAGTAGCGAAAGGTCGAGAAAGAGAGAGACATCCCCAAAGCCAGCAATATAAAAAGAAAGATGCTAAGACCATAAACGACAGGTCCAAGCCCGTTGTGCGCCAATCGCGACGCCCCATATGCCAGCCCCATTACTTCATCCCTCATAATTCATATCGTCCTCGTTAGATCATTAGTAACCCCTCCCATGATGCCCCAAAAGAACGGTGTCTGATCCCAGACCCTCCGACCAGAAAGTAAGAAAAGAAGAAAGAAGCGAAAAGTCATCCCCGTCAAAACTTCCACCTCTTTTCAGAACAGTTCCTTCAGCACTCTCTTTTCTCTCCTTACGGAAACACAGCCCCGAAACTCCTCGACTTGGCCCAATCACCTCCTCCTCGCGGCCTCAAACTCCCCTGCAACAGCCTTGATACCCCACCTCCACCCGTCCCCCAACCCGTCCCTAAACTCCCCACACCACCCCTCAACTCTGCGCCTCCACACCGCCTCCTCCTCCCTCTGCCGTCTGATAAATTCCGGGCCCAGATCAAACTCCTCACCAACAAGCCACTCATCCCTCCCCTTCTCCTTGTCCCCCGCACCCACCGCCGCCCCGCCCAAACTGCTGCCGGGCCGACTACTGCCCGCCCTATTCAGCGCCGGGGCATCCTCGTCCTTGAGGTCCTCGATCGCGGCGAAGGGGTCCTCCTCGTCCTCCGTCGCGGACGGAGACAGCGGATCTGCGTTGGGGTTGTTTCCCGGCCCGAGCTTGAGCCAGCACATGCGGCGCGGGTCGAAGACCATGCCCTTCTCCACCTGGACGCCTCGAGCTGTCCCGACGCCGGAGATCAGGGCCGGGGCGCGCGGGGGCGAGGGCGGTTGCCCGGGCGGCTGTTTCGTCAGCACCGCGGTCAGGTGTTGGTGGCTGAGCGGGTGCGGGTTGTGGTGCAAAGTTGGTGCTTCTTTGGAGGGCTCGTGCGGGTGGTGGTTGCCGTAGGAGGTGGTGCGGTGGTGGTGGGGGAGGGTCAGCGCGATGGCGGTCGTGGGCGTTGTGTTGAAGGAGGCGAGGGCGGATTCATTGCCTTCCCAGCGGTGGAGATGGGGGTTGTAGGTCATGCCTTTTTCGTCTGCGCGTGCGGTGTTAGTGTTTGCGTTATTGGAAATAGATTCTTGGTGGGGGGGAGGGTGAACTTACTCTTCGTCACCGGCGCGTTCATCTGCTTGATCAGGAACGGCTTCTGTCCCGTTCCCTTGGGTTTTGTTTTTTGTGCCGTAGGACTCGTGTGCGGACTTGCAGCCGCGATTTTCGCCTTCCAGTTCGTAGTCATTGGCAGGACTGGTGGTCGCTCTGGCGGCTTCTGTGCGCCGAGCCGGCTCTCTCTTGCTATGCGACTGGCCGCCGTATCCCGCGCGAACCGAGGCAGATTCTGCGGTGGTCGTAGTTTTGTCGGACTTCGCGGCGTTTGCGGTGGTAGCGGAGTCATCATGCGCTCTGGTAAACCTATCCGCCCCTGACTAGGCTGGTGCCGCAGCGTCTTGGGCGCGCCTCGTCCCTTTGGCTCTTTTAAGAATTGCTGCTCCTTCGACGCCGACGTAGGTAGGTCATCGAAAATCTCAAGCTCGCTGCCATCTCCAAAATTGCGTCTTCGGCGTGCTATTGGTGCTGCGAGGACCTTTTTGCTGGCTGCTTGCTGAGCCAATGCCACGGGCGCGATGTCCCGTCTCGGAAGCCGGCTGGGAGTCTCTGGAGGAGCACCACCAAGGCGTGACAGCGGTCGACGGAATGCTGGAGTTTCAGAGCGATGCGGGTCGGAGTCTCGGCGGAAATGCCCTGGTGTGGGCCGTGCGGTGATGTGGTGCGACTGGGCTGTGGAGACACCGGCAGGAAGGAACGGGACAGGTGGTTTGGACCCGGAGTTGTAGGCACTGCGGAGGGCAGGCGCGGATCGTTTCTGCTTCAGAAGTTGCGCGCCCGTGGTGGTGGGCGCTGGGCGCACCTGCTTTGTGGCTTCGGTTGCGCCTGCTTCATATACTGGGGCAAGCCTCGACAGTCTCGAAGCAGCGCCTAACGGTCTCGGTATCCGTGATGCTACAGGCTTGTCGGTGAACGTCAAGGATGTTGTGACACGTGGAGAAGAGATTTGGATTCTGCTGGTCTGTACTTTGAGGTTGCGGTTGAGGGTGAGCTTCTTAGTGTCTAGGACTTCGCCGTGGCCCAAGTCAAGGTCATCGAAGAAGTCGTCCTCTTCGCCAGTGGGCCTCTTCTGCTCGGGCATTGGTGAAGGTTGTGATGGGGAAGCCTGCGCGGGCTCTTGAGGTGATGGCTTCTGTGCCGGTAATGGTGAGGCATCAGGCGTCGCTGTCTCGGCCTCCTTCAGCTTCTTGAGCTTGGCATTGAAGTCGAGCGGTTCAGTCGGAATGATCAGTCCATCCAGGCCGTCGTCCTCGCTCTCTAGAGTCAAGCAGCTGTTTAAGCTGGGGCTCATCGCCGAGACGGAGGAGCTTAGGTTCCTATTTTCGCGCCTGGTTCCGCCGAAGCGGATACCTAAGCTTCCCTCCAGATCGTCGAAGAAGTCGTCGTCTTCTTCCGCGGGCGTTACGGGTGTTTGTGGTGTCTTCAGCCTCAGGCCTCCAGGTGCCGGGAGTTCAAGCTCATCGCCCCAGTCGTCGTCAATCTTCTGTCGCGACTTCTTCTTGCCCAGTCTTTGGATGGTGCCACCGAGCAAGGCGGAGGAAGGCACGCCCGCAGGTATCGGTATTCCGGCATTCTTCGCGGTCGATATGGCATTTTGCGTAGCGGAATCGTCGTTCGGTGTCAAGAGGACATGCCAGTCATCGTCGCCGGCATTGGACTCGGAGTGGACGGAAAGACGCGACGAAAGCGAGGTCTGAACGGTAGAAATCGAGTTGCTGAACAGGTCGCCTTGGAAGTCCCCGTCATCGTCCCAATTCTCTACCGGAGTTGCCATGGTAGACCACGCAATGGTCGCAACTGCCGTGACGTGCGAGAGATTCGAGTGTGGGTGATGTTTGCGATTGGATTATGTGACTGGTGTGTTCGAAGTTCGTGAGTGGTGCTTGCTGTGCGGGTGGTGCCTGGAGAATTGTTGTTGGTTGCTTGGTCGCTGGCTGCTGTATGCAGGTGGTTCTCGCCCAAGTTGAGAGGAGGTTGGTTTTCGGGCGGCAGTCAAGCGAGCTTCACCGCAACCCGAAACAGGCAGCGACAGGCCGTCCTGAACGCGACTCTGTCACGAAACTAGAGCCTCCTGAGGAGGCACTTACAGAGGCTCATGACTCGCGAACTGAGTTTCAGCAAGAGCTGGCGGTCTCGACGGTCGAGAAATTGACGCGAGAAAGGGTACCTGGATGGGATGCGGCGGGTATTGCGCAGTATTTACACGATAGGTCGAAGCTGCTGCAAGTTCCCTAGTCAAAGGATCACAAACTCGATAGATTCTTTCCTGTTCTCCCACCACACTTGTCTGATATCGATTTGGTGCCTTTTCTCTATTGCAGTACGTAGGGTTGGGGTCAATCTGCTGCAACCACGGTACACGGGACTGCTTCAAACGCCGCGGCTTCCTGGTCCCCACTTGTCATTTAAACATGTCCGATCAACATGTCGTACACGTTCGTAGGACCGATGCGGAGGGATCTTTCGTACTCGTAAACGTCGCCCGCAACGGGGCCTTGCCGCTAGATGTGAGGCTTGTTGGAACGGAAGGCGAGAACCCGTACGTTGGGTCAGTCAGGCAGAGCCAGATCAACCAGCTGCGAGCACACAACTATCAAGGGAGCGAAGACGAGTGGAAGACCGTCCTCGAAAAATGTTTACTGCACAAGCCGGCCATTGGTGATTATGCAGCGGTACTTGAAGGCCTTGAGATGGTGGCATCAGTGGGGGAGGACAATCAGATCACGCTCACTCTTCGCAAGAACATTAGTGGCATAACGGTACGTGCTCGGCGCTGTTGCGCTGCCACTTATGCTAAGCGCCCTCTCAGCAACGTCTTGGTGCTATATCCCTAAGGCTCGAGGAAGATGAAGCCATCGAACTTTTCAACTGGACTGCGGCCGCCGCGCAGTCAGCCAGCAGAGTTAGAGATGAGGTGGCAGATCTAAGAGTACAGTTGAATGCGCAGCAGGACACTGTCAACAAGCTGAACGCGCAGCTGCAAGATCTTATCCAGGCCAAGCAGGACCACGAAAACGCACTACTAGAGAAATTCAAAGATCTGCTCAACGCCAAGAAGCTGAAAATCAGAGACCAGCAGAGACTGCTGGCGCGTGCAAAGACGGGACCACCAGCAGGTAAGTCAACGCAAGTCTGACTCCGTTGAGTTCGTGTAATAATATTTATGAAGTAGCAGAAGCACAGCAGCCAAAAGAAGCACCCAAGGGCCGAAGAGCTGGTCCATCCCGGACATCGAAGCGCAAAGCTAAAGGGAAGGCTAGTGCTGTCGTATCTAAGTCTGAGGATGACAAGATGCGAATGGACGAGGAACATACCGAAGAGGCTAGAGAGGAGGAAGAAGCGATGCCTGAGGCTGTGACACCAGATAGAACCGAGACAGAGACAGAGGATGAAGATGGCTTTGCAGCGCCACCAGCATCACAACCCTCTCAATCAGCCACTGCAGGTGTCGGTTCTAAAGGAAAAGCCATCGAAGTGGCAGTGACGAAGGAGATGGAGCAGGCAACCCCTGAGCTACCACCTCCGAGGCGCGCGCTTCCGTTTGCCAACAAGAAGCCACAGAACCAGCCGGCTAAAGCAGCGGGTTCAGCGCCACAAGCTGCGATTGCGGATGATGAAGAGACGGATGATGAGCTCTGAGTGACGACGAAGCTTGATCAAAGCATGGCGTCCTTCAGGGGAAGTACGGGGAGGTTAGGAAGCACCTCCGGCGTCTGCTGGGCTCAGCGTTTTTAGAAGAAGCAGGCACGCCGACAGAAATGTGTCTTTTGCGTGCTGGATGGCAGTAGCATGGCGAAGTGCTCGTGCACTTTCTCCGCACGGGCTGTGGATGTCGCAACAACTACTGTGCTTCCACGAGAATGCGCGACATGTGGGGTTGGAGCACCATCAGACCCTCAGGGATTGGCGGATCCGGCTAGCGCCTAGCTCCCGCGATGTCGGAATCTGGCCTGCGTCCCGGGCGAACAGGGCAGACGAACGGGGCATGGGATGGAAAGGTCGGGTGTGCTGGCTGAAGCGCACCACCCGTGCAGTCCTCGATGTCAGCTAAGCGGCGGTATTCGGGGAGGTAAGTTAAGCAGGCGACAACAGGGGGCCATAGAACGCGCAGTCATGTCCTTTGTCGCAGTCAGTCGGGCGGGCGGTCGGTCAATCAAAATGACAGCCTCGTGTCGTGCCTGACCCTTGCTCGCTCGCTCGCTCGCCTTGCCGAATTGGCAGATCCTGCGCAGCGAGCCTGCCCGTGCTGCTGCTCTCCGGCGGCAGCCCGCGCCAAGACTTCACTACCCCAGCAGCACAATCGTCACACCCGCCCATTGTCTTAATCGGATAGCCAGAACCCAATTCTGACGAAACCCTCCTCACCCTCTATCGACCTTCCTTTCGCATCCAGACAGCATGCCCACCATACCTGCGGCAATTTGTCTCTGAACATTCACAGGACGCTATGGCGGGATGAGCACCAGAGTCAGCTGCAGCTTCAGCTTCGGCCTGCTTACGACCGGATAGAGACGATAGCCTCGCAGATCTACTTGTTCGCCCTGAGTGCCTAACTCTACCTATCGGTTGTGGTGAGTCTGCGCAAGCTGTTTTTGCGCTTTCATCCCACTGACAATGGCTCCAATTCACAGACTGCTTTGGCGGACGACCGTTCACTCTCCTCCAGACCCCGGTTCCCCCCCGCGGTATTCATTCCCACCCACGGTACCACCAGTCTAAGCTGTCGCATGACTCTTGAGCCTCCAAACATCTCAGCCGCGCCCTTGAACGAATCGCCTCCCCCAACATTCTGTGCCTTGTTCCGAATCACACATGCAATCTGCTTCTGAAAGCGAATCTGCACAATGTCCGTGACGGAGACGACCACCGACAATGGCAAGCCTGGCCAGAAGAAGCCCGGATTGAATCTATCGGCGGAAGATGTTGAGGAGCTGCGACAACTGGACGCCGCTGTGAACCGCATCCGCAAGCAGATCCCCGAAACACCCTACATCGTTACTGTCCCATGCGCCGAACCTCGATACCATCATCCATCTCGGGAGAGGGCGGAGAGTTGGTGCAAAGATACGCCGTTCACTCCGGACGAGGAGCGTCTACAATACATGAGCTTCATGTATCGTGAACCTGGAACAGACTGCTTCGTCTTGCGAACTGAAGTGGACGAAGAGAGAGACCGGAGACGATTTTTTGGTGCCAACAGCGGCACAAGCACACCAATGCAGAGCACAGGACCCAAGAAAAAGATAAGCTTTGGGGCATACAAGAACCGGAAAGCCAACGCAAGTCCCGCTAAGCTCGCTGGCAATGAAGACGGAATGGAGAACAAAGACCAGGCGCAGGTCAACGGCCACAAAGCGGAAACTCAGCTGCCTGCTCACGCCTCAAAGCTTGAAGTACTTCGTGGACAGAAGAGGTACACTCCACTCTCTAAAAGCACCAAATGGATGCGCTCGGATTGTGCTTAGCTGACACGTCACAGGCCCCTCGACGAAACAGCGGACAACAAGCCTTCTCACACAAAGTCTGATGAAGAGAGCCCGCCGCCAGCTAAGATACTGCGCCTCTCACCATCGCCTCCTACGCAAAACATCTCTGATCCCTCCGCGCCGTCGCACTCGACCCCTCACGGCCTTCCGCCCATGCTGTCTCCGACTGGCATTCCTAACACGCATGGCCTGCCACCACTACTGTCGCCCACCCTCCCTGCCAACATCGAAGCTGAGCTGGAAAGAATAGATCAGGCTAAGAAGGCCGGTCGCACTGTGACACCGGTATCGGACAAAAAGGTTCCTTCGTCCGCTCGTCCCGCATTGGCGTCGGCCCAAAATCTAAGTTCAGGCTCGAAGAGCAGCGGTACCGATGCGCCCCAAAAAGGCGTGGCGAGAGTTGTGAAGAAGGATGATCCGCTGTCACCGTCAATCAGGAAGAGCGAGGCTCAGAAGCAATTGTCAACTCCCAACGTCAAACCGCTATCACAACCAGCTGAAGCGAAACCTAAACGGCTCACAACCAATGGCGACGTGGCTCGACCCTTGAAGCTCTCCCCATCTCCGGCACCGCCATCGCAAAAGGAGACTGTCGCTGATAAGCTCATCGTGAAGCTCAAGTACGGAAGGAAGAACAGGATGTTGGTTAAGCAGATCCTCAAGCTACCGCAAGGGAAGATCAGGGCTCAGAACGCAAAAGAACATGCGGAAGGGGACAAGCGCGAAGCGAAACCCCGCACGAAAGAGGCGGCATCGGCGTCATCATCGCCAGCAGTATCGCCCAAAGCTGTCGTCAGACCAAAGAAGACCGACACCCCAGCCCAGAAGGAGGGAGCCAAATCTTCCAAAGACGCGCTGAAGAGAACCGCCGAGAAACCTGCAAGCGCGACTGCCCGCCTAGCAACAGGCGAGAAGCGACCACGACCGCACGACGAAGCTGCGACTGACGCGCCTGCTGCCAAGCGACACAAGCCGCCTTCCGCGCTTGATCTTGATAAGAAGACTTCTACTCCCGCCCAGCCCGCCATCCTTTCACCAGCACTTTCCAATCGGTCTAGCGCACAAAAGGCCCAGCACCTTGCATCGCTCCAACAGCATTCATCCTTACAGCATCTTACCCCCAAAAAAGACCACCGTATCTCCCTGATCCACTCCACCTCCAACGAATCGCTCGACGTGACTACCACACCCAAGCAAGCAGCCGGCAACACCCCATCCGCATCCCAGCCGACCAGCAGCAACCCCGGCCCAACCTCTGCACCCAACGGCAGAGCAGCCGAAATCCAGGCCCTCCTCTCCCGCTCCCGCAGCCTCAACGAGCTCGGCCGCCGCATCAAACACGCCACGACCGCCATCCTCTCCAAAACTTCACCCGCCTCCCCGCGCACCGCCGCCACCGCGACCATGGACGCCGAGCGCAAACTCGCCGCCGTCACTTCCATCGAGTGCATACTGACCTACATGCTTGCCTACCACTCCGCGGACCTGCAGATGCGCGCGCAGGGCAAGCAGGCGGATGTCGACGGGAACTGGGCGACGCTGATCCCGCTGTGGCGGTTTTTTCGGAGCGCGACGGGCGAGTGGCCGGAGCTGGATGCGCTGAGGCTGCGGCTGGGGGCTGTGATCTGCGCAAGAGTCGTTGAGGCACTGACGCGGCGCGCCGGGGAGGCGGCGCGGGGAGAGCGCGCGGAAAGCTCGGGTCTGGCGCTCGGGGAGAGGGACCAAGATGCGCTGATCAGGCATGCGGAGATTATGCTGGGAAGCCAGAGGGAGGCGGATGCGAAGCTGGGGTTTGAGGACTTGATGGCCGCGTTTCCGAAGGCGTGGGAGGGAAGAATGAGGAAGGGCGAGGAGGTCAAGAAGAACAGCGCAGTCACGGATTTCTCGGGCCCGTATGCGCTGCCGCTTGATGCTGTCACGCCGCCTGTCGTGGCTGTTCGCGCGGGGCTGGCGCTGCTGGAAGAGTGGTGCGAGAGGGAGAAGGTGGAGTGGGTGCGGCAGTTGAAGCTGGAGTGGGAGACTTGAGGATGGATGGGGGCTTTGGGGAACAAGCGACGGCGTTCTGTCTCGGTTGGTCGGTTTGCATGGGGTTTTCAGCGTGGGTGTTTTGCGGTTCATGCGGCTGCGGTGCGGAAATACCCCCTTTCTTCTTGTGCGATGATGGGAGCGCTGGTCTTGCGTCTGAGGAGCAGACACACATCGGGCGCTCTTAGCATGAGCTGACAGACGCCTTGACGGGCTGGTGGAAGAGCGTAGTTGATTCCTGGTATGGCTGGATGATTGCATGGAATGAATAAGCAAAGTGGTTTACATAGAGCAATGCCATACTTTCAGCAACGCCCGCTTTCATCTGAGACTTGCTTGGAGAGACGTACAGGCAACACGAGTGTATTGAATATTACTTTCCTATCTTGACCTCACGACTGAGCCTATTCGACTATTCTGCCTAGAACTGTCACGTGCAGGCAACCACATCTGCAACCTCACGTTTCCTCCGGCGCACACGGCGTCTTTCATGCGACTTCCACGACGCCCCGCACAACTCCTACGCCTTCTCGTCTGTGAGAACCCGAGACAAAAGCTAGCATACCGCCCTCATGTCGACCACGCAGGCTTCCACACGGTATAACTATACATCCTCACATCAGAAGTATTGGACTGACAGCTTGGAGATGGGAAAGAAAGCCAAGGCCCAGCGCAAATTCGAGCGCCAGCAGGCTCAACAGACCCAAGAGGCTCAGCAGCATAACCTGAAAGAGGAATCCAAAACGCAAGAACCACCTCCGTTCGTCGGTCAAGCCCTCCTCGATGCGTTAGAAAGAGAGCCAAGCCCACATGTTGGGCAAGCGCTTTCTAATGCTTTGGAGCACCAGTTGGCCATAAACCCCGTGCCGTCCAGCGGTTCTACCGACGCTACCTTCACAGCTACGAACTCAGCATCCGTCCAGAAGTCAGTGCCCCGGCGAGTTCCAGTTCAGCCACGCCCGCAACCACCGCTTCCATCACGGCCCGCCGCAGGGCCAGTTCGTGGACACGAGCATAATAACGGCTCTGCGGCTGCTCCCTCTCTTCCTCCGCAGCCTGCGTCATCTCGCTATGAGCTTCGTAGCAGGCATGCACACCCTGTTACTGGGCAGCACATTGTGGAGGGCACCAATGCACACAGTCATGGCTACTATCCACATTATCCACCGCTGCTTGGTCATGGTGGCGTGCACTATCCTCAGCCCTCGCAGCTTCCACCACAGGCGCAACCCGTCTGGAACCCGCAAGCGCCGCCCTTCCAGCCATTTTACGGCCAGGCCCCAGGGGGCGGTGTTTGGCTGAATCCGCAGGGTTATGCACCACTGCAGTCGCAGATGTTCCAGCACTTCGCCCAGTACACTCCGTTTGATCCCCTGCAGTCAGTACAGAGCCACAACAGCGGTCACGTCTGGCGCATTGACAAAAACCTTAGGTTCAGCAGAGCATATTCGACGTCATCCACTCCACTCACCTCATCACTGCCGGTTCAGCCTTCGACCGCGAAGCCAAAAGACAAATACGCAGTCGCCGCAGCCAAAAGAGCCGCCAAGAGGGCCATCGCGCAGGGCGTCCCAGCGCAAGCGGTTCCACAGGGGCTCGATTTCCGTCGCCCAACGCCAGAACGAAGCCCAACCCCCTTACCCGTACCAGCCCCCACCAAAAGCTACCTCGACCAAGCCTCCAGCGAGCCAACGACCCTCAGCACGCCACAGCCGATGCTCTTCATCCTCGACCTCAACGGCACGCTCCTACACCGCCCGAACCGCAAAAACCCCACCAAATTCGTCACCCGCCCATCCGTGACCCCCTTCCTCGACTACCTCTTCGCCCACTTCACCGTCATGGTGTGGTCGTCCGCGCGACCCGAGAACGTCTCTCTCATGTGCACCCAGCTCTTCACCCCCGCGCAGCGCGCCCTCCTCGTCGCGCAATGGGGCCGCGACCGCCTCGGCCTCTCCCCACAGCAATACAACAACAAGGTCCAAGTCTACAAGCGCCTGAGCCAGATCTGGGACGACGACGATATCGCACGCGCCCATCCGGGGTATCTGGATGGGGAGAGCTGGGACCAGTTTAATACGATTCTGTTGGATGATTCGCATGCGAAGGCGAGCTCTGAGCCGTGGAATCTGGTTAGAATTCCGGAGTTTGTCGGTGCGAAGGAACAGCAGGAGGGGGATGTGTTGAGGCAGGTTGTGGGCTATTTGGAGGTGCTGAGGGGGGTGGAGAATGTTAGTGCGTTTGTGCGCAGGACGCCGTTTGTGGTGGACGGGGGGTGGGATTGGGTGTGGCCGCAGTGAGGGGGCGAGTCTGGACAGTGTTGCAGTACACGTGCTCTATACCCTGTGGATCAGTGGCAAGTACTGGTTATGAAATGTTGTTTCAAAACCTGTACGTGGATGCATTTGGCTTGGAGCCTGAGATGCTTTGTAGATCTGATTTGCTTTAGACGGTAGATATTGTCTAGATATCCAATTCGATTCCGTGTCATATGTACTGAAACGATACCTCCGCCGTGTCCGGCGAGCTGTGCTTCCGCTCCGTCCTCCCTCCCTGCCCGAGACCACGGATTACAGGAGCCCGTCCATCCATTGATGGCGCGTATCTACGCAGGCTCTTGTGAGCCTCTCTCGTGCTGCGCGCAATGAGAAGTGCGTAACACTGCCTATCGGCTAGCCGGTCGAAGCAGCAGGAGTCTACTGCGTTCCCTGGCCCCACTTGCTTTGGTGTCACAGCTCCTTAAAGCGTGACTTAGAGGATCGCTCCGAATGCCGCCTAAGCCGGTCTTCATGACTCGACTTTGCGGAAGCCGATCGAGGAGCCTGGCGCCGCCTTTCGGAAAGGGCTACGGGGCAAACTCAATCGTCAGGCGTGTAGTCAATGTTCAACGGGGGCGCGTCTGTGTCGAATGGAAACAGTTTTAGCGAGAGCTCATGGTCTGGTTTCACCCAGCCGGTGGTCCCTTTTCTATTTCGCCCGTAAACTGTTTCCTTGACTAGGATTTCTTGTCGGCCGGTTGATGGCGTGATCAGCGCCATGTACTGCGGATCCTGCGGGTTGTCGACGAACTTCCGCACGCTTGGTGCTGGGCTCGCGATCTCGAATAGATGGCCCGGTGAAGCGAGGTCAAAGCCTTCGTGGTCGTCGTCATCCTCATCATCGTCGTCCTCGTCCTCGTCCTCTTCATCTTCATCTTCCTCGTCGTCTTCATCGTCCTCCTCACCCTCCTCCTCATCCTCGTCTTCGTCTTGGTCGTTCACCAGCCTCAGCCCATGCCTAGCCCTATCGACATCCCCTCTACCCGCTGCTTCCTCCCCCCGCCTCTTCCTCCCTGGAAGCCTACCGCCCCCCTCTTCCTCTCCCGTCATCGCCCCATGCTCCGCCGCCGCAATCACCCCTCCACCCAGTACCGCTCCCTCCACTTCCGCTCCCTCCACCTCCCTCCTCTCCTCCTCCAACTTACGATACTTCCTCCGTTTCTTCTTCCCCGCGGCCCTCTTCTTCCTCCCCGCCTCCCTCCTCTTAATTGCGCCCCTGCTCTCCTCCCCGAGCTCCAGCTCCTCGACCCGCTCCGCCAGCAGCCGCCGCGCCATCTTGCGGTTCTGGCTCCGGCTGCGCGTGTGCTGGCATTTCACGACGATGCCGGTGGGGAGGTGTTTCAGTTGGACGGCGGAGGCGGTTTTGTTGATCTTTTGCCCGCCTGGGCCGGAGCCTTTGAGGAAGGATTCGAGGATGTCGGACTCGAGGATTGTGAGGCGCGGGGGGAGGGGGCGCTGGCTGGGGTGGGGGGTGGTGTGGAGGGTGCGGTGGAGGAGGAGGCAGGTGGGGAGAACGGGGGTGTGGAGCGGGGGAGGGAGGTGAGAGATGCGGTGGAGAGCTCGCGAGAGCATTGTCGCTGCTTGACTGATCGAGAATCTTTGGGATGCGTGGTTGGCGTCCAGGGAAGTTGGAGCTTTTAGATAGAGCTTGAAGAGCTCCAGGGTCCACCGAACGATCTCCGAGACGGGACCGATCCAAATATTTTGTCCGCAGCTCAGCATCGTTCCCCGATAACCAGCTCCCACTCACGCGCCATCGAACCGCCTTACCGTCGCGCAGAAAGACCAGAGCCTCGCAGCTACAATCGCATACTCAACCCGGATGCTCGACGCCTCCTCGCCGATCCTCCTCTCCCTGGCCGCAGCCCTCATCCTCACCACCCTCACGCTCACAATGCTCTACCCGACCACCCTCCTCCGCTGGCTGCAGCGCAAGCGCTACCAGTACGAGGTGACATTCTCGCTGTACATGCTTACGCCGACGGAGAAGTTCATCTTCAGTACGTCGCAAGCTCCCCGCAGTTCTCCATGCCCCATGCCCCCTGCCCCCATCCCCGTCCACCTCCGCAATCGCACCCGCGCCCCAAGCTCGCTCGTTCCGCGCACGCTGGTCTGCTTGGCTTTATGGCTGACTGAGAACCACTAGACTCCTTCCTCTTCCTGATCCTCTCCATGATCCTCATCGCCGCGTCGCTCTACCTCCCCGAGCACATCGCCCAGCTCGCCAATCGCGCCTTCTACTACTACGCCGGCGACGAGAGCGGCCAGCAGCAGTCGGTTCTGTCGCCGGATACACAGCAAGCTCTGCGAGGTGCGGGGATAGGCGGTGGGGCTGGTCCTGGACATGCGCTCGGGGGACAGGGCAGGGGTATTGCTCTGAATTGAGCGGGGAATGACGATGTAGCGACTGGGGGCTTGATTTGGTGTCTGGACGTTTTTAAAGGGGCGTTTTGAGGGGTTCGGACTGGAAAGGAGCTGCTACTTTGGGGCCGTTGAAGTTTACTGCGCCGGCATTCTCTTGGGCGGGCTCAGGCGGCGCTGCAATGGAAGTTTAGGTGTGCGAGCCTACGGGCTGTAGCGTGATGTGCGCGCTGTAAGGACTATGGACCGATCCACTGGCTAAGCTGGAGGTGGCTTTTAGGGGCAATTGAATATCAGCCTCGGTAAGTAATAATGGAAGACGCTAATGGATGCATAAAAGTAGTAATCAGCCCTCGAAACAACATCGTGTATGAGGTACCCTTCAGGAGATGCGTGCCAGTCATCTTATGTCTCTGAGGCTGTATTGGTCTAAGCGTGGATTGCGGGTTGGCTGGAGCTCGCGTTGTGGACCATTGAGTATGGAATCTATCAGTGTCGTGATCTGGAGTCACTTGGTGAAAATCCCTACTTAGATGTTAAGGGATCATGTAGAGCCTGGCCAGGGGCCCTGCGTCACAAGCACAGCAGAAACAGCGTCCGCGGTTGAGAGTAAGGGAACAAAACGTTGCATATATCCTAGTAGCCTATACATGTACGTGCGAAGTATTTAGAGATTCGGTGACATATACGTAAAACACAAGGGTAAGAGGTGAGAGAAATAAGAACGATCATTCTGAAGTCGTATAGCAAGGCGCGCGGAAAGGTCGTAAGATGCATGCCACATCCAAGAGCCTGCCGAACAGCTTGCGGTTACAGAAGCGAAAGTGTGGAAATGCATGCGGTAAATCAAAAGCCCCCAGGCAGAGTGTATAGACAAGCGAATCGACCAAACAGGATGCCGCCGAACTGGGTCTCCGGTCCGAACTCCGTTACCAGAGGAAATATTGTGTCTCGTCTTAAAAGCCCTGATGCACGCATCCGGTCAGAAAGCCCCCGTATGGCTTCAGGCTAGTCCATCAACTTCCCGAAGATGTAGTCAGCCACCCCACACAACGCATCAGGAGTGTACCCGAAGCTGCAAAGCACCGTCTCGCAAAAATCCACACATTCAGTGTCAGCCTCGTCACCGGCTACCATAACCACAAGCGCGGGAACGCCACCGCCGGATGCTTCATCACAAGCGGTTTGCGCGAAGTCCAGCTGTCCCTCTTCGCTAACGGAGTCCTCTGCTTGCATGGCGCCGCGGCAGAAAACGACCACCACAGCTTTGGCGTGTTGCAAGAAAGCCATATGCGTTTGGGTCATGCCGACAGCGGGCACGTATGGGACGTGCCGGATGCGCCTATGGTACTTGCTGAGCGCACGCCCTAGAGGTTCGAATGGATCCATCGCTTGATCTTGGCCGGAATCCCGAGCGCTAGACTGAGAACTCCCCCCAGGCGGGGGAGGGATGACCGGCGTGAAGAGAACGAGGACATCGGTGACAGAGAGAGTCCTCAGAGCCTCAAGTGTAGCGTCCTTGGACCATAAAAAATATGCACTGGAGCTAAGCTGGGTGTCGTTGAGAGTTGCCTTTTGGAGTAGTGACGATACAGTGGGCCCGGAATCTGCCACCTCTTTCTCCTCAACTTTGACACTCCGATACTTCAGCTCACCCATGCTGGTGTCGCAACTTCTTCAGCTCCTCGGATTGAGTGGAGGCGTACAGCCGCAAGATCCGTATACCTGATTGGAAGCTTGGATGTGTTACAAAGCCAGACGTCGTTGAAACGCAGATTATCTCGACAAAAGTGCAGTGCTGTAGGGCACAGCTCGTTTCGACACCCTCGCTGAACCAGTTCCGACAGCTAGCGGTGGCGGCGCGGAGGCTCTTTAACGTCTTTAGGAAAACGTTCAGCAGTCGTCCAGGAAGCCTCGTTGTGCTTGTAGAGTGAGGACTACACTATTGCGGGAACGGCTTTCCGTTTTCAAAGACTTGTCTTGTGGGTCTGCTTTAGCCTCGAAGGTGGAAGAATCCTTCTAGGGCAGTTGCACGATTGCGAGTTTTGGCAAGCGCAGTGAAAATTTGGCACTCTGGAATGCCCGTGGTTCTCGAGATTTGGGTTGGCTTAAACTTTCAGAGGTAGGACGATGAGTTGGTATGATGCTGTAGGTGTTTGCGTCGTAGTAGCTGAAAATCGATATCTTGAAAACAAAAACGAAGAAGCCTAACCCAGCTATGTAAAAGGACGAATGCCACCCATGTAAGAGATCACGAGTGCTTGAAGCTATGCCAAGCGGTGAGTTGTAACTCTCTCAAGCAAGAGCTGTGATGCTGAGTTCTCAAAAGAAACGCAAAAGCAGAGGCCGTGTCGATCAAATACCAGAGCCCAATGAGAGGGGACAGCAAGCACGATATGTCCTCTCTTTGGTGAATGGACTTGAAATGTGGCACACGTCGAGAAACGGTCGTACACTATGTAGGTAAAGACACGGTATCTCACAGCTGGATAAGCATGAGTTTGATGCCAGCAGCCAGTAGAGAGACAGGTATTGATCGAGGCATATACTTATGCTGGGCGACGGTCCACGAGCACGGCATGCACCTCCAATAGCCGTTGTGGGTTACACGGATAACAACGAAGTGGGAAGTCCGTGCAGTTGACGGACTGCCTAGCGGTAGTAGCGAGAATGAAGCCTATCCGGGAGTCTACGTAGCCTTCGATAATTTCGTAACCGCACTTGGCCAACAGTGACTGGCGAGTCAAGAACACGGTTTGCCTTACCTAGATAGTACAGCACTTCGACCCGAACCGCTGTGGTTTGATGTTAGGCTCGTTGATCACCAGTACGATCTTGCGGAGATGTGCGGTAGCATGCTAATGGACGAAATGTCAACCAAGATTCAATGGGCTCGTCTCCGTACATATCGTGCATGTTTAGCGGTTGTCTGCAGCCTTCCAGCTTTTTACAAGCGTGTAGCCCTCGCGGTATTGGACAAAGTTTGCATTGATCTATCGACGGCACTTCTGTGGGGATGATCCGTTTCGAGGACGTCCATGGGCCAAGCGGCCAACGCTGGTGGACGGTGCTGACGACCAATCTGCTCGAGGAGCAAAGATGCACCAACAGGCGAAACCACAGCACTTACATATACGGTTGTGCAACGTCGGATGGTGACTGAGCCGCGTTCGAGGTGCGAATACCCGCTGACCGAGGCGCTCATGCAAGTGACTATGCACGAATTGAGCCTCGTCATTGGGCATTGACAGCTCAATGTGGGCGGATGCCGCACTTAACCAGTTGAAGCGAGCCAGGCTGACCGTACGGCCGGTCTGGATGCGAATGCAGCTCGAGTGGGAAGGTGGAGGTGGGAGTTGAAGCTGGCGGAGGATTTCACGATGGCTCGCCTTACGCGTCAACCATCACACGACCCAAACCGGTCTAGCGTAGAAGTCAAACAAATAAGGCCATGGAACGCGGTCTTGTCAAGGCCACGACTTTGTGATATGCCGCTAGCAATCAGTGAGCGTCGGTGATGGTGCTCGAGCAATCACGGGATCAAGTCTTCATGCAGGATCGAAGCGAACGATCCAAGAGCATGGACGACGCCGTAGCAGCTCTGCTGACTGGCAAGTGTTTATGCTGTGTGCGAAAACATCCATCTGGGGCTAACCGGGAGATGCAGCCTCCAAGACTCCGGCGAAACAAAGAAAGGACAAAACTCCAGCCATCGTCGAAGACCTCTGCAGTCGAGCTTTTCAGAACGGTCTGAGTCGAAGTCAACTCGACACCGTCGTGGATATAGTCACGCGGAGAACCGAACTGGACCAGGCCAGCACCAACGCTGTAGTCAAAAATCTGTTTCCGGCAGACAAGATCTCATCTGCTACAGTGACCATCGTCGTCGGCGCGCTCGGTCCCGGAAAGAGCAAACCTTCTACCTCTACGCAAGTTGCCTTGGCCAGATGGCTTATCTCTGTCTTCGAGGTGCTCGAGGACGAAACTATCCTCTCGCGCCTCTACGGCGTGCTGTTCAACTTGCTTGACACTCTCGCCCTGCGGTAGGACCTCAATTGGGAGCATCTTTCAATGCGCTAACGACTACAGTGTGCCGCTATGCTACCTTCTGTCTCTTGTGACCCGTCGAAAGCATGTGCGGCTCTTCAGAGTCCACCAGCTGTAAGTCAACGACTTCAGACGTGAGATACTCACTGACCAGCATCCCAGTCTCGAGTTGTCACGAGTGGCTGGCAATGAGCCAGCTTTGACAAGCCTCCTTAGGGTTTACAAAGATCATTGTCCAGATATCATTATTGGAAGTTGGAGCACTACCTCTGCGCGAACATCTTTACTACCAGTAAGTGATCTTCAATATAGGAGTGGTCAGTACGCTAAGCTCTTCAGCTTCCAAATCCGGAGTGGCGAGCTAGACTGCTCACCATTCAAAACAAGAACTCGAGAAGTTCGAATGATTCGGCGCTGCAGCAACATGGGTTTCGTGTGATGAGACACGGAGTCAAGCGCAGTAAGATCACGGCTTTACCAGAAATACACACCCATCGGGTCGACGAAGTAAGCAGCAGCAAGACGTTATGCTAAACCTCGCTGACGAGCTATTTGCAGTCCACCGCAACGCTCGAAGAAATCAATAGTGTTGACAGCTTCGTGGATAACCTCGATAAGATCGAATTGCCCACTCAAATGATGTCCTCACTGAGGGATCCACTGCTGCAGAAATACTTGACTTTGAATCCTTTAGAGACCGCTTCTAGAAGGGCCGAGCTCTGGCTACTCGCGTACCTCGAAGAGGAGCTTGAGGCGGTGTCAAACGACATTGGCCAACCTACGCACCTCACGGATATCCTCAACGGAGCCCTCGATTATGCAAGGGCCACCAAGGTACTTCTCCACGCTCCTGAAGATTCTGAGTGATCGCTGACAAATCTAGACGCTCCCTCCAGCTATTGAGGTTTTCTTGGCTCGTTACCTTCCCTACTGGGATGGCCGATCAGACGTCGAGACCATACTCGAACTTCTCTCCTATGTGCCTGACGGAGCATTCGGAGGTAAGAAGTATTAGCCTCAAAAACCTGCAAAAATCAGCTTAACGTTTAAGCAGACTTCAAAGATACATATCTCAATGCAGTAGAGACTGCAGTGGTCAAGAACAATTTTGATGCTCATCCTAGATTGCTTGACTTCTACACGCAGCTTGCCCGCCGCCGTTCAACGCTGGCATTGCCCTCCCCACGCGCTGCTGCACCCTCCAAACAATTCATCCTAGAGCTTGCGGAACATGTATCAAGAGTCATACTAGCCGTTCTATCAAGCGACGAGATCCATCCCGCCACAGTGTCGGCAAGTCTCTCATTTTATGAGAGCCTCTCATCTCCCGCTTACTCAGCGGACCCGGAAGGCGGAAGCGATGCTCAGATCATCCTTCCACCCCCTCACGTAGTCTATCTTTGTCTCTCCAGCTCCTCGCTGACCGACGTCTCACGACTCTGTTCGATCCTCGCGACGCTGAAGGCAACCTTTGAAGCCAATATGGACTCGGCTCGCTTCTCTCGTGAGTTTACAAACCAATTCAATGGCTACCTGATGGACGTGTGCAATCTTCTGTGGCGCTCTCGAGCATTGCTCACCTCGGATGCAAACGCCATGGGTTGTCTCTTTCCCAAGAACGCTAAACCAGCGCTGCAATCGCACCTCCAAGATATTGACCACGAGTACGCGTTAGCCTCTATCTTCGGCCTGTCCCATAATCACGTGTTGGCGGCTCTGTCCATCTCAGCGTTACGGGGGCTCGAGGACCGAGCTGAGGCACTGGGCGAGGAGCTTCACGTCCGGCATGCAGGCCCGGCGACGCAGAGATCATTGGTGGTTTTGGGTAACGAAGGCGGTTTGGACGTCTCATGGAAGCAATATCGAGTGGAGGTTCTGGATTGGCTTGATGCCAGGGGCATAAGTGGGATCAAGAAGCTGATGTACGCCACTATGAAGAATCTTGCAGGAAACAGCGGGTAGACGGAGCCGGCTGGACTTTAAAGGGTGGCCATTATGCTTTGTTTTGGTACATCGACCGGTGATACCCAGCGACGTTTGGTAATGCACTACTGTGCTCGAATACAGAAAATCTTACGTAGTTTGCAGCCTGGCGGTAATGTTGTTGCATCTACAAGTATCTAATCAGATCCTGCCTTTCCACGTCACGTGGCTCCTTGCTGACAGTGACCTCTACCTTCACACAGCTGCAGGTCGCTATCATGTCTTGAATATCATCAATATGTCTGCAATAACCTTGGATCGACATACATCAGGCCATGCACTTCACTCGAGTTTCCGTCGTCTTTCTGACACATCGAATTACAATCATCGGCGGAGTGCCTTAGGTGAACTACCAACCTTCCAAGATACTCCTCATACTATTTGGTCGAGATGAGTTCAAATGTGGAAGAAAAGCCCAGGCAGTTCAAGGAGGTCTCTCTTGTCGTAACACAGTCTCAGCCTGGCTCAAGCCGCTTTCCAATCTCACAGCAAAATGCAACCTTTAAACCTCCAAGCTTGTCTCGATGGCGTAACAACCTCACTGGCCTGTCAAAAGTCTACAATTTCTACTTCGTTGCGTATATGGACGCCATCCACGTCTATCAGCCTGGCTTTCCCACCCAGAGCGTCTCAAACAAGCCGGATTTCATTCTGAATCCACCAATCTCAAGTCCTGGTCTACAAGGTCACATTGATGGATTGTGCCCGCACTCGATCAACCACTTGCTAGTAGACTTTCTAGGCAACGAGGAGATAGTCGTGGTGTGCTGTGATGATGGCGATGTTATTGCATACCATACAAGCGCCGTTCGCACAGCCATTGAAAGGCGGCAGGATCCGGAACAAGAGTTTGTGGACAACGATCCCCGTCCCTTCTTCCATGAGAACGTGCGCGATAGCGCATGGGGCCTGTCAGTGCACAAGGAAGCGCGAATGATAGCAGTCAGCGCGAATACCTGCAAGGTCACGGTTTTTGCTCTTGCCCTCGCTAGCAATGAGTCTCCCTCAGACAGTTCCTCAGACGAGCCTGAATATCCCGTAGAGTTGGAGAGCCTTCCCCTGGATGCCGTCGAGGATGATCCGCAGGACTTTCCCACACCAAGATCGAAGAGCAATCGGATAACTCTCGATGGACTATCTGAGAACATACCAAGCGTTGCATTTTGCAACACTGGGGATGATCCAATCGGCCGTTGGGTCCTGGCCACAGATATAGGGGGTACCAGTTGCTTATTGGACATTCACCAAAGACGCGCTGTAAGGCACTTCCGTACGGGCTTCTGCTGCGACCGTGTTTCAGCCGATGTTTCAAGCTGCTCGTGCGAAGGCGGCCCGTATGCCCACTCAGGCTGGGGCGTAATGTGGCTCGATAGACGGTCGTTTCGTAGGACTAAGACATGGTCAGAGACTGGAGGCTTGTCCAGTAACTTTGCTCTTGCCGACCAAGCGGGTTTGCCACTGCGCGCCATACGTAAGTCACAATCTCCTTATCAAATCAGAATCGAGTTGTTGTATTATGTTGGCGGCTACAAGGTCCGATGCTCGCAAAATTCAGCAGGCGGTAAAGCGGAGAGTGGCGCTCCTAACCCTTGTCAGGGATTAGATACATTATTCCCCTGAATCCTTGACGGCTCTCTGACGTTATACTTCTCAAATTCGAAAAAACAGTCGAAGAACATCACGCCAATGGCTCTTGCTACTGGGCCTTGACGGGGACATTCTTCTCGCTAAGAAACTGACGACGGCCTTTCACAGATCATTACAAACACGGTATCTGGGATATCAGCGACAGCAGGCTGGAGGTCCGCAAGTCATCTGCGTGGTACGGAATGACAAGTGATGAGGGCATTGGTCGATATGGACAGCTGCCCTTACCCGGAGCGAAGCGACCATTCCATGGCATTGCGGACAACGACACTTCCAGCGAGACACGGGCTGCGCTTCCCGCAAGCCCATTCCTGCTCGTCTCGAAAGAGGATGTCATGCTCCTGCAACCGCAGCGCAGCGCAGTTCCCGAGCTACAAGAGTCCCACACACCCGTTGTCGGCTTCCAAAACCCGCTATATCAACACCTCCCACATGGACTCTACCTCTTGGAAAAGTACGACAGAATGAACATGTGTGTGCAGGTACCTGAGCTGGGTGTTGTGATAACTGCTTCGGGCAAGGGACGGGCGGCCGTGTTTTCCTTGACGCAGAAGGGCGTGGCGGCTGACATCACCTATGCCTTTCGACTCGATTACATAGTTCCGTTCACTGAGCAAGAGACTGCCAGAAAGCGACCATGGACTGCACTGGTTGGAGTTGCTGTGGGACCGGTGCAAGGCACGCTGGGTCAGCAGGGAAGAGCTAGGAAATGGAGGTTATTGCTTATGTATGTGGACCACTCTGTGTTGAGCTATGAGCTGGGTAGGCCTGCGGACAGTACGGTAGGAGCCCAGGCGTTGATCGTTTGAAGTTCATCCCTCTGTATCTGGTGCAAAACTAGCGGCTTGGATTGTAATGCAGCTTGTACAACAGGCGTTGCAGATAGCGGATGGCTCAGATATAGGCTCAATCTAATACTTCATCACTTGTTCGTTACCTTCTCATGTAACAACTGAAGTAAGGGCTGCTAAAACCGCGCCTAAAAGTATCTCAGCAAGACCCAAACCCCCACATCTAGCCTGGGTGCCGGATACTCCTAAAGATGCAATCAATGCCCGCGTCTAATACGCCACCATGACATGCTCGACATTCTAACGAAATCCCAGCACAAACGTACACTTCCCCCAGCTCCTCCCAGTTTGTAGGTCACTGCTCGCCCCAATCCAAATTAAACCTCCCCTCCGCACACCTATACTCCCTCAAACAAACCAACGCCTCCTCCGCGCTGAGCGCCTCGACCAAAATCCCCGCATTCGTCGGCGCAATAAACCCGCTACTCACCGCGGTCCTAACCCACTGGATCAACCCATCCCAGTACCCATCCACATTAAACACGACAACGCCCCGCCCATGGATCCCCAGCTGGTTCCACGTCACGACCTCCATCAGCTCCTCCAGCGTGCCGTACCCGCCGCTGAGCGCGACGAACCCGCCCCCCGGGCCGCCCTCGATCACCTCGGTCGCCATCATCGCTTTGCGCGTGTGCATGTCCTTCACCACGGTCGTGCGGCCGTAGATCTGTTCGTCGATGTTGTGTTTGGTCGGGTCGGAGGTGTCGGCGTTTTGCTCGTATTTCACGAGCGCGGTGGGGATGATGCCGTGGACGGAGGTGGGCCCGCTCAGGGAGACGAGCGTGCGTGCTACTTCGCCCATGAGCCCGACGGTCCCGCCGCCGTAGACGAGCCGCATGTTGTTGGCGTGCAGGGCTTGGGCGAGGGAGCGGGCGGCGGCGAGGTGGGAGGGGGAGGTGCCGGAGTTGGCGCCGCAGAAGACGCAGATGACGGGCTGGGGGGTGGTTGATGTGGTGGAGGAGGCTGAGGTGGAGGGGTTTGACGTAGGGGTGAGGGAGGAGGCCGTTGCTGAGGACGATGCTGGGGTTGCGGCGGCCATGGTGGGCGTGTTGCTGGAGGCTGAGTGGTTGTAGCGGGAGCGGTGGGAGCGAAAAGGGACAGTGGAGAGCTTGGTTACAGAAGGAGCGGCTGAGGAGCTTCCTGGTAATCGGAGTTAGAACGTGATTGACTGTAGGTAGGACTGCAATCAGTCCGGGTTTTATAGGAAATGTCTGCCAGCGGAATGCACTGCTCACCTCGTACAAGTGCGTTATGTAGTCCGAATTGAAGAACAGCGTGTAAGGCGGACGTTCCCGTAAGCATGAAGCTCTGTCTACGTACCTAGGGCCGGCGTCATCGCGCCTTGCACGGCTCTTTCGGGGACGCCAAACGCGGAAGTGCCGAGAGTTCAATCCCCTACGGGAACACCTCCGACGCGGTGCACTCCACCATATCTCCACTACACCAGGACATCGAAGCCAAACCATCAAGATGCCTGAGGAAAGGAGAGAAGAGCAGCAAGGCTCCAACGTGAGCTCTCTCCACGCCCGCGCACACTGATCTCCTGCTGATCGTTTATAACCAGTTCCTCAAAACCGCCGTCCAGTCTATAGGCATATTCATATTCGTCCAGTTCGCCTCCAAACAGCTTTTCGGCACCGGCAACAATGCTGTATCCAAAGCAACTGTGCCAGGTGCAAACGCGCCTGTGCCAGACTTCTCAACACGACCAAGCCAAATGAGCGCCGATGGTTCGTACAACCCGATACCGCAAACGATCTCGCCAATGTGGCAGACGGGCACACCGTTGGACATCAGCATGTACATCTCGCCCTCGCTGATCATGCCGTCGCTCAAGTCTATGCCCAAAGAGTCGTTGGTTATGGAAGAGAAGGAGTTCATGTACGGAGACTGGAAGGAAAGCCGGGAGATTGACACCACCTTCGCCGTGCCTCGAGAAGTTCAAAACAATGGGACGCTGTTCGCGCACTTTTACGTCGCCCAGTCTGGAAACGTTATGGATCCTACCGCATCGAACTACGATCCGGCGAAGGCGTATCACTTCTTTCGACCGTTAACTCAGTACCTGCCGAAGAAGAAGGTTAAGAAGACCAAAAATCTACTCTCCGCCAAAAACGCTACGGAAGATGTCGAGGAAGAGCCTGCGCCGAAGGAGCGAATCATCGCTTCCTACTATCATCCAAACTTCACGGTTTCTCTCGTGCCTGACTCTGGTGTTCAGAAGTACCCTCAGATGGCACCAGCCGTACGCTCCTTCGTACACCTTGATAGGACAGGTTCAAGAGATGCGTCCGGACAGAACGGCTGGTACTATCCAATACTCTATGTCAACACATTCTGGCAGCTCCGCGACCACATGACGGAGCTCAACTCCACCGTCAAGCGACTCCCGCTGCGCATAACGCTCAACAACCTCAACAGCTGGAAGTTCAGCCTCTATGCCACCATGGACGAAGGCATGAAGCAGAACGCCCAGAAGGCCGCCCAAGGCCAGTCCATAAGTGGCGATGGATCGGAGTTCGAGCAATTCAAGAGCATCCTCATGGACACCAATATATATCTCCTCGCAACTACCGGCGTGGTTACCATCTTGCACATGATCTTCGAGATGCTCGCCTTCAAGAGCGACGTCAGCCACTGGCGTAACAAGAAGGATAACGTCGGCACCTCCGTCCGCACCATCCTCGCCAATGTATTCATGCAGAGCATCATCTTCCTCTACCTCTTGGACAACAACGACAACACATCCTGGATGATTCTCTTCGGACAAGGCATGGGCATTGCAATTGAAGCGTGGAAAGTCACCAAGACCGTGAACGTGCGCCTGAGGGAGACCCCCCCTGGCTCCTTCCTGCCGTACACGGTCGTATTCGAGGACAAGCACAAGCTGTCCGAGACAGAGCAGAAGACCAAAGAGTACGATGAGATCGCCTTCAAGTATCTCTACATCATCGCCGTCCCGCTTCTCCTGGCCTACGCCGGCTACTCCCTCATGTACGAAACGCACAAGTCGTGGTACTCGTTCATCATCACGACGCTCGTGGGCTCTGTCTACGCGTACGGCTTCCTCATGATGGTGCCGAGTCTGTACATCAACTACCGGCTCAAGTCTGTCGCGCACATGCCTGCGAAGGCCATGACGTATAAGTTTTTGAACACGTTTATTGATGACTTGTTCGCGTTCACGATCAAGATGCCTACGCTGCATAGATTGGCAACTCTTAGAGATGATGTCATATTCTTTGTGTATCTTTACCAGAGCTATAAGTATAAGGTTGACTATACGAGAGTCAATGAATTTGGGCAGGGCGGCGATGATGAGGAGGTGGAGGAGAAGATTGCGAATGAGCCGTTGGCGGCGCCTGCGGATGGTGATGGTAAAGTCATGGAGGCTGTGGAAGGGCTGAAAGAGGCGGATGCGGAGGCTACTGGGAAGGCAAAGGGGAAGGCTAGGAAGAGGAAGTGAATAGGTTGGGTGATCTGGCAACACTCTGGGACGAGCATTGTCTGAACAGATAGCACCTTTTGTCAGGTCGCAACTTTACATATAGGCCAACAAAAGCAATCTTATATGGCCAACAGTTTTTGCCTGACTCATACTGAAGCAGCTACTGCGAAACAACTTCCTACACCAAGCTCACTATACAGTGCAGCCTCTCCAAGTGACAGAACGGAATCCACGGTCCCCGCGTTCTACGCGCTATCTCCCAGGGGTCTGAGGGACCAAGGCTCAGACCAAGTACCCAGGTAGTCGTTGCCGCATCCTTTCATGCAATTGCGGTAGGCTTCCGGCAGGGACTACTTCGTCCAAGCCTTGTCACTTCTGTACTGTGGCTATACAAGCTCGGTATGCAAATGTAGCGGCCGTCGGTAAGGAACAAGACTTCATCGGAGGTCCTCGTTTGCTCCAGCTACGGCGCCCAGTAAAGACGTGCTCTCGGACACGTAGCAGAGGAAGACGAGGTGGGTTGCCAAACCTTCCTACAATAAAGTGTGTCCGTAAAATGAGTTGAAGAAAGAAAGAAGGAAAGGGACCCGCAAGCCAACGAAGTTCGCTTTTACTTTTCGCAGTCCCTGCAAGCAAGTCTTGGCCGGCTACAGCCAATGACCGAATGGTTATTCCGCCGCGCTAATCCGTTTGGACCTGAACCGCAGAACGTCAATATCATCAACGCCGCCCGCGCCCTCTATACTCGCCCTTGTAAGAGCACGCCCCGTCGACCGAGATGTTGCGGCAACAGCTACTCCGGTCGTTCAGAAAGCCCCAGCGGCTGTCGAGCCTCAATGTCGCCCGGACCTTTGTAGCGACGCCCCCGAGGCAGGCCGAGGTGGAGCTCACAGTAGGTCAGTAGCAGCTGCGGCAAATGTGTAAAGGACCTCTCTAACAGCTTCCAGATGGCAAGAAAGTCTCAGTACAAGGTACTACCGCCCGTCGACACCCCATGTACCTACGTAGCAACCTCTGACACCTAGACTAGCCGGTTCGGCGCTCATTCAAGCGTGCGAAAAGGCGGGGGTGACGGTCCCGCGATACTGCTACCATGAGAAGCTCATGATAGCTGGCAACTGCCGCATGTGCCTGGTGGAAGTGGAGCGCGCACCAAAGCCCGTGGCGTCGTGCGCATGGCCCGTACAACCTGGAATGGTCGTGAAGACCGACTCGCCGCTCGTCCACAAGGCCCGCGAGGGCGTCATGGAGTTCCTCCTCGCCAACCACCCGCTCGACTGCCCTATCTGCGACCAAGGTGGCGAGTGCGACTTGCAGGATCAGTCGATGCGGTATGGCGCGGACAGAGGCAGGTTTCATGAAATGGGTGGCAAGCGTGCTGTCGAGGACAAGAACTTGGGACCGCTTGTCAAGGTAGGGGGACAGCGCTCGCTGTGCAGGATCATGCTGACAGCCTTTAGACTTCTATGAACAGATGCATTCACTGCACCCGATGCATCCGGTTCGCAAACGATATCGCCGGTGCTCCTGAACTTGGATCGACTGGACGCGGCAATGACATGCAGATTGGTACCTACCTCGAAACAGCTCTCGATACCGAACTATCTGGAAACGTCATCGACCTTTGCCCTGTCGGTGCTCTGCTCTCGAAGCCGTACGCTTTCAAAGCCCGGCCCTGGGAGCTCGGACACTTTGAATCCATCGATGTCCTCAACGGACTGGGGTCGAACATCCGGGTGGACACTAGAGGCATGGTAGTCATGAGGGTGTTGCCGCGGCTGAACGATGATGTCAACGAAGAATGGATCGATGACAAGACACGTTTCGCAATCGACGGTCTCACCACCCAGCGTCTCACCATCCCGCTTATCCGCAAGGACGACCAGTTCCAGCCAGCTACTTGGGAACAGGCACTCGTCGAGATCGGCGAAGCCTACAAGAAACTCAACGTCAAGGCCAACGAGTTCAAAGCCGTTGCCGGACATCTAGTGGAAACCGAGTCTATGGTTGCCATGAAGGATCTCGCCAACAGGCTCGGCTCAGACAACCTGGCCCTAGACCAGCCTGGAGGCAGCCAACCCGTGGCGCACGGCATCGACGTTCGGTCAAACTACACTTTCAACAGCAAGATCTACGGTGTCGAAGAGGCGGACTGCATACTCCTGGTAGGCACCAACCCTCGCCACGAAGCCGCCGTCCTCAACGCTCGCATCCGAAAGCAATGGCTCCGATCCGATCTCGAGGTCGGCCTCGTCGGCGAGGACTTCGACAGCACCTTCGACTACGAGAAGCTCGGCGACACAGCCTCCAGCTTGAAAGAAGCCCTCGCGGGCCCCTTCGGCAAGAAGCTGCAGTCCGCCAAGAAGCCCATGATCATCGTCGGCAGCGGCGTGACCGAGCACCCTGACGCGAAGTCTTTCTTCGAGACGGTCGGCACCTTCGTCGATAAGAACAAGGCCAACTTCCTCGCCGGCGACTGGAACGGCTACAACGTCCTCCAGCGCGCGGCTTCCCGCGCCGGCGCCTACGAAGTCGGCTTCACGGTCCCATCCCCCGAGGTCGCAAATACGGAAGCGAAGATGATCTGGCTGCTGGGCGCGGACGAGATCAGCGAGGCCGACATCCCCAAGGGCGCCTTCGTCATCTACCAGGGCCACCACGGCGACCGCGGCGCACAGCTCGCGGACGTCATCCTCCCCGGCGCTGCATATACCGAGAAGCACGGCACGTACATGAACACGGAGGGCAGGTGTCAGGTCACGAGGGCCGCTACAACGCTGTATGGCGCCTCGAGGGACGACTGGAAGATTATCCGCGCCGCGAGCGAGTATCTGGGCCAGCCGCTGCCGTATGATGATATCGAGGCGCTGCGCGACCGCATGGAGGACATCTCGCCCGCGCTGCGGCGATATGATGTCGTGGAGCCGACGGCGCTGGGCGCGCTGAGCAAGGTCCAGCTCGTCGATCAGAACAGGGGCGCCAAGCCGACGAATGAACCGCTCAAGAAGGTCATTGAGAACTTCTTCTTCACGGACGCGATAAGTAGATGGTGAGTTACAACAATGTTTGGTATGAGAGTAGTGGGAATGCGAGGCTAATGACGAGTGTAGTTCTCCGACCATGGCGAGATGCTCGGCTGCCAAGGCGGCGAAGAACCCGAATAACAACTTCATGGCGCCGGGGTATCCGGATCCGCAGGTGCATTATGGGCCTGAGGGAGCGCTTGGGGCGGGTTCGGGGTAGAGGATTAGCGGAAGAAAGATGGGGTGGCAGTGTATAAGTTTTTCCCCTTCAACTTAGGGAGGCGGCGTTCAATTGTATATAGGCGCGCTTGTTTTAGTGAGGCATGAGTGTGTAGTGTGAAAGCGGATACCTGTTCATCTGGTCGCGTTAAGCTGTTCCTGCTGAGTGCTATGTTCGTGCCTACGGTCACTCAATGGTCTTCCGTAAGCAAGGCCGAATGTGACTACTCATTGAGCATGCACCCTTCGTTTATAGCGCTCGATGGTACTCGGCATAATTGGCGTGCAGTGTAATTGTAGTGCTATAAGGACTCGGCTGAAGTCCGTGTTCACAACCCGAATAGAACATGATCATTTCACGTAGCGGTTAGGTGTGGACCCAGAGGCGAGTCATTGAAGAAAGTGGTTTGACTCAGGTACCCACCTATGCCGTAACATGACCTGCGGTATGATCTCGATAACACGTTGCAGTATATATAATGCGGCGATCGGGCAGCTCTCCCAGCCCGTGATATACCGTCTCGGACCGTCCGACGCATCTGATTTTCTGTGGGAGTGGAACGAGGAATTTTTCGTGATGCTTGCACAAGACACGCTACATCGCCGCAGCCGCTTTCTTAAACCAGAGCCGTGTGATAGGGCCTTGGAGCAGGCCACTAGGCGTGTTGGGGCGAAATAGGTGTTGAAGCAATCGCATCACGTGGATGTATGTGAAAGAAACGGTGGCCAGGTGCAAGGCTATATAGCTGTATTCTCGCTGAGAGCTCATTCAACCACTCGAGTAGTCGGAGCAGCATGCACTCGCTTATGTGCTCTTGCGGTGACAGACCCAGGCGAGAGACACGTCGAGATGGCCGGATGCCGACCTCAGAAAGAGTGATACATCTCAGAAGCGATAAGTAGCAGATGTTTGACCTGTTATTCGAGCCTTTAAGCTAAGACCGGATTTGGGAGTGATGAAAACACCGCAATCATGGACATATACGCGTTCATAGCTGACTATGTTGCTAACCATTGCGTGTTGGGCGGTTGGAGCATCTTTCTTATATCAACAATGTGCCCGGACTGAGGCTGTGCACGACTGAGAAAATTACTTTAAGTGGAAGCGAGGGATGATTATGAGCAAAGAGTATCTGGACACGAGCTCCAAGTTCTAGCGTCACCATCGAGAAAATGGCACGGCGTCCGTGTAGACTGAGAGACCCAGATCAGACAACACTGGGTGCCTAATGAGTATCCGCTGTCGGCCACCGAACATTTTTATGCGCCGTACGATCAAGTCTTGCTGAAACGGGTCTGCAATGCTCAGTCGACGCAAGTTTAAGGGCTTACATTCTAACTTGCTACGGATGGCCCATCCAGCATGGGATCAAATGGCTATTGTCGGTCCTAATTAATTGTGAGAGAAAAGGGAATTTACCCTGATGTGACTCTGCCCCAGCATAAACTGGGTTCATTTGGATAATCTTAGCTTGCGGTAATATTTCCTAATGGAGTTGAGCTTACGAGACCTTCCGGTGGTTCGTTCGGTCGGCCCGCGCCGTTGGAACAAGGGTCCGAAGTTGGACCGCGTACAATATGGTCCCCCTTTGAGAATAGTTACACAGGCGGTGTGCTATGGGAAGAACTGCTGTTGCCGCGCAGAAACGCCAAAAGTCACTGAAAAGGGAGAGACATTTTCCAGGACGGACTTCGGCTGGACACGTCAGGCTGCTGCAACTTAACACACACTGGCAGGTCCTTGCAGAGCGACCCGAGAAGTAGTTCCGCCGGAGACAGATACTATGCCGCGGCCAATGGGCAGTTGTGAGCTGCGGCCCGTGGTTGCGTTCAGTGCATGAAAGGTAGACTTTCGACCGGCAAGCCGGCAATGATATGCAGGATAACATGATAGAAAAGGCAGCCCATCGAGGATCGTGCTTGGATCGAGTCTGTCAATAGGCAGGAGGTCGCAGATGTCGTGATATCCAGCGGTGGGTTTGTCGGAGTATTGCTAAATTTTTCTCAATTGGTTGGCCGACGTGTGTGATTGGTTGGCTGTCGGACTGAGTGAGGACCGCCGCCAAGCAACCGTAACGCCAAAACAGCTCTTGACACTAACATAAGGTGCACATCGTGGCTGTGTCTGCAGGGCAACTTCCTCGCAGATGCAGACAGCTTGCGTTGCTAGTTCACGCATCCGATAATGCCTCTGATAACCGTTAGTTGGGTGATTGTTGGATGGTGTTACGATATCGCGCACTCGGAGAATGGCGGGAGGATGCCGAATCTTTGCAGGCATACTCCGACAACGGCCCGTCATGCTGGGATATGGCTACCTTGACAATCAGCAACTGCGCCGGTGCGCATAATCCAGAGGTCAAAACTTGACGAAATCATCCCGGATGAGTCCAGCGGGCGCCTCCAGGCCGATGAGGCGGCATTGCGGTTTGTAGACGAATACGAGCAACGGCATGCTGACAGCTAGGGGTACAGTACAAGAAGGTACTTGATGGAGTCCAAATCTCGATGGAGGTTCTGAGTCCGTGGCAAGTTCTAGTGCCATCGTTCACCAGCGTTGTTCACATTTCAGCTGGCAAAGAGGTTTCCCTGTCCTCCGGACAATAAGAAAGAACGCTGAGAAAGGAGTGTACCTTGCTGAGAGGCGCTTAGTCGTACTGAACGCTGCAAACTGTTCCCTCAGCCGGGTCAGGGGGGCTAGAAGCGCTCGAAGGGGGCTGTTGTTGTGTATGAATTCTAAAGTGATAGTCGAGTGACCTAGTACTTTTACTTGTAGTAGACTAACAAAGACGCTCTCCCAGATGGGCCAGTCCTTTCTGAGTTGAGATATGTCACTATCCAGTCGGCCATACTCCGCAGTATCTTCGTGCTGACGACGCATGGTATGCTGCACCGTCGTCTGCGATGTGTCTTGGCTTGCACACAAGGTACCTGATACATGACCGGGTGGTTCGACCTCTGGTAGCGGCGCCTGCAGCCACGGTCCTCGCCGCTTGATTATTATGGCTCAGTCCAGGGAAAATTCAGCCCGCAATCCCAGCTTCGGCTGATAAGGAGATGTTGGAGAAAGGCAGGCAGCGTGGTCCAGAGGGCAGCAGTGGCTGGTGTACTTGTACGGTCGATGGCTGACGATCGGCTGCCGTAGCCCAGCGCAGGTGCAGGCGCAGGGAGGGTCGCCTCGAGCAGGTTCAGACGAGGGACAGTGGGGGCTTTAGCGTCTTCTCCGCAATGCTCTTAGATTCGTGTTTACTGATCGCCTATCATCACCGCGCAGCCGTTGCATCTCGAGGTTTTTTTGCCCGCACATCGACGGAGGCGGAAACCACTGTCGTCTTGCTGAATCACGTCATCACACCAGAGACCTTTGCTGGCCATCACCATACATTTGTTTCGAGGCATCCGTGTTTGAGCGAGTCGCCGAACCGACATACCGTCGCAACTTTATCTCGACGCAGCCCGCAGGGACCTAACCATCTCCGCACTTCGATTTGCACCACCGAACTCGGCGGCCCATCGCGCCCACGCTGCGTCGCTTCATCACGCTGCTTCCACTCTTCCCATCTCACCATCTCTCTCGACGAGTGCTGATGGCATTGCACTCTTGCTGACGCCAGCACCAACTTGAGCCTTCGCCGGCGTCTACGCCACGCGGACGGATAGAGACCGAAGTGCGGGCAGCGCGCAGTTCGAAGCCCTGGGATCTGTCATATCCGTGGCCGGCCTAAAAAGACGAGTCCCAATCAGAGAAAGAGGTGGTACTCGCAAGGGATGGCATTCGACATGGCCTTCAACAGCGAGTCGTTCAGTCCGCTGGTGGTGGATCAGGACACAGCGGCAGGGTGGAATAACGGCAACGACGACTATCTTTTCGACAGTAGCATTATAAACACCGACCAACTCGACGACAACTCGCTTTTTGGCACACCAGGCACGTTTGGAAATGCGCAGCCTGCTGCTACACCAGGATTTCTGCACGGATCGCCAGAGAGGCCGAACGACCCGTCACACGATCCGCCCAAGACCGGCAACCGACAGCATGGCAGCCTACAGCCGCGCTCTGCGCCCTCCTCCACATCCCCAGAGAGCTCGAGTCAAGACTCCGCTTCAGACACGTCAAGTAGGCGCAAGCGCAAGACGACCTCGTCAAACTCCTCCCCGTCGGCCACCTTCGGCTCTGGGGACCGGCAAGATAGAAAGGACTGGTCTGCCAAGATGGATACGATGGTGAATACAGAGAACAGCTTTGGGAATGGTGACGCAGCTTTCAACTGGGTCGAACCCTCAAAGATTCTCTCCATGGATACGGATCTGGACTCCATTAACAGGACTATGGAAAACCATTTCGATTTCGAGAGCGCTGCAAGCAGTCCTGGTGCTTTTGGGTTAAATAGCGCAGATCAGTCGTTTATGGGATCCATGCCTAACCAGCAGTCGGTTTACGGGCAACACGTGCCACAGGTGAGCGACTATCTCATTTCTGAAACACAACTCCATAGCCTTATCTGGCACAACGAGGAAGGAGTCACCGTTCCTCGCGTTTGTTGGTTTTAGCGTGTTGGTGGAATTCCTTTCCAGGTCTCGAAAGAGCCTTCGTATCCTCGCCTCTGCACGAGATCGACACTGTCGAACTTGCTCTGGCTGGTCGTGGGTTTGAGCAGAACTGTATACTGACCGTAACAGGCTATGCCTAGGAGCACCCGGTCTGGCGCTTTCTTCCTTGGCTCACGGGAGAACTCTCCTCTATCTGCGGCGATGGCCACCAGCCAAGAGGCATCTCCAGCGGATATGTTCAACACCGCCCCTCAATGGGCTCTTTCGCCACAAAACATACTGATCAAGAGCGAGCAGGTGTACCCCAATGGACTTCCAGCCATATCGCCATCCCCGATTATGCCTAATCTGCTAATGCAGGGTATGGAGACAGGCAGCAGTCCGGCGGCAGCACAGCTGCACATATATCCAATTGCGTCCAAGTCGCGTGTCGAGACCCAAATCAACATCAGAATGACTCTCTATCCAATGCCCCCGGGTGTCACTAAACTTCACCTGCCAACACACACCATCTCGAAACCAAAACTGCTCGCCAAATCTGCCACTCCAGCCCCCGATACATTGGAGCTCCACACCACGTTAGTGTGCACCAGCGCTATGGACAAGCCCCACTTCAGACAACGTGCCTTTCAACGGGCCGCTGGCCTCGATGAAATGGAGATGAGGGTGGATAGCAGGCGAGGATCCTTCGAAGGGAACCAGGATGACGACCCTGACAGCCCCGACAAGACAGAGAACGGAGGGGAAGTGCGTATCTGCACGAATTGTATGAACCGCGAGCGCAAGCGTGCTGGGCGGAAGAGAGTCAAGAAGCAAGAAGACGAAGAAGAATGGTACAAATACGAGCAGGATAGGGTCATTGTGTTCAACACCAAGGAATACCAGGACTGGCAGCCTCCGACCGCACCGAAAGAGAACGGGGAGGATGTCAAGTTCCCTGAAGGTGCTATGCAGATCAGTGCCCCCATGCGCATCGCGTGCTACTGCCGTCACCACAGCGAAAAGATTGGCTTTCAAGTCATCTTTACCATCAAAGACTGGCAGGGGCGCCTAATCGCTCAGGCTATTACGGACTCCATCCTGATCACCGACGATCACAAGACGCACAATACCTCCGGTTCCATTAATGGCCTAGCTGCATTGGCAGATTCTGCACAGTTCGCGTCGGATACCATTGGCTTTCCTGAGCAGACGGAGATGATGCCTTCCAGTCTTCAGACCTCACGACAATGGCACTCGACCAATAATCTTGATGCCCTGCGCCGAAACCAACCACAATTTGCCTCGTCTCAGAATCTTGTAGGGTTGCAGAACTTCCATTCTCACAGCACAAACACGTCGGCGACGCCACGTAATCTGTCACGTCAGGCATCTCCCTCGTCGCAGTCGGGCCCGAACAAGAAACGCAAAGGAAGTGCTTCCTCCGCACGTCCGATACCTCCTAGCTTGAGCATGACGCGTCTGAACGACGCTGCGTTGATACAGATGCCTCCAGTTGCATCAGCTGGGCCTGCCATTGCCGGACTATCTTCCAATCCCTCGCCTTGGGGGCCTAATGCGGGCGGCTTCCGTTCTCCAGAAGACCAGTCGTTCCCCATGGCGCCAGTCACTGTTCCTCACTTCAGCACTGGGCCACCAACACCAACCAGCAATCCCGGCCTCATTACACCAGGCCATCGGTCGGGAAGCACGGATTATCCTTTCCAGTTCTACTCCGCACCGAGTTCCGCACATCCGAGCAGGGCTGCCAGCCCGGTCGCAACAAACAGGCCTGTCATGAGCGCTTTCCAGCAGCAGCAACAGCAAGCTCAATTTGCTACCGGTCTTGGAAATGCCATGAATGGCCTACAGTTTGGTGGCGATCTTCAACAGCAGCAACAGCAGCAACAACAGCAGCCGCAGATACAACAGCCCCAGCACCAATCGTCTTCGCCAAAGCTACTCAAAGTATTGCCGAGCGAAGGGCCAATAACTGGAGGGATTGAGGTTACCTGTCTGGGTACGAATTTCCATCACGGACTGGAGGTCTTCTTCGGAGACAATGTCGCGACCACTACCACCTGCTGGGGATCGAGCTCGTTGGTCTGCCTCCTTCCACCAACGCTCCGGGCTGGTCCTGTCCCAGTGACTCTCAGGCAGAGAGGTCCGCTAGGCCCTGCGCCTCAGCCCTCCGCTCCTTCCACATTCTTCAACTATGTCGATACTGCTGAGCAACAGCTCTTTGAGACGGCTTTGAGGTTCCTTTGCCATAAACAGACCGGCTCTACTGACAACTACCAGCAGTTTGCGCGTAGTGTCATCAACAGTGCAGCGACATCATCGTGGGGACCGCCAGCTGGGCAAGCGCTCAATTCAGGAATGCAGGGCTACCAGGCTGCAACCCTCCGTGGTGCAAGCCGTCAAGCAATCGACACCGAGCAGACTCTGGTGAATTGCCTGGAAAAGGCCGATGTAGACGAAAGTCCTTACGATGCTCGAATCAACATGAGATCGGCGACCGGAGCTACCATGCTTGCGCTCGCAGCCAGCTTGGGTTACAGCCGCTTCGTTGCGGGCCTGCTGGCTCGAGGGGCTAATCCCGACGCCAGAGACAAAGGCGGCTTCACTCCGCTCATGTTCGCTGCGATGCATGGTCATGCACAAATCGTGCGGCGGTTGATCTTGAGGGGCGCGGATCCAATGATGCGCAGCCTGCGAGGTTTCATGGCTGTTGACTTCGCTGCGTCTGACGAGATGCTGAACGCATTGCAACGGGTTCAGCACCACACACGGAGTCGTAGTGCCGGTGCGTACTCACCACGTGGTCGTACAGGAAGTGGTACATCAGTACACTCAATATGGAATCCGCCATCACCAAGTCAATCAAGCGGCTATTCGTCAATGTATTCCGACGAGGACGAGGAGCAGCATTCGAATCGATCAGCTACGCAAGCACCGCCGGAGATATGGATACAGTCAAGGCGCAATAGCGCTGCTTTGCATTCCAACGATGTACTTCCGCTGAGCAGTCCTCCCCTGGATCACACTCGACCGATGTCACCCGCGACCGCCATGGCTGCATGGGGAGATCACCTGGCCACGCAGCTCCAGCAGTTCCAGCAAAGCATGCAGTGGCATTTACCGAACTTCCAGTTGCCTGCTTTACCACCAATGCCAAATCTTCCTGACTATCAGGCCTACCCGGTGGTTCGCCGAATAAGCTCCCTGATGCCGCATACGATCCAGTCACGATCTGCGTCTGCGACGAGCGATGCACCGACTGTGACACCAACCAACTACAGCGCGCGCGACCTCTTCTCCACTCCCGTTCTTCCGCCATCGTACGAGGAGATCTACCCGGAGAATGCGCACAAAGACATGGATGTCAAGAAGTCTTCGATGCTTCAGGTTGCGGCCGAGACCTTGCTGGACCAGACATGTGCCGAAAGGTTCGATGCTGCTGATGCGGACGGCTCATCAAATGTTGCACCAACCGGGACGCTTGCTGAGATTGATGTCAAGATTGGGAAGAAGTCGTTGTCGCGGGAGCAGCAGCAACAGCTCCGTGAGGCTCATGCGCAGCGGCTCAAGAAAATCCGAAGCGATCGGAACCTGTTCTTCCTCTGGGTATATCTCTCCTTGAGTATCCACCCCTGCTTGTTACTAACAGTTTTGCAGCTACCACTCTTGCTCATTATCGTCATCGCAATGCTTACAAACCGCATCCCCGAGTTCATCAACAACGTTTCGAAAATTACCACCGCGGCGCGCCAGTATGCCACTCGCCGCATTGTTGAAGTAGCGTAGCATAGCGCGTGTTTGTAATTACGCTTGTCCGTACTCCGCGCTTTCCAATAGAGCAGGGATGGGGTAGCGATGGCGTTTGGTTCACGCTGTACATGAGCGTTCTTTCAAGTGATGTACAGACGCGACTATCAGAATTGTAATGCTTGGTTATGAAATTCATGAGGTTTGAGCGGGAGGTTATCTGTCTCTTCTTTGGTCCATTAGCCTTTGCCTTTTCCACTTGGCATTGATTACTCTGGCCACTCTTTTGAGGCTTTGGTCTTCTCTAGTCCGGTTTAGATGACGAACCGACGGATTTGGCGAGTGTGAACTCCGCGAGTTGTTTCCCGTCTTTAAAGTCACCGGAGATTTTGTATGTCTATTGGAAACACCCTGAGATAGGAACCCGTTGGTGTTGTATGTGTTACTACCTATACACCCAAGCATCTGGTCTGTCGCTTACTTTCACTGTAGAATTATAGGCCAACTTGGTCAACGTGCATAAGTGCTGTGAACCATTCTTCCTGATGCAGTTCCTGCGTTCCCCTACGTTTCTGTCATCTGATCGAGAACTTTTCACTATCCGAGTAGAGAAATTGTTGCTTCGCCGTCACTAGCCTAGTTTCCAAGTTGGATCGGACCTGCTTTGCTAGGCCAATATATCTAGCTCTGTTTCTGGCTCTGCTTCTGGCTCAGGGCCCCTCGGTCGTTTTAGAACTTAATTGATGGACTTTTTCCTGGTAAAACAGAAGATGATGCTTCCTTCAGCGCGAATCACGTATCAGTTCTGCTGTAGTGTCCTCTTGAAGACCGCTACGGGCCTACGGCGCTGTCCTTCAACATCGTGGTCTCTCCATAATTTAGTACGCCTTGGAAAGCACAAGCGCATCTGCTCATGAGGACCAAGTTGCACGAACTCTGCACGCGTTCTCCACAGCTTTCCTCCCACTCAACAATCCTCACTAGATTAGAACCTCCACTATGTCCTACAACTATCGCAACGGCACACAGAGCCATCCAGTTCCCCCCTCCTCAGACAAAGAGCATCACACACACTAACTCAAACTAGCCACCAGCAGCGTCGAGTCCAGATCTTTCCCCCCTTCCCTGTGGCGGCTCTAGCCTTTCCAACCCGTTTCGAGCAAGCGACGAAATCTACCACCTGAAAGAACCCGGTCTCGTGGCGCCCTGAGCCTGTTGCATGCTCAGGTACCGAGACAACGGGCCGCTGCGGTCTGGAATGCGGGCGGCTTTGAGACATTTTCAAGGGGCCTGGAATGCGGAGACGGAAGCGGCGCTCGTGGCATTGAGACATTGTTCTGCCTGTCTGGAGGGCCGCCAACATTGGGGGACGAGTTTGGGGGGTTGAGTTGGTGGATGAGTTTGGGGCTTCGTGAAGTGGTCCAGGATTTCGTACAGTTGCTACAGTAGGGATCGCAGGATGGATTTGCATGTGCAAGTAACCACGCTTGTTATATAGTAAAGACGATGAAATGCACCTGAAGATTGTTTGATCCAAACACACAACACATTCCCCCTCTCCCCTAAATGGTAGGCCGTCAAAAAGTGCAAAAAATTACAGATGCAACTTCCCCAACAACAAACCCAGCCGTAGAGATCGTGAGCACCAAACCAGCAGAGTAAAGCCCCCCCACGTCTACCTCCCCGCCCGATACATCGTCCACATAGTCATCATTCTCTCCTGCTGGCCCTTACTAAACCCCTCATAACAAGCATCAGTGCTATAATCCATAAAATTATGAATCGCATCCGTGCCCTCCATATCCGGGCAGCTGTTCTTAACCTCGGGACACCCGTCCGTGCTCTCGCTCTGGGCGGGCGTGTCCGTAATAAAGTCGCCCTCGCCGTTGCACGCATAGCCCTCAAAGGTGTGCAGCAGGCCCATCCAGTGCCCCGTCTCGTGCACCGCCGTGCGGCCCATGTCGTAGCCCGTCACGGAGCCGCCGGGCATGGTGTTCGCTTGGATGTTGCAGCCGTCTGCGACGTAGACGTCGGGGTCGACGATGCCGCCGCCGATCGAGGACGGGAGCGTGCATTTGCCCAGAATATTGCCCTCCAGGTCCGTCTGGAAGTACAGGTTCAGCGTCTCGTAGGTGCCCTGGCGGAGCGCCTTCTTCATGGCAGCGTCGTCGTCCCCCGCGCCGACCGCCCACGCGTCGTTGACCGTCCACGTCGTGTTCTGCAGCGCGAACTTGATGTTCTGCGGGTTGTAGGCCGAGTTCAGCGCGTCGAGCTGCGCTTGCGCCATGTCCTCGCTGATCTGCCCTTTCTTTTCTTCGGTCGCCACGATGTGGATGATTGTCGGTACCGTGATTTCGCTCTGGCGTGCTGCAAGCATTGCGGCGCGCTTGCGGGCGCCCGGTGAGCCGGCGGCATGGTTGGTGTTCAGGGTGCCGATTGTCTTGATGAAGTCTTTGGTTGCCGCGTCGGCCCCTGTGCCGCAGTCGAAGTGCTCGTAGCGCTGCGAGGCTACGGCGGCGGCCAGGCAGGCCAGCGAGGCGAGGAGGAGAGACTTGAACATTCTGGGAATTGCTGTATACCGGGTGTATGGCGGACAGGAATGTGTTTCGGGGAGCCGGAGTGACGGTAGGACTCAGCAGCAAGTGATAAGATGAGTTAAGGGGAAACGAAAACGACGGATTCGAAGCTTGAAGCTTCTGGGCTTTTCTCTCAAGAAGACGTGACGGTGGTGGAGCACTTCAAATCAAGATCTGTGGTGGATACCATGCCTCATTTATTCCATCTCTTTCGAGGGTCTGGACTCCGGACTCACGACAGACAGCAAGCCTCACAGCCAGCCAAGCGCCTCAAGATCTGTTATTTATTAAGCGTGGCGCTCTACGGTCCAGCCAGGGTAGCTGTAAGCGGCCTGCAAACGTCTATTGTTGCTGTTCGGGACAAAGAGCCGCTCGACGTGGCCCCGGGGTCTAGTCCATTGCTTGAACGGCGAGATGGATCTTTCGACCTGCGGAGTAAGTACCCATACCTCACGACCTGTTTGCAGGGACTTGGAAGGTGCATCTTGTCATGGACGATTATACTGAACATACACAACCCGAGCGCCTCCCAGCGCTCTAAAACGCCTAGATTTCCAACGCCGGAGAACTCGATCAAACAAAATCAAAGGGTGAACATCGAGATATGAAACATGCACGTCAAGCTGAATCACCCGGCCGTGCACTTCGTCCGGTCGCAGTGGCCGTACTTGGCTGGTCGTTGTTCCAAGTGAGATATGTGTGGTCTCCGAGTTTCCTACATCGCCAAAGTCAGCTATCGTGTACAAGCAGGCTTTGTTTGGAACAGAAATAGGGGTATACCTTGGCTTGATGAGATGGGTTGCTGTAAAGATAGCACCGAGGAGGATGCAAATGCCCCCAACGACAACATAGGCGATGCCAAGGAACGGGTTCTTGCCGCCCATGACGGTTCTCGTAGATATTAAAATTGACTTTGTACCTCCATACAACGTCACGTTGAAGTCTGTAATATACCATTAGCGCATTGATAATCAGAGGTCGCAATGCTGCCCTACGGTCGTATATGCTCAGCTGATATCTCCCGATCGGCATCGACGCGGTGTCATTCCTCATTGCAAGCTTGCTGAAGGTTGGTAAACCTGCGGTTCGCATCCACACTTGGAAGGCTTCGTCGTTGTGCAAATCCGGCAACGGTTCCTTCTCGGTATAGCCGTTTGGGTACCTCTGTTCCCAGTTCCTGGGTGGCACGACCTGATCGATGGTGTATTTAGTTTCCTTGTACAGCTCTTTGTCACTGTCCCAGGCGATGCCCCTCTGGCTCATGTTGTAAGTCGGCTCTGCACCTGCGCTGGGATTTGTCAAATTTGGGGAGGTGAAAGTGTCGTTGAAGAGCGAATTAGCAATCAGTCCACACGGATAGTAGGCCTTTCCCGTGGCTTCGTCGACCTGAAGCGGATCGCAGTCACTCGCGGCGATGGATGCATTGCTCTGAGCATTTCCCATCAACTGCTGTGTGTCCAACGACTTCACGTATCGCCGATGGTTTTGGTAGAAATTTGTGAGGCGGTAGTAGAATAGTACTGGAGGACCGATGTTGTTCGGAATGTCGAAGCGCAGAGTGCACACAGCAACATCCGTCAGATTTACACTCCCCTCATGATACAGCTGGAAATGCCTGCTTTGCGCCCATTGTGCAGGCTGCGGGGTATAATTCGAGGCCTTGAAGCTGCTGTAAACGAGGTCCGAGGGTATATTGCGGAAGTCGCTAGGCTCTGGAGGGAAGCTTGCTGACAGGGGTGCCTGTGCGATGCAATTTGTATAGTCAATCGAGATCTCTTCAACCTTAGAGACGGGTGCAGAGTCAGCACAGCAGCTCAACCCCAACCATGGCTCTCTGAGTGCCTAGACCGACATACCTCAGAGCTGGCCCATATCAGAAGTCCGCCGATGGGCGCGAATATGATTCCGACCACGAAGAATAGCGGGAGAACAGTTTTGGGAGTGAGGATCGGTCTGCGGCGTTGCTGTCAGCGCGAGCTTGCGGGAAGATAGACGTTGTATAATGGTGGATGAGCATACTGCCAGGCCTTGAGTCGCTGCTGTCTGAAGGCAGTATCTTGAGAGAACGCGAGGTGTCAGCGCGGTGATCTTTTGTCAGCCATGAAGCCCTGGGTACCGCGTACTTGCTGGCCTTCTGCTTTTCGTCTTCTGTTTGTCGTCGCTGCGTGAACCTTGGCTTTCCGCGGAATCTGTATGCTGCACCTGGGTCGTCGACATGGCTTCTGTCCCTATGCAAAGCGATGCATCCGGTTGTTCAGGGCGGAGGGAAAGATGGTGATGTTTCGTAAGCGCAGGGCTGTTGCACGCCGGAGGTTTGGTGGAGCATGTCTTGGCCGGCAGCTGCTTCCGCCGCAGCCCGGCGATGCGCTACAACCTGAGTGCCGCAGGGACACCCAGAAATAGGACAACGTCGCTTTTACGTTATTCTTGCACATCTAGAAACATTAAGGGCACAGCGGCACCCAGCTCATGAATCTTAGGGGGGCGCAGGGACATCACTCAGCGTCGAACGTGCTTGATCTACAGTCACACACAAAAGCACAGCACCAGGCTTCCATAGAGCTTCCAGAAGATTTCCGCTTGCATGTATCATTATCTCCTAAAGCTATCTACACAACCACAGTGACCGCGAGTACATTCTAAAAGCCCGTGCAACAGCCAAACGCCACGTCTGTGGCTTCGCCGGTACAATGTGCGCATCCGGTATGCTTGGGGGTATCTGAGGGGAGAGACGGAGTGGGGGCTGGACCCGAAATCCAGCTACCAACACAAAGAAAAACAATAGCGTCAGACTTTCATAGCCATGACGATGCATCAGGTGACTATGCCATACTGCCGGAAAAGAGAGAGGCCGTAAACTCCAGGTCGTGATGCATGCGGTACAAGAGTGCTGCCCGACAGCTGATGCAGTGATGTCCAGTCTGTGTCATGAAACTAATGAGTAATATTGAGAACGCCAGCCGCGCGGTGGATGCGTCGGAAGTGCCGAAAGTGCCATTGTGGAAACTATGATAGTGGTCGTGAAAGTACTTATCGGTCGACGAGCGCGAGGCTCCGGTTAGATGTACTTCTGAAAGAAATCGCGGTTGAACCAGCCAACTCTTTCGAAAGCAGACCAGAGTTTGCTGGCCTTATTGACGTCGATCTTGCAAGCCTGCTGAGCGTCCGTCTTCCGAAATTCTTTACCGATGCGCAAAGCATCAATGCGAGAGATGAATACGCGTCGCTTGCTGCAGAGGTATGTGGCGCAGGAGAGACGGAGAGTGGCGGCAAGTGTGACCTCGGCCGGATGAAGCAGATGTCTGTCTGGGTCGGTCGATAAGTCGAGCATCTGACCTTTCCAATCCGCCTTCAAACTCTTGTTGTCGCGAAGAGTGGCGAAAGCGTTGGGTGAGAAATCGGGAAGCGAGTGGTAATCGACATCGTCACGGTTGGCTGCCGGCCGAGGTGCCTTGGGTGTCGGAGAGTTCATTTGTTCGAAAGAGTCTAGCACTTGCACCTGTGGCGTACGCTTCTGACGAGGTGCGCGAGGTATCCGAGGGATGGCAAGCGCGGGCTTGGACTTGCGAGGGCCGCTGGAAGGCGCCGGAGCAATTCTTCTAAGCCCATTTGTGGACGCCGACGGCTTCACTACTCTGAACGGCTTGTATTTTGACAGAATCTCCCTCTCCCTCCGCATCCAGGCTTGTGGGTCTCTGTTGTAGTTCTTTGCCACCGTCGAGACGAACAGGAGGTATTCTTCCTTTGTCGGTCGACTGGCCGGGTCAGCGTCCTGGCTCTTGCTGATGTGTTGCGAGACGATTGCTTCATGCTGAGGATCGAAGTGTTCCGATGGGAACAGTGTGAAGTCTTCCGCGGTCGGTCGATCGCTGTCGAACAGCTGTGGATCGCGATCGTTGTTCTCCACCGGCGCACGCGCACTGTCCTTTCCCCCTGCGGTCAAAGGCGAGATAGGTGGCGATAGTAGCAGCGACTCTTTGCTATCGAGGCCTTTCGATGAGGATTGGTAGATGATGGACTGCATGCGCGTGGGCGCAATCTCTGAGGAGAAAGAGGAAAGCGGAGAGCGATTCATCGTCTGCGACATTGGAGAATGAAAGCTGTCGCCTTGCCTTGTCTCTGGCGGAGACAGAAGCGATGAGAGCTTCAGTCGGTTGTCTTTGTGTGGAGGATACAGTGAGGTTGAGAGCGCCATTGAGAGTGGCGCGAGAGATGGAGGTTGCGATTGAAGCCGCTGCTGGTGATGTTTGTGCGATGTCAGCAGGCAGCCGGATGCGCAGAAAGATGACGAGGCTTCCAGGTGTTCTGCGGTCAGCGAGGTGAAGTGGCGAATTGAGCGGACGACACCGACTGGGCGCAGCCTTCTTTATGTGCTGGCTGTCGAGCTGACGTGAATGGTCAATGGAGAGTGTTACAGGTACTGAGTTTTCGCGAAATGCGGTGCCCTAACAGGGTTCGGGTTCCGCTCAGACAGAAGAAAGTTGTGCCTTGTATCCTGGGTAGCAAGTTGGGAGTGACTAGTAGGTAGGCAGCGTCGCACGAGCGTGAAAGGTTTCTACAAGAGGCCCCGCGGCGAAGGCTGCTTATGAGCGACGCCGATGCCTGGTGGCTGTGTGTCTCAATCAATAAGATCAGGCTGCAGGTGAAGTGACTAGAATGGCAGATGACTGGTTTCAAGTGATGGGTAATCAGGCGCGCAAGACAAAGGAAACGCTCGCAAAGCGAGTTTGTGACAAGCTGCGAGGTACCTGCCTGTGCATGTACATCCAGCCTGAGGGCATCAGTCAGTCAGGCACCCATTGGCAGCCGCGACATACGCGCCGCATCTCCGTGTGGCCGCGGACGTTGGGAAAAGTGGGATGTGTCCCTTTGGACGGATGCGATGGATGCTGACGAATTGACTGTGGCATGTTGACGAAAGTGTTGGAAGGGGGCAGAAGGGCCGGCCAGGTGTGGCAGTGTACGAGGCGAATTGGTCCAATTGCCAGCTGGCGCCTCCAACACGACAAGAGACGCCGACCGAATGACTGCTTGATCCCTCCACCTGAGGGCTCACGACGGGCTTGCGCAGCGGTGGATGGTGTGTTGAGTTCGCTTTCTGAGTCAGGCTTGTTTCCAGAGCTGGCCCCTTTAGCCCCCCCCCGCTAAACCGGGGCCCGACCTCTGCCATCCGCGCCGTCATGTGAGCACCTCCTCCACCATCCCTCAACAACCGTCGATGGTGCATATAGTTCATTGCTCGACATCTGTCAATTGCACGGCAATGCACTCGCGACGTTACGAGCATGTCTGGTGGCGTTGTTCTGGCTCAATTGGCCAGCCTGCGAGCCCAATTGCATCCAAGGCTCTGTCTCCTACACGTGTCGCAGCAGCAGGAATGCCCGGATCCGGTCTCAAGGAAGGCCACAGGAGTCACTCGCCTTGCCATCCCATTCGCAACGGTACCTACGCATGCCGTGGCCTCCCTGTTTGCTGCCTACGGACTTAACGGATGACGACTACCCTAAAGCGAGGCTAACCGCAGCGCAACGGGTTATCCGCTCGCTCTCCGTCCCGGGAGGTGAAGCGCTCAGCGATATCTCCGTGCTGTTCAGCTCGTACGAGTACTGGAATTGACCCCGGAGAACGCGGTCACATTACTGACAGGTGGGGTTGTGGAACGGGCAGACAGCAGACCCGTGGATATGTCAATGCGACATGGGTGTCAGGCTGCTCTCCGCGCGAAGCAGCTGTCAGGTTGAACCATGATTTGTCTACACCCTAGTCGCACCCGATCCGTCAACTCTACATTGCCACCTACCGGACCAAGGCTCACCAAGTGCCCGAAGCGTAAGCGAGAAACGGATCCGGGGTAAAGATCCTCTCCGCGGCCCCTTCAGCTCTTCAATTCAATTGCATCATCATCGCAGTTGGTGGAGCATCTGACCGTTTGAATGGCTGGACCAGTGAGTGCTTACAACCTCTGGTGTTTTGCATGTGAACATTAGAAGCCAGGCCTCAGCTGAGCCACGAGACATATCTCACACTCCTCCCTCAATTGAGCAGCTGAGAAGTGCATGAGATGCACACACTCCTCGTTTGAGGTCCATGGATCCAAGTCATGCACCCATATCGATATCGGGTAGTAGCATGGATTTAGTCGGTGTGGTGGTGTGGAGAGATAACCTTAAGGTTATCGCGGCTGACCAAATCCGTGCACTGGCTGGGCTGTCACCAGGCATCGGCGACTGTCCAGGTCTCCTTTCCACGGTTCTCCAGCCCCAATTGGCGAACGAGACGGAGACCGAAGCGCAGCCTCATCACCGAAGCCCGCGGACCCGCCCTTCGCGATCACAAAACTAGGGATCGATTCTCTGCTGCGAGCGCTATGCAAGGCTGCTGGCTCAAACCGGGCGGCCTGCACGACACCGCGATCTGACCTGGCGCATGTCCGCTGTCCGGCCCGCCGTGCCATTGGCGATCACCATAGGCCCGCCGTGGACGCGCCGCCGCGGGCTGGCGTCTGTTGCCCTGCAGCGACCCTGCATGTGATGGCTCAGGGTCATCCGCTTTTGATGTTTTGAACTTGGACGTCGCGCCTTGTTCGATGCACCATGTTTGAGCCTGTTTCGGTGCCAAGTTTGCGCTGCTCCGTCATCGTTGCACAGAAGTTGGCCGCTATGCAGCTGAAGACGTCCAGGGACAACGGCGCCAGCGGTACAAGGCGCCCTGACCGGTGTTCTGCAAGGAGATGAACAGCACTGTAGCTACTGTAAGGCGCTCAACCAGGGGTAGGATGTGCCTGTTGGTTGAAGCAGCTAGTTCAGGCCGACTTGAGTATCGAGCATCCAGATGAAGATAAGAACAGGAAGAAAAGCTAGCCGCCTTGACCAAGCACGGCTGCAAGGCCGAAACCTTCAGGTCGGCGGGGTCAGATGAGGTTTGGACAAGGTCAGGGGAGCTTCGACGAGGTCGGATGAGGTTTGCGACGTTCTACGCAGGCCTTGCGACTTCCCAATCCGAGTCATCTGGAGCAAGGCTTCCGACCACAGAGCACAGGGTAGACCAGACTCCGCTATCGTATCTGTTCGTCTCACAGGAGCGCTTTTGGGAGCGCTGAGGGACCTGTCCAAGTTATGCCTGGCCATATCACCCGCGTGAACTGACAAGCTGTTTCTCAGACGCTCATGCCAGCACGTGATCGAATATCAAGCCGCAAGATGGGGTGTTGGCGAGTGCCCAAGAGCAGCTGTAAAATCACACTTTCTCTCTCTAGATACTTTGGAATACAGGTGACAAGATCGTAAGAAACACAACGTGGTCGATGTATTCGACATTCACGTGACCGATTAGCTGCGCGTCTTCCGGCGACCTTCGCGGACCTTTCCCCCTCCTCCCAAGGACACAAACACTCGAAGCAAGTCCTACGCCATTTGCAAGCCCCTCAAGTCCCCACGACGCAAAAGTCTCCTTCTCTCCGACCCAAAGCTTCACCACCGAACAATGCCCCCGCCATGGCCTCTAAATCCACCCTCCCCACCCCCCGCGCCTTCCTAACCGACCTATTCTCGTCCCTACCCGCGCCCGCGACACCGTCCTCAAACCCCGTCAAAGATCTCAAAGGCGCCGACAAGAACCTCCTCCTAACCCTCCACGTCCTCTTCCCCAACGAGTTCCTCCCCGCGCTCGACCTCCTCGACCGCGGGCTAGTCACGCGGTTTCGCATCCGTTCGGACAGCGCGCCCAGCTTCCACGCAGCTCCAACAGCTCACGCAACGGCGGGAAACGCTGGGACAGATGCAGAGGGTGCGGCACAAGCTCCACGCCCAGACGCGGAAGTAGTCTTGGAGACCGAGGAAGAGAACGAGGCGGCAACGCTCTACTACGTCCGCTCCGCCCAACCTCCCCGCTCCCGCTTTGCTTCGTCCAGCGCCCACGACCCGAGCGCCACGCACTACGAGGTCCGGCTCGTGGCGTGGAATTGCGCTTGTCCTGCCTTTGCGTTTGCCGCGTTTCCGCTGTCTGCTTCGAGCGCGGATGATGCGGACGGAGCAACCCAGGGAGGAGAGGGAGAGGGAGAGGGGCAAGACTGGAGCTTTGGAGGGCTGAGTTTGGGAGGGGGTGGGGCGCCGGTGTGCAAGCATTTGCTTGCTTGTGTGTTGGTGGAGAGGTGTGGGATGTTTGGGCAGTTTGTGGAGGAGAGGGCTGTTAGTGTTGAGGAGGCGGCGGGATGGGCGGCTGGGTGGGGCGGGTAAGGGGTGTTTGGGACACTGGAATGGGAAGCATGAGCGTGGAGAGGAGGAAAGTTGGGTGGAGGCAGATAAGTCTGAAGACTGGGCAAAGAAGTCGTGCCAGCTGGACAGTGGCTGAGCGACTGCACCGGTTTGGCTAGAGGGGCAGTGTTAACGCATTGAGGAAGAGTTCTTTGCCGCAAAGAAGTCCGCTTCCACAGCTTAACAACCTGGGTGAACTTGAACAAAGTTTTGATTAATCTATATCACGTCCAGCCAACGGATGAGTCCGTCACCGGCCTAGTAGCGCCCGGATGAATGCCATGTCCATTCAGCGCCAAAGTCATATACTACACCGGCACCCTGCAACCCCAGCCCATGCCTCATAACCTCCCATCCTTCTTCCTATCGCCCGTCGGATCTCTCCCCTTTCCCGGTTCCGGCTTCTCATCCTTCATGTCCTTATTCGGCACCCCATTAATCTTGACATCCTTATCCGCCTTGTTCCCAATCACGCCGTCATCCTTCTTTCCATTGACCTTATCATCCTTCTCCTCCTGCTGCTGCCGATTCTGGATCTTGTTCTCGATCAGGTCATGGAACGCCGTTATCGCCCTGATCAGACTGCTCAAGTAGATCGTCATGAGCTGATCATTCGTCTTGACGCTCATTGCCCGCGCCAGCTCGCTATTGTCTGTCTGGCTCGGCATGCCCGCGCCGTTGGCCAGCGCCGCGGCGGGCGAGGAGCCCATCTTCGGCGTCGAGAGGTTGGGCAGCAGGTTGAAGACGTCTTGGAGGTTGCCCAGGATGGCATGGTTTACGGGAAGGTCGCCGTCGAGCACTTTTTGCAGGTACTGGCCGATGTCGCGCAGGCGGAGGTGCAGGCCCTGGAGTGACTGGAGCTGCGAGGTTATGCGGGTGGAGAGGGTGCCGACGGCGACGTCGCGAATGTCGCGGAGGAGGTGCTCCACGCCGATCTCTTCGGCTTCTTCGGCTTCTATTATCGAGGGCGTGTGGACAAAGGTTTTGGATGTGGTGGTGCCGTCCTGTGGAGAGAGGCTGAAGTTAGCCACGCGGACCGCCTACTACCTATGAGTGAGTAAACTCACATCTTTGATCTCTTCCACGGCAAAATATGCGTCTGTCGGTACGCCGACCTCCTTCGGCTGCACATCGATGATGACGAGTAGCGGGTTGGGCGTGTATCGTTTGAACAGCTCGTTGATCTCCAAGTCCGACGCCCGTAGCTTCGGCCCAGAGTGGTACCATCCTATGAGCTTCTCTCGTGCGTTCACTTTTTTGAACATGTCGTTCATGGACTCGACGTAGTTGTGATCTAGGAACCATACTGACGGGTCCTTCTCGTCTTCTTCAAAGGGGACTAGAATAGGCGTGTGTCAGTTGTGAAGGCGCAGATGGGAAAGGGTGCGGTTGCGCATTACCGGCGAAGCTGTTGGATACCCGCACGTTCTTGCCATCGTTCTGTCCCAGGAGCACACCGACGACTCGTTTCCGGGTCCCTTTGGCTGAGCGGCCGTAGTGATCTGCTACGGAGAGGAGGACGAGAGGCGCTACGGATACGTTTCGTGTCACCAAGGACAGTGTCTCGGCTGTTGTCGCGGGCATCTTGGAGCGCAGTATGATCGATAGAGGAGGAGAGCACGTAGATTCGGAGTTCAGCGGTAGATGGAGAGCGAGGCGAAAAAGTTGGTGATGTTGATGCGGCTCTCTAAGGTGAGCTCCCGGAGCTTTGAACAGCGCCGCGCTTGCGCGCTTGTGGCGCTTCTTGATTTGGATCTTTGTTACGCTACAGCTGTTCACCCAAATAACGATGGTTCCTTGACAGTAGTAGAATTACACATCGACGTTAGTCTTGGGCCAAGAGTCGCGCGTATCAGGCCTGAAAATGGAGCTGTTCTGGTCACGGCTAAGTGGATAATGCTAGGCAGCTTGTAATCGTACAACAGATCATAAATCTACTCTTACATCTCTACCAAAGATGGGGATATCAAAACGAAGTAATATTATAGCGTCGCAGTCGGGAAATAATACTGGTCCCACAAGAACTCGTAATCCTCGAGCACTCCTCCCACAAGACTTAGTAGTGGCTTGTCGCGCAGTTTCCCAGTAACAGAATGTATCCAGGCCCTGTCGTCAGTTAGCCGCTGTTTCGATCGAGTGATACTTTGCAAAACTTACTTTGTGATGTTCTCGTAGAACGCTCCACGCATAACCCACCATCCAAGAGCCCAGCCTCTCTTCCGGAGCTCCTCCCTTTCGAGCCCTGTCAAGCCCCTCAGCCCGCCCGCGAGCCGCTGCTGGAAGTCCTGCTTGGCAAGCTGTCGCGCGCCATACTCGATGCTCACGCCCAGTAGCCAAGGCCGCCAGCTCTTCTTGTCCGCGCTCCAATGCTGCATCGCAAGTGCATAGATGACCGGTCTGAGGATGTATAGGCACTCCGCCAGCTCCCCTCTACCCGAAACGCGATGCAATAATGCTTTCGGCGGCTTGATGTCATCCGCAGTCAGCACCTTTGAAAGCAGGTAACTCGAGATATCCGACGACTCCGGCAAATTCGGCATCGATAGCCCCGTCCTCGGCATGGTCCACGCCGCATCATCGGACCGTTCGCTCGGCGGGCTCGCGATATGATCTTCAGCCACGGCCTTCTCCTCTAGCGTGCTCGGATCGACCTCTCTTTCCGGCAGCGGCGGCGACAGTAGCGGTCGTGAATTCGTCAGTCGTAGCAGCAGCAACCGGCATAGCGCTTTAATGGCTTCAAGCAGCACCACAACGCGCCACCGAACCTTCTCCCCTTTCCGCTTGGCGGCCATCTCCCAGAGCAGCTCAGTGTACTGTATCATCTGCAGGGTGAGCGCTATGCGCTTGTAGGTGGGCGACTTCTGTGTCCAGAATTTGGTGTAGCGGTTGTGCGGCGACGGGTGCGGTTTCTGTGCGCCCGGTAGGCGCGCGATTGCGCGCGCGAGGAGGGAGTCATGGTATAGGGAGAGGACTTGGACGCCGGAGTGTACTGCGGATATGATAAGCGCGTGGATGGGATGAGCACCAGCGGGTGGAAGTACGGGACTCTGAGGCAATTTCGGATTCGCGGAAGCGACCTGGGGTGAGATTAGCATATTGTCATTTAAAGCTGTAGAAGAGAAGGCCATACCGGGTATTATATATGTTAGTGATCGCAGCCCCGACTCTATCTGTGCCACGGCGCTGGCGTTCTTTACGATAAAGTCCTCGTACATTCCCAGCCATTTCGGAGGAAGCGCAAGGGCTTGCGGCACCCCGATGGACGCTCTCTTGTACATGTCCATCGCGTGAGGGTGCGCAGAAGCTTCGGTCTTCCGTGGGACGACAGGTGGCAGGCGGAGTCTGGGGACACTGTAAGGTGACGCGCTTGACAGATGGGGGATGCCGAGGTCTGGGGCACAACTAGCGCGAAATATGATCTGATAACCCATCTAAACTGCACGTGTCAGTAGTGAGTACCTCCAGCACATCGAATGGCGAACAGTCGGCCTCCTGTCAGCGCAGAGATGGACTGTAATGGCGAGCCGTGGGATCTGCCCTTATCCGTAAAACGTTATGTTGAAGCGTACATGGCTAGATTCGATGCCTCGCACGACTTTCAGCACATTCTCCGCGTATGGTTTTTATCTAAATACATCTCAGCCAACGAGTACGAATTCATTCCAACTCCTCAGGGTTACAATATCACAGCTCTCGAACTCGCTGCGTACGCCCAGCGAATCCCAAGCAAATGCTCCATGGCTGACTGCGCCTCAGATTGCTTCACGATGTGGGCGACAAGAAGTATTCCACGCCCGAAGAAATCTCCAAACACCCGGTCTCCAAGGTCCTGCTTGAACTGGGTGCATCCCCAGAGTTGGCCTTCAAGGTGCAGACGATAGTCAAGCATGTGTCCTACTCCGCAGAAACAAAGGATCCATTAGCAGTGGAAGAAGTGCTACTACAGCATCCGGAGCTAGCAGCTGTGCAGGACGCTGATCGGCTGGATGCTATTGGAGCGGTCGGTATAGGAAGAGCTTTTACTTTCGGTGGAGCCATGAGACCGGAGACCAACATGGCAGAGACGATTCAGCATTTTACTGAGAAACTCGAGAGACTCGAGGGAATGATGAAGGTGCGAGTGCTCTTCATTGGTATAAGCGCTATAATAACCAAGCTGCAGACTCGAACAGGAAAACAAATGGCAAGGGAGCGCACTCGGCGTCTCCAGATTTTTCGCACGTGGTGGGAAGAGGAGACCACTATAGATCTCGACGGTTTGCCGATGTCCCTGTTTTTGTCCAAGGCTAGATGAAGGCCATTGAGAATATACTGTCGTTCACCCTATGGCGCGCTTCGCTCTTCAGCAGCTCGTTGCGTTCGTGCACTGTAGCTCCCTCAGACTGTCACGCCCATGAGAAAGGGAGCGAAAGATCGTCAAAGCAACGGTTCTATCGCGCAGCTGGGCTTGTTACTGAATCTTGCGTCTGGTGAAACCGTCTGTCAAGTTCGCAAATATCTAGAAGCGGGTAAGGTGCCTTCTGGCATTTAGGCACTACCGGCTTCTGAATCTGTCGTTCACGGGCGCCCTCAGTCAAGCAGGATGAGGTGACGGCTCTTACAGGAGTCCTCTCCAAATGTGAGAAATCGCGTTTGGCAAGGTCAGGTCCGGCTCATTATCTTATCTGATCTTGTTAGCCTGCGATGTCGCAAGTGTTAGAAACCCCCGCGAACCCCCACCATGACCTTCTACTCACAAAAATGGGGTTTCTCTACGCATCTTTGCGCCGCGACTCTGCGCATTTTGGACCATTCGGGATTCTACTAGCTCTTGTCAGCCATGGCCACTGTCGTCCTTGGCGCGCAATGGGGTGACGAGGGAAAGGGCAAGCTTGTGGGTGCGTAAATTTTCGGGCAGGCGACGCGATCAGTTGCGCCCGAGTGTAGCCTCGAAAGGTGTATTTGAGATCAATGGCTAACTGAAGCAGATATCCTGTGCGAGAAGGCGCAGCTTTGCTGTCGGGCTCAAGGTGGAAACAATGCAGGTATACCGCACGTTCGTCAAACGATGGTAAAGGGTGGACAGCTAACGGATCAACAGGACACACGATCGTAGGTACTCGGCCGTATCTTCACGTCAGGAGACGGTAGAGTGTAGAACGTATGAATGTTCCTAACCTGACTTTTGAAGGTCGCCAACGGTATCACCTACGATTTCCACATACTGCCGAGCGGCCTCGTCAATCCGTCATGCCAGAACCTCGTTGGAAGCGGCTGCGTCGTTCACGTCCCATCGTTTTTCAAGGAGCTTGAGGCACTTAAAGAGAAGGGGCTAGATACAACCGGCCGCATATACATCAGCGACCGCGCGCATGTGGTCTTCGACCTACACCAGCTTGTGGACGGCCTCGAGGAGGTGGAACTGGGGCAGGGCTTCATCGGAACCACGAAGAAGGGAATCGGCCCAACGTACTCGACTAAGATGACTCGGTCCGGGGTCAGAATGGCAGACCTCTTCGATCAGAAGGGTTTCGAAACAAAGCTGCGCCGACTTGCCGACGGTTTCAAGAAGCGATTTGGGGACCTCTTGCAGTACGATGTCGAGGACGAAATCGCTCGTTACAGAGAGTATGTGCCGAAGCTCCAGGACTACGTCATTGACCAGGTCCCGCTCGTGAAGTCTGCAAAGGAGAGCAAAGCGATGATTTTGGTTGAAGGCGCGAATGCTATCATGCTCGATATCGTACGATTTCCCTGGCCATTTTAAGCATTTCAAGATACCCAATTCTAACGTTTTACAGGACGCTGGAAGCTATCCATTTGTCACTTCCTCTAACACCGGACTGGGCGGAGTGCTCACGGGGCTGACTCTCGGCTGGCGCAACATACGCGAGGTCATCGGTGTCGTCAAAGCTTACACCACGCGTGTTGGAAGCGGTCCCTTCCCCACCGAACAGCTCAACGAAGTAGGAGAGAAGCTCCAGTCAATTGGCCGCGAATTTGGCGTCACGACAGGCCGGAAACGACGTTGCGGATGGCTTGACCTGGTCGTCATCAAGTACAGCCACGAGTGCAACGATTACACCGCCCTCAACTTGACGAAGCTCGACATCCTTGATGAGTTCGAGGAGATCAAAGTCGCGACGCAGTACTCGTACAATGGCGAACCGCTCGAGTCGTTTCCTGCGAACCTCGATATTCTGGGCAACGTCGACATCACCTACGAAACCTTCCCTGGCTGGCAGAAACCCACGACCGGCGCGAAGGCCTTCTACGACCTACCGCTCAACGCGCGGAAGTACATCGAGTTCATCGAGAAGTTCGTCGGCGTTAAAATCAAGTATATTGGCACTGGGCCGGGAAGGGAAAGCATGATTGCAAGGCCGTAAGATGACAAGAGTGGAGCTTCTAGGAATGATCTCAAAGAGGCACGCATGGGCAGCTTTGACTTTGTCACTCTACCCTTCCTTGTACACATATAGGTGGGCGGTCCTTTGTGCACGTTTGGTTGTCAACCTACGTTGTAGACTTTCTACTAGAACTAGAAAAGTGTTGCCCTCCCTTTGTATTATTCAGTGCTACCCGTTTCTCTTCCCTCACGAGCCGCCACACCGTCAAAAGCGAAACCAGACCCAGTTCCTCCTGCCTAGACTCCGTCGAAGTGAAGTTCGTGATACCTCTCTGCAGCAGCTGCCGTCCGTTACCACCACCCATAGGCGGCTGGTCATCTTCAGACCCCACTCTTGTGTCGTCCTATGCTTGCCCACATAATCCGAGTCCAGTGGCCTCATCGCTCTCCATAAAGCGTTTGCTGGGTTTCACAGGTAAAATTGCCTGCGGAACAGAGCCGATCCTGGAGAGTGGAGACAGAGCCCTGCACATTCACACAGTCGTTCCACGAACACTCTCCCTTTCCGAATTCGGTAACCCGTCGCTTTCCGTAGAACGCCGTGTGCAGTTACTATAGGTAAAAATGCCTAGAGGGGGGGGGGCCTTAGATATCTTATAAGCTTTCTACAGTTAGAATTCCTCTATAAGCCCTACCACTTCTAAATGCGGTAATACATATTTTTTTATACAGGGGACTTCACTGTTCAGCATCACCACTGTGGTGATCTTCATCATCATCTTGCAGTGGTCAGGAGAGTGCAATAATGATACTCCACTAGAGCCAACGGTGAGCGTTTACAGTACGTTCACACGATGTTGGGGTTGACTTTGTCAAGCCTGCGATGGATCCGCTTATGGTTTGGAATAGTTTTCATAGGCCGAGTAATCGCTCAATGAATAGCTAAACTATGGATAAGACCTTCCCATGCACCTGAAGAAGCCAGTCCGCTTCCAACCTGCAAGCGCTGAACGCCACGCAATGCATCCAAATCCCAATCTAGCCTCTCCCAACGCCCTTCGATGCCTTGAGTAATGGCCTAATACCTGCGACGATAGCGATTACTCCATATCCATAGGCTCGCCCCCATTGACCCCGTTCTCCAACCCCGCCGCCATCTCCGCCACAACCTCCGGATTCGTCTCTGCATCCGTCGGCGCGGTGTTCGGGTTGCTCAAACACCCCGGACAGTTATGAAGCACCGTGTGGCAGTAAACGTCGCAATCGATGCAAAAGTGGCAATGGCAGCTCCGACACTCATATCTGGAGCTCTCGCTCGCCCCCTCGGCTCTCGGGCGCTGTTTCACAGGCTTCGGTGCGCCGTTCGCCGTATCTGTGCCCGTGCTCTTGTCCGTTCCCTCCTGCATCGCGTCCGGCTCCTGCGGCTCCGGCACAGGCGGAAAGTGAGTCATGCACGCCTGGCACTCCGTCGAGCCCAACTCGCGCGCACGCTTCCAGCTCACCTCGACCCAGCTCTGCAGCGGAAACAGGTGGTGGTAGCTCCGCGCGAGATGCGTTGAGAGGATGAGCGTCATGCCGCAGCTGGGACACGCGCGGGGCAGGCTACAGACCTTGACCTGGCAGCGCGAGCACATGTAGCCGCCGCGTGTGAGGTTGTTGTGGCAGGCGCAGAGGGAGGGTGTGCTCTCAGTGACCCGCGAGGGGAAGCCCATCATCAGCAGGCTTGCCGCGTTGGGCGTCGGTTCGCTGGAGGGTAGGGCCGGCGCGGTCTGCCGGATCACGGGCGGCGTCGTCGTCGCCATGAGCAGCTCGCGGAGGTTCTTCTCGTCTTGGCACACACCGTAGACTGAGTCGTCGCCGGCGTTGGTCTTGGCGCAGATTTCCTGGCAGATGCGCAGGCGAGCGCCCATGCCGATGATGGCGACGCGGAGCCGGTCATTCACGCACGACTTGATCGTTTTGTGGATATCGCCCGGGTCGTTGGAGAGGAGCGCGCCGAGCACGATGATGACCTCTCTCGTGCTGTGGCTCGGTGCGTGGTAGAGTGCCGCGCGGGCCATTTCAAGAGCGTTCTGGAGCGAAGGGCTGCCTTTTGGCTCCCGCGCTGCTTGCCGTGCGGATTTGGGGTAGCGGATGCCTTGTATGGCAGCGATGTGGTCTGCGGGGTTTCCGCTGAGGTCGCTGAGGCGTATGCAGAGCCCGTCGTGCATGGCCATGACACACATCTGACTGATGGGGTTTTGCTCGAAGAACTCCCGTACGTAAGCTTGCGCGTGGTTGATGGTGACGATGTAGCGGTTGGGGCGCATGTCTTTCTCCAGCATCGCCTCGCTGAGGTCTAGGATGAGGACTACATGGCGGATGATGCCGCGTTGAACGGGCTTGTTGTCTTGCCGCAACCTATATTAGCAGTTTAGTCAGCTTCTACAAGGTGATCACAAATTATTTTGCAACGGATATACGAAACCAAGCATAAGACAGTCTCGGAGGGATATGTGGTCCTATTAGGCCCCTGAGGAAGTTTTTGTCGTGTCTGAACCCTCGTGTGTTGGGTAGATTGTGGGTGCTGAGTGGGTCGTTGATCGAATCCCTCCGCAGCTGTTCTACGAGCGGATGCATCTCCATCCCGGGCAACATATATCGAAGAACAACTCCAGTCGCCAGACTCAGGGTGGAAGACGTCCCACTTGTAGGAACCTCTAGCGCATCTTGTAGTAGATATCAACCTACCTCGCTCTCTTACGCGCCTGCTCTTCCGCCTCCAGCGACTCAGCAAGGTTCCCGTCCGGCCCTTCCCCAAAAGCGATAGAGTCTGCCTGTATGCCACTTTCCCAGCGCTCTTTCGCCCTCGTCCTCCCCCTCGCTCTTGCGCCGTAGGCTCCGCCAGCCGCACCGTTATTACCGCTTCGGGAAGCGACTTCCACGCCGTCGTCGTCGGAGACATCTTGGATGTATTCGCCGTCCATGTCGGCTATCTTGCTCGGTTGGGGAGGTTGAGGAAGGTGAGGGCATTGGGAGAGACGCGGTTGTGTTCCTTTTATAGCTGGTTGAAGAGAATGGAGTTTTGGTTCCAGCAGCGAGATCCGGTAGCGAATATGGGTGACCGAAACATCACGAGCTAGCCCACCGGACCGATATTATTTCTGTCGACGTGAAAGGGCCATGCCTTCGTGCGGGCAGTTGGTTCATCCTAACTTCCAGGGTTTATATTTTATTGGAGCGAGGCAATCGACGCGCAGACTTTAGAAGGCACGTGACAGCGAACACGCGCAGAATATCAGAACTATCAACGCCGGTGCTAATTCCTCAATTCAAGCGATATTTATGACTCTGATGGTTCACCGAGCCCAGGCAGATCTCATGAGCAGGTTCGCAATGCTTCGTTATTAAGTATCTACTGCGGGATGCCCACCGCGCCACGCTAATCGTCAATCCGTGACATTGCACCATCATTGACGCGCTCCCAAAACGTACAGAATCGGCTAGGTATACGTTGCGCCTGCCGTTGGCATCGGCCAGTCGTCCTCTGTTATGCTCGACCAGAACACCCAAACAAATATGACAGCTAGCAATGTGAATAGCGTCTCGAACAGCCCGCCGTTGATTGCCCCGTCTGTAGCGTTGCAAAGATGTACGCTGATCACGTATTGGAAGACCTGACCGATAGCGAACATCAAGGCTGCTAGGGTGAGATATACTACACAAATTTAGTATGGTGCGGGATCCAAGCTTAAAGAATTGACTTACGCATCGGCTTCTTCTCCCCAAGAACCCGAAGAACCAGGTAAGCTTCGAGGATAAAGAAGATGACTAGGAACACTAGAGGTGCGAGCTGATAGAGCGTATAGAGCGGATATGATCGGTTTGGGGCACTCAGCGTGTCGTCCCAGTGGCCTGTCCAGCTGAATCCGGTGTCGAGCGCGATGTAGCCGGTACCGACGAAAAGGACGGTGGCTGATATTAGGATTAACCCAATAGACACTGCGGTCCCGTCATCGAGGAGTTGGTAGCCGACAGCGCCATTCAGCATTAGTATCCAGGTTGTCGCAACAACGGCGGCGATGTGAGCGGCGCTGAAACCCTGCGCGCCGGAGTCAGTAACCCAGAATATCGACACGTATGTGAGGCACAAGCTCTTACCCTTCGTATAGCGCCGTCAAGAGGAAAGTGGCCAATGGAGACGATCTCGCAAATCTCAACGATTATGTACCCTATTAGGAAGAGTTGTATCTCTCTGCAAGCTGTTAACTGCCATTGAGAATGAACCACTCCGGATTCTGTCTTACCTTCGTCCCACCGCAGCCTTCTTCTGTTCCGAGCGCCATAATAAGAATGCTGAAATCGCAATCGCAAGACCGCAGATGGCTATAGAACCCAGATTGGCAAGATATCGGTCGCCGCCGAGTGGTATGCCCCTTAGATCACATCCTCCATATCCGTTTCCGCCTCTTGAAGGTGATTGGGAGAAAAGCTAGGGAAGGTTCGAGGTCAGCTTTAAGTGTCCGTCCCTGACGTGTTGCTGGCTTGGAGGGGGTCGAGTGGAGCTACGTACATTGCATACTAGCGATTGTCGTTAGCATTGAACCCATTGATCGCTCATGCGAACGTACCTGGTATCGTAGCTGCAGCACTTCCAGAGTCGCGACAGAAGTCGTTGAAGGTGCCATAGGCTGTAGACATTCTAGCTCCCACACCCTGGCCGCAGCGCGCGAACGATCGCTTTATTCAGCCCTTCTTCAAGGCATGCAGTGAGGTTCTTGTATCCTTGCAATTGGGAGTTCGCAGGTGTTTGCTGTACGTGCGGCTATGCGAAGAATGATGCTGAAGGTACGACGATGCGCGGGCGGCTGTGCAGCGAGCAAGCAAGCCTGGCAGCGTTTAATTGTAGGCTGGTAAATAGCCCAGCCCAGGTCAGTTTCCGAGGCCACCAAGATGGCCACAGGGAACGAGCGCGCTAAAGATGCAGCTACCGGGAGGCAAGGCAGGGTTGAGCGAAACGGCGGTTTTAGATCCCGGACTAGGGAACTGGATGCTGTAACAGGTCTATTGATAGCCTGGTAATGGATCGTGAGGACAGCGGTGCAAAAGAGACCGCTAAAGTGTTGGATTATGGAAAGACTAGAAGCAGAGGTTCTTGCTCAGTGCGTGCAGAGCGCGATAACGTGACATCTGGAGGGAAATTGAAGGACGCGAGGAAGGGCATTTTGGAGGTTGAGGCGAGAAAGAGAAGGCTGGTGGTTGGTCCCTGGGAGCTGATTCGCTACACTAGATCTGGGCAAAGAGGGTCCATCAAATCGCGGCAAGATTTTGATCTCCAGCTTTCTCACTTCCCTGATTTGGCTCACTCCATCATCGCAACTCATCTCCGTCTCGAGCTCACGGAAATTCTTCTCGGATTGTCAGTACCGTTACCGCTTGGCACCACATTGATGCTAGGGCTGCTCACCGCGGCGAGTTCCCTGCGGAGCCGCGTGGGTTGGTTTCCGCCCGCTTCGGTGCGAGCCATGAACGCCTCTGCCGACAACCCAGTCACTGTTCTCACCTGGGCATACAAGGGCCAGATCTGCCTGGAGTCTGCTATCAAGAGATCTCAGTTTGATTAGGAGAGGCACCCACTATGTCAGTAATTGTGCAGTTGCTCTTCTCAGTCACATATTGAGTTACCATGATATCCTGACTCGAAACTCTCGAGCACGGAAAATGTAGGTGAGGCACGAACGCAACACCTCACATGTTCCATGCGGTTGCAGTAAATCCGAGGGCTGTTTTGGATTGTCGACGAGGTAGGTGCTATGCCATCTGCCTATGCTCTCAACTCAGGGCAACTCTCTTGATGGGCGCCGCGCGTTGCAGATTTCTTCCTTGTGCTTCCCTGCGTTCTGCTCTTTGTTCAAGTCCTTCTTCATCAAACGGTACTACCTTCTTCACGTCAACTTCCCTTCACTGCCTGCTGCAACAGTACTTTTAGCGCGATCATAGTGGAAGGGCTTCCACGTCAAGGCACTAAAAGAGGCTCAAAAGGGGCCGTAGGAGGTTTACAGATGAGCAGGGAAGTTGACATTCAAGTATGGTTTCCCCATACACCTTGTCTGATTTTGCCGCTGTTGTACAATATCTTTTCTTAGAAAGTGATAGTAACATCCTCGTTTAGCAGTCTTCAAATCGCTACACCATGGTAACATGCTTTCCTTCGTACTTTGATCGGTCGTCGTTGCATGGGAGCATCAAGCCCCCTGAATTAATCTTGTGCTGTCTAGTGTTTCCGGGCATAGCTACTGAGGCACATCCGCTACATGATGCTCCATATAGTCACTCCAAGTACACCTGATAATCCGCGGTTAACCGTAGTATGGGGCGCGCCAAGTAGCTCTGCCACGAGTTAAGGCCGGGGCAAGGACACATGACCCAGGCGTGACAGTATGGCACACGGTACCATGGTCGCGGAAGTTACAAAGTGTGCCGCGCTTTTCGGTGGCTTTTGCCTCAGTCTCCAGTACAACGGAGACCAAGGACTCAAAAACCGTGAGCAGAAGAACTGAGAAGCGAGGGACTAGAATACCCGTGGAGTTTGTCACAAATGTCACATGAGCGTATTCCTGCCTCTGTGTCTCGTATGACCGGCGCAGCTGCACATGTCAAGCTCAAGCTAAGCCTTATGTATCCTGGTCTGTGCACGTAACCCGGTTCCCTACCTAGGTACTTCTTTGCCAGTTCAGAATTGTGTACAACGATAAGAACAGATGCTCGAAGATAAAACTCTTCGAAACTGACCCTACCTTGCTGTTAGCCTGGATAGCAATAGTAGAAGAGCCGATAGGTCCCCATTGTTGGGGGTTCAAGGTTGTTCGTGATAGATAAAGCCCTGGTCAACGGACCGAGCTCCTGTGTTTCCTCGCTTGGGCTGCCTGGCTCAGCAAGCCGAACAAAACGCAGTGCATGCAGACGACCACGGTGCCAATCATTCTGATTTCATCCGCCGTCCAGTGACCAGCGCGTGCCAGCCGTCTTTCCGCAGCATTCTAATGTGATTTACGTCCTGCTGAGCTAATTGAACGACCGTCTCAACCCCGCGGACCCTGTGCATCGCGCCGTCACCCGGCCGTTTTTCCCTATACAACAGCACTATCACAGCGGAGACGGGCTGCTCCTTCTCAGCCCAGTACGCTGCCAAAATTCCTTCCTCCTCCAAAGCCGGACCGTCAGCCGATATCCCTCTCCAGACTCTTTCGTCCTCGCACAGGGACCGAGACGACGACTCCGTATCCCTGATCAGCCCCAACGAGAAGCTTGGCAGCCGGCGGTCCTCCTTTTCGTCCAGGTCGGCTGACTCGGAGTTCTCGCTTTGGAGTGATACTGGGGATCTAGTTGATCAGCTCGCGGGAGAAGAGAATCCTCTGCACGTTAGGCGCCGGCGGTCAGTAGAGGATAGCCGGCTCGGGGGTTCAGCTAAGAACAAGCACCCCAAGCGCGTTCGTTACCAGTCCCACGAGGGAGACGAAGAGAAAGCAGGGCAAACTGGCGTCGTTAAGAGGAAAGAGGATATAGAGATACCCAATCCGGGCCCCCGGAAAGTTCCCCGCGCGGAACAGATACTGGCCTTCATCATGTCTCCGAATGATGGACCGTCCCGTATGCACGGGTTGCACGGCAAGAAGTTAATGTACAGCACGACTCCATAACTTACTTACGGCAGCGCTGACTGACTTGTGCAGTTATTTTACTAGCGTTTTCGTGTCGTTAGGCGTTTTCTTGTTTGGATATGATCAGGGCGTTATGTCAGGCATCATCACGTATGCAGACTCTCCTCAAACCCAAAGTATTACCTACTGATCCCTTCTCGCAACAGCGGTGCATACTTCCGAGACTACTTCGATCAACCCACCCGGGCGGAGATCGGAACCATGGTTGCCATCCTCGAGGTCGGAGCTTTCATCTCGTCAATAAGCGTAGGGAGAATTGGCGACATAATAGGCCGAAGACGGACCATCCTATACGGATCCATGATATTTCTGGTTGGTGGCGCCTTTCAAACGTTTGCTAATGGCATGCCAATGATGATGTTTGGAAGAATCATTGCCGGTCTCGGAGTGGGAGCGTTGTCGACAATTGTGCCTGTTTACCAGTCGGAGATTTCCCCGCCTCACAACCGTGGCAAGCTGGCTTGTATTGAGTTCTCGGGCAACGTCTCTGGGTACCTCGCCAGCGTCTGGGTCGACTACTTCTGCAGCTACATCAAGAGCGACTTATCGTGGCGAATACCTCTCCTCATGCAATGCGTGATGGGTGCGCTGCTTGGCTTGGGCAGTTTCCTTATCTGCGAGTCACCAAGGTACGTTACCCATGATTTTGCGCGCAGCGGAGGGGACTGAGGCTAATTTTAAGCAGGTGGCTGCTGGATAACGACCACGACGAAGAGGGCATTGTCGTCATAGCCAATCTCTACGGCAAAGGCGACATACACAATCCCAAGGCACGAGACGAATACCGCGAGATTAAGATGAATGTTCTGCTTCAACGGCAAGAGGGGGAGCGATCGTACGGCGACATGTTCAAGAGGTACTACAAGCGAGTCTTCATTGCCATGTCCGCTCAAGCCTTGGCTCAACTCAACGGCATCAACGTGATCTCCTACTACGCTCCCTTGGTCTTTGAGCAGGCTGGATGGGTCGGCCGCGACGCTATTTTAATGACAGGCATCAACGCCATAACCTACCTCTTGTCTACAATTCCGCCATGGTACCTCGTGGACAGATGGGGTAGACGGATGATACTCCTTTCCGGAGCCTTGGCTATGATCGTCTCGCTCTCAGCAATCTCGTATTTCATCTACATCGACATACGGTGGACGCCTCGCCTAGTCGTCATCTCCGTGATGATCTACAACGCCGCATTCGGCTATTCCTGGGGGCCCATCCCATGGCTGTATCCTCCAGAGATCCTCCCACTCAGCATCCGAGCCAAGGGTGCAAGTCTGAGCACAGCTACCAACTGGGCGTTCAACTGGCTTGTCGGCGAGATGACACCTATCCTGCAAGAGTGGATTCAGTGGCGTTTGTACCTCCTGCATGCCTTCTTCTGCGCCGTTAGCTTCGTTGTCGGTAAGTGGTCCCAAATTGTGCAAGCAAATTTCGACCCTCGCGCTAACATTGTGCAGTATGGTTCATCTACCCCGAAACAGCCAATGTCCGCCTCGAGGACATGAATGCCATCTTCGGCGATGCCACGTCCGTGATGCCGACGCCCGCCACCATCGCGGAAGCCGAGTCTCTCTTCAGCGGCAATCGCTCGCCCGTGCCTTCCATGGATCTCAGACGCCAGTCCATCAGCGCAGAGAACGCGATTCCGGGTCTCAATATCGATCCGCCTGGGGTGGACGTCAAGGACGGCAGACCGGTGCTGTCGAGAAAAGAGTCAGACAGGTCGGAGGGCTTGGGCGGCTGGATCTCGAATCTTGTTAAGCGCGGCACGGGCGGTGGGGAGGGGGATAGCAGTAGTGGGCAGTATAGACGTGTGGGCCAGGACGAGAATTAGATTTCTTATTATTGTTAGAGCTGCGTACACTCTTGGGGCTGAGAGATCAGCTTTCCCAAGCATTGTGGGGAGCGTCCCATCCGAATGACATCTCTATTTATCTATGTAGAGAAAGAAGATGCATTTCCCCGGGCAACCTGCGTATTAGATTAATGATGATGAGGAAGAGTGTTCGTGTGATTTCGAGATGAGCCGTGAACTGTCTGAAGGCCTGTAATCCTATCCACAGAAGGCGGGATGTTCCTTAAGAATAAGCTCTGATGAACCTTGAAAGACGAGAACGCCGGACAAAAGTGCAGCCGCGGTTCTGAACACGTTTGAACAAGTCGACAGGAGCCCCTTGAGACGGGTGGCTTGTGCTCAGGCGCCGCTTCCCTTGCTTGGCTTCGCTGGAGATCACCATTCGTATGCGCATTTCCATCTTCAGCTCCCCCTCTGTCGTTGCCTCTCTTCATTCTCGACTGCCATCTGGGGAAAGCACATTGTCTTCCCGGGGCATCCAACAGGCTTTACAGCTTGAAATGTACTGATTCCTTTCTAACACTGTCACCTTACACTTCTTACCTTCCTTGGGTTTACCGTCAAGCTTCCTCAGCCCTGTGCTCCAGCAATAGCACACTTGTCTTAGTGTGATCTACCGTAGTTGTCCCACCACAATTGCTCCACGGCCGACAAACTCCGCGCCTCTGACTCACATACTACAACATGGCCGCAAGGTCACCGCAGCCTGCACAGGGCTATGCTACCGGAGCAGAACGCCAGCCGGACGACTTAAGGAGAAGGAATGTTGCTGAGAGCGAGCGCGACGGACACGCCTACATATCTGCAGATGTTGAGGAGAAGGGGAAAGAGAAGGTACGAGATATCACCCGAGCCAATACAATCGGCAGGCGGATGTGTGGGGACGTTGGCCGTGGATGGCTGATTGTTTGTTATACCTCTAGGCAAAGTCAGTCCTCGCCGTGTTAGACGAATACGAGTGGATCATTGCGCCCCTGGTTTTTACAGCGTTGGCCTTCTTCACGCGAATGTGGAAGATTGGTCTCTCGCCCATCGTCACCTGGGATGAAGCTCAGTAAGTCAATGGCGGCCAGCAGCCTGATCTCTACACCAGCTGACCATAACGCAGCTTCGGCAAGTTCGGATCCCACTACCTCAAGCGCGAATTCTACTTCGATGTCCACCCTCCGCTCGGCAAGATGCTTGTCGGTCTATCAGGGTATTTGGCGGGTTACAATGGATCCTTCGAATTCAAGTCCGGCGAGACTTATCCGGAGGAACTCAACTACACCTTCATGCGGGTCTTCAATGCCACCTTCGGAGCTCTCTGTGTCCCACTGGCGTATTACACGGCGAAAGAACTGAACTTCAGGAGGCCGACTGTCTGGCTCGTTACCATGATGGTGCTTTTCGAAAACTCGTACACGACAATCAGCAGGTTCATTCTCTTGGATTCGATGCTTCTCTTCTTCACCTTCACAACTGTCTTGTGTTGGGCCAAGTTCCACCGCCAGCAGCATGATCCGTTCTCGCCCGAGTGGGGTCTCTGGCTGATGCTGACCGGCATATCAATCGGCTGCGTGTGCAGTGTGAAATGGGTCGGACTTTTCTGCACCGCACTGGTGGGTCTATACACCGCTGAAGATCTATGGAATAAGTTCGGCGACCTTAAGATGCCCAAAGTTGAGCTTGCGCAGCACGTCGGCTTCCGGGTCTTCAGCCTCATCGTTATTCCGTTAATCGTCTACATGTTCTCATTCTACCTCCATTTCCTCATCCTTGAAAACAGCGGTCCGGGAGATGCCCAGATGAGCTCTCTATTCCAAGCCAATCTCAGAGGTACGGAAGTAGGAAAGGACAGCCCGCTGGAGATTGCTTTTGGTTCCCGCGCCACAATCAAGAACATGGGGTATGGAGGTGGTCTTCTGCACTCACATGTTCAGACTTTCCCCGAGGGCTCTGGCCAACAGCAAGTCACTTGTTATCACCACAAAGACGCCAACAATGACTGGTTCTTCTATCCCAACCGGGGAGAAGTCGAATATGATCCTGAGGAGCCGCTCCGCTTCCCGGGTAACGGCAACACCATCCGTCTCATCCACGCTCAGACCGGCCGCAATCTACACTCTCACCAGATCGCAGCCCCGATCACCAAGGCTGATCACGAGGTGTCTTGCTACGGCAACACTACTGTAGGGGACACCAAGGATCACTGGGTCATCGAGGTCGTTCGTGACGCGGCTTCGAACGACTACTCGAAGATCCGAACTTTGACCACTGCTTTCCGTCTAAAACACGCCGATCTCGGCTGCTACCTCCGGGCCGGCAACGTCAACTTGCCGCAATGGGGTTTCAAGCAGATTGAAGTCACCTGCACCAAGGAGAACAAGCCTCGAGACGTCTACACTCACTGGAACGTCGAGAGCCACTGGAATGAGAACCTGCCGCCCGGTGATCCAGGCTCTTACAAGTCGCCCTTCCTGAGGGACTTCCTGCACCTCAACGTCGCCATGATGACATCCAACAACGCCCTCGTTCCCGATCCAGACAAGCAGGACGATCTCGCTTCCCAGTTCTGGCAGTGGCCCATCCTCCACGTCGGTCTCCGCATGTGCGGCTGGGACGACCACAGTAAGTCTTCGCTCTCACCCTATCCGGATCACTAATAACACCCTCCGCAGTCGTCAAATACTTCCTCCTCGGCAACCCAGTCGTCTACTGGGGTAGCACAGCCTCGCTCGGTATCTTCGGCCTCCTGATCCTCTGGTATCTGATCCGGTGGCAGCGTGGCTACGACGAGCTCAAGCAAGCCGACATCGACCACATCCACTACTCGGGCCTCTACCCGGTCATCGGCTGGTTCCTGCACTACCTCCCCTTCGTTGCCATGGCGCGTGTCACGTACGTGCATCACTATTACCCCGCGCTGTACTTCGCCATACTGACGGCGGGCTTCTGCGTCGATTGGGCGACGAGGAGACTCAGCAGGGAGGTCCAGTGGGGGATTTATGGGGTGCTGTACGTGGTCGTTGTGGGGCTGTTTGTGCTATTTAGGCATATTTGCTTTGGCATGGTGGGGAGTCATACGCAGTGGAGGCATTTGAAGTGGTTTAGCACGTGGCGTATCACGGACTGAAGGGGAGGAGCGGGGGATGAGGGGATGGTAATAGGTCGTGGTGGCTGGGTGTAACATGGGGCCGCCAAAAAGGAGACACTTTGTATTGGACAATGGATTGTACGCGGCTAGGGGGCGTTTAGACATCAACAATCTAGGATCAGTATCGGAATTGATCGTTCGTTGCTCTTGTTCAGCGCGAATCCTATTATCTCGCAGAGCGATGGACTGAAGCGTGACTTAAATTAATCCCCCGTCATTCACGACCAACCACCGTCACGTGCAAATCCGGGGATGCCCCGAAGACATCCGCTGGCACATCCAGAAGCTTATCAAGCAAGCTCCCACTTCACGCTCGAGAACAATATTAATCCACCAACTACCACAACAACTCATATTCAATGCTGCTCGCTTCCTCCAGTTAGCGCTGCCAGCAGCGCAAAATCTCCCACCCCAAAGCAGCCGATAACTTAGCCCGCAGTCACCGCGATGTTCTGCCTCCGCAGCTGGATCCCGATCTTGTTCTTCCTGTACGCTTTTGGGTCTCTGTCTCTCCCCCCTCCTCTTGCGCCGCACTTCACCTCTTCTATCAAGGTCTCTCAGCACAAACCAGTAGAACGGAAGCTAACAACACAGTACTAGCACCAACGCCTCCCCCATCTACCTCATCCTCTTCATCTCCGCGACATACTTCCTCAACCGCTCCTGCGTCTACTGCACGCTCCTGCTTGCTATCCTCGTCATCGCACTATTCGACTTTCGGCAAGGGTTGTTTGACCCACGGCAAGGCACCGCAATCCCCAATGGGCCATCGTCCACCAACACGACAGGTGCTGGGGATGCCACTGTGGGAGATGTCGGCGGTGGGGGAGCTGGGCTAGGGAACAACAGAACGGCAGTCACAGCGGAGTTGGTCGCGAGCGCGGTCAATAGCACGGTAGCCGCGATGGCCAGCTCGGCGGTCGAGGGTATCAAACGGAGGATACACCCGTCGGAAGAGCAGTGGAGTGGGGATGTTGCGACTGATGTGGTGAAGGGGTTCTTTGCAAGGAGAACGTGGAGGATTCCGTGTGTGGACGTGCTGGTGAGGCTATAGGGCGGCTGATGGCTATTTCAACGCCCTCGGGGCTTTCTTGTGCTTACTTTCACGGCTGGGCGCGCTGGGACGGATAGGGTTGGGAAGCATCGGCGCGGCGTCGCGGTTGCGCATACGGTTTGTTGGCCGAAGATACTAGCGTATGCGGGTGCATTTCTTCTGGCCTATACCACATACTTATACCCTCTCATTTCATGGACGTACTGGGGGAAATGGGCAAGGCGGCCGCCTTAGTTACATAGCACTCAAACACCACTTCCCATACTCAGAAGGCTCCACAGATATCAGGTGCTTGAATCAGTTTGGCAAACGCTGGTAACGAGCACCAATCAATACTGAGCTTTAAGTTTACTGTATACCTGCCCTGCCACCCCATATTGATGCCAAGGCGGAACGCGGGGCCTTCCGCGGGGCACTCCCGAGAGGTCCCGTTTGCAGAGCACCGCAGGGGAACGCTCCTCATAGGTACATAAACACAACCGTCACTCCGAGAGTCCCACACCACATGAGATACAGACTGCGTGCAGTGCTCCAGTCAATTACACCACCGTCTTCCCTTGGGTTCGCCCCGATCTACCGCCGCCAGTTTTGCAACACCACAGCTTTTAGAATCATGTCTCTTACAGCAGACAGAGATATACTTCCTGATAGGTGAGGCTTAGTCACTGTTTCAGTGAAACAATGTGTTCTCTTGCAGAGCCTTCCATCGTGTTACGCGGAGGATCATACGTTGTTCTCTCGGAGGCATCCAAGTCTTTCGTTCTGAATAGAAATATTGGACTTGCATAGAGTCAATTGCGTCTCATTCTTCTATCCATCTTAGTCAATATCCTTAGGCGCGTTGCCGGTTGCTCTTGCGCATGACCAACATCGAGGATATTCGAACAATCAGAAGCGCTGATACTTCGCCCAATCTAGCATCAAACCCACCAACTATGCCATCTCCCTATATGACCTTGAGCTTGGTGGTGCTTTCAGCTATCAAGGCACCGTTAAGATTGCTCTCGACATCAAGAAGAGCGTGAAGCACATCACCTGCAATGCAAACCAGCTCAAAATCCACAGTGTGGACGTGCAGACAGAGCACAACAAGACCGAGCAGTCCTTCAAGGCATCTGATATCTCCTACGACGAGAAGGCCCAGAAAGCTACCTTTCAATTCGACAATGACTTACCCGTCGCTTCACATGCTTCGCTGGTTGTCAAGTTCCAAGGCACGATGAACAACGTTAGTCATAACCAGATGTAGGATATAGAGCCGTTACTGACCATTTGACGCAGCTGATGGCAGGCTTCTACCGCTCCCGCTATAAGCCCGCAGCAACTCCAGCAAAGTCGGTGCCACATGATGATGAGTACCACTACATGTTTAGCACTCAATTCGAGTCCTGCGATGCTCGTCGAGCCTTTCCCTGCTTCGACGAGCCGAACCTCAAAGCAACCTTTGACTTTGAGATTGAGATTCCAGAGGATCAGACCGCATTGAGCAACATGCCTGAGAAGGAAGTCAGAAAAGGCAGCAAGGAAGGCCTGAAGATCGTGTCCTTTGATCAGACTCCTGTCATGTCAACGTACCTCCTCGCCTGGGCCTTTGGAGACTTCGAGTACGTTGAAGACTTCACGAAGAGGAAGTACGGCGGCAAGAACTTGCCTGTCAGAGTCTATACGACGAAGGGTCTCAAGGAGCAAGGTCGCTTCGCCCTGGAGCACGCCCACAAGATCACGGATTATTTCTCCGACATCTTCCGCATCGAGTATCCTCTTCCGAAGGTTGACCTCCTTGCCGTGCATGAGTTCTCTCACGGAGCGATGGAGAACTGGGGTCTTATCACGTACAGGACAACGGCCGTGCTCTTCGACCCTGAGCATTCGGACCAGAAGTACAAGAACAGAGTGGCCTACGTTGTTGCCCACGAGCTAGCTCACCAGTGGTTCGGCAATCTGGTGACCATGGATTGGTGGAGTGAGGTGCGTGCTGCAAGACCTATTCCGTTATCCCGTGTCTTCAGCTAACATGCTGCAGCTATGGCTCAACGAGGGGTTCGCTACTTGGGTCGGTTGGCTCGCAACTGATCATCTCCATCCAGGTGAGTGACCTTAAATACTAGTAGCGAAATAGGCTAACATGCTTTCCAGACTGGAACATCTGGGGCCAGTTTGTCGTACGTTCAATGTCCAGAGGTGTTTCATGTCAATCACTCGCTAACAGGTTCCCGTCGACTTAGACTGAGTCTCTCCAAACAGCTTTCCAGCTTGACTCGCTTCGCAACTCTCACCCCATTGAAGTACCGGTCAAAGATGCTTTGGAGGTTGACCAGATTTTCGACCACATAAGCTACCTCAAGGGGAGCTCTGTCATTCGTATGCTAAGCTCTCACCTGGGCGTGGATACATTCCTGCTCGGCGTGTCCAACTATCTGCAGAAGCACAAATACGGAAACGCCACGACGAACGATCTATGGTCAGCGTTGAGTGACGCTTCCGGTCAGGATGTCAACAAGTTCATGGACCCTTGGATCCGTAAGATCGGGTTTCCTGTGGTAACCGTCGCCGAGGAGCCTGGCCAGATTAGCGTACGTCAGAGCCGCTTCCTACTCTCCGGAGACGTCAAGCCAGAAGAGGACCAGACGACCTGGTGGATCCCTCTTGGGCTGAAAACAGGCCCGCAGGCTGCCATCAAGGCCACCGGTGCGCTTACGACTAAGGAAGAGACGATTCGCGACGTGGATGAGAGCTTTTACAAGCTCAATGCGGACCAGAACGGCTTCTATAGGACGAACTATCCGCCGGAACGACTGGTGCAGCTCGGTGCTGCGAAAGACCGACTGAGCGTTGAAGACAGGATCGGTCTTGTTGGAGATGCTGCTGCGCTCGCAACGTCAGGAGATGGCAACACTGCTGCTCTTTTAGCATTGACAGAGGGCTTCCATGATGAGCAGAACTATTTGTATGAGTGTACCTGAGAAACCCAGTGGTCAGGCTAATATGTTGTCGTAGGGTGTGGCAGCAGATCCTGAATGCCCTGGCCAACATCCGCTCGATCTTCTCAGACGACGAGGAGGTCTCGAAGGGGCTGAAAGCCTTCGCCCTGAAGCTCGTCACCCCGGCTACGGACAAGATCGGATGGGACTTTGCGTCAAACGAAGATTTCCTGACCGGCCAGCTTCGCTCGCTTCTTATAGCGACCGCAGGGCTTGCCGGACACGAAGGGTAAGACGCAGACCTCCCCAGCTCCTTATTCCATCTTAACTCCAATCGCAGCGTGATCGCAGAAGCCAAGAAGCGTTTCTCGGCCTACACCTCCGGCACCGACAAATCCGCCATCCACCCCTCGCTCCGCAGCGCCATTTTCCGCATCGCCATCACCGAAGGTGGACAGGAAGCCTACGACGCCGTGAAGCAGGAATACCTGACCACGACCTCCATCGACGGCAAAGAAATCTGCCTCGTCTCGCTCGGCCGCGTCCAGACGCCCGAACTCGCGAACGCGTTCCTCGACTTCCTCTTCTCGGACAAGGTGGCTGTGCAGGACGTGCACTCTGGCGCCGCGTCGCTGGCTGCGAACACCAAGACGCGGTATCTGCTGTGGGAGTTTGTGAAGAAGAATTGGGATAGCAAGGTCTACCCGCGGCTTAGTGGAAATATGGTTGTGCTGGAGCGGTTTTTGCGGATGTCGTTGACGAAGTTTGCGAGCTTTGAGATTGAGAAGGATATCCGGGAGTTCTTTGAGGGCAAGGATAACAGGGGCTATGATCGCGGGTTGGGCGTTATTAGCGATACGGTCAGGAGTAGCGCGACGTATAGGGAGAGGGATTTGGGGACTGCGAAGGAGTGGTTGGGGGCGCATGGGTATTTGTGATGGTCGGGGGCTACCGTCATGACATGATCAGGCGAATATCGCGATAGTTGAATCAAAAACAGTAACATGCTGATAGCTTGAAATCTTGTAGTCAAGCCGTAGATAGTCGGACCATGCCTGGAGTAAGATGACCGGTTGGTATGAACACAAGTCTCACAAGCCTGCAAATCATGACTTTCCACGTCCAAGTGCACGTCTCAGTCCTGTAACTGCACCGCTTCCAAGCAAGTAGCCCGCGAGCGCTTCCGTGCACTCTTTTACTAACAGGCCTAACATCGACAGCCGCCCCATCCGATCGTCGCCAGGCTTCTTGGAGTTTCCTCACAGCCAGTGCCCAAAGTGACAGCAGCCTCGTTTTACCGCAGAGCGCTTCGCTGTGAAGGAAAACTATCCGCCCACTTCGAACCCATTACCAGAATCTTTATTCCGCTTCGCACTCGCTGCAATTCTTCCGTCAAAACACGGCCTTGCTCTTCAGCACCACACGAGTCTGACCACTCCGCTCTGAAACTTGCCAGCGCCAGCGCTCTTCGCTGGGCCAACACCTTCTCTCAACTCTCCGCCCGCTGCTCTTCGCATAACCCAACTCGCAGCCCCCACACGCCTCGACGCCCAATTCCTATCACGTCGCTCTGGGCTGCGCCCCTCAGCCCTCGAATCCACTACCAGCCGGCGCACCTGCGCGTTGCCCGCCCATGAACAATCCCCACCGCCGTTTCAGGCTTTGCACCGTCTGCCGTGTGGTCTTGCCCTTTTCCTTCTCTTCGCGGTTGATGCGGACAAGCGCTGCGGCGGTGCCGATTGAGAGGGCGAAGACGGGGTCAAGCGTTCTAGACAGCGGCTTTAGCATGGGTTTGGGGGTCGGGAAGGGAGAAAAGCATGGGCGGCAGAGCGGGGAGTGACGGGTATGGGGATAGGGAAGGGGGGAGAGCTACTTCGAGATGATGTAAGTGTAGCGTGGTGCGGACATTTTGGAGGCGGGGGTGGGTGGAATCAGATTTGTGGGGTATCGTAGACGTAAGAGGTGGTGGCTTGGATAATGTGCGGCTTTGGAGGAGAGCAATTCGTGATGATGTTGCAGATGGACTGGAAGATGATGCTTGCTGGGATCGGCGGAGCTTGCCGAGCTATCGTGGGGCAAGCTTGGAGCTCCTGAAGCTTGTCGTGGTGTGCATATGAGGGCTTGAATATGTTGCGCATGTGATGCAGAAAGACACGAACCAGCAGAATAACCCAGGAGGCGGTTTCAATACCCGTATCAGCAGTAAATGGATGGGTCAAGCTGCGATGTGCAGCGATTCAAACTTCACGCCATACGCTGATCAGAAGCTGATCCCAACAGTGGGGGAAATGTATCCATGTTCATCCTATATGATCCGCAGTAAACACCAGAGCCCTCCGTGCGACCCAGGTGTGCCTCCCTCCACCGTGACCGAGACCAAGTATCCAAGCCCGCAGCGACTGCTTCTTTGAGTGGCAAAGCACACCTAGGTAGCCCGAGGCTCACATCCCAGCCGTTCACGTCGTGTAGTCACTGCACAGCTAGTCCGACAACGCCGGGACCCATCATTAGAATCCGAGAGACAAAGCAGCAGTAGAGGAATCGGCGAGTGATCTAGCAGGCCTCGCCGAATGTGTTCTCGCCGGAGTACCTGATCAACAGTCAGCTCCTGTATCGTGTTGTACTGCGTGTCGGAGAGCAGAGACGTACGTGATGTACAAGAAGCCATCCTCATCCTTGTGCTCCTCGTAGATGCTGCTCATGAGCGCGGCGGTTGGCGGCAGGACCTCGTCCACGAAGATGAAGATGGCCTTTTCCGGCGAGAGCTTGATGCGCTTGCGGATGACGTAGACGAACTGGCCGACGGTGAGATCCGAGGGCACCAGGTACTTCTTCTTGTCGATGGTCGCGATGTCGGACTTCTCGACCTTCTCGCAGATAACCTGGCGGCGGAGAAGCGGTCAGCACGAAGGATCTTGAAGACGAAAACGCTGCTCCGTGAAGCCGGCGGGGTTCAAGCAGCGCGATAGAGGCGACTTACGGGAATGCGGTCGTTGTACTTCTGGCGGATGCGCTCAGCCTCGGCCTTGCGCTTCTCGAAGGGGTGCTCGTCCTTGAACTTGGAGCGCATGTTGATGGCTGGGTCTTGCGGCTTGCAGGTGTACTTGTGTATAGATGCAGGTGTGGGTAGCGGGCTTGTTGGAGGTTGTTGCAGGTGGGTTGATGCAGTGGGCGGTGGAGGATGGTGATGAGGGTTGGAGCGGTGGAGCAGGCAGCAAGTGACTCGTAGAGGGGCTGGGTGACCCGCTTACATAAACGGCTGCGACAGCTCCGGCGGGTTTGGAAGTGCAGATACCACAGGTACCTGATTAAAGAGTCAGAGTAAGGGCAGGAAGGCTTGACTGTTCCTTCTTGGTTGATCACGGGAGGCTCTTGAGCTATTCAGCTGGTCCTTTGTCTGGGCGGCCACGCAGTCGTGCTCTTTCATCGTCACCAGCGAAACAACAGATTGTTCAGCAGCCGCAGTCAGCGGTACGTAGCGACATGAGTACAAAGACTGCCCTGTGACCCTTTTCTGGTAAGGCTATGTCTTGTAAATGCTGCTGCTAGCACCATCGCTCTACTGTTGTACTGCGGCGCTTCTCTTGCGTGAGCTGCTAATAAGGTGAGTGAGGCACATGGTTGCTGGCGATTACTGGACGGACGTATGCGCCAAGCTCATCCCGCTCCGCCTCATCGCAGCGGAAGTCTGAGTCAGCTCCTCCCGTGGCGGAACGCAGGTCGTGTGATCGTCATACATCTCGCTTCTGAGCTCCCAGCTGCGTTTGTAACTCCACATCACCATTTCATCTCTGTACATTACTCGCTTCAGAAGAAACCTCTCTGTCTCTGTGAGGAACTGTCCTCCACTTCTCGCTCTTCACATGTACTTGATATAGCCAATCTCCTCCTCTGTCGAGTCCATAGACCTCCGCAATGGCCTCAGCCCGGCCTGCCTTCCGTCTCCTACGCCCACCCTTCTTCCAGCAGAGCTACGCATACCGCCGGCCAGGCGCCGACTTCTTCAGGCCCCGCTTCGCACCCACAACAGCGAACCGCTATGTATCCGACGGCGTGCCTCCACCGCCGCCGCCACGAGGGGACGTCCGCAACGAAGGCCGCCGGGAACCCCCCAACAAGGTCTGGGCGCCAAAAACCCGTCTGGCCGTCGGCGTGGTGTTCGTCGGCGCCCTCATATACTCCATGGTCAGCACTCCGTTGCCGCAAGAAGCTCCGGAACCGCGCAAGTAGTGCTGATACCGCGGGCCCCCAGGTGACCGGCGAACCGGAGAAGCTCGAGGCGCCGGCCATTGCTGAGCAGGATGCGCTTTCGAAGAGGGAGTCAGGCGTTGGTCGGGACTCGCCGATGCGCCTGCGGATGGAGGCGTTTATTAAGGAGCACCAGAAGATCATCGTCTCCGAGCTCGAGAAGCTAGACGGGAAGACCTTCAAGGTCGACAGCTGGGAACGTCCCGACGGCGGTGGGGGCATCACCTGCGTCTTGCAAGAGGGCAACGTGTTCGAGAAAGCCGGTGTCAACACATCCATTGTCTACGGCACGCTCCCGCGCGCCGCCATCTCCAAGATGCGCGTCAACCACAAAGCGCTCGACCCCGACGTCGACAGCCTCGACTTCTTCGCCGCAGGCCTGAGCCTAGTCCTCCACCCACACAACCCCATGGCACCGACCGTGCACCTCAACTACCGCTACTTCGAGACGGCCGACAAAGACGGCAAGCCCAGCGCCTGGTGGTTCGGCGGCGGCTGCGACTTAACACCCTGCTACCTGTTCGACGACGACGCGATACACTTCCACCGGACGATCAAAGAGGCCTGCGAAAAGCACGACAAGAGCTACTACCCGCGCTTCAAGAAGTGGTGCGACGGCTACTTCAGCAACAAGCACCGCGGCGAGACGCGCGGCGTGGGCGGCATCTTTTTCGACGATCTCGACGAGACGGAGAAGGATCAGGAGAATCTGTTTGAGTTTGTTCAAGACTGCCTTTCTGCGTTTCTGCCGTCTTATATGCCAATAATACGCAAGCGGAAGGATCTGCCGTTCACGGACAAGGAGAAGCTGTGGCAGCAGCTGAGGCGAGGGCGCTATGTGGAGTTTAATCTAGTGCATGATCGCGGTACGAGTTTTGGACTTAATACGCCGGGGGCGAGGGTGGAGAGTATCTTGATGAGCTTACCCTTGACGGCGCGGTGGCAGTATATGCACGAGCCGGAGAAGGGGAGCAGAGAGGAGCGGTTGGTCAATGTCCTGAAGAAGCCTGTGGATTGGGTGTAATATGCCATTGCAAATCTAAGAGGCGCAAAACGATGTCAAGCCGAACAGGGAGTTACTTCTGCGTCGGTGGTGTCAAAAGACGTATCTGTACAGTATTGACCCGGGAGGCTCGAGAATCACGAACGTGGTGCGGACGCGTGTCTCGATAGAAGTTGTATATATTCATATCCTTGGGACACTGGAGTCCTGTTGTCTTCCGGGTTCCGCCTTTATCTTGTGTGGGCCGGGCCATACGCCAGTCAATGAACGTAAAGCTCCTGCTGTACACCGGAGGAACGGGCACAGACTCCATCTCATGCTCTCCAATGCAATGTGGTTATGCAAACTCCGGGTTCTCTGTTCTTACACTGAATGATCCGGAAGCATATCAACGCGCCGAAGATCTACGGTGCTCGTTCGCAAACCAGCTCTTGTTCCCATTCCTACATGCTTCATCGTGCCGAATCTCCAAGGTTCTCGCATCTTTCCAGCATCCAGGCACTTACCAGTACTACGCCCCAAACTCGGAAAGCGTCCCTCTTCAAGGAGTGGACGGGAAGGTAAGTGTTCTAGGGAGCGAAACCCATCGTACGAGGCTCGCTATCAGGACCTCCGGGGACTCGAAGACCCGTCTCACAACGGATTACAACCCACAATGTCCACGAAGCTCGGCACACGCGGCGAGACAAGCTGGTTGATGTACGCGCGATGTGCGGAAGTGAAAAGTGAACGACGTCCTACGGAAAAGCATGATTGTCCCGGACTCAGAAGACGTGTGGTTCATTGAACGACTGTGGACGCAAGAACGTTTACAACAGATGATGCTGACGATCATCGCAGCGATGATGATGGACAGCGAAACGTGTCATACAAAAGAGTGTGCTGGTTACCGCTTTCGGAATTGGTAGGGCTTACACAGGGATTCTAGTTGTAGTAAGCTATAGATAATTAGGACCCACGTCTAGGTACTTTTAGCCATAGTAAGTGCCCGCAATTTTCTACGGAAAGCGACAGGTTGCCGGATTTGGAAGGCAGGACTGTTTGCAGGACGACTGTGAAAGTGGGAGAAGTGCACTCAAGACACCGGGCTGTCTAGTAGGTGGCACGGGTGGGACGTAGCACTGTCCACGTTGGAAAATACCAGAGGGACACTGCTGAGGAACTAGCTTTTGCTCTAGTCTCTCATCCACACTCTGCGATGCTGGTTGCGTAGGTGAGCGGGACCGGTTGCGCCAACTTACAGTGATATCACAGCCGCTGCAACTTCTTGGATGGCTCCCGAAACTCACGTGTCCCCACATCGGTCCTCAGGACACATGCGTTCCTTGTTACTACATAGCAGATTACCTGGACACTACAAGACTCGCATGTTAGTATACAACAATAGCTCACCAGAGAGAGTAGGACAGCGACGACGGCAATGTTGATACGGTTTGTCGACTTACCGTTAGCCCGCAACCCCCGCAATTGTACTTGTCGGAATCCAGTCTGTTGCAGGCGTCGCTGCAGAGCGTGACGTCCGGAAACCCCGGGCAATAGCACTGGCATCTTTCCTTGTTCGCACTGCTGAACGCATCCCGGCCTGGCAGTGTTTCGCTGGCAACCCACTCATAAAAAGGTTGCCATCTTGTAGCAGCCCCGTTTCTCGAAAGGCCGCGAAATTCACGATAACAAATCGCAAACTCTGCGCATGCAAGATCCAAACTCGCGGTTGCAGGGCTCGAAGATGCCGTTTTCGCAGTCATCTAGGATTCAGGGTCAGGATACCATCGCTCTCTTGTCTCGCGCGGGGCAAAGAACTTACTAAAGCAGCTTCCGAATTCGTAGTCAGGCACAATACCGACCCCGTTGGCTGCGCCGCATATATTGACTTGTAGTGGTCGTGGAATAGCTTCCCGAGGTTTAACGGCAGCGAAGAGGTTAGGAGGCGAATTCACACAACGAGGAGCGGTACCTTCATTGTAGTTGCTTCTTCTCTTTAGCGTAGCCGCTGAAGCGACCTTTGGCAGTAGGACAACGGTAGCGGTCGTGGAGACCGAGCCCGGAGTAGCCTTGACATAGTTTCCATCAAGCCTCCAGCTATACGGGATACTGTCCGTCCCGGTAGTAATCTTACCAGAACATGATGTACTAAACAAGGTGGTGATGAAGGTTGTGCCATCTTCCGCCGGCTTGGGGATCTGCCCCTCGGAGCTGGTCGACGAGAATCGTACGCTGCCATTGTTGAATACGGCAACACAAAGCAGCCCAGCAGGATCTTCGAAACCCAAGTTGAAGTAGCCTCCTGGCGAAGGCTATCCGAAGTGATAAGAAGGGTAGACGGTAGTCTCGCTTGGAGCATTTGCTTGTAAACCCATGTACCCTCCGTTGTTGACGATGGGATACCCTCGTGTATCCATGACCTCAAACTTAGCGCCCCCAATGCCGGGGTCGATAAAGCACTTGGCCGCCGGGATCGTTGTAGGGATGCCGCTGTTTGAGGGTGGTGTCGTGGTGAAGGTTAGTGTCGTATATTCGCAGTAAGTGTAAGTCGATGTCCAAGAGTCCTGTCTCGGGGACGTCAGGTACCGTACTCGTGTTGCTACTAGTGCTTGGCGCAGTTGAGGAGCTCAAGGTCGATACGGAGCGACTTGTAACTTGAGAATAAGATGACACAGTATGAGATGTCGATTGGGAATGAGAAGTCAGCGTGGACGAGGATCGAACCGGCAACGACGAGGAACCTGAAACTGCCGTTGAAGTGCGAGAAGATGCGCTTGTCGAAGACCCTGAGGTTGTCCCTATGGAAGGACTTGTGGATGACCCCGGGGATATCGCCGAAGCACCACACCTTCCATAGGAAGGCATGCAACCAAGTCCGCAGTGGGCGAGTGCTCTGCCGCAGTTCCCAGCCGGCGAGCAGCAGTCGCCGAAACGAGATCCTAAGCAGGTTCACCCATTTCTAAGCCCGCATTTGCCATCGGTAGAGATATCTGCAGCCCTCTACTTAAGTTGGGATGGACAGCACAGAGGACGCGGGAAAGGGATTGGAGCCAAAGCACGATAAGCAATGCCCTGAAACCCATTGCGAATGAACGTAGAGCATAAACGATTTGTTTGGGCAGTGTCTCGAAAGGAACGTATACTGATTCAAAGAAAAGGGAGAGACATCTCATTTTCGGATCACTCCTCAACTGCTGAGACTGGCAGTCAGTAGACAACATGCCTAAAGATTCATGGATTGGTAAGGCGCGTGGCTTCTTGGCTGCCTCATAACGTTAACATCCTGGTTTCTTTAGGTAGTCGTTCGATTCGCGTGAGTGGGTCACGGTTATCGAGACCACTAACTCCTGCGGCATTAAGATACCCCCTTACGATATTTTTAAGGGCAGATCGCAGCAGCGTTACCTTATTGGAGCTCTTGAAGAGATTCAGAATATGCACGGCCTTCACAGGAAATCGCAATTCCTTAAAAGGAAAGGAATCGCGATTTCCTGTCGCTAAGCGCTAGGGAAGGCAAAGTGCGTTGCTCACTCTGCAAGAAATCAGCACGGTATGAACCTTCAAACATTTTAAGGTAATGAGTAGTCTCGGGCTCTGCGCCACATTCTGGCACCGCAAATCCGCTTCCGCTTCGAGACCTGACTGTCGCTGACCTGCAGCTACAGCTGGACAACTGAAGTTGAGAAGATCAAGCTCCGCTCAAACAGGCCGCGGAATGCGGATAAAAATAGTGTAACCCAAGTTTGGCCTCTCCACGCATCCACATGTCCTCAAGAAGTTTCATCGAGCGAGCACCCTAGCCAGGCATGTAGAATCTCCGATTTGCTGTATACCCCTACTAGACCGCTCGCTTGATGCAAACTTCTTGAAGATATGTGTACTAATACGAGTAGAACGTAGAGTAGAGCACAAGCACTTACCGGACCGGCCTGAACGTTTGTCTGAGTTAACTATACAATACAGATTAGTGTAGCTTATACGGGTAGAGTTGCAGCATCATAATCAGCTCCTACTTTCCCGCTACTACAAGAGAGTGAGCGAGTCGTTACTTTACTCAATCCTTTGCCGATAATACAGGTAATTCCCACTATAGCAAGTGGAGGGTGAGAGACACCTAGGTAGGTGGAGAGGGGGTCGCACATTGATGCGGCCACTATAATATATCTTGAGCTATGGCAGTGTCACGGCTGCACAGGAAAATCATTCCTCCAGGAGCACCGATTACCCCCCTTGCCAATATTGCCCCAACCCTTACAGCACGACTGCGAGCACTTCATCCCCCAGGATTCCAAACTCGTGTCATAATTCCAGGGTATCAGTGGCGAAGCTCTAAATCGGCATCCCATAAACCGGGCATATCTTCGTCCATAAGAAGCTTCTCCTCCTCAGCAGCACCCACAGTGGCTCTCGCCTCCAAAGCATGCGCCACCTCCAGCACTTCGTGCTTCCCCGGCCATCTCACCAGATCATATCCCAAAACGCCAACCTTCCAAAGAAGCTCACAGTGCGGGCAGCACACGGTGTTAGTGACAGCAGACACAACAGCATAACGTCCGCAACGGAAACAGGAGAAGTCGCACCGTTCGCAGAGCGCAGTCGGCTGGACGTCGTCACCACCCCGTTGGTCAAGGCGAGGACGTGCCGGGGCGCCACATTCTGCGCATTTCGTCTTACCAGCAACAAGCTGTGCCCCGTTGACAGCAGCCTGTTTCGATCTCAGCGCATCCGGTATCCGGTCTTGAGATCGTTTCGAGTCGCCAGACTCCTCGCTAGTGAACATGACTGAGCTATCTCGACAAGCTTCTAGCTGACACTGCTCCGCGTCTGACGGGAGCTGGAAACTATCCTGAAGCGCCTGGGCGGCTTGTCGAAGGGCCGGGGCGTCTGCCGCTGTGTCAAGATAGCCGCTCCTGAAATAGTTGGGCCCCTGTACAGCCTGGCGGATAGGAAGTCCACCCATTGGTCGGAAAGTGATTTGTTGAGCTTCCAAAAGTTTCTTAGCGGCTTCGATGCCAGATTCCTCGTCAGCGGGCGTATCACCCAGGGGGGCGGTCTTGGATCCTGGAGACTCGTGAAGCGTGAACGTATCCGCCTCTTTGAGACCCCTGTCATCGTTGCCTACTTCGAGCACGTTGATAGAGCCGTTTTCTTCACCGATCAGGAGACGCGTGTAATCCGGGTTAAACGCACCAGACATAACACAAGAGTTTAACGTGACGACATCTTGTACGTGAACATTTTCACTTGAGCGATAAATGTCCCATGATTTGACGACGCCATCCGAGGATCCACTGTATAACCGAGTGCGGTCCTGCGCCCAAGAGCAGAAGCGGATGCCGGTATCCAGGAGTTCCCGAGGCTGCAAAGGATCCAGTGCCATTAATGAATCGCCGTGGGAAAGGGTGTGCAAAATGCGATTATCGTTACGGACGTCCCAGACGTATGTTGTGCCATCAGTGCACCCGGCTATGATGTAGTGGTCGTCGTATGGGCTATTGTCATGAATATCAGTAGTCAAGCTTTAGTGCTAATGGATACGGACGTGATGCTTACTTATATACAACGTCGTTCATGTCCCTTGCCGGACACTCAAACTCGATAGTCTTTGAGAACTGACCAACCTTACTGATCTGACCGATACGCCAGTCAAATGTGCGCACTACGGACCGCACGCCTGGGTTCACGCCAAGCCCTGCGACGCTGCCTATAGCGAAGTGGCCACCAGGACCCCAGTGCGGGTTCCACGCGCAGTCGAAGACGTTTTGTGAGTTCCCCCAAATCTTAACTTCTTGCTGTGTCTCGACGTTCCACATGCAGAACTCCCCATCCATAGTCACATCTTCGGTATTAGAGCAGAATCCAGCTAGGAGGTAGGCGCTGTAAAAGTGGTGAACGCCCCAGTGTAGACATGATGGAGAGAGATGCAGCTCAGGCCTCTCCAACGCTTTCTGCGAGGTGAACGACAACCGGACTCCTTCCCGGTAGTTGATAACCCTAATGCTCTTCTTCTTCGCTCGGCGGCAACCAGTCGCCAGTAAGCCGTTCCTGCTTACTGACAATAGCTCAACCGGCGCTTTGTGCTCAAAAGCATAGAGACAGGAGGCTTGAATGGGATCTCCAGGAACGGACCCATCGTCGCCCCCTTTGTCAAGATCCCATTCACGGACCACGCCATCGTAACCAGCAGAGTAAAGGTACTGGCCGTCAGGCGAGAACGCAACCATGGACACGGTTTTGAACAGGCGGGGGTTCTGAGACACATGCATAGAATGCGAGGAGTTCGCGCCAGTCTCCTGGCGTTGTCGGGGAATGTGATGGTCGGATAGCTCGCGAATGACCTTGCGGTCGACGTCTCCTAGGAGAAGATTGTTTGGTCTATTGTATTGCATGCTATTCGCGTCGTCCAGACATGCGGAACCTGCGGCAAACCCCTGTCCATCTGGGGCCCAAGCGACCGTGCCGACATCACCAGAGGTGCCGGTGAACGAGATGGATGGCCCAAGAGTGTCATAGCAGTTGTTCTTGAGCGCTGTGGGAACGATTCGCAAGCCACTTTGGTATTGACGACCGCTCGAGACACCTAGCTCGCGCCAACGGAGCAGTGCAGAGGTAGAACTTGAGTGGGTCCGATGCGTGGCGGTTGCTCCCAACTTCTGGCAGTGTGGGATCGAGGCAACGTTACCGTCAATGGCATCTTGTAGAAAATGTCTGATGCTCTCCAGAGTACGGGCTTCCAGAACTCTCCTAGCCCTCCAAGATATGGCATGAACATTCGCTTCAGTGGCGAACGCCATTAAAGTCCGGATGCGAAGTATCGTAGTATCGCCTTGTTCATGCATAACTGTCTCAAGGACGTCCTTGATCACTTTTTCCAGCACTGCTAATTCTTCATCGAGAAAATCAGCGTGCAATATCGTGCCTTCCCAGGCATCAATACGTGTTCGACACCATTCGCCTTCCTCTATCCCTTGGCGAAGGATATGACGCTGGGCGTGACTTAGGTAAGGCTTAGGGATCGTAGTTGTGCTTCTAGGTTGTAAACCATTCCGACTAACTCCTCTAGTGGCTCGATCGATCTGCTGGTAAGGCAATCGCTTTTTCGGTGGAACTTCCACTGAGTGCCTCGGCAGTGGAAGTGTTATATGGGCTGCCTCGGGGGGAGGAGTGAACTGAGTAGGTCGCGAATCATGTAATGTACCGGAATTTGCCGGGCTCGTGAAAATCGTGCTATCAAAAGCGGTGCTCTCAAAAGACTGATCAGGGGTGCTTTCCTCTGAACTCTCTCGCCATGCGCGGGATAGGGGATGCTGTTGACAAAGCTTCCTTGAGTAACGACTTTGTACGGTGTGAGCCTTCCTCGTGGGAAAATAGGGTCCGATCTGCGCCCAAGACAGCCTGCGTACTTCCTTTAGGTGTATCAGTAGGCGATCTTCTTCGTCGCTGAACTTTTCCCCTGACGTGCCAGTAATTGTAGCTGGCGCTGGCGGAGGTAAAATGTTAGTCCGCAGTAAATTATGCGTTGGAGCGGCGCTTGCGCCATTGATTGTTGACGACTCCGCGGCGTCCCTAAGACCAATGTGCTGCCCAGCTCGCTGCTCCGACACAACGCCATTGCTGAGCATGCCATCATTGTGCTGATCAATAGGTGTCAACACAGATGTCCTCCTTGCTGGCGCCTGGTTGGCAGGGACACTGGTGACTGTCCGTCCATCGATTTCCCATGATACAGACGGAGCCACTAGTGCTTGGGCAACATTGTTCTTTACCGAAGATCCTGAGCTTAGCTGATTGCTAGGCGTAGGATCGCTCTTGAATGTGCCGTCCCGATTCCGTTTTCTTGCTGCTTCAGCGCCAGAGCGATGCTCTTCTGCCCCTTGCGTCTGCTCGTGTGGCTTTAATCTTCCTGCAGCGTTTGTAGAGGTCCCGTTGTTCTGTTTAGGGTTTCTCGAAGAAGCTGAAGCTGATAGCATCTGGGATGGAACGGCTTGAGCATAGTTGTCCAACCGGCGCTGAGCACCGTTGACAGGCGCATTGTGTCTAGGCCTATCAGAAGCTGGCTGTTTCACGAGGTCGTGCTCTGCAGCCCACCTTGAAGCTTTGTCCGCATACTTCGTTCTTGGTTTGTCATGAATGCCGTTCGAGGATGGGGTGTCTACTGACTGTGCAGTGCGCGTGTTGGCGGATGGAGGACTGTGGACGGCTGTCTTCGGGCCAGCATGTGCACCGCTGGCAGATGTCGGCTTCGGCGCAATGGTCGGGTTTTTGGCTAGGTTTGACAGAGGCTTGCGAGTTTGAACTAATGGTAGCTGGAGCGGTCGCGAGCTCAGAGCGGCTGGCAACTCAGAATCAGAATCATCGGAGTCCCCGGTAAGGTCTATAATATCGATCATGGGCCTACACAACAGGCCTGTCAGCGCGAAGAACAGCGAGCGCGTAAAGTTCATTACGCGTGTTGAACGTGAAAGATCTAGGTGAAGGATCACGACTAGGGGTTCTTACCGCTGCTTAAACAAAGGCATTTGGTGACAGCATAGTTATTCAGGACCAAATGCAGATGTGGCGGCTTCAAAACATTGTAAATCTCTGGGTGCGCAAAGTGAGGCCCGGCGTGGGGTGAATAGATGGGGAAGACGCGGTGTTGGATGCGGCAAGCCGAGACTACGTGGATCCCTGTTAGCTCAGCCCCACAGCTTCTTTTCCGGTTAGCGTCTTCGTCTTTTACTTTACTTTACTTGTAATCCCGACGTCGATCTTGCACTTACTTCTCACGCCTCTTAGGTACCTACACCTAAATTATCTGATTCTACATTCGTCGGTCATAGTCCTGGACATGCGGAGTCTAATAGGTAAAAATATGTAAAGCTTGTGCGCCGAGAACGCTACATAGATGTTTCACCATTGTTTCGCCTGGCCCTTCACGGCGTCCCGAAGAGCACTACTCTTATCGAAGGCAGAGCATATGAATATGCTTACGAAGCAGGGACAGCGTGGTTCGCGAAGATGCTTATATCAAGCAATAGAACAAGCCATGGCCTTGTCGAGCATCCTTTAGGCTCCGCTGGCTGAACCTAACCCCAATCTGTCGACGGCACAGCCTCTCGAATCTGCTTCCAATACCCTCAACACCTACGTTAATTAAGAACCAACAGTTGCTCATGTTACGGTAACATGGCCTTCGGGATACAACTCGAGGCGTTTACTGCACGTGCGGATAACATGGTTCTTCAACTATTTAGGACTCTAGACAAAGCATGCCTGACCCGAGTGTACAATTCCGAAATCAATACTCCTCAGCACAAAGCATGAAGTTCAAGCCTTGATGGCATAGATCTGGAAAGAGCCTGTAAGGCACAACAAGAGTCAGTTTTGAACACACACCCAGCTTCTTGTACCGGGAACACTCACCAGCCCAATCGTTCAGATTGTACTTGGACAGATATTCCAGCACTGTATCATCGGTACTCTCCGTTTTTTCACAACACGATGCCTGAACGGAGATAGCACTGCAGCACGTATCGCTCGGACAATTTCCTTGTGTTTGCGTGTAAACGTCAAGATCGCGGTTTGTGTCAACGATGGCAACGCCTGTAGGAGAACCGTTAATATTCGTATCACCTTGTTTTCTGCGTCTAGCGTCCGCTTACCCTTGAAGCCCGCCTCTCGAAGGTATCTCTCGTAATCAGCGGCTTGGCTGGCACCAGAGATACAGCCGACATAGAGGGCAACATCCTTCTTCAGTGCATCAGGAAGCGCCTTCTTCGCTAGGATGTCTGAAATAGCAACACGGCCGCCTGGCTTGAGCAAGCGGAACATCTCCTCGAATGCTACGTGCTTCTCATTCTCAGGCACCAGGTTGATGACGCAGTTGCTGATTATGCAGTCGGCGGTCGATGCGGGTAGGTCAATCTTTGTGATCGGGGATTCGATGAAGGCGACATTAGCTGCGCCTACTGTTTCTTTGTTTCTGTTCGCGCGGGCGAGCATGTCCTAGGGATGTAAGCTACGCATAGAGCCCTTCATGAAGGTCTATCACCTTGTTCATATCAACACCGATGGCCTTTCCTGCTGCCCCCACTTTCTTCGCTGCTTGGAAAACATCAAACCCAGCCCCGCTACCGAGATCGATCACGGTCTCGCCCTACATGTGGAAAAATCGCCGCAGTGAGCTTCTACTCAGGTCCACTGACTTCAGATTGCATGGTCAGCAAGCCAATGGAATGTATGTCACGAACCTCCCTCAGATTGGCCATCACTAGTGGATTGCCACAGCTGAGTCCCAAATTGGCGTCCTGTGGAATTCCGGCGAGCTCTTCTTCGGAGTAACCGAATGCTTTGGCGATAGCTGCTCCATATTTGGCATCACTCGAGCCCTTGGCGAAGGAGCTGTAGCGGTCGTTGACATGGTTATAAATTTCTGTAGCGTCCATTGTAGACAATTATTGCTCAGTGTATTCGCGGAACTGACGGGGAATCTTGACAGTGAGGGTTTGAGTGGGGCTGATGTGTGTCTGAGGATGCTGCTAGACTACAGTTGCTGTACATATACTGTATATACAACGTCGGTATGTCACTGCCGCATGGGCGCGATATGTCACCGCTTATTGAATATCATCAGACCAACGCCACCGGAATCACCCGATTGGAGTCCTATGTGCTTGATTAGAATAGCGTCCGTCAAGACAGCTAGTGAGCACTCCGTCCTGTCAACCTCTGCAGTCGTTTAGGATGAACCGATATGTCACCGCCAAGCCAGCGCTGAGTCAACCCAGACCTCACCTCAACGTCCCATCCTTACCCCAAGCCTATCTTGTTCCAGCACTCCCAGCTCATCGCTAAATCGGCAAAGCTACACGAATGAGACACATCAGGAATGCGCAATGTCATATCGATTTTAACTTTCGACACTAGTTTTGGATGAGCCTTGACACTGCAAGATGCCGCCTGATCCACTTCACGACGAGCGACAGCTGAAGACCCCTGCTCATACTCTCGACCGCGTCCGGAACAACCAGCGCCGGCATCGTGCTCGTAGACGTGAGTACATTGCTTTCCTCGAGGGGAGGCTAAAAGACACTGAAGGTCGGCTTGCCGAGGCCTTGACTGAGCTTGCCGGTTTAAGAGCCGAACTGGAGAGTTACAGACACGGGCAGCGGATTGATATAATCACCAGTGACAGCACCGGTGTTGAGGTTGACCAAAGTGCCGCTTCTACCAACGACAGAGCGGGGCTTCGTGTCCTAGAAGAAGGATTGCTTATGCATTCACCTACCGTGTCAGCAGCCGCTACGGATGAACTGCTCCCAATTACGGACTCAACGATGTCTACAGTCCTAGACCAGGAAATGTCATGGTTCAGCGAATCTCCACTCCCCATAACTTCCGGGCTCCCGCTCGCCTCGGTCTACCTTCTCGGAAGCTTAGATGCTCCACCAGCTTTCGATGCTCCAACTTCGAGCCTCATCCAGGCCACCCCAAATGAGAGCGTATCGATATTGCAGACTTCTCCCGAGCGACATCCGGTAACAGAACCAGATGCCGTGCCGGCTCAGCCCCCGGCATCGGAAGAGTGTTGTCTGTACCTTCCGCCTTCGGATAATGAGTCCACCACTCTCTGTACTCAAGCATACGCCATGATTGAGCAGCAGAACTTCCGCGGATTGGACGTCCATACCATTCACCAGTGGTTATGGGCCGGATTTCGAAAAGCGAAGCGCACAGGCGAGGGCTGTAGGGTGGAGAATGGGCTTCTTCTCGCTTTGCTTGACCTTGTCAGCGGAGCTTAGCTTTCCAGTAAGGCGGACAAGCCGGATTTGTCTCTTGCATCATGAGGATCTCGGCGGTTCTCTAGAACCATGAAAGTCAGCTGTCGTTCTATGATATATTGCTGAATGCCGGATAGAATATCCCGGTAGGACGCGAGATAAGTCCGTAGTGGAGCGATTGAGGAACTCAGTAAAGTTGGAGCTGTCAGTGCATCGGATGACTCGGATCAGTCCGGAAAGGATATGTCGAGACAGCCGAAATAGTCTTGATCACAGCTATTTGCTCATGCTTCTTATATACGAATGTTTCAGCATCCGCGTAAAATGCTATAAGCATGCTCGCAGTAATCTCCATGACATGGACATCAGGGGTCTCTCTAGGGTAAGGGTTAGGGTTAGGGTTGGATCACGGCGGTGATAAATAGTGTCCACTAAAAGTTCAAATTAGCTTACTGTCGGGTTTAAAATATGCAGCTATTTAGAAGTAAACTTCATTCCATCTTTCTTTCCTCGATTATTGTTGACTAAAACTACGTTTATATAATAATTTAACGCTTAGAATATAACTTAGTACTATTAAACAATGCGGTATAGCTATAGCTATTTAATTATAAAGAATAGCAGCGCCATATTACTAATAATTATAGTACACTTTAAATACTATAAAAACTGCTCGCGGGTATACTACATGCTCGCTGCATGCATGTAACGCATAGGCTTTTTAAGAAATTAAGCTTTCCTACTATATTTGTTAAAATATACCTAGATAAAAACACTAATATAGATAGATATAGCTATAAGGAAGATATTGAAAAGTATTTAACTAAGGTAAAAGCATTGCGCGTGCTCTATAGAGTGATGAGCCTTAGAGGGGGGGGGGTGGATGAAGCTTATTTTAAACGGCCGCACTTTTTGAAACCGATAGTAAACGCCCACATCAACACCACAACGAACCCCACCACCATGTCCCGATCCACCGACCCCGGCCACTTCTTCCAGACGACGTATGTCCGCAACTCCATCCTGCAACCCTCATATATCTCTAACATTCTCGACCAGCGCATCACTCTCCGAAATCACCCGCAAAGCCCAAAAGTCCACCAACACCCACGGCAGCCCAATCCGACTCCCCTCCAAAATCCTCAGTATCGGCGCCGACCCCGACGATGCCGGACGCGTATACGTCGCCGAGGCGGCCGGCACGGCCAGAAGAGTAGTCCTCGAAGTCTGTAAGAGACCAAAACCCAATCCTGAATACAGTCCAATCACGCAAACCTTGCCTCAGCAGCACACCCTCCATGGAGGCTTCAGCGTCAAAGAGAGTATCTCCGCTGACATACTCCTACTAGACCGGTGAAATATCCGCCCTCTACACCGGCCCCGCCGCCCCCCTGACCTCCCTCGCCCTCTCCCCCAGCCCCACCTCCAGCGCAGCCCCCCGCACCCTCTACGCAGGCTGCTGGGACAAGACTATCTGGTCCTGGAACGCCACCACTCGTGCCCCGCTCCGCCGCTTCACAGGCGGGCACACCGACTTCGTGAAAGCTCTACTCTGCCTGCGGCTTGGTGGGCGCGACATCCTCGTCTCGGGCGGTGCGGATGGGGCAATTGTGGTGTGGGATGCGCGGAGCGGGGAGAAGCTATATAGACTTATGGGGCATGTGAGGGGGATCTTGAGTTTGGCGGTTGATCCTGCTTCGCTCGGGAGTGGGATTGAGGATGGGAGGAGCGGGGTTGAGGGGGAGACCGTGACGCTTTTTAGCGGTAGTAGTGATCGCGAGACCAGGCGCTGGCGTCTCACTGCCTCCGCTGGCAATGAACTAGCAGACGACGCGGCGACAGGCCCCGTACCGATACTCGCGCACGAGACAAGCGTCAACGCGCTCCGCTTCGATGCCGACGCTGACTTGTGGACCGCGTCCGCCGACAAAAGCGCCAAGTGTCTGGTCCGTGACCGGGGATGGGAGGCGGATACGACACTCCCGCACCCTGACTTCGTGCGCGATGTTGTTGTAGACGAGGAGGGCGGATGGATCGTTACCGCCTGCAGAGACGAAGAGGTGAGAGTCTGGGAACGGGGCACGGGGAAATTGTATCACACTTTCAGCGGCCATTTTGAGGAAGTTACGGGGCTGCTGCTTGTGGGGAGAATGCTGGTTAGCGTGTCGATTGATGCGACGGTCAGAAAGTGGAGTCTAGCGCCGCAGGATCTGCAGGCTGCGAAGCTGGAGGCGGAGAAGGCGAGGGAGGGAGAGGTGGTAGAGGAGAAGGAGGAGCCGAAGGAGTCGATGCTGACGGCGGAGGAGGAGGCGGAGTTGGCGGAGTTGATGGATGACAGTGACTGATGGCCCGCGCATGAATGCATGTCACGCCAATCTGCGCGTATAAGAGAGCCAGTTTTTAGGCGTTCGTCAACGCTCTCAACCTGATGCCGTGACGAGTAGGTACAAGAGGCCAAGAACCGCTGCACACGCTACACACGCTACACAATCAAGCGCAATCTAGCAAGTGCTCACAGCCTGAGTATCCAAGCGCTTTCACCAAACCAAGCAGCCATAACAGATCCGCTACCACCCAGGCGCGGGCGGTGCGCCACCCCCATACCCGCCCTGCTGGCCAGGGTAACCTGGGTTGCCGCCTTGCTGATGACCATGTTGCTGCTGGCCACCATAGCTCTGCCCTCCAGGCGGTGGCGGGTATTGCTGTCCCTGACCCTGCGACCCGTATGGGCCGGAGGAAGGCGGGTACTGGCCATAACCGCCCTGGCCGCCCTGGCCGTATTGGTCGTGCGGTTTGCCGTAACTCTGCTGCTGTCCGGGTTGACCTTGCTGCTGATGTGACGGCGTTCCGCCATAGCCTCCATGCACCTGCTGACCGTACTGGCTTTGTGACTGGGGGCCGCCATACCCAGCTTGAGGCGGACCACCGTATCCGCCCTGCTGGGTTGGCGGTGGAGGATATTGCTGCTGGCCGTAACTCTGCTGCTGGTGCGGCGGTGGGGCGCCGCCATACGACGCAGACGCGCCGTAGGAGCCTTGGCCGTATTGATCGTGTTGTTGGCCATATTGGCCCTGATGCTGCTGCGGTGCAGGTGAGGGGTTATAGCCTCCGCCCTGGCCTGGCGGCTGGTATTGTGCTGGCGGTGCTTGGCCGGAATAGGTACCGGAAGAGCCCTGGCCGGAAGAAGAATAGCCGTAGTTTTGCTGCGGTTTCTGTAGTCTGTAAGCGATTGAGCAACACACGTAATGGATATATACTCACCGAGCCATGCTGTCCGCCGATAAGGCCGCCCACCAAACCACCTAGTCCGCCAGCAGAGGCACCGTGTCCTTGCCCTTGCTGGTGAGGCTTCTGGCCGCCTCCAAGAAGGCTGCCGGCAAGCTGTCCAAGACCGCCAGCCGGACCACCATGTCCTGACTGCTGCTGATGGGGCTTGTTGCTTCCGAGTAGACCACCAGCAAGCTGACCCACGAGATTGCCCGAGCCGCCGTGTCCACCGCTACCGTGTGCACTTCCATGCGACCCGCTGCCAAGGAAGGATGACGCGAGGCCTCCAAGACCACCAGATCCCTTCTGTTGCTTGTTTCCCTGTCCTGCGAGCATGTTCATGGCCATGCCCTGTAATTCTGTTAGGCACGGCAAGCTGTCGAGCACGTCCATTGTATACATACACCGAGGCTTCGATCAGAGTCCCCAGTCTTGCCATCCGGAGCATACGTCGCCGAGCCATCAGGCCCCCTCACTATACCATCCCCGCTTCCACCAATTCGCTGATCTTGAGGCATCGGATACGGATTTGTAGGTTGTGCTGGTGTATGAGTTGCCGAAGTACGTGGTGCGGGTGCTGCGCTGGTTGGTATGTTCCACTGCGAGACACCGGTGCTGATCTGGACGTAGTAATACTTGCGGGAGCTAGAGCACTTGGCGGTCAGAGGAGATGACGTCAGGTAGAAGCCGGGGAAAACAAAGACGGAAGATGTACCTCGAGTCCCATTGAGCTATCCAGCCAGAGGGTAGGTCGGGGAGTGTGGGGTTGTCGGGGCCAGCGTTGGGGGATAGTGGGCGCGTAGCATCAGCCATGCCGCGCTGCTGCTTTGGGTATAGAATCTATAGGATGTGTCTAAGGACGGAAGGGACGTCGGTTGTCGTTCAGGAGTAGCTGTATGAAGGGGGAGCGGACAGACTGAGAGTAGAGCAAAGGAGCGGTAAAGTAAGACGAAGATTAAGCACTCTATCTAAAATAGTAGATGCAACAGGTACGTATCGGATGTGGGCTGTGCTGCATCCTGGTCAGGGTCCAGCTGAAGCGGAAGACAGCGGAAGAACGACAGCTGTGGCTCAGCCGTGGCGGTGCTTTCAGCGAGCGGCGGCTCCAGCATCAGTTCTTAGAGGACAGCTGCGACTGAGTACTTATGACCGACCTACTGTGCTGGTGCCTGAAGGTAGTGCTGTGTCTGTGTTGAGGATTAAAGAGGCTATACAGAGGCACACAGCGTGTCGAGTTAAAATAGAGGGCTTTGTATTTCGAACCGAGCTAATCAGCTAACATTCGTACAGCTCGGTGGTAAGGTAATGATAGAAGTATACACGATGTGCTCAAGACGACAAGCTCGACATATCCATCTCTATCCAGAAACCAGACAAACTCCATTCCGGTACAGACGACCATTTCCGTGTACCAAACGCCAATATGCCCTGCCATGCCATGCCATGCCATGCTCCTGGCTCAAGCTCATTTGCGTCAATCGTACATAAAGATGTCGTCTACCATGCGTAGTCTCCAGAGCCAGGTATCTCATCGTTGCCATTCCAGTCCTCGTCACCACTAGCCTCCTCATCAAGGAAGTCAACTTCCCTGAAAAGAGTATCCCGCGGCCGCAGATTGTCGATGCGTAGATCAACCACCTCACACAAGCCTTGGATGAATATGTCCTCGTCCGCCCCGGTTTCGGATGGACTGTCATCGTCGCTTGACGCGGTCTCCATATAGGTATTTGTCCGCGGCCGCAGGCGGCGCTTGTGCCATGAGCTCTCCTCATCGGTGTTCGCTTCGGGAGTCGGCAAGCTTGATTTCTTGTTGATCTGCGTAGGCGTTCGACGCTTATGAATTACTGGCGCGTCGTCGTCACTGTCCAAGATCGCTCGCCTCCGAATGACTACAGCGGGGCTGGTCCTTTCTGAGAGATCCGTGCTGGCGATTGGTCTGGTTCGGCTCTCACCCGCTCTTAGGTGAGTACCCCCTTCCTGGGATTGTCTCCATAGCCGGAAGGCCTTCAGTGACATAAGGTGAGGATTGGGTGGTGGAGACTTCCGCAGGAAGACCTTCGAAAGTCTGCCAAGCCAGAAATCACGGAAGCCTGCCCTGTCGCGCCAACTGATGTTTAGTATCGCGTGGATAACCAGTCTTCGAAGGTCTGGCAGCCTTTCTGCAGAGTCAATCAAAGACGCAAAGAAAGTCTTGGCGGCTTCAGAGGTCCATTTCCGGAGATGCATCAGCTCTAATGTCCTGAGGGTCGAAGGCCAGCTAGGAACCTCATCCGGCTTGAGCAGATCGATATATTTCGGATCCGAGTCGTGACTGGTGCTGTGAGAATTGTAGTAGTTGAGGTCCATCCTCAATATCTCAAGATTAGGACAGGTAATCCCAAGATCGGACAGAAACGCAATGTCCAGCGCCTGGTTGTGGTTCAGAACAAGCTCCTTGAGTTGTTGCCCCTGAAGTGAAAGAAACGTGTGCAGTCCCTCCGAAGCGAAATCATTACAGTTAATGATATGGAGGGTATCGAGCCCCGCTGGCAGTAATGGAAGGAACTTGTCAGTGATGATGGAGGAAGACTCGAAGGACAAGCTTTTCAGTCTTGGCAGATATTTCAGGGCCGCCGCCAATTGCTCCTCATGGGTACCTGCCGCACCGTTCTTAGTTCTCTTTGACTTTGCTTGGAAGTTTCTGAGAGCAAGCCTTTCAAGAGTTTGGAAGTAAGGCTTCTCGTGCATCCGCATCTCTGAGCTGGCCCAGTCTCTGTCCATCATACTAGACTCCCAAGTCCAAGCTTTCAAGCGAACCTCGGATGTCTCGAGAGAACTGAACAGGCTCTCACTGTAATGCCAGCGTTGGGCTGGGGCGTTCCTTCGATATGGAGGTCGGTGAGTGGGGTCGAAAATATCTATCTCAGACAGCTGGGATAAATGCGGAATGAGAGCGCCCAAATCGAACAGCCCCATTCCGGGAGCCGTATACGCCAAGGACATAGTTGCATTCAACCTCAAGCGCTTGACCTTGACGTTGTAATTGAGCATGCGACCGTCGTTGGGTTGTGACATGGCTTCCAAAAACCTATGGGGCCTGTCGAGACCCCCAAGGGGCGGACATCGGTATAGGACAGTCAGTGCGGGCTCCGTAAAGGCCCTGCACGTGCGCGCAAGGTTGAGAAGCCAAGGGACGCTCGCCTCGGAGAAACCGTCCTCGTTGACAAGTGGATGCGAGGCGAATTCGAATATTTGTAACAGAATCCCGTACTCTAGCGTGTCCCACGCTGGTATGATACCGTCGCTCGGCAGGGTGGTGGGTTGCTCAGTAGGAGGTGGAGTCGTTGCTTGGCCTATCGCAGCTACAGTATCAGCATAAGGCGCCCACACTGACAAAGAGCGAGAAGAAATCACACTGACTTCTGGCCTTGTGAGGTAATGAGGGACGGCTCCGCGATCTTGTCGTCGTCGTAGCCGTCGAAGAATCGCTGCCAGAGCCGGCGGATATGCGTGTCCCCCGCCCTGTAGGTTCTTGTTCCTGGCTGTTGTGGATCGCATCGTGATCGGAACTCGGGTTAGTGTCTTCGTCTGTATTTGACTCCCGGTAGGATATTGCTGGCCTCTGGCGCTGTCTAGACGATCTTTGTGAAAGATGCGCAGATGCTGATGAGCGAGTACGCCGCCTTGTGGATTCTTGTTCTTGGCCATTGTGCATCGCATCGTGGTCGAAATTCGCATCGTTTTCCTCGTCTGCGCTTGGCTCCCGGTATGATACTGCTGGCCTCTGGCGCTTTCTGGACGACGTCTGCGGAGGATGTGAGGATCGCAATGAGCGCGTGCGCTTGAGCGAGCGGCGGGCTGTCGTGAGCTCGTCGGAGCTCTCGGGGGGTGTATCCGACTGGGCGGCGTGCTCGACGTCGGAGCTGGGTTCTTTGTAGGACACGGGTTTGCTGCGAGTCGAACGGGTCGAACGAGTGCGCCGAGAGAGGGACGGGGCCATGATGGCTTCGTTGGAGCCAGACGGCGCTGTGTTGAATAGTGTGCGCTTTGGCCAGGGTATGTGTGTCACGTTCTACGGTTGCCTCAGCAACCCATGATCAGAAGTCGAGGACAGAGATGTTGCAGGTAACGTTATTGGAGCATAAAGCGGAGGGAAGTAACGAATGTTCGGCATAAGGCTGAGTGTGGGAGTGCGGAAGTGCGAACGCGCCAGGGTCGAGCATGGGACATGACGCTCTAGCAGGGATCGACGTGAAGCTTGTCCTTTCTGGGGAGCCAGCCTTACAGAAGGAGCAAAACACCAGGAGCGTCTGCGAGCACTCTCTGGCGCGCGCGCTCAAAACACGCGTCTCTCGCGATCCTGAATTGTTGCATCTCCTCTCGTCCACCCATAGTGTCATATCCTCATTCTTTGCCGCATAGTTTTCCTCGGTAATCAAGCGTACGCGATGGACCTATGGACGCGTTAAGGAGATAGTACCTGGATCCGAGGGTTTCTACCCAGAGGAGAGGCTCGTCAGATTCTATTCGCGGCTTGCTGGTGGAAGGGTGTTGACGGTCACGTGCTGCACTTCCACGGAATCCTGTTCCCTTCCGGTCGTGTCTTCGTGCCCCTCCAGAAGCCATCTTTACAATCACAAGCACGCTGCGGCGAAGGCTCTTTACCGCGCGCTTGGTGTGGTGTAAGGTGTTCGGGGTCTGCCTGAGGCTAGGTGGAGCCTGAGAACCTACCGAGATCTCCTTCAAGGACTTCGCCTCGCCAGCCAAGTGCAACGCCTCAGAGGGCGTGTTTGTGCACCCTCAGTCGAGCTCGGAACTCTACATCCAACTCACGCGTCATGCTCTTGTTCACTCCAAAGCTATCGCATCGCTCCTTATTCCAATATCTCCGACTGCACTATCATCGGTCAGGCCATCCATTCTCGGAGCGGTAGCATGGCTGACGGCTTCAAGAAATTCGTCGGTAACGCATGCTTGTACGGTTTTCTCGATAAATACAGAAACGGCACGTTCCTGCGACGGAACGTCAGCAAGAGTCTCAATCGTCATCAGAAGTTGTTAGAATCAGCCACTTCAGACGAGCTTGCCAACGGAATGCAGAGTGGGGTTGATGCAGAGTCGTCCTGGAGGTTTCCTAGCAAGGACATGCTCGAGAAGATTAGCAAGAAGCAGAAGCCCGTGCTTAAGATTGATGTTCAGGGCTTGAGATGCAAGAGCAAGGCTCAGCCAAAGTCAAAGGCGAACGATGGCGAGGCCCTTGTGAAGACCGAACTAGTCGACGTTAACAACAACTCGAAATTGCGATGCCCATGCCGAGTGGAGATCACCATTTGGGAAAATGGAGGAGAAAAATCGATAATACGTCGCGATTTCCGGGAGGCGGTACTGAGAGCCTATCCGACCGAGTCTGGCGAGACGGTGTTTGGCCTCGATTTGGACGAGCCATTCTACGTTGAGGTTTCAAGGTTATTTGTCACGGTCGACAAGGGTCAGCATTGGAAGAAGACGGTGACTGCCGAGTACACGCTCGATATTAAGATACACTTCACAGACATCGAAGACCAGGATGCCGTCTTTTGCGAGATGAACAAGTCGTCTAGCGCTTGTACTCACAGTGACAAGTTGACACCGCTTGCTATCAAGTGGAAGAAGTTGCCGCGTTGTCCCTCCGAGGACGAAGGATTACAGGTTTATCGCGCATTCAGCAAAAAGGAGAAGATTGCTTTGAACTACGAGTTGGCGGTGGATATGGCTTGGAAGACGAGCAAAGACACGCCACTGACAGTATACAACCGTGCTTTGCGGACTTTCAGAATACGGCAGCTGCCTTCGCCCATCTCAGAGCCTCCGAGTCAACCCAAACAGTTTTCTCAAGTTACATACATTTTCAGAGATGAATGTCTCTCGAAGACCAGGGTATTGATGCGCGATGACTTTTTCTGCTTTGTCTGCACGCAGAAACACTTCGAAACGTTCGAGGAACTTCACTTCCATCTAAAAAGCCATCATCATTACTTCACCTTCTTTGTCGAGAAGGAGGAGAAGAAGGAGCCAGATGCTGTTGTTCTTCTTGCCAAGATTGAAGTAGAAGTATCTGATCAACCCGAAAATGATCGCCCCAGCAGAAACGGGCTCAGTGAGCGCGACATCGACTGGGTCGCTCCAGAAAAGCCTTTCGATATGGGTAAATATCTGGGTGGAGATAACTCATGGGTTGCGCCAACCACCAAAAGCAAGCGAAGGGTCCCGGTCAATAGGTCAGAATCAGCTCCTGTGCCAGCACCGACATTGAGGCTCAAACGCCGGAGACCTGAGGAAGTCGCCGAACTACAGCCCGGAAAACGAAAGCGATTTAAGGTGCCCCAAGCGCCCGAAGGCGTACGTTTTTTCAGGAGGATATCGAAGCGGCCACTCGAGGAGAAGGAATGGCTGAGCGAGAGCGACGATAACATCGATGAGGGTTGGCTCAAGCTTAGAAGGAACCGGATCATCAGCGATTCGAATTGCGCAGAGAAGAAGAAGGCATTCACCATGAGGCTAGACAACTACGTTCAAGATGAGGGACTTTCCGGAGATGCTTATGCTGGAGATACGCTGGTGCGCTTTGTGCGTGCACATCGTCAATGGCTCAAAACATCAGGCATGTCCGAAGAGCTGCACATAAAAGCGAACGAGCTTTTCGATGATGGGATTATCAGCGACAAGGTTCGCGCATGGTGCGGTAGCTTTAGCGCAGAGCCACCGAATGGGGGCCCCACGACTGTCCACGACCGCACAATCCCAAGATCATCCTACACCTCGAAATCGCCTTGCCCGCACGAAAGCAATCGGAGTTTAGAGCTAACCCCATCGAGAAAGAGGAAGTGGGTCCCTGGCGGCCCTGGAGGAGGCGGTAGATTCCTAGAGGTAGATACGGAAGAGGATGGAACCAAGTCACGGTCACCCAGAACTCCAAAAGCCAAGACTCATCGACAGCACGTCTCAAAAGTCCCCGACGGAGACACTCCTATGCAGCATGAGACGCCTCAGCAGGCAGGTCAGCGTGAATCTGAATTACAGGAGCTGGACGCACTCGAACCGCTCCAGCTTGACCATTGTACTTGTGGCCACGCAGTCGAAAACATGCGCACTGCTGCCAGCTGCGCGAATCCGGTGAGTTACACGTGTTCAGTTGGTTGACGTGGACATGTGCTGACTTTGTGAAGGACTGCTTGCAACCAGACTATCATCTTCTTTGCGTCGGGCTGATGCGTAGGATACCAGGCTGGTTCTGCAGCAATTGTGGCCCTGATAAGGCAGACGTTGTTATGTCTGATATCTGATCTATACTGACTACGTCGTCCCCACACCCGCTTCGCGACATGCGTGGCGTGGCGCCGCTGGTGTATCTCTTCCTTTTCATGCAAGAGGTGTCCTCCTGCCCACCCTGTGCACATGGTGGGAAAACAGAAGTGTGAGGTGGCAATGGATAAGGGAACAGAAGGCAGATTCAACACTGCGCTGGTCAGAAGCCAGCCAATCAGCTATATAGCCAGCGACTGCTGGCTTCTTCAACTGCCATCACTGCCGTCTTCTGCCCTACATTGGCGGCTGCGGTTAGGATATCTTGGCCTAGGATTTCAGAAGGATAGGTATTGTTCGTGGTTGCACGACAAGAAGCGTGTCCATTTCTACCATGGCAAGCATCTCTCGGCGTTGGGTCGGCATCTTGGCTTGGTATTCATCACTCGATACCTCCTTTACTTGTTGCTTTGTTACTGTGTCAGAGACTAGAGCGGACTGGGATTCTTTTGAAGATGGTCGAGAGTAGCACGGTCGTCCTCAACTTTGCCATCATGCAAGCCGTGATAGACTGCAATCAAGCTGGAAAACCCGGAACGCGAGCATTGTGTTGGCGTCTTCAAGCCCAGATACTGTATTCCACCGGCGCGCCTCAAAAGCTACAGTGCCACCGCGCTCTGGCGATGGATTAGGCTGCGCTGCAAATATAGGATCTTGCTATATCCGGTCCAATTGTCGACCATCAAAGTTCGATACTATCAATCATCCACCCTGTATGCGATCAGAGGCCACACCCGTTCAAGTGACGTCGGGATATTGTGACACCTTAAGTTATCTAGGCCATGCAAAAACTTCGTAAACTGAACAAGCATCGTGCCACAACCGCTAGCGTGCTGCACCCCGCAAGGTTGGCCCCCAAGGGTACTACGATCTCTCCTCAGGGGGGCCCCTTCTCTATCTGCATAAAGCAAGGCAGGGCGTACAATCTGGAGACCTCAGTTATCGTCGGCGTACTGCACGTTGTACAGCAGCGGCTATCAGCAAGATCGCCCCAGCACAAAGGTCGGCCCTGGCTTGGGCTGCTGGATGCCGTCGGTGATACTGAGATGCCGATTTAAAGAGACGGGAATGCTGAAGAGGGAGGTCGACTGTCCGTCGTTTTCTGGCGTGGTGTAACGACGTTGTTGTTCGATTACTTTTCTGTCGTGAGCTCACGACAGGATTTCCGCTTTAAGCAGAGAAGTGACGTCCGCGATGCGTGAGCAGATCGGGCCGCATGGCGGATATCGTAAAGAGCAGTAACGACAAAAGCTGCAGCTCGGGTGACTGTGCAGTTCGGGCACCTGCACCTTCCATATCTGAGACCTCTGACAGAGTTTTCCCCATACCTGACATCACCTCAATCAAGCCTTTGACACAATCTCTCACGTCTAATCACCTCGACTCCCCAAAGTTCACAACTCCTTCTCAAAACAGTGCTCCCGTCACAACCTCCTTTAACAGCAACCACCGCAACGCCCATCTCACAGCCATGAAGCTCACCTCCGCCCTCCTCGCCCTCCTCAGCCTCCTCACCACCGCCCTCGCCCTCCCGCAAGCCTCTCCTCCTTACCCTGGAACCACTCCAGCTCCATGGCCAACCCTCAACCGCACGACTCCATACTTCAACCTCGTCACCTCGGTCCGGAACATCAGCCCCACAAACTTCGGCTTCACAAACCTCTACCTGCACGCCTACCACTCCGGCGCCGGGCTCAACGACGCCGTCCTCCTAGCCGATCGGACGCGGGCCGCGCGCGGTATTATTACACCGTCCTCATCCGCTCCCCCCTTTTCCTCCCATCCTCTCATTCCTCCCCCCCGGCCATCTTTACTTTCCTCAACAGCCGCAAGAACACGCCGCCGTGCTCTCGCGGAGGTCTTGCTGTTACTAACGAGCCCCGTCTTGTATGCCCAGGCTTCCTCAACGGCACCTACGCCGTCTTCAACCTCGGCGGTCCCTTCTCCTACGGCATGCGGACCGGCTACGTCCCCTACGGCTCCTGGGGGCCCGCATACCTCAACGCGGGGACCGGGGAGCGGGGGTTCGCGATCAGCGACGGGAGGTTCGTGCGAGTGGATGGGAATTTCGGAGGGTGGATGGGTGAGTTTCGCTCGTCCTTTTGGTGGGATGCTCCCTTAAGAGAGAGAGGAGAGACGGGGCGGCAAGGGAGTGCTGCAGCGATTGACGGGGCTGACTTTCAGGGATAGTCTGCGACTGGTGGCGCAATGTGCCGCAGCTGTTTATGCGGTAGGGCTATGGTGCTGGGAGGGCTGTGGTGCCGTGTAACTGCGCGGAGGTGGATTTGATTGTGGAGTATTTGGCTGAGAGTAGTGAGTGATGTGTTGGGATGAGAGGGAAGAAGTGAGGCGGAGCTGGGTGTCACGACTGAGAATGTGGTAATGAGGGGAAGGAGGATGAATCGAGTATTCTGGTGGCGATGTTGAAGCCGACCTAATAAAAGTAATTTGGAGACATGTTGTTCACTCTGGGTTCTCATGGACGCATTGAAGAGGCTCATGAGTTGACTCTGATGCTTAAGCTGAATGTTCAGCCTAAGAACAACGGAAAACCGCTGGCCTTCTCAACAGTGCTTGTCGCTATAGTCCCGCAGCTCCCCTTGCCTCCACAGGGAGCATCTCAAAATTGAGAGTCTTCTGCTTAAGAGAGAAAGCAGCGAACCCCACAGTTGTCACACCATTTCAGCACACCACCCCTGTGGGCCTCCAGCTACGTGTCGCGTACACTAGTTCGGAAGCACACTCTACGCTGCTGGAAAGAACTGCATCGGAGACTGAGAGACACAGCCCACAAGTACAGAATTCCAGAGTGTTCTGACAGTTGATATTGGCAGCGGGGAGACTCCGTTAGTCTGTCCACCGAATGCGCTGACCGTTTAAAGAGGATGCTCGCATAGAGTCCAGCGTGGTACCCTGCCGCGTCACCAAGAAGCTCTTCTGTCCCGCAAGATTTGTGTGCACGAGCATGTACAACCCATGTCCTCAGCCACGGTTCATCAGCCCCCCGGAAGCCCGTTGTTGTTAGCCTCCGCGGCACATGAGCGGTACAGGATTCTGCCGAGCTCCGAAGTCAGATCTGGCGAGACTCCAGCTTGTACCATGAGTTGGTAGTGGTCGATGACGAACTGAATCAGCCGCCGCTGATTCAGCGGGCGGAGGATCGCAAGCGTAATCTCTGGAGGAAGACGCCAGGTACTGAACAGAGGATTTGGATCAGGCTGCCCTGTCGAGAGGCGCCTAGCAGTTGCGAGAGAGATACATGGAATGATGTTGCGGTCCCGGAGTAGCAGGTACGCAGCTAATGTGAGATTGATGACCGCGTCCGGTGGCAGGTAGCTGACGACCATGATCAGAAGCTCTGTTGGTAAATTGGAAAGCATCATGCAGCTGGAGGCCGTGGAAAGCTCTGACGCCTGTTTGCAGAAGTTAACACGGCTCAGACCTAAGGGTGGCTATAACCTTCTTTGTAGACAGTACTTTTCTCTCTACGAAATCACAAGAAAACATACCGAGGCTACCAGAACGTCACAGTGCAGCAGAAAGACTCCAAAGGTACTCACTCTTGGCCCCGGCTCGCTTCTCAATGTTCTTGCAGCTGAGATCCCCTCATGGGTTAAGCACGTGATCTTCCCAAAACCTTGCCCCAGACGTTAGAAGTGAATGGAACTAGCTTCGGTGATACTCTCAGGGTTTCGCAGTGTGTACCGAGACGACGCTCTATGGAGCTTAGAGCAATCTGATTCGGATGTACTGAAACGGCTAATGGTTCTCAGCCAAACAATTCAACTGGAATGTTCTTTCTCGGGCTCGTTGATTTTCCAAAGCCACCTGGAGATCGCCCCTGACAGAAACCAGCCTACTATGGCCAGTACCACTAGGTACACAGCGGTAGGCCCAAGCGAGCGCGGGAGTACGTTGAGCAGAAACGGATCGAGAATGATGTCCGCATCTACGTCTGGGGGAAAGTTCATCAGCGTCTGATTGGTGGTGAAGAAGTCGGCTGCAGAATGAATTCGCAGAAACAGCAGTGACTTTGATGTAGCTGCCGCGTCGGGCTGGCGAGGCTCTGGACTCCTGGGGACGCTGCGGTCTCGCTGCTCCGAGTAGATGGCTAATGCGGAGATGAGTTCTGGCGTCTCGAACACCTCGTTGATTGTGTGGACGTCAAGCCAAAATGCTGTCGGTTGCTGCGGTCATGTTAGTCTGTGGATGACGACGATGCTGATGAGCGGATGAAAACGCCACGCCACGGTGGCAGCGAGCGTGGTGGACATACTGTAGCCACCCAGCAGATACGGACTTCGTAACGCCGTCCTTCCTCAAGACCCTCAATCAGATACCAATGCTGAGTACCGCGAGGCTCCTCGTCCGTTGGGAACTTTACGGGGAGCTGTGTCTCTAGCTTGTTTCGAGATGGTGACAGTGCATTCAGCTGTAGCTGTTCGAGCCCCGGACTGATGTTGGGGATGGTAATGCTGCTCGGACCAAGGAATATGACCTTTTCAGTGTTTGCCTGGACCGTGACAAGGAGGTAGCAGAGAAGGACGCGCAGGGCGAGGACAAGCATGGTTGAGGTCATGTGACTGCAGGTGACTGCCTGCGAATGCAAGCAAGAGTACAGTACCTTGATGGGATTGCGAGATGTTCAGAACACGCAATTTCAGCACGCCACCACCGGATTACACGAAGTCAGTGGATTGACAGCGTGGTGAAGCTGGCGCTGTGCCGTGAGGTGCGGTCCTGGTGGGGAGGCGTTTGACGCGACTGATTGGACCCGCGAGCCGGTCGCGCTTGGACCCTTTCTCGGCCGCTGCTCCCGTCCTCGATAAACACGGATCCCACAACACCCAACTTCGCTCTCCTGCCCACACTCTCCACACCCGCTCACCGACACATCTTCAATCCACCACCACCGGCCCCGACTCGACTGCTTCTTGCGAGAACCAGTACCGAACAGATCTTTTCCGGATTACTACAGACAACATGAGAGAAGTCATCAGCTTGAACGGTACGCTTGTGGCCCCGAATACGCATTGACCCACCTGGAGAGGGGGTAACATCAACATTTCATGGTACTGACTTTTTACGCGTCTAGTCGGCCAGGCCGGCTGTCAGATCGCGAATTCATGCTGGGAGGTGAGTTTGCGCGCTCTAGACCTCGACACAGGAATTGTCGTGAAGCGGAACAAATACTGGGAGCCTGGAGAAGAAAAACACTGACGTGTGGGGTCAACAGCTCTACTGCCTTGAGCACGGCATCCAGGTAAGCAGCTCATGAAGGACACACCCTGGTACGAGACAAGCAGCTGACTTCTTCTCTTTACAGCCCGACGGTTACATGACCGAGGAGCGCAAGGCCGCCGCCAACGACCATGGCTTCAGCACTTTCTTCTCCGAGACTGGTAGGACTCTGCAGCGTAGGCATTGCCACGAAACGTGAGACTGACACGGAACTTCAGGCCAGGGCAAGTATGTACCGCGAACCATCTACTGCGACTTGGAGCCGAACGTCGTCGACGAGGTCCGGACTGGCACCTACCGCGGCCTTTTCCACCCTGAGCAGATGATCACTGGCAAGGAGGATGCGTCCAACAACTACGCTCGTGGTCACTACACCGTGGGCAAGGAGCTCATCGATCAGGTTTTGGACAGGGTTCGACATGTCGCAGACAACTGCTCTGGTCTGCAAGGTTTCCTCGTCTTCCACTCCTTCGGTGGTGGCACTGGGTCCGGTTTCGGTGCTCTTCTGATGGAGCGGCTGTCCGTCGACTACGGCAAGAAGAGCAAGCTCGAGTTCTGTGTCTACCCAGCTCCTCAAGTCGCCACCTCCGTTGTCGAGCCATACAATTCAATTCTTACCACCCACACCACCCTCGAGCACTCCGACTGCAGCTTCATGGTCGACAACGAGGCTATCTACGACATCTGCCGGAGGAACCTGGGCATTGAGCGACCGAACTACGAGAACCTCAACAGGCTCATCGCACAGGGTACGTGGCTTGAGACGGTATCAGTCACTAGATTGCGCTAACACCCTTCCAGTCGTCTCATCCATCACCGCCTCCCTCCGCTTCGACGGCTCCCTCAACGTCGACCTCAACGAGTTCCAGACCAACCTCGTCCCATATCCACGCATCCACTTCCCGCTTGTGGCCTATGCTCCTGTCGTATCCGCAGCCAAGGCCGCCCACGAGGCCAACTCCGTCCAGGAGATCTCGATGGCCTGCTTCGAGCCCAACAACCAGATGGTCAAGTGCGACCCGCGCAACGGCAAGTACATGGCCACATGCCTGCTGTACCGTGGCGACGTTGTGCCCAAAGACGTCCACACCGCTGTCGCTACCCTCAAGACGAAGCGCACCATCCAGTTCGTCGACTGGTGCCCGACTGGCTTCAAGATCGGTATCTGCTTCCAGCCGCCCCAGAATGTGCCCAATGGCGACTTGGCCAAGGTCAACCGCGCTGTGTATGTCTTCACGCCCTGTCCATCAGAGGTCTTAGCTAACACGCTGCTAGCTGCATGCTCTCCAACACCACCGCCATCGCAGAGGCCTGGTCAGCTCTGTCTCACAAGTTCGACCTCATGTACTCCAAGCGCGCCTTCGTGCACTGGTACGTCGGCGAAGGTATGGAGGAAGGCGAGTTCTCCGAGGCCCGTGAGGACTTGGCTGCTTTGGAGCGCGACTATGAGGAGGTTGCTGCGGACTCCATTGAAGGCGAGGAGGGAGCTGAGGCTGAGTACTAGGCGTGCTCGTTGCACAGTCAAGGTGATTGATGAACTTCGGTCGGCGACGCTATTGGCTTGACCGTGTGGGTGTAACTTCTTCGGCGGGGTTGGCGCGAAGGGTGCATGCATCTGGCGGTTCTAAGATGTAGCGTTGGGAACGGTGTTCTCTCTTCTGTTCATGCTCTTGCGAATACTCGGATAGGGACCTGGATCAATCGGTTTTCTTCAACATGCGCTTTCCGCGAGACTCAGTACTTGACATAACCCATCTTGCATGTGCTATCATACTATACTCCCCCAGTATCAAGAAGCCGCATCTATCCAGCACCCTCATCGTCGTCCAACCCGACCAACCTCCTCTCTGCCAGCTCCCTGATCCTCTCCCCAAGCACATCCCTCCCAAATCTGTTCGCGACCTTCCCGGCCGCCTCCACCATCTTCCCACTCCGATCCTTCATGAGTCCTACAATCTCCAACGCCTTCATCCCACGCTCCTCGCCGTCCCTACACTCCGCGGCCAGCAACTGCAACAGCGCCTTATCGACCTCCAAGCCCTTCCTCGCCAGCTCCGTCCGCTGACTATGCGTCGCCCTCGTCGCGCCCGTCAAGTCCTCCAGCAGCGACAGCAACAAACTCTGCCTCACAAACATCTCCTCGAGTCTCTGCGCCTCTCCGCCCGGCGCCTCCTCCTCCTCATCCTCCTCCCCATCGCCCATCCCACTCGCCTCCTTACCCGCCCTATCCACAACCGGCACGCAGAACCCAAACTCCGTAAGCAGCGGCCTGGGGAAATACGGATAGCGATCCCCACCCTTGAGGATGATACAATGGAACGCCTCCCTCGCGACCCCGACGGGGAAATACCGCTCCTCCTTCCTCCCGCTCGCCAGCCGCGCCAGCCTCGTCGTGTCGAGCACAGGCACCCACCGCGCCTGGCCCGGCGCGCGCCAATGCTGCAGCACGGCCAGCACGCCCTGGTCGTCATACACGCACGGATCCCCCTCGGCGCTGAACAGCGCGCTCGCGAGCTCCGCGCCGGGCGATAGCGCCACCGTGTCCTCGGCTTGACACACCTCGTCCCTCGCGACGTTCTCGAGGCTGTACACGAGCGCGGGCCGGCCGTCCGGCCCGATGGCGCCGTTGCCGATAGTGAGGACGTAGTCGCGCCACGCGGCGCAGCTCACTGCGGGCGTGGCTTTCTGGCGGTACACGCGCAGGGGCACGCCGAAGAGGCTGTAGATCCGCACGTAGGCGGCCGAGGTGCACACGACGATGTAGGAGGCGCTCAGCGCGATGGCCGTCGCGGTTTCGCCGCCGGGGAGCGGGATCCGGAAGTCGGAGCGCGTGGTCCAGGTTTCGTGGGGGCGGTAGTAGAGGTGTGCGGGCTGCGTAGCGGAGGGGGATTTGGGGTCGGTGGATGGGGAGGGCGGGCACGAGAAGAGGCACCCGTGGGGGGTGAGGCAGGCCTTGTCGTATTTGAAGGCGTCGGTGAAGTGGAAGTCGCGGTGCAGGGAGCGGTCGTAGAACTCGACGGTTATGGTGTTGTGGTAGTCGTCTTGGGAGAGTGTCCAGATGCAGCCGGTGAGGTTTAGGGCGAGGTATCGTCGGTTGCCGCGCCAGGGGGTGCTGCCCGGTTGGAAGGGGGGGTGGACGGTTGGCTGCCAAGCGCTGTGGGTGGCGCGCCGCTTGGAGAGGGGATAGTCCAAGGCATCGAGATGGTCGTTTGGGCGTTTCCTGGAGGGGCCGGTACCGTCGTCGTCGGTGATGAAGCCGTCCGCTTCTGAGGCGGACATTCCATCGTCGCCAAGGATCTCGTCCAGCGAGTCGGGGGTGCCTCGTCGGGCATGGCGTGATACGAGACCATTTTTGAGGCCATTGGTTATAGGAGGTCTTCCGTTGGCTGAGATTTCGGCTAGCGGGTCGTGGATGAAGGGTGCAGGCTGAAGTGATTTTTGCAGTATGCCAGTATGCTCAGACGGGACGATATCTGTGTGAATGTAAAGCTCGCCATCGTTGTTCGTGTAGGACAGGATGTTCTCAGTCGGATGCCAAGCCATATCCAGAATGGTTGCTCGGACACCCTCGAATGTCTTGATGATCTTCTGGGTCTTAGTCTCCCAAATGAGGAGTCTTCGATCAGCGCCTGTAGTAGCTAGCAATCCACCATTCGGCGACCAGGCTAGGGCAGTAATGTCGGCCGTATGACCGTTCTTGAACACTCGCTGCCATTCCCAGTCGCTGGGTGACATGATCTGAACTTCTACTAAGGGTCAGCAGCCCGCATGTACTCCCTTGTGACCGCTACGCACCTCTTGTTGGCGTAGGCGCCGCAAAAGCTCGGCCGTCCGGATGCCATATCACCTTCGAGCTCGCCTCAACATCTGTCTCCAAGCTCTTGATCAACCCATCAACCTTTCTGATCATCTTCGGCTCCTCCGAGCTCAGCGAGTAGACGTAGATACACCCGTCCGAGCAGGACACTGCCAGAAATGTGCCGCTGTGGTCGAAGGAGATATGCTTGACCGGCCGAGCCTGGTCACGAAGGTAGAGTACGCGGCTCATGTCATCGGTGTTGACGACTTTGACGACCAGTTCACTGCCAACGTGTCAGTTCCTGCTCGCTTCTTCATGGGGACTGCCTTACTCGCTCGCAACAGCTGCCCATTTTCCGTCCGGCGAGAGCGCAACGTCTCGAATCGGGAGCGTGCATCGCACCAACACCCCATCAAGCGAGTTAGACTCCAGCGAGTACTTGCAGACTGTTCCATCCTCCGAGCCGGTAACGAAGAAGTCGTTCTGGCCCTGGATCAGCTTGAGTGTAAACGGACCTGTTTGGGAGGCATACCGCAGCAGCTACGGCGGTGTTCGAGTCTTGACAGTCGTCGATGTTCGTGGGTTCTGCGTCTGATCCTGTCTGGAAGACACGGATGGCATTGTTCGACCCAACACTTATCAGCTTCCTGCCGTTGGGTGTATAACTTAGGAAAGTCGGGCCCGGCATGTCTGCAAAGTATAAGTCAGGTACTAATGTCGTTCAGCACTCACTTGTACTTACGAGCCGGGCGACCGCGTAGTCGCTGTTGGTTCATTGTTGTCGAGTGCTGTCAGTTGCTTGTAGGCTTCAAGTCGTCCCTCAGCTATGGTGGTGCGTGATCATTTACGCGTGCTGGGAGACGCGACGGCTGGACGCGCCAAAGTGGCTTGGCAATTCTTGGCGGGCCTCCCTTACACCAATCCAAATTCGGCTGGGAGAAGTCAAGGGATAGCAATGAGAGGCTTTAAATTGAAACTATGGCCAATCGCTGCTTCTCCGATTGAGGTTTCGACCAGTTTCGCTTGCTTTAAGCGCCGCTGTCCTGTCGCGACTGCAGTGCATCGTGTTTGTGTACCGGCTCGGTAGGCGAGACAGAACCACCCACGCTTCACTCACCGCAACCGCAACCTCCGTCCTTCATACATCAGACTCAAACACCGCTCACGCGCTTCGACTTTCTGAAACGCCCCACATTGAACTCGAACTCTATAAACCCCACGCATCACGCAAATGTCCAGCGACAATTCCGCAACCAAGATCGACGAGAAAATGCAATCCGAAGACAGCTCCATGGCCGGCGAGTCCGCCCTCAAGGGCAAGGGCAAGGCCGTCGAAGAGCCACAAGACATGAGTATGGATGACGATGAGAGCTCCGAAGAATCTGCCGCTGAAGACCATGTGAGAGGTCCTACAACTGCTATCATCCAGTATGCGCTCGCAAGCTAACATCCATCCGTTCACTAGGCTGAACGTAAGATTTCCCCTAACTCCACCATAGGCCAACATTCTGACAGCGCGACCAGCCGAGGAAGAAGATGAAGACGAAGACAACATGGAGGAAATCGACACCGACAACATCCTCGACACCGGACGCCGCACTCGAGGCAAGGAAATCGACTTCGCAAAAGCCGCGCAGGATGATGCCGCCGCGGATGAGGACGACGATGACGATGAAGACTTCGTAGAGGATGACGACGCTATGGAGCAATGAGGCGATGCAGTCAGTGTGGTTGGTCTTCGTCGGTCGATTTGGTACAAGTCTTCCCGCTGATCTGGGCTCAGGGTACTACTGGGCCTGCAAAATGCGCACAGTTGCGTACAGAAAACCACGCGAAGGCCCGATTGCTCCTTTTCGATGGACGGGATGATTAGCGGAGTATAGGCGCACTGCTCTTGTTTGCATGCATTCGGAGCAGCATTAGTGGCGTGGAAAGCTCACATCCTAGCGGTCAAGAACAGATAGGAGGACAGCTCAAACACGGCAGCAACAAAACAACAATCTTCTGTGTTATCAACAAGCCTAAGTCATCTCAGAGTTTGTCTAGCGCAAGACCAGCTTGCACATTCAAGCTGTGTGCCATCCACCGCCTTGCAACGGACATCATCAGAAGCAGTGACAACCATAGATTGAAGCGTTCTCCTCTATTTGCCTATCCGAGAATTGGCCATGACCGAGGCGTTTGAGTGCTCAGCAGTCCAGAATGTCACCACCATCGCCACCCTCAATTCCAGCGCTGTCATTTATCATGATATGCTGATGCCCTTGCTTTCTCCCTCCATGCCCTCAAACCCCTACTGCTCCAGTACTCGATGTTGCCGCAATCCACGGACTGAACATCAGCAGCCGCTTCATCTTACCGTCTTACCAAAATAGGTCGCCTGAGATTATGAGTCCACTGCTTGTTCTTCTAGCTTCCGGATGTGACGGAGTGATCATCCGTATCCGCTGCATTTTGGGCCACGGATGGAGCGTTTCTTCAGGGACGCTCGGCGCCACGCCGCGCCGAACTGCGGAATTCTCCCACAGGCGGTGAAGCGGACCCTGAGCTTCCAACCGACGGTACTCTACAATGGTCGTTCTTAGTGAGAGGCGCCGGTCCGGAGGAGAGTCTTCAGAAGTCGCGGTTGTTTCCAGACGGCGACATCGGCGGGTGTTTCAGGGAGCTGCTTTCTCGTGACACACAGAAACGGGCTCGCCTTCCAGAACCCGCTTTCTCCCGATGCCGGTTCGTGTTGTCGCTGTTGTCGCGTTCGCTGCGCGCGCGCGTCAGTTGTTCTGCGATTCTTCAAGATGCTGCCGCGGTGCTGCCGGGCCGAGAGACCGCGGCTGAGTTCTTCCCTTGCTCTGTCTCTCAAGACCATCACGGCGTTTCCTCGACATCACGTTTGCGTAACTGAATGCATGCAGAGCGGACACAAGGCGGCAAGCGGGGCTTTAAGGGCTCTATCGCCAAGTGCCGTTTACGGTCCCGTCGCGGCGGTGTTGACGGGCAAGATAAGGGACTTTTTTGACCACCAAGAATTACTCGACAGATGGCCCGGCGCTGCGGTAGCTAACGGCTGGCACGCAACCGGCCGCAACAGATTTGCGGCAATCTGGTCGAACAAGCTGCACGAGGTGCATCAGCGGCGGGCATCAGACGAATCACACAGCGGCCATTTCACCTTGTCACTTTAGCGGCATGCAAAGCTGCTTCACCGCCCTCGGTTTCGAAGCTAATGAAGCACTCTTGGCTGCTCCGATGCGGCAGAAAACCGTGGGGTAGGCAGGGAAATTTCCAAAACTCGAGAGCCGTGCAGCAGGAGGGCGCACGCAGATGGAGAGGATGGACGCCAAGGTGGAGATGGATGCATCTGAGCTGGGGTTCCTGAGCATCAGTGCATCGCTGAGTTGCTCTGGAATCCGAATGGGTTTCCAATGACTCCAAAGTGCGAAGAACGATGGCGAGAAAGGCGAGGAGCTGCCATGTGAAAATCTCCGGCCCGCGCAACAGCGGCGATGGGCGCCTCGAGCAACACGAAAGGAGCAGAACAAGTCGAGAGCCTGAAGCTACTTCAAACGAGTCTAGAGCATTTCGCCCGGGAATCAGTGCATAGAGTAATACTTAAGAGTGATGGGTGCTAGCGCTCGCTGTTATTTCCCCACCCTCGCGTCAAGTGTTCAAAAACCCACCACCCTCCCCCTCCGTCTTCCTCTCTTCCACACATCACCCTCTGCAGCCCAGTAGCGACACCGCCCGTCAAGTGAGTCCGCTGGGAGCACCTACTCCATCTTCAGCTCGTAAGCCATTTCCTTCTACAACCCAGCTGTCCCGCAAGTAGGCCTGCTGGAGTTCTGCACGAATCCGCTTCCCTTGACAACCCCGCCACTGTGATTCGCCCAAGCTCTTATCGACCGAACCTCCAGCCTGGGGAACTATCTGCGCAAAGACGCAACCTGCGACAGTCTTGCACATCATCAGCTGTGAAGATCGCACGACCAGCTGAGGCAAACTTCTTTTTCCCCACCGTAGGACGGGGAAGGGCTCTACAATTGCCACCGGATTTCCTCCCTCCGCCCCGCAAGCTGTTAGGCTGCCCCAAAACTCTATCTCCCTTCCTACCGATCTGGACAGCGCCCGATTCCACCATTTCCAGCTTCACACACGGACGTCTACGCTACAGCAAATTCTTTTCGACCTTCTGCCCTTAGCCGTGACTGACTCCGAACTTCAGGTCGATCCAGGCTTCGACTCTACGTCCACGACCTCCTCAAACAATCGCACTCCGCACTTCCATCCTTACCTGCAACCTTTTCCGCGACCAAGAATTCGGCCTTTTGCCGAAAGAATGGGTCTTGTCTCGTTCGCAGAGGAAACAAAAATCTACGAAGCCGACATCGATACCCCGAATGAACAACCGGAGGAGCCTGTGAACGTCTACAGATACCAGGAAACGCCAGAGAACAAGTCATGGGCTGCCGCGTTGCCACTGAAGCAGGGTCTGTACGACCCTGAGTTGGAGAAGGATGCTTGTGGTGTTGGCTTTGCTGCGTAAGTCACGATTAGCCCACTGGCATGTTTGCTGGATCGTGAAGCAATCCATAGCTGACAAGAGTGCAGCCACATAAAGGGCAAGGCGAGCCACAAGATCATCAGCGATGGTAAGTGCTATACCTAGAATATTTTCGGCAGTATACTGACACTGTGTTCCACAGCTAAAAGCCTTCTCTGCAACATGACCCATCGGGGTGCCGTGGGTTCAGATGCCAGGGACGGCGACGGTGCAGGTGTAATGACCTCCATCCCTCATAAGTTCTTCCTCAAGAACTTTGAGCGCGAGCAAGGGATCAAGCTCCCTCCGCAAGGGCAGTACGCCGCCGGTAACCTGTTCTTCAAGCCGGATACCGAGGTTCTCAAGGACACAATTGCCACTTTCGAAGAGACGGCAGATTCACTGGACCTTCGGGTACTTGGCTGGCGGGAGGTGCCAAAGGACTCAACCCTGCTTGGACCGGCTGCTCTATCGAGAGAGCCGATCATCTTGCAGCCATTCGTTGTGTTGAAGTCCGCGTATGGCGACGGCAACGCGCCGAAGGACACCTTCGCTGAGGAGTACGACGAGTCACGGTTCGAGCGTCAGCTCTACGTGCTTCGCAAACGAGCCACCCACGTGATTGGCCTTCACAACTGGTTCTATCTTTGCTCGTTGAGCAACAAGAACATTGTATACAAGGGTCAGCTGGCGCCTGTCCAAGTATACGAATATTACTACGATCTGCTGTCCGTCGACTACGAAGGCCACTTCGCCCTTGTCCACTCACGGTTCTCCACCAACACATTCCCCAGCTGGGACAGAGCACAGCCGCTACGGTGGGCCGCTCACAACGGTGAAATCAACACATTGCGAGGAAACAAGAACTGGATGCGGGCACGAGAAGGCGTTCTGAAGTCGGACCTCTTCGGTGACGACCTAGAGCTGCTTTATCCCATCATCGAGGACGGCGGTTCCGATTCGGCAGCTTTCGACAATGTGCTCGAGTTGCTGGTCATCAACGGCGTGCTCTCTCTACCAGAGGCGGTGATGCTCATGGTACCAGAGGCATGGCAAGGCAACGATTCGCTGGATCCTGCAAAGCAGGCCTTCTACGAGTGGGCTGGCTGCATGATGGAGCCTTGGGACGGCCCAGCTCTTTTCACTTTCTCCGACGGCAGGTACTGCGGTGCCAATCTTGATCGAAACGGCCTCCGTCCCTGCAGATACTACGTAACGGATGATGACCGTATTGTCTGCGCCTCCGAAGTTGGTACCATCGCCATTGAGCCGGAGAGGATTGTGCAGAAGGGTAGACTGCAGCCTGGGAGGATGCTTCTCGTTGATACGGTGGCTGGTCGTATCGTCGATGACAATGAGCTCAAGAACAGTGTAGCAAACCGTCATGACTTCCGGTCATGGATAGAGAAGCAGCTCATTACTATGTCCAGCATATACAACCGACTTCTAGAGCAGGGCACTGATCTCTCTCACGAGATCACTGACACTCGCGTTCAGGAGGATCCACGCCTCAGGGCTTTCGGCTACTCCTTGGAGCAAGTCAGTTTGCTTCTTGGGCCTATGGCTGCAGATTCCAAGGAAGCATTGGGTTCCATGGGCAACGACGCACCGCTCGCATGTCTCGCGAAGCAGCCACGTCTGCTCTACGAGTACTTCCGCCAGCTCTTCGCCCAGGTCACCAACCCTCCTATTGACCCTATCCGAGAAGCCATCGTCATGTCTCTGGAGGCTTACGTTGGACCACAAGGTAACCTACTCGAGATGGACGAATCACAGTGCCACCGTCTCCTTCTCCCATCGCCCATCCTGTCGATTGAGGAGTTCAATGCTCTAAGCAAGATCAACACCCTTCATCCCGACTGGAAAGTCAAGGTTATTGACATCACCTTTCCCAAGAAGCAAGGCATCCAAGGCTACATCGACCACCTCGACAAGATCTGTGATGCAGCAACAGAGGGTATCAAGAACGGCGACAACGTGCTGATTCTATCCGATCGAGCTGTCTCATCAGATCGAGTTGCGGTCTCCGCTCTATTGGCCACTGGTATGGTCCATCATCACCTCGTCAAGAACAGGTGGCGTTCACAGGCTGCGCTTATCGTCGAAACCGGTGAGGCTCGCGAGGTGCATCACATGTGTGTCCTCGTCGGCTACGGCGCCGATGCAATCTGCCCTTACCTAGCCATAGAGTGCATCCTCAAGATGAACCGCGAGGGCCTCATTCGGAAGAAGCTGTCCCCCGAGCAGCTCATCGACAACTACCGGCACTCTTGCGACGGAGGCATCCTGAAAGTGATGAGCAAGATGGGCATTTCCACACTTCAGAGCTACAAGGGTGCCCAGATCTTCGAGGCACTCGGTATCGACGACGCGGTCGTTGACCGGTGCTTCACCGGCACAGCTAGCCGTATCAAGGGTATGACTCTTGAACTCATCGCTCAAGATGCTTTTGCTCTCCACGAGAAGGGATTCCCAACACGAAGCATCGTCGAAATTCCCGGCCTAGCTGAAACGGGCGAGTACCACTGGCGCGATGGTGGTGAGCCGCACGTCAATGATCCTACGGCTATCGCCAACATTCAGGACGCTGTCCGCACCAAGAACGACAAGTCGTACGAGGCATACTCGATCTCTGAGTACGAGCGGATTAAAGACTGCACATTGCGGGGCATGCTTGATTTCAACTTCGACGATTGCGCACCTATTCCTATCGATCAGGTTGAGCCATGGACCGAGATTGTGCGTCGTTTCGTTACCGGAGCCATGTCTTACGGTTCCATCTCCATGGAGTCGCACTCGACCCTTGCTGTTGCCATGAACAGGCTTGGCGGCAAGTCCAATACCGGTGAAGGTGGTGAGGATCCGGAAAGAAGCTTGCGATTGGATAACGGCGATACCATGAGGTCTGCCATCAAGCAGGTCGCCTCCGGCCGTTTCGGTGTCACCAGCAACTATCTCGCGGACGCCGATGAGCTACAGATCAAGATGGCTCAAGGTGCTAAGCCTGGTGAAGGTGGTGAGCTTCCAGGCCACAAGGTCTCCGGCCCAATCGCAAAGACGCGGCACTCTACGCCAGGTGTTGGTTTGATTTCGCCGCCACCGCATCACGACATCTACAGTATCGAGGATTTGAAACAATTGATCTATGATCTCAAGTGCTCGAACCCGCGCGCCCGCATCTCAGTCAAGCTTGTCTCCGAGACTGGTGTCGGTATTGTGGCGTCTGGTGTCGCGAAGGCCAAAGCTGACCACATCCTCATCTCTGGTCACGATGGTGGTACCGGTGCCTCCCGCTGGACCGGCATCAAGTATGCCGGTCTTCCGTGGGAATTGGGTCTTGCGGAGACGCATCAGACGCTCGTCCTGAATGATCTCCGTGGTCGTGTCATCGTCCAGACGGATGGCCAAATCCGAACCGGACGTGATGTCGCCATCGCCTGCCTGCTTGGTGCTGAAGAGTGGGGCTTCGCCACAACGCCTCTCATAGCTATGGGCTGTATTATGATGCGAAAATGCCATGCGAGTACCCCACTATCTTCATTGAAAGTTAATGCTAACGATTTAATAGCTTAACACATGCCCGGTAGGCATCGCCACTCAAGATCCGCAGCTGCGGAAGAAGTTCGAGGGGACGCCGGAGCATGTCATCAACTTCTTCTACTACATCGCAAACGAGCTCCGTGCGATCATGGCAAAGCTGGGTTTCCGCACCATCAACGAGATGGTGGGCCGCTGCGAGATGCTCCGCATGCGCGACGATCTACGAACAGCGAAGACCGAGAACATCGATCTGTCACTTATCCTTACCCCTGCTCACACGCTCCGCCCCGGCGTTGCCACCTACAATGTCAGGAAGCAGGATCATAAGCTTCATGTGCGCCTCGACAACAAACTCATCGCCGAGTCCGAGCTAGCCCTAGAGAAGGGTCTCCCCACCCGGATTGAATGCGACATCCTTAACACCGACCGCACTCTTGGCGCCACGCTTTCATACCATATCAGCAAGCGTTACGGCGAGGCCGGCTTGCCCCAAGACACCGTTCATGCCAACATCCGTGGCTCTGCTGGTCAGTCGTTCGGTGCGTACCTGGCACCGGGCGTAACGCTAGAGCTCGAGGGTGACGCGAACGACTACGTTGGTAAGGGCCTGTCCGGTGGCCGTCTCATTGTCTACCCGCCGCGCGCTGCTGTCTTCAAGGCCGAGGAGAACGTACTGATTGGCAACGTCTGCCTTTACGGTGCTACGAGCGGCACCTGCTTCTTCCGTGGCGTCGCTGCAGAGCGTTTCGCTGTCCGCAACTCCGGTGTCACTGCCGTTGTCGAAGGTGTCGGTGATCATGGCTGCGAGTACATGACCGGAGGCCGTGTGCTCGTCCTTGGCAACACTGGCCGCAATTTCGCTGCCGGTATGTCCGGAGGCATTGCTTACGTTCTCGACATGCATCACGACTTTGAGGGCAAGGTCAATCAAGAGATGGTTGAGCTTTCGGCCATCGAAGATCCTACCGAAATCGCTTTCGTCCGCGGACTCATAGAGGACCATCACCATTACACTGGCTCTGAGCTGGCGGCTCGTATCTTGCTGGACTTCAGCCGTGCCCTGCCTCGCTTTGTCAAGATCCTGCCTACCGACTACAAGCGCGTCATGCAGGAGGAAGCCGCAAAGGCCGCTGAAGCGAAGAAGGCTGAGTACCCTCTTCCCATTATGCCTGGTAATCCTGTCCGCACCGCACATGAAGCATCACGGAGGGCGGAGCACGAAGCCGAGAACAAGGAAAAGAAGAAGAATGATCTCCTCGACATCGAAGAGAGCGTTGGCGATGCCAAGGCTGAAAAGAAGAGATCTTTGGTTCTTGACAAGACCCGCGGCTTCATGAAGTACCAGCGACGTTCTGAGAAGTACAGGAACCCGAAGACCCGTACTCGCGACTGGCAAGAACTCTCTACACGCTTGAACGAAGATGAACTCAAGTACCAGACAGCTCGTTGCATGGACTGCGGTGTTCCCTTCTGCCAGTCCGACACTGGCTGCCCAATCAGCAACATCATTCCGAAGTGGAATGAGCTGGTCTTCCAGAACCAATGGCGGGATGCCTTGAACAGGTTGCTCATGACCAATAACTTCCCCGAATTCACTGGCCGCGTCTGCCCCGCCCCTTGCGAGGGTGCTTGCGTCCTCGGTATCAATGAGGATCCTGTTGGCATCAAGTCCATCGAATGTGCCATCATCGACCGCGGGTTCGAGATGGGCTGGATGGTACCGTCGCCTCCGAAGTATAGAAGCGGCAAGAGCGTCGCAATCATCGGTTCCGGTCCAGCTGGTCTTGCTTGCGCTGATCAGCTCAATAAGGCTGGACACAACGTCACGGTCTACGAGCGTTCTGACCGCGTTGGAGGGCTCTTGATGTACGGCATTCCCAATATGAAGCTCGACAAGAAGGTTGTTCAACGTCGTGTGGACTTCATGGGCGCGGAAGGCATCCAGTACCGGACTGGCGTTCATGTTGGCGAGGGCGACGTCACTCTTGAATCACTAAGAGCTGAGAACGACGCTGTTGTCATCGCTACAGGTGCTACAGTCGCCAGAGACCTTCCTATCCCCAACCGCAACCTTGACGGCATCCACTTTGCCATGCAGTTCCTGCACCGAAACACCAAGTCCCTCCTTGACTCGGAACTTTCGGACGGAGAGTACATCTCCGCCAAGGACAAGCACGTTGTTGTCATCGGAGGCGGTGATACCGGCAACGATTGCATCGGTACCTCTGTGCGTCACGGAGCCAAGTCTGTCACCAACTTCGAGCTCCTTCCTCAGCCTCCGCCAAAGCGTGCCAGCGACAACCCTTGGCCGCAGTGGCCGCGTATCTACAGGGTCGACTACGGCCACACCGAGGTCAAGACCCATATGGGCAAAGATCCCCGTGAGTACTGCGTCATGTCCAAGGACTTCGTCGATGACGGCAACGGTAACGTCAAGGGCATCAACACCGTGCGGGTTGAGTGGACAAAGAATGTCACTGGTGGCTGGGACATGAAGCAGATCGAGGGAAGTGAACACCTCTTCCCGGCTGACCTTGTCCTCCTGTCTATGGGCTTCTTGGGACCTGAGGACCGTGCCCTGGGTGGCATAGTGGAGAAGGATGCTCGCAAGAACATCAAGACGCCGCCTGGCAAGTACAGCACCAGTGTCGATGGCGTTTTCGCCGCTGGAGACTGTCGTCGTGGCCAGTCTCTCATCGTTTGGTAAGCTCATCATACCATTTTCATCTTGACTTCTTGCACTAACATATCAATTAGGGGCATCAATGAAGGCCGTATGGCAGCACGTGATGTCGACTCCTATCTCACCGGTGTCGGCACTCAGCTTCCCGTTACCGGCGGCATCGTCAAGCGTCCTCCCTACGAGCTTCTAAACAAGGTCAACGGCGCTCCCCCAGAGCTCATCACTGCCGCCGCCTGAACAACCCATCTTCTCACTACTCCGCGAACATGCACGATACCCTTGTACAGCGTAGCGATAGACACGACATGTACGACAGTAATGGCTCAGCCGGTGACGTGTGTACGATGATCGATTTCAAAAGTTATGTATGGAGAGATACGCACGTATGAGGATATCTGAACAGTCTGGGTATCTTCATGCACATCATTTCTACAGCAGGATCTGCCTTCACCAGTACTATGAGCGGGATTTGGCGTTGTCATCGTTATCGCTTGCGGTTGCTATACCAGTTTTTGATCTTCATTGCGGACTTTGTCACCGTTTTTAGATATTATAGCAGAACAATACAGTCACTATTGAGAGTGCCTTCCCCAACGTGCTTGCAACAGCGCCAATACATGCAGTCTACGCTGTCCAACTCCCAAACTCCATCCTGTTGCGAATGGTGAATTCACCCTCATGCTGCGCTACGCTCCGTGCGCCGTCGTGGACCATGCAAACGTGTTGACAACATGCGAAACCTTGTCCTCGTCAAACATAGAGTCGACCAAACCGGCTCTTTTCACTAGGTAGACCGAACCTGTGGCCGTGACGTGAGTACGCCGTCTCCCCAACGTAGGTCACAAACACCGCTTACTGCACGCACACAAAACGCCCGTAAACCCATAAAGCGACACCGCCTCTCACACGACCGGATTTCATCCCATAGGTTGCTCGTAGAGAATTCCCAGCAACGCCGATTCAATGATCAAACAACTTGTCCGGCTAAGAAGTGCTCCGCGGCGACGGACTGGAACTCCTAGCCGCTGTTCTTTGCGCTGCGCCCATGGCCATCAGGACGGTCGTGTGGAGGGGCTTCTCGAGCGCGAGGAGGGCGAGGGCGTCGGCTTCCGAGCGGGAGGGGTGGGGCAGCGCTGTTGTGGAGGTGGTGAGGAGGGCGAGGAGGAGGGGTATAGGACGCATAGTGAGGGCTTCACGGCTCGTTCTCTTGGGTAGGATGAAGAGCGTTTGAAATGCAGCTACGATTGGATCACAAAAGGGGTGCGAGAAGAAGTTCACTTCCATGCAAGGGGGACGAAGAAGGACACACAATACTTACCTTGACGGTGGAGGGGATCAGAGTCCTGAGCCGCGGGTCACCAGCGCGGGCTGAGGGTGCTGGCGGCCATCGTCATATGATGCTGCCGCTGAATATTGCACGTTCTTAGCTGAGGCTTGTCACTGGCTGAAGCTTTTCCAAGTTTTCCAAGGTCTTGGACGAGATCTGGACGCAGAGCGCACAGATACCCTTGCATTAGCTTCTTTCTCCACACCGGGGTCGCTAAGCGCAAGCGGTCTGTGCAGACCCCGGAGCTGGGCGCTAAGAGCGTTTGATGAGCGCGGCTGCGGCTGCTCCTTGGTTGTGCATCAAGCTAGCTGCCAAGCCGGACCATATAAACCATCCAAGGTCAATATCATAGAATCGCTTGTGCGATACTCCCCTCATAAACAGCGTCCATAGCGGATCCGGCCGGGGATGATGCCCAGGAAACTTCCCGGTCTGATCGTGGTTGAGGGAAGCACGGACCGGTTCGCACTCGCTTCGACGTGCGTGTGGATGAAGAACGGCATGTTGAGCGCGTGGAATCCGCGGTACCCATCTCTTGCGAGCTGTGATACGTTCCCAGTTCCAGTGCTTACGCTGGACAGGCCTGGATGCTCCATATCGAACACAAGTTGCATGTAGCCTTGAGCCCCTCAGAGAATTGTCCCTCTCCTCTTTTCCAGCTCCTCATCCACAGCCGTACTCCTCTGCTCGAACATATCGCTCAATATGTCCAGGTGAAGATGGCTAGTCTCCCGCTCTAGATGCCTACGGTCGCATCAAGTAAACCAAGTGACAGTGTTCGCAGTAATCGAGGGCTTTGTACCAATCGTAATGAGGGTCAGTCAATGATCCGGAGTGCACTTGAAGGTGACACTCTGACGAGAATCGAAGTCCTGGTATTTGATCTCCTTCATACGACCAACTTCGGGCGGAGCCACACCAATGCAAAGCACAGGACGATTTTCCGCATCATAAAGGTAATCCCCAATATTGACATCTGCAATGCGCTTATCGCCCATGGTCGTGCGCACTGTAGTTTCGGACGCCAGGCATTTGCGTATCATAATACAGCCTGGCTACGAGAGGCGTTGTGCTGAACGGCTGTTTCCGAATGGGTCAAGGCTTAACAAAGTAGATATAGGGTACCGTGGACATTCTTTCACAGGATAACGGGTAACCCATTCGCCTACCGGATTACCCGCATGGTTGTGTGCTGACAGTGGATCATGTAGCGTGCTAATGTAAGGACGACGCCGCTGATACCGTCTAAGACCATAAAGTCATTCTTCCGCTGAATCCTGCCTGCCCGTATCCCTAACGTCCTTGCTCGTCCTACTGTCTCCCAATGTCATAGGTAGTTGAAACCACCTACTGCTGCCGTAAAGACACTCCTGCTTTTGATGTTCTTGCCCAATCTTCTGCACTCAGAGATGTCCTTGAACCTCATGCTGCCTAGTTGTAGAGAAATTTCTTGGTTGGTTTGAAGTGCTCGTCCGGTGCTTCCTCATCTAGCAGCGGTAAGTTTTGCTCCGTGTGAATGTCTTAATCTGCAATCTGCCAGTCGTTCAAAGGTCCCAAGGTCCCAAGGTTGGCTATGAGATCTTGACGGGTATCTATGATTTAGACTGATGGCATCTTCACATTCTTGCGTATGCTGCACCATCTTCACATGCTCCTATCGTGCTTTGACTGTCTGTACCACGCACCATGGCCAATTGCGCCACTCCGGGAAGTGCTTTGTGTGGCATCTAGCAAATGAGCAACACCGTGGAGTCTGGTGAGACAGGTCGGCAGATACACTAGCGGTAGTTGTGATTTATAGATGCTGCTTCTCCTCGTTCTTACCTTCCTCGCTCCTTTCTCATGCGAGATTAGCTGCTACTTGTTAGCTACTTGGTTTGATAGCCGTTGCTATTTTAACCCCGTTCGTTGTGCTGTGAGCTAGCCGGACGAAGCGCCTTTTTGAAGAGTTTTAAGCTTGGATGAGCGTCTGCGGATACCCAGGACAGCAGAGGTCTTGACATTGATCGCGTGAACAGCGCAAAGCCCTTCCTCGAAGGGCTTGAAGTCGATCGCCTCTCGGAGTTGTGTTTCGAGCATCTCGTCGGCCTCGTCTCCCTCTAGCTTCTCAAGGGCGGATCCCGGCGCCATTAAGTCGAAGAGCTCTTCGGGAACCCGTCCTGAACACTGGCAATCTGAGGCCTCGGCGCCTTCCACAATGGCGGGACCATACCCCAGAAGTTCCTTCTCTTGTTTTGGGACGGGCTGACTAGTCTCTTCTACTGCCTGTCCCTTCTTCTTCCCTCTTCCCACGGAGCCGCTTCCAGCGCTCTTGTAATCCGGGACCGCAACTTCCGCACCATCCTGCGGCTGATATGCACTACGCCTTGTAATGCTAGGAGATCAGAGATGTCTAATAGTCCGCAGATCTTTGATATAATAGATTTTTCTGACCTCTGATGTCAATCCGAATTTGCGATGAGCAACAGCTAGGCTGCCTCTACTGAGGAGGACAGGGTCGTATTTCGGGTGTACTTTATCTCGAACATATTGGTTCTTTCCCATCTAGAAGTCGGGAGTCGGGACGTGTTCCCGAACGGCTCGAGGTAACTTCTTTCCTCTCCGATGGTTGTCCCTGGGTTTGTGACATTGCGCAACATGAAGAGTGACATTTGTTGATGCACCAACGCCGTAGGCAAGCCAATCGAGTTTCCGCTAATTCTTTTTCCATGAGTGTTCGACATCAAAGGTCAATTCCTCCGGCTCTGGAGACTGATCCCCACTGATTGTACGTCCTGAGAATGCAAATTGGTGGCGGACATAGAGCTGTGCAAGAGCGACAATTCGCAGCCGGGACATAGGCTGTCTCGGAGTTGCAGCCTGTAAAGCTTGACACTGTTAGTCTGTTACATGTTTCGTTTTTGGGATGTTCTCCTTGTTTGGTCCGGCAGCTGCGAGTACGATGGAGTTGAGCAGTCGATATACAACTTAAAATAGCCAGAATACAACGTAGAGTCAGCGAACGGATAACCGGTTGAACCTGGCCCTGCAGTTCGCTATCAGTGCACTTCTTTCCTTACTAGCCCTTGACAACCGGGCTGCGGATGTTAGCAAAGTATTACGCTCGTTAGCTTAGCCGAGGGACCCCGCACTGGTGACTCTATCTAGTTGACTCGCTGAAAGGTTCGAAAATGGGCGGCGACACTCTCAAAGCAGTCATCAATCTAGCAGACATGGCGAGTCCTGCGGCCACAAGCTGAGCGGTGTCTTCGCCGGCCTGGACACTTTCTGTTGTACTACTGTTTGTGTCCTATGTGTGGACATTCTGTCATGGTAGCTTGTGCCAGCCTTCTTCGTTATTAGTAGACATCTTTGGACATGTAGTTCCGTTACGAATGTTTGAAAGAAAGAGGCCTCACCAGCTTTGTGTATTGGAAGTAAGAATCTAGTGTTAAGAGCGGAAGAACTTTGACACAATCGGATTGTTACGAGTTTCATTATGATAGTTGAATTGAGCATGCAACTGTGTTACATGGGAGCATGTAAGGACATGGAGTTATCTAAGGGACAGCTGTATGGTAAGGGAATGCCGGGCATCATGTGATCCACCTCGGGCAAGGAAGCCGACCCTCCAGGTGCTCTTCCAATGAGACACACCATCACTTCCGCTCTGGTTTAGCTCAGCACCGGGCATGCTGTGTACGCATCGTTCCGATCAGCGCCTTCTCAGACTACGCATCTCCGGTCACCAGCTTCTTGATCCAGGAAGACTTTCCGCAGGGTCGAAGGTGGACATCGGTCGCAGCCGCATCTCGTCCAGAACCCGCTGATTGCGTTGAAACAACAGTTCTGCAAGAGATTGAGACGCCGAAGTTCCCGCCTCTTCCTCAATAATACGGGGTCCGCGGTGAGTATCAGAGAAATCGACGAACGCGGGTCGGGTGAGCCTGAGGGTGTGGAGCCAGGGATTGGAGCCTGTTATTGCTGCCGGTCTGCTTGAAAGAGATTGCAGACGTTCGCGATCTGTATCCAAGTTAGTGCCGTTGTTGCACCCTTCGATGGCATCCTTGCTCTCTGAGATGTTCAGTCTCGCTATCCTCAGGGTTTCCTTGATCTCGTTGATCTCCGAAGGAAGCAGTGCTAGAGACGAGCGTAAAGCCGCGATGCACAAAGCTTCGACATCGGCCTCCTTCATCCAGCCGGCCATATTAACGATTTCGACTGACTGGACATCATGGATATTTTCCAACGCACGCCCGAGGTTGTAAAGTGCCGTCGGATCTGGCTGTCCGAGAGAATCTATGAATTCGAATCCCCTGCAGATTTGGATCCCAAGGTTGCGAATCATGAGGCCACTGAATGCGCATTTTACGAGCGCGACAGTAAACAAGTGGAAACTGAACGCGGCGTAGCCCCGGTCACAGTCTGGTTCGAGGTACAACGTTGCATTTAGGATAGACGGATCACACGGAATGCCCACGTGTGTCGAGAGTAGGTCCGTGAGTGTACGCAGGTCGCGGCCTTGCTTCGAACTGCGGAAATGGAACGTATTGACCGCCAGAAGTCTCGATCGAGCTTCGTTGTACACTTGGCGACTCACAACGAGGATGTTGGAGCTGATGTGGTTTGCTGTTATCGGTCCCTGGGCGAAGGTGCAGAAGAAGCTGTGCCGGTGGTAATCTGTTCTCAGGGTGAGTTCGTAGATGTTATCTCGGAGCTCCTTTGGCAAGTCAAGAAGTCGGAAACGCTTTGACAGAAGTGCCATGATTGTGTTGCGTAGGTTATGCCTGCTAAGGATGGGCAGTTTAAAGTGGTCTCGAAAGCTAAGCTGACACTCTGAGTGGTAACGTTTTCTTGGGCGAAGTCAATTTTGGCACGAGGGTTAACACGAGAAGGAAACGAAAGATATAGGTAACGGGCTCGCTAGATGAAGCGAGTAGGCCCGGTGAATGCAGGCACATGATGATAGTGAGGATGCTGAGACCGCTAATCACACGTAGCGCTTCACTTGGTAGCAAACCATCAGGAAACCTAAGATTAGTCCTGTTACGCATCGTATTGTGGGACGTCACGCACCTGTATCTGGGCTCCGCTGCCTCACTCGGGTTGTGAAGACATGGTGGGTTTGGATGTGGCTGGAAGATACTAGTGAATTAAGATCGAAAACGCACTGGTTGGCCAAGTGTTTGGATATCACCAACATGGGTGCGGAAGGAGCCCGTGAAGGTATCTGAAATAAGCCATAAATGTCTTAAAGGAATTGGAGGGATAGTATGAGGCAGAGCCACATGCTGAGAATATTGAAGCCACAAAACAACGCCAAACCACGCCAGAAGAAAGCAAGATACTCTCAACTCCATGAAATGCAATGATGATATATGAGACGAAGTAGAGAATACTTTCACGTCTTAGACACATCCGTCTTCCCGCGCCCGATTGCTGAGGACTCTTACCCATGCCGGTCTTATCTCTCAGACTCCGCCATGTCTGCCAGAATGTCTTCAACCCATCCTGCTTCCGGCTGTTTGGCGACTATTGAGCACACCTCCGATGCATGCCACATACGCTTGCCAACCTCGCCGATCAATTTGTCATGCAGCCGTCCGGTATCAGCCCTTGTTCTGTTCTGATTCCCGCTTCCCCGCTCTTCGTACCATGGCTGAATCTCCTCCACTGTCGCACCGATCTCGAAATGACCCGCGCAGGAAGCACATATCCCCAGGACGGCCTCTGCGGTTTGCCCGGGGTGCAGCAGCGGGAAGGGTCGCTGCAGCAGACCATCGCAGGTAAATCGCTTGTCCAGATCCAGTGCTACGCCGTGCGGCTGACTTGCAAGTCTTGGCTGCAGTCGCAGTAACGGTAAGATTGATGACGCGGATCTGTTGTACATTTTCGTTGTAAGGATCAGTTGCTCATCAACGGTGATCTCGAATCTGGACCGTCCGAACTGTCGTACGGAGCTGGCAGTACCGTTCATTCCGGCCGTGACGCTCATTTCGACGGCAATGTCATCAAGCCGCATTGCTTCGGTCATCTTTGAGCTCAGTCGAATGCCTCGAAGGTCGATCTCGCCTCTCCTGCCGCTGGAACTGTCTTCCCAACTGCCGCGTATATTGCTCAATAGGGATTCTCGGCACCAGAAGAGCTCGCGGTTAGCAAGCTCGACCTCTGGAGATATGTTGCTCGCACTGACCACATACTGACGTTGATTGGCCGGGTTCAAGGAGGGTATTGGAAGATGCGGGTTCTTCAGATAGGTCTTCGGTAGCAGCATAAGCAGCCGCTCGACGTGCCCGGGCTGGATGAGGCTATGTACGGTATACGCTCTCCGCCACTCCTCGTCGGGAGTGTCGTCACCTGACGACTTCTCACGGACCTGTACCGAAACGGACAACGGATTGGGCCACCCATTCCTAAGATCGAGGAGCACAAGGCAGTGGTCAGCGTCATTACTCCGGCGTCCGACTCGTCCAAGTAAGCTTTTGAAGGGATTCCCTCCTTCATCGGCAGGTTTGGCCAGCGATCTCCTACTCGTGGACTTGTCGCTGCTGGTCCGGCTGAAAGCACGCTGGCGGTGCTGGTTCGACCAAGCGAAATCTCCAAGGAATGGGACAATGTCTATGCGATGAAGCTGAACAGCGGCATTAACAGTGATAGCGACTGGGACCGAAACCTGTCTGGTATAGAACTTGTCGCTGATCTGATCTGAAGGTACCCCTAGATGTGCATAGTTGAACTGCACTACACACTCGGTCAAGCCGTATCTCCCGAGAATTTCAATCTGGAACATCGCTTGGCCCTTCGCATTGATCTGCGTTGGTTGACGTTCACCGGAGCGATGTAACCGGACACATGGATCGAGCAGTTGCCTCTCGTGTTCGTAGAACTCAGCTGGTGGTAGTGTCTTGTTGCTCAGAAGAGCTTGAAGAGGTGCCATGGTGGAGTCTTGGAGAGAAACGTGAATGAAGTCCACAGCAGTATCTGTCAGGTTCTCAAGGGTTATCGAGAAGATCTTTCGTTCGCCCTCTAGAACCATAACTGCAGATTGTGGGATAGAGATGTGTGATAAGCGGATGATAGGTTGCTGAGGAAGCACGGTGAACACAAGACTGCTGGTTATGGGACTGGTTGTGGCATATTTTGTATCCGATGAAGTAGATGCACCAGACAGCGGGAGTGAGCTGGGAGCCTCAACTGCGCGGAGCCCTATCCCTTTTATCTTCTTTTCGATTGCTGCTCGCCACGGTTCGCGGAAGATAGGAAATTCGCGTTCTCGGCACCCTTTGATCTTCACTGAGCATCCAGTAACACGGGCAGTGCCCGTAGAGCGCGCAACAGCAGGGATAGCAAACTTTTGCGCTCGCCAGGGGCCCAGCCACAAATTACTATGCAAAGATTCGAGCTCAACATCATGACACACTAGCTTCAGCGATTCGATCTCCAGGTCGAACTCATACAGGTTCTGTAAAGTGACAATGAACTCGTACTGCTCGCCGGCCGCCAGGACCCATTCAGTGTCAAGATTCTCCGGCTTCTTCATGAAGGGATTGTGGATAAATGGACCGTTCGTTTTGCTTTGTTGCCTCGTACCGTCAAGCTCAGTTTTGCGATGTCGTAAGAGGAGCTTGGACGGAGACGGCTCCATAAGGGTAACGCCGCGTACAAGGAAATCATCCCAATAGTCAGTTTCCAGGTTCTTCAAGCCTATTGTTTTGGCGGCGCTGATGGTCCGAGAGACAATGGTCGCCAGCCGCACCTGCTCTTCCTTGGCCAGCACAACCAGAACTCCCATGGTGCTAAAACTTGGCGCTCTAGCCGGCCCGGCGGCTCGCAGTAAAGCGGCAGTAAAATGCAGAACCCCCTTAAAGTTTGGTAGAGCTTCAGACAAATCAATGCAGGCCCGTAGTACATCGAGCTTGAGGTTCAGGCTGCCAAAGGAGCGAGAGGCGGCGAGATCGGAAAGTCTTTGGAGAGGAGCGGCATTTTGTAGGTCAGACTCAACCGGCTCAGTCAAGCGCTGTACTTGTCGGTCAGAAGAATCCGCTTTCGTCGACAGTTCGAGTGCTGGTATTCCATAGGTACGGCAAACGACTTCGAGAACCCGTTCAATGTTATCTTCTGATACGGCTTGGCCTGAGTCGAGCGGTTTGGCTCCGCCTAACTGTTCACTCGCCATGTTGACTTCTGCTAGTCCTGCAGTAGGGTGAACTCCCATCTCAGCTGCACCGATTTTCCGGGCCTGTACCAAGGCAGGGATCAAAACGGCTATGTACTCCTTAATGATCAACGCTTTCTGCCTCCTCAATCCCAGGGAAGAGAAAACCGAAGCTATGCCGCCCAAGATTGCCAGCCGGTCAATAGCTGTTAACCGGGATGATTCGGATGAACAAGCCAATGCGTCAAATAGCATAGACGAGATATCATGCTTGGTGGGCCTGATGGTCGGTTTCGGTACGAAGAGGTCTGGAGCTGGTTCGAACGGTACGCCTCTTACCAAGTGGTCGAGCGCGGCAACGCTCAAGACTCCGTTAGCCAGATGCAACGCTGCGAGTGACTTGGCGGAGCGGATGGTACACTCTGCAATGGCGAGCTGCGGCATTGCTTCGCCAGTAAAGTTCGCCGCGCGGCCGTAGATATTTAAGATCATGTCAATTAATTCAGGCAAGAGATCAGCTAGGTGCCGTGCCGCGCCGCCCTGCGCCGAAGACTTAGGGGATCCGAGCGTGGATAGGTCGTTCTCGCTTGCCGATGGTGTTTGCACAGATGACCTGATACTGAGCGCCTTGCCCGTAATCGGATAGCAAATCTGAGGGATCTGAGAAGGTCGCATTAGCGTTTATGCATAAGTCGGAGCGTGGGTATGCATGCTTGCACGAAGGTACAGCCTACCTTAAAATCTACACCAGCCCACAGCAGCAGGAGCATACACACAAGTATGTTCTCCAGACCTTTGGCGTGCCATAGATGGTCGCTGAAGGCGCGGGCTTTTGAAGTGTGATCCACGAGCTCCCGCATGGCATCATGCCAGCGGCCAGCGAGCAAGTAAATGCTGCCAAGGACTATGCCCACTCTTCCCTTGCCCTTGTTTCGAGCTCGTTCACTTACACTACCTGAACCGAATCCGTGGACAGAGACACGATCTCTACTTGCTTCCCGAGAAGCGCTCGAGGCACGCGAAAGGGTAACTGAGCTGGCTAAGCCGCTTCCATCATCAGTAGAGCCAGGTCCGGCAATCTCATCGAAGGTCACTGGCGGCGTTCGAGTACCATCGGCAGGTGTCCCAGGACGAGAGTCGTCTAACGGAGTTGAAGCTACCGAGGAAGGGAGGTGCGCAGGCATCGAGAGCCTATGATGGCTAGCTTGTTGATCCAGGGCTGGCGAAGCTGAATGGACTCCATTGGTCAACTGCGAATTGCTCCGCATGAGTAGTGGTGGATCTCTCGATGAGTGTGAGTGGTTGCCCGTGGGTGCACCGCCTGGGCCAGGACCCGGTGATGCTATTGATGGAAGGGCTTGGTATGATCTTGCCAGTGTTGTCATCTCTGCAAGGAGCATACTGGTGAGATCACACATGACTGTTTTCATGGTAGTAATTTTGAGTTGCTCTACAGGAGGTATGACAGCTGTTTCCTGTGGAAGCCATTCCTCGCCTATACCAGCAGGGTGGTTGAACATGAAGAGGCGAATGACCAGAGTTCTAGAGTACCGCTCACGAAGAAGCTCTACTGCATCTCGAAGCTCTGACCGAATCTGATGGACATTCGAATCATCAACCCCAGAAGTCTCGGAAGAATTTGCAACACGACCAGTCGAGATTTCGTACTCTTTACCGTCGGCAACTCCAATGATGACCAGAGGCTCTCTGAACAATTCAAAGGGCGACAACGAGAGCTGAGAGGCAGTCGACTGAGAAGTTGACATCTCATATAACACGTGACCATCAGGAAAAGCGAGGGGAGAAAACATGTCTGCGTGTTCATAGGGTCAGCGAGTGCTCATTACATTCTCCTGAATTTGCAGGCTTTGATGGTCTTACTCCTGTCAGGGCGAGGGTCTGGGCTGACATCTCCCAAGCGCACCGCATTCTCAGCCTGGATCAGACTGGTAAAAGTCCTAAAGCTGGCCCGCTTGATCCTTCCCACAGGAAGAAGGAGTGCCCGAACGCGCGCCGGCGCGATGGGCGATAGAGAGTCGACCATCTCGATGCCGACATTGCTAAGCGAGGGGTCCAGTACGAGTTTACAAGCAGCGGAATTGGAGGTGATGCATTGAGGTGGCTTTGAGCTTCAGTGCGCCAGTGCTCAAGGATTGTGCTGCATCCTGTAGTTGAATGTCACGTGCATCTCCCTCTGCGGCGGAAAATTCGTAGACCGATACTCTCAGGCCTCCTCAGGCCTCAGGCCTCAGGCAAATCTTTCGGCGGCGCCTCTCCGGCTCCTGCAGATCGGGTGTCAGGATGTTGACATGCGCCACAGGGCTGAATCTCGACAATCACACCGTCAACACCGAAGGGCATTTCACTTCTTGTCCTTCCGGTCTCCAGCAAGCGTTCCACCGAGCATTTCACGAAGCATAGACGGCGTTCTGGTATCTTCCTGTTTGCTTATCAATCCCTGCCGCCTACCCGAACTATCGAGTATTTGCTGCACTGCCTTTGCCACCAACAGAACACTTCGCAACCCACGTCTTCACGTTGTTGCCTCGTGATTCTCGAAACCGCCATATCTTAACGTTATCTCTTCTACTGCCGCTCTCTGCGTTCTTTCCTTCTCAGAAGTTCTCTACGACGCTGCTAGTCTCTCATTGACATTCCAAACGTCTCCGCCAGGCGCAAGAGCAACGCCACAGTACGAGTCGCCAGAGTATCTGTCCGGTAGCATAACGAAAGTGGTATCGCCGGTTCACTGCGGTCTCTCAGCAGTTTGAGAAGTGCTGTTTTGAGACATTGCATTATCTTTAGCTTGCTCGGCGCTGCACTCCCGCACCATGGCTGGCTCCGTGGATTTCGCTCGGCTGCGTGAGCAGACTATGGGCTCTGGAGAGGACGAGGCGGTCACTGTCAACACCCGCGCTCTCATCGACAAAGTGCTGGCTCGGTATTCTGGAGACTGGACCACTCTCAGAGAGCTCATACAAAACGCGGCAGATGCAGCAGCTTCTAAGGTCACGATAAAATTCGAGACACTTCCATCACTTGGCATTCCTGCGCCTAGCACGACCAATGAAGGAGAGATACTGAAGCACAGGGTTCTCAACCACACGATAAAACGACTGGTCGTCTCCAACGACGGCCAATCATTCGCTGACCCCGACTGGGCACGACTCAAGCGCATCGCCGAAGGCAATCCTGACGAGACGAAGATCGGTGCCTTTGGCGTTGGATTTTACAGCGTGTTCGCCGATTGCGAGAATCCATTCGTTGTATCTGGCCGGCAGACTATGGCTTTCTACTGGAAGGGCAACAGTCTTTTCACAAGAATAGGAAAACTGCCAGACGATCACCCAACCGCCGAAACATGTTTTTCATTGGACTATAGGAGCAGTTCGTCCCCGATTCCGGATCTGTTATCGCTCTGTCAGTTTCTGAGCACCAGTCTGACGTTCGTCGGACTGAAGTCGATCGAGTTGTGGCTTGACGATATCAATATCTTTGGACTCAGTAAAGAGAGCTCTCCGAGTGAGAGTGTTCCAATCCCTCCAGAGCTGAACGCAAAGACTCAGGGAAACCTCATGAAGATCCTTACTGTCGCAAATCAACGCGCTCAGATCCACGGACGCTGGACGAACATCATAGCATGGACACGGACCACGTCGACTCCTTCCCTCTTCGCCACCGCACCTGATGAGTCAACCAACTCAGGAGTCTCGTTGAAGAATTTCTTCTCGCGGCTTACAATTGGTGGGACGAACAGTGGCGTAGCTGCAAAGAAGGCCGCAATGGAACGTGAAGCTGCGGCTCAGAGGACTATCGCTGAGGATCTTGCTGGCACGTCTCAAGCAACAATAGGCTTGCGCATGAGCACGGTAGACATCCGGACCATGGTCAACGACGCGTTCTCTCGGGAGCTTGAGCGCGCGACGAAGAAGCCACCACCCAAACGCACCAAGATCGCGATCTTAACAACCCCTTACGCTGGAACCACTACCATGCTGAGCACAGTCTCCGGTACTACCGGTTCTAAAGCAGCGGACATCTTCTCATCTGTCCTACCAAGTAAACATGGTAGAGTCTTCATTGGATTTCCTACTGCGCAGACCACCGGGTTTTTGTGCCATATCTCTGCGCCCTCCGTTATTCCAACAGTCGAGCGTGAGAGCATAGATCTGAATGCCAGGTTCGTCCGAGATTGGAACTTAGAACTTCTCAGAACAGCCGGAATTGCATGCCGCATCGCCTACACCGCAGAGATGGCCGAACTCAAGCAGGCTTTAGAACGAGCCATGTCAGCCTCCGGAAACCGTAAAGTTACGGAGGCTTATTTGGCGTCCATACTTCCGGACGCTACACACGTATTGCGGCAATATACTTCACATGAATCGACGCCCTCAACGCAAGTTGGCAAGACGATTGAAGAGGCTTTTTGGAAGTGTTCCAAACAGCAATCAATCGATATTATCTCAACTCGCGGTATCCTGCCAAGCAGGCAGGTGCGAATCGTACCAGAGAAGCTCAGTTTCTTAGGTGAGATTCCGGTAGTACCGGAGCGCGTGGCCGAGGAGGTGGAGGGTTTCATCCAGAAACTCTATGCGCAGGGGCTGTTGGCGACCATTACTGTCCAAGACATTCGAAACGAACTTGAGCGGAGGGCTTTGGATGAAAATGAACTGATGGAATTTCTGAAGTGGGCCGGAAAGAAGGCTACGACGAACGAACTAGATTCAGCTACCATCCAGGAGCTCCTCAATGCAGCCGTCGCCACGCTAGGACCTGACAATACTTCATCTTCGGAAATCCAAAAGCCGGGGTCGGCAACTACTGGCAGAATACTAGCGCTAAGAAAGATAGACTCGTTCTTAAGCGTGGCAAAAATCCCCCCAGAGCTTCCCATCCCACCCTCAACCATTCCGTACCGGTTCACGAGGAATCTTCTACATGCAGAGCTAACGGCTTTTGGCTGGGACGAACTACAGATAGTGCCGTGGCTGCGGTTCTTGCTGGGAGTTTCGGAAAAGAAGCCTGCTACCGTGCCTTTGGAGCAGGATATGACGGCCTCTCCCATATTCTCCGCACAAATCCTCCCTGCGATATCCAGAGCGTGGGATGCCTTGAGTCAGTCATCCAAGTCCACAGTCGTTGAGCTGCTGTCAAGCAGAACGGTCATTCCTACCAAGCTAGGGATGCGCAAACCTCCAGAGTCATACTTCGCGTCAGTCAAAGTTTTCAATGATCTTCCCGTGATCAGCGGCCTTCACGGGGTTAAAGAGAAATTCCTGAGTGCACTCGGCGTTCGCAAAACTGTGGAGCTTAACGTCATATTCGATCGGCTCGCAAAGCGTGCCTCCACTGGTGACCAGACGGATGATGCCAGTCATGTGGAACTTATCCGCTACTTCTCCTCCGTCCGCCAGGAGATGCCGGACAAGGATCACGAACGCCTGAAGAACATGGCTTTTCTACCAGCCGAGGAGCGCGCTGGCATACTAAGCCGTCTATACAAACCATCAGAACTCTTCAGGCCGGAGGTAGCTTTACGGACGCTCGGCTTACCGATCCTACATTGGCCGGGACAATGGAGGCCACACAGCCCAGAGGACAAGTACTTACGCTTTCTGGGGTTGAGGCAGCATCCAACAATGCCTGAGCTCGTGCAGCTTATGGTCGAGGCTGGCAAAAACCGAAATCAGGAAACATACAATCGGGCTCTGACATATCTTATCGACCGCTACCAGGTTAACGAGTACCACAAGTTCGATGCTTCCCAAGTGAAGCCCGCGTTTCTACCGGTTGAAGGCGCATCCACATTTGCATCTCCTTCCAACTGCTTCACGACAGATATGGCAGGCATGGTTGGCCGTTTTCAGCTTCGGAAGGACCTGCATCCTCATGCTCAGAAGTTTGGCGTACGGTCCGATCCTCCGCTGGACTACTGCATTAATTACTTGGTGCAACATCCACCATCATCACACCAAGCCGCTAAAGAGTACTTTGGATATCTCGCAACGAAAGTTGGAGAATTGAACCGCACTCTCCAGGACAAAATCGGTGATGCAAACGTAGTACCCATCACCAAGCTTGTTAACCTCGATGGACGGCAGAGTGGTACGGAGAAACCAACACTTGGTTCGATTGGCAAGTGGGGACACCGCGTCATGCGATACACCACTCCAAGGTCATGCTTCCTTGGGGATTCCACGACGTGGGGCTCCATATTCGATTTTGTCGACTTTGGTGACAACGCCAATGCATTCCTTCTTACTGTTGGTGCGAAGCAAGAGCCAAGTCATGTCGAACTAGCGCGTATGGTCGCTCAAAACCCCGCGAAAGTCTTGAAGACAATACAGCAAGACAAGTACATGGAACTTCTCCGGCGTCTGGCTGAGAACGAGTCAGCCCTTAAAGCTGACAAGAGCCTCTGGACCGAACTGAAAAACAGCAGCGCCCTCCTGGCCTACAAAGAGACTGTACCGGTGTCCAGCAAATCTCTGAACGAGAAGGAGCCCGAAAGCGATCAGTTCGAGGATGAGGAGTCCGCGGTCCGAGAGTGGTGCCTGGCAAGTGCCGCAAACATATCGATTATCGATCGAATAGAGTACTTCATGCTCTTCAGAGACGATCTTCTGGTTGCGCCGCAGGAGGAAATCCTGGAAGACTTCTACAAGTCTCTCGGTACACCGTCGCTAAGCGAAATGATCCGTATCGAAAAGCGCATTGGCGCCGTGTCCAAAGACCAGAAGGAAGCACAGGCTCTGCGGAAATTGACCATTGAGCGCGTGCGCCTCTTCCTGCATGAATATCAGCCTCAATCCGTCCGACACGATGCAAAGTGGCTGGACAGAAACCTAGTCGTACAATGCGTGGAATCCATTTCACTTAACCTGTCACTAAAAAACGCCAAAGGCTCGTACACTCAACACAGGACGGCACTTGTAGCTCGTGAAGCCAGTACCAGGCGTGCTTTGCTGAGCGTGGTTCGCTCTCCAGATCTGTATGAGGTTAGCCAGCAACTTGTCGCCGTCCTGATCAGTCGACCCAAGCAACATGACGCTCTTGCGCTGGAGACTATTATGAGCAACGATTTGCGTAGACTGCGTACGAAGGGCTACAATGTGGACCGTATCCTCAGACAGAAAGAATACGAGAACCGCATTGCGGAGCAGCAGCGGCAGGCATACGAGGACGAGCAGCGGAAGGAGAAGCAGAAGGAAGAGGAGCAGAAGTCCCTGGCACAGCAAGCGAAGAAGGCAGGTGCGGCTGCAGCTGGTGCGGTCGCTCACCGTGACCCGTCGTCGGAGTACGAAAGTGATGTGCGAAACGATGTACGTCCTTCACCTATCGCAACGGAAAAGATGCCGGGCGCCTTCGGCCCAGACTCGCCTCAGCCGATCCAAAGGAAAAAGGGCAAGGACAATATGCTCAAGAAGTGGAGCAGACAGCTTGGCTTTGGGGAGGCCGAAGAGAATGGAGTCGGCGGAACTGGTGGGCCTGGTAGCGTTGGCGGCCCGCCTGGTCCAGGAAAGCCACTCATGGGTAATGACGCGCTTGAAAAGAACCTCAGAGCCGCTGTAGAAGCGTGCCGATCGTACGAGTCAAAGCAGCTGCAGTCTGCTCCGCATACTGAAACCGTGGAAGAGACGAAGGGCTCATACTGCGACTACAACTCCCGCAAGGACATTTCCTACATTACCAGCTCCGACGTCACAGGCATCAACATCTACATGAACAACGGTGTAGCAAGTCCTGGAGCATTCATGTCAGCCAATTCGAACAGCATCGACCAGTTCGGCTTCATCCTGCTCGACCTTGGCAGCATCTTCGGCATGCAGGCGAAGGCCATCCATATCTTCCATGATCCAAACACCGCAACCATTGCCTTCAATCACGGCTACTCGCTCTTCTTCAACTACGCCTATTTCTCGCAGCTGCATCTGTCAAGCTTTTTAGGGGATGATGGAAGCGCCTCAGCGGGCGAGAAGAAAGTCGGCGCCTTGGGCTACTGGTACATGGCGATGTGTCATGAGCTCGCACATAACCTTGTGAAAGAGCATAACGCATCGCATTCTTTCTATGCGGAAATGTTTGCGCATACGCATGTTCATCGCTTCATGGCCACAGCCAAGCAGTACGACACTGTGGAGTGATGCTGTCAACACTTCTGATTTGGATTCTCGTTTAGCGTGGCGTTTCAGTTTAGATTTGTGATAGATAATTACTGCAATGCGGGACATACTATGTAATATAGATCATTGCGTCTCTGCGTAGACCGTTAGGCCGTAGCAGCTGGACTAAACCATGGCTATGGTTTCTCCTATGTTCAATCTTCCATGCATGTACACCGCAATCTTTGCTTTTATCCAGATATCCAGCCAAAAATCCTTCACAACGCCTCATCACTCATATCACGTCCCAAAAGAACCCCCCGGGCTTCCTACCTCGCCGAACCCGTGGCAGCAGGATATCGACTGCCAATCGCTAACCCGATACAACGGTCCCCACCGTCGCACTCCTGCCCAATACCGTTCCCGCGCCATCAACGGCCTCCGCATACACCCACGCGTTGAACCCAGCCCCGACAAACTCCGTCTCGAACCCCTCCCACGCCGCGCTCCCCAATACCGTAAACCCAGCCTCCCTCTCCGCGCTGCCATGGAAGACCCACTCCCGCACCTCCGTCGCGCCGTTCCAGCTCGCATAGATGGACATGGGCGTCCCGGGAGCCGTATCCCGGGCGAAAGCCGCGAGCGAGGGGGCAGTCAAGGGCCGGCCGACCCACTCGAACGAGTAGGCACGGTAGTTCATTATGGGGTAGCGGCCGAACGTCGCGAACAGAACCGGCTCACCGTCGGCGCGGACTTCAGAGACGGCGGCGACGGAGCCCCAGCCTGTGAAGATGTGGCCGTTGGGCAGCGTCTGGGAGTTTGCCTGGGAGTCGGAGAGGAGGCCGCCTGGGACGGGGGCCATGTAGCGCGCGAGGAGGGTGGCAGTGCGGAGGGTGTGATCGAGGAGGATGTGCAGGGTTGAGGACTCGGTGGCGGTGCGGGTGAAGCCGTTGGAGGCGTTGTCGAAGAGGGAGAGGATGGTGTGGGTGCTGTTGTCGGCGAGGAAGCGGGCATCGTGCTGGAAGCTGAAGTTGAAGTTTTGGAGGGCGTAGGTGGAGGATGGGTCGGATGACAGTGTCCAGAGGACGGCGCCGGTGGAGCTGTCGATTAGGTAGATGGAGGAGGTGTGCCGGACGGAGATCAGGTAGTCGCTGCTGTAGGGGGACTTTTCGACGGAGTTGATGTGGCTGGAGACGAGCGGTATTAGTGGGTGGTGCGTCACAACAAGGGATGGTGGAACTGAAGGTATACATACAAGTAGTCCCACGGTGACTGGGGCGTCAGACCCGTTCCAGAAACGTCTGTTGTGTTGGGCATCACGCCGGAGGCCAGGGGAGGGATGTGGCCAAGAGAACTCCAGCTGAAGAGTACTTCTCCACTCGTGACATTGATCTCCTGAAACACGCCTTGCATTATCCATCCTTGGCCAAAAGTGATACCATATGCAGTCAGATCCATCGGCGCAGGCTGGTACGAGATGGCCAGCGCAGTGTCCCCCCCGGAGATCAGACTGAACTCATGCATGTCCATTGACGATGCGCCTGTTCCCATCTGTACAGTCTTGACGATTGTGTATGTTTCGTCGAGGATGATGCCGTGGCCGAGCGCATAGCCGGGGCGCTGATTGCCTTGAAAAGCGCAGAGGTGATCAGCTCCACCGTAAGAGCAGACCTTGAAATCATGGACATTTCCCGGTCCGATCGTGCCGTAGCCGCTCCATATCAGATTCTGCGCAGATTAGTAAAGACCGCCTTGGAAGCCGCAACTGATGTGCCTACTCCGAACTTGTCGTAGATGTAGGGCCCCGTCTGGGTTGCTTGAAAGGGCGCGATAAATATGTAGCCTGCAGACGTTAGTCCAAGTCAAATTGCGAGGAGGTCAGGGGGTACTTACCAGGCGCGAATCCTTCGGGACTTGAATTCTGGATAGATACATTGAGCGCAGGGGCGAGGATATCAGGTCTCTGAACGTCGACGGATTGTTACCCTTCCCGACTCTAGGGCGAGAAACGACATGAGGCATACCGATTTGAACGTAGATAGAGGCTCTGTGACATTGTCGGTGTTCTGAGCAAGACCTGCCCCCAGAAACGCAAGTGCAAATGCGATCGTGGTTCGCCATGTTAGGAGAGGCGATGCGGAGGCCATCATATTGAACGCGAGTGAAGCTGAAGCAACGGAGAGACAGGACCGTGCTTGGAACGAGTGACTTGTTTCTTTAATATACACACTCTCATCTGAGTTAAGCAGAGCACAAAATGCAAGAAGCTGGGAGAGGCAAGTGTCGCAGAGTAACAAAAGCAACAAGCCAGCTTGATAGTTGTACAAATACCAATATAAACTTCGCCCGCTGCATGCACGACCTCATGCTGCTCGCCCCACATCCTCGTGTTGTTCTGTCACAGCTATTCGAGCACAAAGGGCTAAAATGCTCGAGATAGGGACGGGGCAAAGAGCCAGAGGCAAAGGGCCTGACTGGATGCTGACGTATATCAGGCATGACCCGCAAGCCATTGTGACCGTGTATGCATCTGTCCCTGCCAATAAACACTCAGGAACACTGAAGAAGGGGAGGACAGCGGGAGTTTCAGCAGGGAAGCCACGGAGAGAGGTCAGCTCCAGTGGATTGAGGAGGTGCTGTGATGGAGATTTGCCTGTGAGGCAAACAAGGGTCCTTGTCGGTTCCCGAAATATCAAATGCTGGGGTTCCGGGACCGGACCGCGAACCTCTCATCCGGTTCGTTCTCAGCGCCGCCGACATCACTCTGGGAAAGTCACGGTTTTGCGGGGCCGCGAGTATCTGCAGGGCAGCTTCATAAACCATCATCAAGAACCGGGCAGGGTGTTAGCATTGCGCAATCTTCATGTTGTCGGAGCTCTTGAGGTAAGCTGTCGCAGCTGATACTCAACAAGCCCGGGTCGAACAAGGTCAAAGGATATCACCATATGCACAGAGAAATCCGAAGTGCGGCCGTAACTCATGGGTTCATGACTAACTTTGACTGACGCCAGTTCCATGCAGATGTTGCAGGACGCAAAATGTCGAGTGTTGCGGACCCAAAGCCCGCCAAATGCTTGCCGCTTTTCCCCAGGGCGAAGTTCCACCCTGTGCCCCAATCCGCGTGTCCGGCGTGACTCGTGAACAGCCAACGCGCCAAAAGATCAAGTTCGCAAGAGGATGGCTTGTAGCCCGGTCGAAACATCTACAGAGAAGTGGAATGGGGAAAGGAGGTTGTCGCATAGAATGTGGATGGGAAGAAGGTGTCCTCGTGTAAAGCTTTGAGAAGGGTGTCGCCGACAGCGAAAGAAGTGCGAGACGCGGCGCTTAGTTGGGGCATGATGCCTGAACGTGGCCTGGCTGCTTGCACTTGTAGCACGTGCGCTCGGTCGAGGCCTCAGACGGGCAGTCCCTGCTCAGGTGGCCAACTTCGCCGCCTGGAAGAGAGTTAGCAATGCGCGACTCTTGTTAGAGGGATATACACACAGTTGTAACACTTCTGGCCCTGAGTGCAGTCTCTCGACATGTGCCCGTATCCGCCACACGAGTAGCAGGTGCTGCCCCGAGGCGCGGAGTTGTAGCCGCCGTAACCTCCGCGTCCTTGTCCGCCGCCGCCGTAGTAGTCACCACCGCTCTGAGGGCAGCTCCGGGCAATGTGGCCAACCTTGCCACACTTGTAGCATTCTTGACCGGAACCGCCGCCGCTTGCGCCACCATAGCCGCCGGAACCGCCTGAAGCCTCGTTCGGGCAGTCGCGGGAGATGTGGCCAGTCTGGCCGCAACGGTAGCAAGGCTTCTCCTGCTGTGGCGACTGGCATTCGCGGCTCAAATGGCCTTTCTCGCCGCAGTTGTAGCAGGTAGGGTTACCCTTTGTGGGGCAGTCGCGGGCTTGGTGGGAGGTATCACCACCTTAAATAGTTTGTTAGCAAACGTATTTAATCGAGTGAGTGGGATGACATCGGAATGAAGGCGAGGAGTGCTCGAGGCCAGTAGCAAAACTCCCTTATGCGGATTTCGCCGCGCGGTTGGTATGAAGAGGATGGGTGAAGACGTTGGAGGAGCTGGTTGACTATGCGGCAGATTCAAATCGTTCACATATGAGATGTTTCAGCGCTTGCGATCGCGCCTTGACAACGGCTTTGCTCCGCTCAGCTTTACGTCCAAGCGACGTGTAACATCCGGGTGACATTTCGGAGATAGAAGTTTTCACCCGGAGGCGGGTTGAGGAATGTGGTGATAAGTTGCTCGTGAAGCCAGATGTTGGGTACGAAGTACCGTTTGCGCAAGATGAGACAGAAAACACCCACAGTTGTAGCAAGCGCGGTTTCCTGATTGGTACTCCATTTTCGTGGTAGGTTTGAACTGACGTTTGACCTGACAGCTGTTAGCCAGAGTCTCTGAAGCACTAGGATCCACAGGTTGCCAAAGCGGCGATAAAGACCACGCGCTGATGCCGTACCTATTGCTTGTCCAAGTGGTGATAGCTAGAGCTGGTCTGTGAAGGGTTGAAGACTGGAGAGTTATCCAATGCTGATTGAAGTGAGGTGTTCCGGTGGAGAAAGCACGAAGGACATTTTCTTGCGTGGCTGGAAGTTGCGCTAAGAGCATCCAGGTTGCTAAGCGAGCTTTCTCGCGGGAGGCGGATCGCCCGATGGCGCAAGCGGCAACGGCTTTGGATGATGGCAGAGAGGGGCTTCAAAGCTCGGAGTTTTGACCGAGGCAGCTGAGGCTGCCAAGGTTATCGAGGTTTTTCTCAGGAAGCATGAGCTCAGCCTCTGAGAGAGAGGTCGCTGGGAAAGGGAGGCAAACCGTCTAAAACCTCATCGCGGGACTTCCACGCCTCACGGGAAACGCAACGCCAGGAAGGGTCACCGCAGGGCAGTTCGTCACGGGTCAGCCACGAAGAACTGGCGTTGCCAAGAGACGTTGAATCGGCCGTCTGAATGCGGTATGCCGGCCAGTGACTCTTTTCTTGAATCTACGGAGGCCCTTGTTGAGCTTTGAGCCTCTCTACTGGACTACAAAAGCTACCTGCTACTACGTGAAGTCGTACACAACCAGCGTCTGACTACCCCTACTCCTTTCCCTCAACACCACAACGTTCTCGTCATCAAACCCCACCCAGCCTCTGGTAGTTGACAAGTCATCAACTTTAGCCTCTAGCGCCAGACCCAGTCCCGAACCCCGTTGTGATATGGCATCAGATAGCGAGTCCAGATCCTTGTCCCCGCTGACCCCCTTCTTTTCTGGCCTTATCTGAACACTAAGCTCGCCGCTAATCAGTCGCCTTCTATTTGCTGACGAGTTCATGCCTCCTTCAAGCTCCCAGACGCGGAGCTCGTCGCCTCGAGAGCTGACCGAGACCGCTTTCCCACGCCCGCCAACATGAGCGCTGGACACCGACGAGGTGTGACCCCACAGCCTGCTTCCCGAGCTGATCGAAAGCGTTGATGAGGTTGACGTAATGAGATAGAGCGTAAGTGTGTTGTCGGGGTGAGATACCAAAAGGTAAGGATGAGTATAGGACAACGATGTCGGCTTGGAGTAAATATCATGTGACCCAGGTGACGAAGCTGGCGAGCTCAATCTAGTAGACGGTGAAGATGACGCAGGGGAAGGACGCGTCAGAGGCCGGAAAGCATCCTCCGCAGAGGATGCGAGTCGTGATTCGATTAGATCGCCATCAAGTGTAATGCGCATCTCCTGTATCCCAACGGACCATCCGCGTGGATATCTAGGAATTGCATACGCGATCGAGGCTGTTATGTTCTGAGAAGATGGCCGTATAGAGAGTGATAGTGGTGGCCACACGGTATGCGATATTAAAGAACACAGCAATCGAGGAGGATCAAGAACGTCTTTAACGCGCTTGTCGTCCGGCTCTGTGGAGAATTTGTAGAGTGAGAGAAGTTGGGATGCCGTCATGGTGAGGATATACGGCGAGGAGTATGTGACTGCGGACAGTGCGCCATTGGTTGAAGCTGGATGGCGGTAGAGGGGTTCGAACGACCCCTCATCCTGTCGGAGCTCAAAGACAGTGAAGCTCCCATCGCTGAAGCCCACGAGAACTCGCTGAGCACCACTGACGGCACGCTGAGTGTCGATGGCTAGCGAGGTTGGAACTGGGCTTCCTCGGCAGTTTGCGGGTGCGAAATGGACGTTGGCCATCAACCTCCGTTGCCGCTTGGTTCTCCACGCTTGGAGTCCGCCTTGGGAGTCCGCCGTATAAACAACACCGTCATGAAATTTGGCCAGCAAGGGTGGCACTGAAGGCTGTTCGGCAACCTGTATCTCACTTAAGGCGCAGCTGCCCCTCGACCAGTTGTGCCGAAGCTTGTACTGCCGCTTCCAATCCGTTTCCTTTCCTCTGCTTACTAGGCTCTCTTCATCCAGCCATTTCGATAGTTTCGAGGAGAAGTAGAGGTGGCCCGATGCAGTTTCACCGTCCCGTAACCCGGGTAGTCGAGCAGCGCGGGGGCGAACGAAGCGATTGTAGTAAAGGGCCTTCCAGAGTTGCGCATCTCCTGCAACAGCGTTGAACCGTTGCGACAACCTACAGACATTAGCGAACGATCTTTGGAAAGGGATATAAATTCAAGCGCCATACCTTTGGGTAAGACATAGCTCTGATACTGAGACGAAAGAGAGGATGCGCAGCAGTAATTCGTCGCTCAGCTGCGACAGATAGTCGATCCGGATACGCTTCGAGCGTTTGGCAGGTCTCTCGTACTCTATGATGTCGGAAGGCGAGCGCTTGGTCATTTGGTAGTGGACTCTGAGGAAGAAAAGGGCAAGGAGGAATATAGTGAGCGGTGATGGAGATGTTCTTGGACTGAGGCTCCTATCTTATCGCCACCAGATGTCCCGCAAACGTCACGTGCTTCGCGTCAGCGTCCTGTCCGTCGCGAGACGCGTCCGTCAACACACTTTAGTTACAACGTCGCGGCAGAGACGGCGAGGCGGCTCATTTATATACCGGCAATGCCAGCTTACATCAAAATATTATGACGGACGCTTCGGAGAACGACTCCCAGTGGCTGGCCCGACAGCGAGATATCATTTCCAGAAGGATGGCGGGTGTATATGACTTTCATGAGAAAGCCTTAGCAGCGGAGCTATCTAGAAGTGAGTATCGTTACACCCTCAGTTCTTTTAGTGCTAACAACTTCGTAGGAGATCAAGAGAAGGAGCGCGAGAAAGCCAGGTTATCTGAGGAGATCACGAGACTTGATCAAGAGAGGCAGCTTATCTCGAGCGACTTGCTGAGGCTTACGGAAAGAAACAAGGCATCCGAGAACGAAGTGCTTAAACTAGAGCAAGAAAAGAGAGCGCTTTCGGACCATGTCGCGAAAATCATCATCCAGGCATCGGCCGCGGAACAGCTTCAGCGCGAAAACGAACGGCTACGCGAGGAGATTAAGAACTTGAAATCACAAGTTGCGGAGACGTCGCACTCAACCGTCGACGGTTCTGAGGGGCGCGGAGTTTCAGCAGAATCGAGCATCGCGGCCGAGCCTCGAAGTTCTTCAGAAGCTACAATACCGACGCAAGAGGCTACGGTGCCTTACAAGGATTACCATGAGCTTACCGTGAAGTACAACCAATGCAGTGAACAGATGGAGGCGTATCGACATGCTCATCGCGTGTTAACGGAAAAGTACAGAGCTTCGAAAGAGCGGGTTAAACAATTCGACAACTGGTACAGGCGATCAAAAGAAAAGAGTGTCAGGCCAGAACGAACACCAGCTGGGACGCCCGCTTCGGGCAGCTTTATGCCAACTTCCGCCGGCGAGATTACTCTGTCAGACAATGAGCTGACTCCACGGGCGTCTTTCAGACCAACGATTCACGCTGACTTGCCACAAGCAACCCTCGATCGCCAGGGACATATCGCGGTTGATTCCGGCCTGGGTGATCGTGCACAGTCTGGTGCTGACGCTTCGAAACATAGCGATGAGCGGGAGCTCACGGGTAATCCTGGCTCAAGCCAGACCACGCAAGACGATGTGGAACGTGAACCACCACGAGAGAAAGTTGTCAAGAACAATGCTACGATCGCTGAGGATATTCCTGTCATAGTCTCCGCGCGGTCTGTAAAGTGCAAGCCTCCCGCAAGCAGAGGCAGAAGTGGCATACACGTTCATGACAACGCTGAGCTACCAGGCGGCACGCCAACTCGACCTGTCCGCATCAAAGATGAACCATCTAGTAGTCCCGTCGTCCTCGATGAGGAGGCACGGCCCTTGACGCGCATGGAAACCTTGGATCTCGACTCGTCAGGAACCGACAAGGAGACCCCTAGGAAACGGAGAAGAAGGGAACTGCTCCGGCAATCTCAGCGCGGGTCGTTCCGCTCGGATCTGTTCGACAAACTGCGGCATGAGAGATCCACTAGTCTCCCCATCAACACTCAGAGCCAACTTCACAGAGCGGACGTGCCTCAAGGCGTCCCGCCTGCCGCTGTAGTGCCTAGAGGTCTAGGACGCTGCGATAGTGACCCCACGGACATGCTGGACGAAAGAGCATTCAATGAGCTCATGCATACAGACATTCCTGAGAATTGGAATTCCCCAAACCACACCTCCTACAAGCGCCGCAGACTGAGTCCTTTACGACCTCTGGATCCCAATACCACGATCTTGCCTCGCACTGGGAATTTTAGCACTCCAACACGAAAAGCAAGAAATATTGACAAGGGTTTAAAGTGGATTCACTTGGTCTCTGAGGATGGAGATATTCGAGAAAAGGCACCGTCCAGCGATGACACCACCATAGAGTCACTGGCAGCAAAGGCAGAGTCACACCAACGGCTGAGCGCACTGCTGGAAGGCCAGTCTTCCGAGAACGGTTCTGTGTCTTTTGATAGAACACCAATAACGAAGAACACCAAGCGCAATCAATCCCCGCTTACTGCCACCAAGCCATTTTCAAAATTGCCAGCTTCCAATAAAACCCGGCAGGGACAATTCATCTCGCTAAAACCTGCCCCGAACGCCATGCGAGCAAGTCCCGCGGAGCCGAACAGAAGAGATGCTGAGCGCCTCCGCAATCGACCCCTCGAGCAGCTCAATCTGAGTGACTTCAAGATTAACACGCGGTACAACCAGGGTGAAGCCTTCCTCTTCGTCGACGCTGTTCGCGGTCGAGACGCTCGCCGCTGTCTCCCTGGCTGCACTCGGCCGGAGTGCTGTGGTGGAGTCTTCAGAGCCATGGCTGAAGCTGGCGGTGGCGCCGATCTCGCCCGTGGGCTGTGGGACTCCTCGCAAGACGCGGATGTCGATGAACGTTTACTCGAATACCTTATGGGTGATCAGTATGACCGCCAGAGCGTCACTGAAATGGGTGCGGAGGAGAAGCAAGAGCTGCTTGTGCAGGCGAGAACGAAGCTCCTGGCTGATAGATATGGCAAGCATAGGCATGCCTTCGAGCGGAGCAAAACACCGCCGGGTTACTGGAGGACCGACATGCCGACGACGCAGGAGATTGAAGAGGATAGGCAGAAGGCGAAACAGTACGAGAGGGAAAGGGTGGAGATGATGTATGCGGAAGCTCTGAGAGGTGAAGGTGCTTGGATGTTCAGAGATGAGTGATTCAAAAGTCATTATTAGTTTTCAGCTTGAACAATTCTCAGACATCTCTCGAATACCAGCAATAATACATTATTCAGCTTGAACGCTTGATACGAAGTCTAGTCTTGACAGGAATGCTCTCTTCATCCGCATCTATTTCTAACGTTACTACCCTACCGGTCCGAAGGACGCCTTTGCAATCTTGTATGAAACTCACGAGTCACCACGTCCTCTCTGCTACGCACTCATACTGTAGATGCCTGAGATAAGGCGGAAGAAAGTTATGGATGCCCGACGGAAGAAACCGAGCAGCCCCCGGCCCCGTCAAGGTCGGTGCACGGGCTCCCGTCGTCAGCAGCTTGCATTAGTCCCTGCAGAATACCAAGAGGAGTTTCTCGTCCCCGGTCTGAATGCCAAGTGCGCTAAGCAAGATAACCCTTGAAGGCGGCCGGCACGGATCTCGCCCCGATGTCACGTTACTAAACTACACAAGGGTCCACTAGGTAATAACTGGAATCCGAGGTCAAGAAATTTCCAAGCCGTGGGGCAGCGAGACGCGGAAAGCTTTTTCAACGCCGACCGAGCCTCGGGGACCACTTCACGACTTTTCTGTCGCTGCGCCGCAACGCGACTCGAAAGGCGCCAGGACGTCTCCGCCATGGAGAAGGGTGACGTATAGTGAACAGGGCCCGATATGTATGCACTTCAAACGTACCGCAGCCAAGCGCGTTCGTTATCCCCGCAACATCGGAAGAGATGCAGTGATCGAGCATCAGATAGGTTGTCTGTGGAGTTAGCGTCATCACAGCATTCTTTGAGGGCCACATCATCCTGCAGCAGATTGGGCCAGTCAATCGCGCTCCCTGTGCTCGCGCGATCACGATGTCCGTCAGAAAATGCTCATGGAAAACTTCGATCCCCGCTGGCTGCGCTTGCAGCGAAGGATGCATTAACACAGACGTGCTCCGTGTCCGAGAAAATACTGGGCGGATGATAGGTTTGACGGGGATTCCCAGCGCCGATAAACGCTAAGAGCGTTCGGCCGAGGCGGACACGCCCAAGCAAATCCTTCGCTCCCCACATCTTCTCATGTCGAAGACGGGGCGGCGGAGTCTCGAACAATCCGCCTTGCAGGCTTGCTCGCGCGTGCACTTTGCGAGTAAGCATAGAACAGCCTCGCGCCAACGGCTCTAGAAAGGCTGATTTGGTGGGCGAAGCCGCAACCGTGAAACAGCGCGCTGGTCGGTGTCGTGGACAACAGAAAACAAGCGTCACAACCGAAGTGCTGAAAGCCGCAACCGCTAGACATCCTTGCGCCTACCCCAGATCCGGCGGTGATGAGCGTCCACCACACGCTTCATGGCGTCTCATGATCTTCGCACCGCATGCACTAACGCCGTTGCCCTTTACTGTACGGAGGAAGGCTTGTGGGTAGCCTGCCGGGGAAACTGTGGGAAAGAAACGGCCCCCACACACTAGGGACTGCACGACGACGGACCCTTGTTCTGCCTCACCTGAATGCTACCTCTCGGCGCAGCATCTGAGATGGCTGGGGCGCCTTTTGCCCACAGCTGTCGTGACGCTTACTCAGATCCAGATGGCTTTCTTGCGCTCCAGGAGGGAGACTGGAAAGTGTTCCCCGGGTCTGGGGAGCACCGTCATCTTCAGTTCTGCCTCGGCGAATCCCTGGCCGGACGTTTGAAGATATTAGATCATTGCCCGACTTGGTCGCGTCACAGCGCTGCAGATATATGATCACACCGGTCCCCACACGCTCACATAGTGGAGAACGCTTTTTAGCTGTGCCTGTTCTCATTCAAACTTCTCGTGCGTCTCGCTCCACAGCCAACGCTGAGTGAACAATTGCACACAACGCACGTTGCATTCGCTGAGCAGTAAGAGCTCTCTATCGCCGCAAGCTCTCTTTGGCTGACTCTTTTCACCTTCAATCACAGCCGCCTTTGAGTTACTTGGTCGAGCAACGACTACAGAGGATCAAGATGGAGGCCCCGATGAAGACTGAGATTGAGGCCGCGGGCGGGCAGTACAATGTCAATCCTGGCCGCCGACGAAGCACGGTCACGTCCATCAATATGCACCAAAACCTAGACGCCAAGTTAGAGCAATCAACTCTGTTGAAAGTCGTGGAATTTACTAAGAAACCTGCGCAGAATTGCCAATCCCTTGGCTGACATTCCCGAGGAAGACCTTATGCTCGATGTAGAGGAGTTTGCACGAGAGAAAGACATTGTCGACATGCTGCCGTTACTCCAACGCGGCGCACGCGTCGCCCAGAATCCGAAGGGATACGAGCACATCGAGAGCCTCGAAACCCCAGAACTTGAGGCCTTGCGCTTCGAGCATTCGCATAAGTGGACACACCCAATGGCCCTTTATTTCACCATCATTATCTGCTCCATTGGCGCCGCTGTCCAGTAGAGTCACCCTTTTCAACCCTACAGCACCCAAGTCGCTGACTGCGTTTTAGGGGCTGGGACCAAACTGGTTCCAACGGCGCAAACTTGTCGTTCCCCACGGAATTTGGTATTGGCCACGGTGAGACGGAAGGACACCCCAACCAAGATCGCGATAACTGGCTTGTCGGCTTGGTTAACGCTGGACCGTACATTGGCTCTGCCTTCCTGTTAGTACCGTAGCCGTTTTAATCGAGGTATAGATATGGCTAACGATGCCACAGCGGCTGCTGGTTGTCTGATCCATGCAACTACTACTTCGGACGTCGCGGCACCATCTTCATCTCTGCTGTCTTTTGCGTGCTCACACCCATCGGAGGCGCATGCTCCCAGACCTGGGAGCAACTCTTGATCACACGTCTGCTCATGGGAATCGGAATGGGCTTGAAAGGTGCGAATGTTCATGTGGTATGGGACAAAAGCCCCAACTGTGCTAACCGGTGGCAGGCTCAACTGTACCTATCTTTGCTGCCGAAAACTCACCCGCTCAAATCCGTGGAGCGCTCGTTATGAGCTGGGTCAGTAATCCGATCGCATAGATTATTTTGCTCGATTCGGCGTGCTAATATAACGCAGCAAATGTGGACTGCATTCGGTATCTTCCTCGGGTTTTGTGCAAACTTAGCCGTGTATGATGCCGGTGAAATCACCTGGCGACTTCAGATCGGCTCTGCGTTCATTCCTGCTGTGCCACTCTGTATCGGAATCTTCTTCTGTCCTGGTAAGATTGAGAGACACTAAGTGCGCAGGCTCCCTGGTCTGACCGTTTGCAGAGTCGCCCCGTTGGTTGATGAAGAAGAACCGGTACCGAAAAGCCTACCACTCCCTGAGGAAACTGCGATACAACGACATCCAAGCCGCCCGTGATCTCTACTATATCCATTGTCAACTGCAGATCGAGGCCGACATTGTTGGCAAGAGTAATTACGTCACGCGCTTCCTCCAGCTTTTCAAGATCCCGAGAGTTAGGCGTGCAACGCTGGCATCGTTCACGGTCATGATTGCGCAGCAGATGTGCGGTATGTTGAACCTTGCCGTAGTGAGTGCTGGATAGTCGGCTGACAACTTGCCTGCGTAGGTATTAACATCGTTGCCTTCTACTCATCCACTATCTTCGTGCAGGCTGGCGCAAGCCAGAAGAATGCGCTGATCGCCTCTTTCGGCTTCGGTTTGGTCAACTTTGTGTTCGCCTGGCCTGCTTTCTTCACGATTGATACCTTCGGTCGCAGGACGCTCCTTCTCGTACGTCATCCTACTCCCGCAAGCGAGTATTCCATCCGCCCGTCTCATACTTACGACCGACAATAGTTTACTTTCCCGCAAATGGCCTGGACGCTGCTCGCCGCAGGTTTCTCCTTCTACATACCGGAGAGCAGTTCCGCGCGCCTGGGCGTCATCGCGCTGTTCATTTACCTTTTCGCTGCTTTTTACTCTCCCGGCGAAGGTAAACATACCCCCTTCTTTCGTCCAACATAGTGAACGAGGTTCCAAGCAAACGAATGCTAATTACGCCACGCAGGCCCCGTCCCCTTCACCTACTCCGCCGAAGTTTTCCCGCTCTCTCACCGTGAAGTCGGTATGGGTTGGGCTGTCGCAACCTGCCTCTTCTGGGCGTCAGTCCTTAGCATCACGTTCCCGAAGATCCTCGAGGCTTTCGGCTCCACCGGTACTTTCGGCTTCTACGCCGGCCTCAACGTCACCGCCTTCGTCATGATCTTCTTCTTCGTGCCCGAGACTAAGCAACGCACACTCGAGGAGCTGGACTACATCTTTGCGGTGCCGACGGGTAGGTTCATGCGCTATCAGACCAGCGAGGCCCTGCCGTGGTGGTTCAAGAGGTGGGTTATGTTCAAGAAGGACGCGAAGTGCAAGCCGCTGTACACGTTTGAGGGCAATATGATGGCCGGCGATGCGGGGAGTGATACTAGCTCTGAGAGGCACAGAAACGGGAAGACGGGCTAGAAAAGACGTTAAGGGGTCTTACAACATCGGCTATAACGGAAGCATAGAGGGGGGAGATTACTTGGCCGGCATCGTAAGACGCGGTGGATGCGACATGAAAACGATATTGATGAGCATGATGCGTTCTTCCATTCCTTCTGCGCACGACGACGTAGGGGCAGTAACGATGCGGTCGCGGTGTAGCAGCCTCGCTGCGTCCTGTGTTCTAGTCTTCGATACCCTCCTTGAACGTTGAAGATTGTTGATAGTCTTGCATCCAAGCATCTAATACCAGACGAAATGAAAGCGTTACAGCTAATCAACCACCTGGGTGACAGAAACTGCCGGACTTCGAAAAACAGATAGGTCTTCAGTCAGCTTAGGGAGGTTATGAATAGGCGTAATCCTTTATGGTATACTGCCACATAAACATAAGCAAGCTATACCTGAAGGTAGGATAGCTAGAGTAAAGATATTCAAAGACGTGGTTAATCTCAACAAAATTCGGTGATTTAGGAGTGAGTAGCAAGTCCGGTATTTTACAAGTCCGGCGATTTCTGTCACTCGCGTGTCAACCAATTTTCCATTAGCTCACTCGGTTCACGTGCGGCTGTCCGGCCTCAACGAATACCTTACTGTCTCGTCACGCGCCAATTCACGTGTACGGCACCGTGAACTATGGCCAGACTGTGACACGAAACGCGCTGGTACAATGCTCCTTCCAACCCTCAAGCCCCTCGGCTCCGTTGTCTGGCCTTCATCCCGTTAGGTTGACGTCCTATGTCCCAAGACATAAGTCACACCATACCGCTGCTTCGGGTTTGTGTTAGGCATAAAGTATGACCGCAGCCTTCCTCCATAGCACGTATCCGAGATGTTTATCACGCTGGTCTTTACGATTGTTTTGAGGTGGTTTGGTTGTAGGCACTGTGCCATTCCATGTGAACTCCCCTAACCCGAGAACATAGCCTCAGCCGCCGATGGCGATGTGAGAATGTCTACCTACACCCCCCGTGAAGCACCATTATTTGACGACATTCGTAAAGTGCTCGTGCGGGGGGAAAGACAAAACTCCTAACCCAGAAATTCCGGCACCGTAGTCGGTGCGGGATAAACAAGAACATACCTACGTAACGGAGGATCTACAATGATACGACTATAGCACCCATCCCTGCAGCGGGAAGAGGCGCCTGGTCAACATGCTCTTGCGGCTCGCGACGCTGCTGAATGGAGGTGACTCTAGTGGAATTATGGCACTCGCCCCACACCATGCCCTGTCTCTCGAGAATTGGAAGGGGTGTCATCCTCGACGAGAGTGGTCGTGCTGGACGTCTGGTGCAGCGGTGCCTCCTCGTTCGTTCTTCTATTCTCTGTCGGTGGCCGGGGGGCAGGAGCTAGAGGAATGTATACGGCATTATCTGGCTCCAGGCCAGCAACAGCTCCTGCGCTTGCACTTTCCCGCTCTCCCGTCGCTTTGATGAAGAGATAAGCCAGAAACGTACTCGCTGGAGTGAGGAGTGGGCCAAAGGTGATGAAGCCTTCAGCAACCGAGGCCATGCTTTGCGAAAATGCAACGATGAGGATGACGTCCAGTGCGATGGATAGAAGGATGCAGCGAAGTCGGTCTTGCCTGAGCCAGCAGGACATGAACCAGATAAACAGCGGCACGGCGAGGGCCCACACGGCGAACAAACTGCAACGAGAGATTAGTGATGATTCCATTCCGGGGAAGTACAGCTTGGACATACGACCAGCGGAGTACAGGACCAGCTCGGCGATCAGTCGGTACCTCCATGAGGGCGAAGCCCGACATGGCAGCGGTGACCCCTTCACGGTGAAAACGGCTATGATTGGTTCAGAATCCTTGCTAGCTCGCAAGCCGGTGACCGCTAAGCGGCTCGCTTCGGGCCGGCGCCGGCTCTACCCACTTAAATATTGCATCCTTGAACGTGGAGGTTTGGCCGAACAAAGAGCAAAGCTTCAGTCAACTTTCACTTAACGACTCGACGTTCACCTCACTTCGCCCGCCCAGAATTTCACTTGACGTCCTCAGCTCACTTTGCCTTCAGTCAACTTCGACATAACCTTCACCTCCTACTTAGCTTGGCGTCACTGCTTCTCACTTCTGAAGCCTTCGCACGACAGCTTCCTCCTGGCAATTCTCGTACCTCAACATGTCGTCGACTAGAGTCCTTTCCGCTACGTCGCTAGACATCATTGCCGAGTACAGCTCGAGCAATATTGCAACCGTTCACGCCGGGTATCGCACCGTCTCTACTAGTTCCTTTGCAACGATTTCGAGCCAGGAAACTGTTGAGATTCCCGACGAACTTAATAGCCAAGAGGCGTTGGAGTTCTGCGGCTTTGGGGAAGACACAGCTCGACTGCTCGTTGAGCATTGGGAATGGCTGCAGACGCATGGTAGAGAGGGTCAGCACGGGTTCGGGGATGATATTATAATCATCGCCCGGCAGCACGTCAAAGACCGAGCAATATTGAGAGATGCATGGCTTGAATACCAGGACTGGGAAGGCGTTCTGAGATACCTCGGGATGTCGGAAGAAGCTGTTGTTGGCATCATGAACCCGGAATGCCGAGTGGTGAGGCTGATGGCCTCGGCGTCCGAATGGGTGCTAGATACCATCGATATGAATTTCGAATTCCTTACCACCCTTGACAAGCGCATACGGAAGAAAAGGCTAGAGATAGAGAGGGCTTACTCGCCAGCGCCTGACGTTCAGCCATCCCCGGCACTACGACCGAATCAGCCTCTCACTGGCGGTCTCCACATTAGCCATCCCAGCACCATCGCCGCAGACGAAGTTGAGCCGCCAATAGAGGTCGAAGGCCGCACCATGCTATACAAGGGTGGCACCTATTCTCGCCTTCTGTCTATCTTCCGACCCGACGGCTCCCTAAACCTCACTGACATCTTCTCGACACCACCTACGGATTTTCATCCTTCTCATTCCCTTGTCTATTTCGGCAAACAGAAGGAAGTTGCGGATATGTATGCGATATTCGCAGAGTCTCGCAGCTCGCGCGTCAGAGATGGCGCCATCATGTATGTAGCCATACCAAATACGTGGCTAGACAACGCGCACAGCATCTTCAACCCGGACTGGAAGCAGCTGGTTTGGCTAAGCCGCAATCGCCGTGCGTTCCTCGAACGTCTCTCCGCTTCTCCCACCGCCATTCCTGAAGAGCTTGTCAGCTATACCACAGCGCCAATCCTTCTTGGAGCAATCTGTTGCATGTCGACAAATCAAATCCAGAGGCTTGACAGCGCCGACGACATCCGAGACCTTCGACTGAGTAACGGCAATAAAGGAACACAGGTTGTGCTACAAACGCAAGATGCTTTCGCCAGATTCTTACGAGAATGCCAAGGATACGTTTGGGTCCAGAAGTGGGACAGTCAGCTGGCATACACCTATCCGCCCAACTCATCAGCATAATCTCAGAAGCTGTCGACGTTGTGGTGATTGGGAAATTGTAAACGCTGACTTTGGGGCTGTGCAGTCAAGCGGTGATGAAGTCGCAAGCTCGTATCTCAGCCTCGTCGGTAAAACAGGTTTTGGCTGAAGTGCTTACCAGCTCAGCCTCAGTCTTGCAACCGTCTCGTCAGCCCGGCGAGGAATCAAGTTCATCCTCTTCCTCACCATCGACTGTGTTTCGAGCTTGCAGTAAACCTTCAGAGAGAGCAGCTCGCCATGGACGACCACGCCAATGAATCGTTATGCGATACAGGGCCAGTTCTTGCCATCTGCGACTATGATCTCTGCGATGAATTTTTCGGACCAATTTTCTACCACAACTCCTGCGCCTGGAGATTCGATTGCTCTAATCCGTCCTTGAGCTCCATTAGTTACGACTGGGCTTCGCCGCTATACTCCTACACACCGTGGGACCACGAAACGGATCTCAGAACAAATACAGAGGGCGGCCGAGGAGACAAAGAAACACTTGGAAGAGGCCAATTTGGTAGTTGGGGAGAAGAGGAGTTGGAAAAGAATGAGAGGAGAAGCGAGGAGAAACCAGCCCACCTTTTTGATCCTGCGGACAATATCGCAAGGGTGAATTATGTTTGGACCTTCATCAAACGAACCCTTTGGAGGACTGGTCTCTAAAAGCAGTCAAAACTCTTGATGAAGGACCGCTGATAACAATCGCTTTGGACAACGGTTGTGCTCCGAATGATTGTACGCCTTACGGTCGGCTCGGTCGAGTGTGTCAACCGGTATATCTACATGACGTTCTCGCGAGGGTCCGTTCGATTATCACAGGTAAGCAAATACTCCTAATCTGAGTCCACCAAGCGAGGTGCGCTCAAAGTGGGAGTTCCTGAGATCTACAGCACTCAATATATAGTAAGATACTGACTGTGCAGCCCGATCTTCATGCTCTGTGCGACGCGAGCGTGAGAAGCAAAACACAAGCGCAAGTCTTCCGCTTCGAGATCCCAAGATATCCAGCATGGACGACCTTGGCCGAAGACTCCCAAGGAAGTGGTCAACAGCCGCATCTATTGTGGCTCTAGCGGTAGCATTCGGTTCCGCCTTCATCATGACTGGCTACAACAGCTCAAACGGTGCTAAGAAACATGGTACTGAGAAATCTCCCGCACTTCCCATATGCTCAAACTGATTACTAGGTCCTGCGTATTACGTTCAATATCAGATGCTGACAGACGACTAGGAGGAACGGGCCACTCCACCATCATCCATGCCCTCCATTTGGTCTCCGCCATCTGCGATGCCCTCCATTTGGTCCTCGCCAAGATCCACCTGGAGGCTCATCTCCCTGCCTTCCTGACTGATCCTACGCCGATAGTATTCCTTTCGGCCTGTTGTACCTATGCATTCGCTTTGTTTCACTACCACATACTGTACGTCGATGACGCGCATCAAGCCAACTTCTTCGTCGCGGGCGTCACCCTACCTTTTCCAGTCGGTCTGCTTTGCGGCGCAGACTTGAGATCCATCGCCACGAAGGTACTACCATGGTCTATCATTCTCAGCCTCATTGTCAGTGCTGTATTCCACGGTTGTTACAGACCACTTCGGAAGGAGTTTGACAAGGAGCAAGTGATATGCTTGTAAGTATCCTTGATACGATTTACAGTCTCCGGCGGTTGTTGTCGTGCCGGCTTCTATTTCGACTAACACTCGATTAGGGAGGCAAAGCGCATACTGCAGTGCATGCAGTATATAGATGATCAACGCTCGGAGGATGAGATTTGTGACAAGAATATTAAGACAGATGGACTGGTGGAGAACGAGACTTTGACTTCGAATGGAACTTCGATTCCGAAGAGAACTTGGACTCCAAATGAGCCTCTGACTCCAAATGGGATTTCGACTCCAAATGGGACTTTGGCTCCGGAAGGGACTTTGACTGAGAACGAGAGTGACAAGCGTTGTGAGGACGATGACAAGAGAGGAACACAGCATAACGAGGAAGGTCTATCTCTCATGGATGAGGGATGAGCCCTAACCTGGTACTGAGATGGGTGGTTTAACGGATGATTGAGCTTCCAGAGGCTGGAGTTGAGACTTGTTAATCCTGTTTTGACAAGACGTAGCTGGGTTTTGGTTCAGGGGTTTAGTTTGATGTTTGATGATGGAGGCAGGCATGAGTCGTATATTTCCTCTCATAATGAAATCCAAGGAGTTAGGTTTGTGACTGTCCATCATTTTTTGCCGCGTGACAGGACCTCCGAAGTCGGATTCGCGAAAGAAGCCCCTCAAGTTGATTGGAAAGTATTTTGCAAAGCACGAATGCATGATTGTGACTACTGTAAGTAAGGATGGGCACGACGACCTCAGCGCCTCTAGAAAATGAGCCAGCCTCCACAGGACAACATGATTCACAGGAAGGAAAGGCAGAAACACAGCCAAGTAGCCACGCAGGTCACTGTGAGAAGACTGCCCAAAGCATTAAGAAGGAAAGCCCCACAACGCTAGCACATCGAACCGCACGAGAAAGTGATATGATCCAGAGGATAAAGAAGAACAAGCATACAGCCGTCCAAGCCACTGCTATCATCATGCACTCATCACATATCTTCAAACCCTTGCTCTTACCAGTTCTTATCCGTCGATTGCACTCTCACTCAGCTATCACCGTTCGGGTTGCTTCCTTCGCCATCGTCCGGAAACTCGTCAGGGACGATGCCCGCCTTTTCGCATGCGCGCTTGTACATCTGTAGCTCAGCGTACGCATTCGTATAGTCCGTCTTGAACTTCTCGGCGGTGGTGCTCAGCTCGGCTATCGCCTGATCGGTAAGCAGCTTCTCCAGCGTCCACTTCTCGATGTTCTGTGATTCGTTCTCTTTGAGCTGCGTGATGAATTGAACAGCTCTTTGCAGGATGGAGCCCTTGTTCTTTTCGCAGCCGGGTACGATCTTTGCGAGCTCGTTGATGCCTTCATTGATGGTTTCGCGTCGACGCCGCTCAACTGCACGACAAGTGTTAGCGCCGTTCTTCGCCTTGGCGAAGCATGGCCATAGAGAGCCAAGGGCCCTCAAGCTGGTCACTAACCTTCTTTGTGGTTGTCCCTTCGTACTTTGTGCCATTCATCCGATCCAACCGGTGGCTTGTTTCCTCCACTGTTGGGCGGAGAGTCATTCGAGTTCGAGGGTTGTCCTCCCGTCTTTAGAGCATCCAGTCCGCTAAAGTCAGGCATCCCATGTTGCTGGTGCATATCGTGCTCGCTCAGGTTGAACGACGCGCTTAGAGGTCGGCCGCCTTCACCGCTCGGCGTCTGAGTCTGGAATTGGAGTTCTGTAGCTTGAGGTACGGTCATGGAGTAATGTGATAAGGCAGCTGCGGCAGTGTTGCTTGCGTCTTGCTGGGTTGACCCACCGTTCTGATGCATGCCGTGTTCGCCGCTGTTGTGCTGTGCTAGCTGGTCGAAGATCAGACTCGAAGTGTGCTGCATGTCGTCGTCGCCGCTGTTGGAAGCGTTATGAGCCGAGAGGAAGTCCGCCGTACCACTGCCTGAGTTGTTCGTGGAAGCTCTTGCAGAGTCACCAGGCGCGGGTCTAGAAGCGGTCGCCTCTAGGTCCAGTGAGCCGCGCTTCCGCTTGTTCGTGTGCATTGAGGCTGGCGCTTCGCCGGAGAGGCCTAGCTTGGAGTCGGCATCCGAATAACTGGCCGTGGCAGCCATCCCGGCAGACTGGCGCTAACTCTCTAGTCCCGTGAAACACGTATCGGATAAGGTATGTTCGAGCAGTGGATCGCTAAGGTCCAGTGATGATATATGTTGACAGGACCAGGAGCTACACAGTCCGGGTACGTGAGCAACGATTGCACCGCTAAACGGAACCGATGGACCAGGCTGTAGACGAGCTGGCGGAGGTACGGTCTGCGGTAAACGTTCGTGGCAGTAGCAGTGTTTGGCCGATGAGCACAAACCTGGATAACCCCAGGCACCAGAGGCTAAGCTATATTTGCAGGGCTAGGTGTTCACGCATGGAATGCTTGTTCGACCGTGTGCTCCCGAGGAGCAAGCATGCGATGTCCGACGATTTGCAGAATGACCGAGATCTCTCAATGTTTCTAGCCGGTGCCAACTGTTAGCACGGCTCTACGAACGATTGTCAAGTGTTACAGTGATGCAGACGCGCGTCCGATTGGTGAATCGACTGCTGCGGCCCGGTGGCACCGAGCTGTCATTGCTCTAGGAGGGGTCGCATACGCGCTTGCTACTGACGACGACGAGGCGCACAACACAGCCGTTCGTGCTCGAGAGCGTGTCTCCATTAACCACTGTGCCAGCGAGGGACGGAACGGTAAGTCCATCTCTGTAGCCGCGATGCGACGAGAAGCTGCGCATAGAGCGACATCTGCGCGCCTCGGAGAGCCGTTGAGGAGCTCGCGAAGGTCCCCAGACTGAGGGATGGCGGCGCGACCATGAGTAGAAACGTGGAGTGAAAGCGGAGCGCAGTTGTGGAAGATGCGGTCGACCGTGAGGACGAGTAGCTTACCTAATTCGGGTGACCGGTGACCCGGTAAAGCTGCTGCTGCTGGACGAGATGGTCAACGCAGCGCCGAAGCTCTGCCTTCAGCTTCGCAAAAGAAACACAAGTTGGTATGCAGACTGCTAGCTTGCCGTGCAACGCCTCGAGACGGATAATGAGACGCGACTGGCGAGCGCTGGTATGATATGCCTATCGCGCGGATGGGAGGTCGCGGGTGTCAGGTGATGGAGGTCATGTGTTTTTTGGGGCGGAGGTTGCTTTAAGGCCGGCTGCGGAGGGACTCTTAATAAGCAGGCCAAGCTGGCACAAACCGGCTTAGCCGTCCGTAACGCAGGAAAATCACAACAACGCGAACCGCACCATCGATCTGATCATCTGGCCCCCTCGAGTGCGCTTTGGATAAGGACGATTTCACGAGGGTGGGTGCGAGGGTGCTGACCGAGGCATGTGAGCAGCCAGGCATTGCAGCCACTCAGGGATCAAGGCTGAGGCAAGACAAGGCCCGCTTCTCACCACCATCCACTCAGCACCCCCTCCTGTTCCCCCCGATCGACGCCCTGGTCGCCCATTTGTGGCTAGGCTCTCCGGATGCTGTTCACGTGCCACTTTGACGAGCCGCCGCTGGAGAGACAGGAGGGACGTCTGCCGGAGCGCGGACTTGCGCCGGATACGATATCGACACCTCTGGGCGGCTGTCCAGAGAGTCGGAATCATTCGGAAGGGCTACGCGGCAGACTCTTTCGAGCTTTCCTCTAGGCGTGGTTTCAGACCTCACCGCTGAGACTCGCAGCTTGAGACTTTAGTGTGGTGCTGACAGCGTAATATCTTGGCGCATATGCCTCTCATCCGCAGAGTCATGCACCTACCACTTTGAAAATATCACAACGCAGACGCCTCGATGCGCTCACAGGGTGCAGAACCTTTTTGGCTTGAAAAGCGAATTGGCTGAAGTGCCAATGGCGCTGACAATCTTCCGGTGTAGCACGCGTCGGACTTCTCCCGGCTTGTATTACAGCAACAATGCCGACATCATGGCTGAGGAACAAGCATTGCTTCCTGAGGTGATTTTGTATAACGGAGGACGACGAGCTTCATCTGTCTGTACTTATCACCTCGACATCGACGACAGCAAGGACTTGTTAACCACAAGGTCCTCACGGCGTTTGTTGGAGCACCCATACAACATAGTGAAGATTAAGGCTGAGTACAGTCCTTTGCGCGCTGTGCCTCGTTTCTGCAACCGTAAGTAGGAAATCGTTCGATGGCACTGTTCCTACTATTCACACAAATCCCGTACTCAAAGATCACTTATACTCCGACTACAAACACCTTGTAGTATTTGAGCCGGTATTGTCAGTCCATGCAATTTGAGAACAGAACATCTGCTCTGATCCGGACTACTTGTGCTCTTTCGCAGCCTCGCTACCGGATTTGTACCTCTGAAACGCTCTTCGGAACTCCGACGTCGCCCTCTTCCATTAGCGGAAATGGACGCTTTCCATCTGCTTCCGCTCACCGAGCGTTAGTCAAAGTTCATTACCACCACACCAGATCATCCAGCGTACGCACCCTGGAAAATCGATAGCTTTCAGGCTTGCTCTAGGTCGTCTTCATTGGCGTTTGTTCCATTTCTAGCGATTAAGTACGACCGGACGGTCAGCGCTACACTCGCCTAATAAATTCTAAGTAGAGAAATCTATAAAATATGCAGTCGGGTCTTGGAGTAGTGTTAGGAAGACGTCGGGCGCTTTGGATCTTGAATGTAATCGAGGGCGGTCAGAACTAGTGGGAGAGAACGGATGGCACAATCAATAAACAACACCACATGCTAGCGGAAATTAAACAGCTTTATACAAGATTCCTTCCTCCCATCGACAGTTTTTGAATGCAGTCATGTGACAGCGCAGCCCTTCCTATCTTCTTGAAATGCCACAAAGCATGATCGACCTACCCGCCAATGCCCGCGGGGCTCGCAGTGGTATTCTTATAGGTAGATATCCCAAGGACGGCAGCTCAGTCAAGTACTTGTCCTATGCTGACACAGATGATAGACGGCAGATACAGATTGCGGCACTCTTCTCTGCAAATTGTGTTGGTGGCCTCTCTTGAGGCTTCAGCATCCTGAGAAGGTGAGGTCGTCAAACCGAGGAGACTTTTTTCATCTAGCTGTACTACCACCACCGGAAGGGTGTCAGGGAAGTTTGTCTATGTTAAGGCAGAAGGATATGGACATTATCGGGACACTACTTACTTTCACGGCCCTAAGGGATCTCAAAACGCTCACTCCTCCAACGTGGCCCTCGTCCAATTTCGATGGAATCAGATCCCGCACATCAACTACCCTCTTCAGCTACTCTTGCCGCCGGAAAGTTCTCGGTGTAGCCAATCAAGCCCCCGGCCGCATCTACGACCGCATCTATAGAGACAAGACCGTGACGGAATTGTTTTTTAACAGCTAAGCCAGCGATATAGACTTTCACTGAATCAATGTATCAATACAACGCTATTATTTCACTATTCGTTGATGATCGCAGCGATTGTATAGCCTCAAGCGTGATCTTAGTGATGCGGCGCCAAGACCGAGGACTTTCCGGCGGCAAGAGTACCGAGAAGCGCGTCAACTTCACCATCCGCACATCCTACGTCAACACCTGCAAGCAAACTACACTCACGCATACCTACAGCCAACGCGCACAGCATTAGCGTGTTGGGCGAACACTTGCCACAGTCATGGTTTCGTCGTTCCCTTCGTGCGGAGACTATCAGGGCGGAGGGTAGTTGCCGTGAATCCTTAGCCCGGTGTTGCCAATATAAAGATCTACCACGCGCTGGGGGTGCCTCCCACGATGTTGACAACATTCGCAGTTTTTGTAGGACTCCTAAGAACCTCACTATCCTACTAACTCCGCTGACTCTTTATAATAGCTCCTATTCTCCCCGCTACAGCAGCAGCTATAGGACCAGCCGTTGGCCCAACACCTTCCGTTATACAACGCCCTAGCCGCGCCCCAACGAGGGCTATAACAGGTCTGGAGGTCCTGGCAAGACGACACCTTGGCGTGATGAGCAACTCACAGGCCGCGAGTCTAGCAATCGCTTTGCGAGGTAATCGCAGGCTCAGGAGTCGGTGTCTCAAGATCGGCCCGTCGGCAGGGCAAGCTCACCCATCCGCAAACGTACAAAGGGAGCTATGAAGCCGCTGATAACGCTAAAGTCTATTGGCGGTATACCAGTGCCACAGGGCGTTCATACTTCGTTTCAGCATCCAAAAACCACCCCCACAGAGCTGGACGCTGCTGCCCTTGCTCTATCCGAAAACCACCCCTACAGAAGAGCTAGACGCTGCTGCTCTCGCTGCATCCGAAAACCGCCCCCACGGAAGAGCTTGACGCCGCTGCTATTGCTGCACCAACACCTAAACCGCTGAAGATCACCAAAGCAGCGGTTGGCACGAAGCAACCGAAAACCACCCCACAGAAGAGCTTGACGCTGCAGCATGCTGCACTGACGCCTGAACCGCTGAAGATCACCAAAGCGGCGGTTGGCACGAAGCGAGAGGCAACGCCACCTACCCCGACCAAGGCTCGTCGAGCTTCGACAGGTGGGTAATATATCGACATAAGCACATCCATGGGCCCAGCAGCGGCATTGGATAGGCCGTTGGGCACGTCCTCGCTGCATAAACCGCACGATTCAATGGCAGATCTCTCCACCAGGCTCGCGCAACTGAGGGTCTAACCGGGTATTGTAGGTCACGGCCGAAGAACGGGACGGGAAGCATGTAAGGGTAAGGTGGAGCGGCATTATGGGCAGGACAGTTCGAAGCTGCTTTTGTCAGCCTGATTGAGGGATTTGTGCTGACAGGGTGCTGGGAGCGCATTGTTCTAGAAGCAGGACGTAGCTATTATTGGATGAATAATACTGATCCTTTGCTCTGCACGTGTTCTGACAGCTGGAATTATTTGCTCTTCTTAGTGACGAGGCAGTCTCAGACCGAGAGCAGATGTGACAGAACCCTGCTTGAAGGCTCTCGACCACCTTGCGACGGGAGCACTTTCATGCATAGAAACGGATCATGAGCAGGAAGTCAAAGCTTCTAGTACTGCTCGTGCTGCATTGTCCAGCAAGATGTCCAGCGTCGTATCCCGCGAGACCACTAGGGCCGAGATCTTCAGGCACGTCGTCC